TTAAAACTGATACCTTCTGTATATAAATTATTTTAATCTAAGGGTATTTTAAATTATGCTAAATGATCTTTATATTTTCGGTATGTAGGTTGAATTTAATCTCCTGTTTTAACATCCCATAAGCAGATTGAGTTATCATCATTACCAGATGCTATTGTAGTTCCATCAGATGAGAAGCATACTGAGTAGATATAATTAGATACTGTCTTAACATCCCATAAACGAATTGAATTATCACAACTACCAGATGCTATTATAGTTCCATCTGGTGAAAAACTTACTGAGGAGATAAAACTATTATGACCATCTAATTAAGCTGTTTAGCATCCCGTCTTAACATCCCATAAACGGATTGTGTTATCATCACTACCAGATGCTATAGTTGTTCCATCTGGTGAGAAGCATACTGAGTTGACAGCATATTAATGACCATATAATTTGGCTTTTTATTCCCCAGTTTTAACATCCCATAAACTAATTGACTTATCGTAACTACCAGATGCTAAGGTAGTTCCATCTGGTGAGAAGCATACAGAGTTGGCTCCATAATACTGACCATCTATTTTGGCTATTTATTATCCAGTCTTAACATCCCATAATCTGATTGCCTTATCATTGCCATCAGATGCTAAATTAGTTCCGTCTGGTGAGAAGCATACTGAGTTTACTCCATATTAATGACCATCGAAATTGGCTTTTTATTATCCAGTCTTAACATCCCATAATCTGATTGAGTTATCATAACTTCCAGATGCTAAAGTAGTTCCATCTGGTGAGAAACATACAGATTGGACCTTATCACTATGACCATCTAATTTGGCTTTTTATTATCCTGTCTTAACATCCCATAATCTGATTGAGAAATCAGCACTACAAGACGCTAAACTCTGTCCATCTGATGAGAAACATACTGATCGAACACAATCACTATGACCATCTAATTTTGCTTTTTATTAGCCATTCTTAACATCCCATAAACGGATTGATTTATCTGCACTCCCAGAAACTAAAGTAGTTCCATCTGGTGAGAAACCTACTGATTAAACACATTCACTATGACCATCCATGGCTGGTTATTATTCAGTCTTAAAATCCCATAAACGAATTGAGTTATCACTACTACCAGATGCTAAAGTAGTTCCAATTGGGGAGAAGCATACTGAGTTTACTCCAAATTAGTGACCATTTAAATTGGCTTTTTATTATCCAGTCTTAACATCCCATAATCTGATTGATTTTTCATAACTACCAGATGCTAAAGTAGTTCCATCAGGTGAGAAGCATACTGAGTAGACTTTTAGTTAATGACCATCTAATTTGGCTTTTTATTTCCCAGTCTTAACATCCCATAATCTGATTGAGTTATCATAACTTCCAGATGCCAAAGTAGCTCCATCTGGTGCGAAGCATACTGATTGGACTTGATCACTATGGCCATCTAATTAGACTTTTTAATATCCTGTCTTTACATCCCATAAACGGATTGACTTATCATTACTAACAAAGAAAAATAAAAACTTATTAGAAAAGAGCAAGCAGTGGACATAAAAATCAATTGAAAAGCCTTATTTTGGATTTAAACCTTGATGAATTGTTTGACCTTCAAAATACAGTCTAATTTACATTTGGAGATAAAATAAAATATTTGAAAAATGAATTTCATTTAGAATCGAAAATGGAAGGATTTAAATAAAATGATAATAAAACTGGCAGATAATTTAATAGTATAAGGGTTAAGGGAATAATCATAAATTAAAAGAGTATTTTTCCAGGTTCATTAAATATTTGATAAATTTATAAAATATTAACAATAAATTGATGTTAAATAATTATATATTATTGTTTTTTATGTACATTACGTTATTTCAATTATCGTAATACCTTTCTCCTCGTTTTTTTTTCTAATGTATATCCATTTCTACCCAAATACCTACTTTTTGGCCTTCCATATTATATTCACCATCATAAGTGACTTCATTGCAATTTTTCATACGAAAACAAAAGCTTTCATCTAATTCTATCCACTTTCCAATCTTTTTTTAATTTCCTCCTTAATCATAGATCCGCCACCACTATGTATGCCTTTATACCTTATATAATATTTACATTTATTAATATTTTTCATTATCATATTTACAATACATAATATCCCATCTACCTACCTTTATTCCATCCATATTATACTCACCATTATAAGTGATTTATTTACAAGGCTTAAACTTTTCATCAAATTCCACCCACTTTCCAATCTTTTTTTGATTTCCTCCTTAATCATATGATCCGCCACCACTATATATGCCTTTATACCTTATATAATATTTACATTTATTAATATTTTTCATTATCATATTTACAATACATAATATCCCATCTACCTATCTTAATACCATTCATGTTATACTCACCAATATAAGTGACTTATTTATGTTCATAAAACTAATCATCCAATTCTATCCACTTTCCAATCTTGTTTTAATTTCCTTCTTAATCATATGATCCACCACCACTATATATGCATCAATATAGCCTCTCTATACCTTATATAATACTTACATTTATTTATATCCTTCATTATATTTACAATACATAATATCCCATCTACCTACCTTTTTGCCATCCATATTATATTCACCACTATAAGTGACTTATTTATAATCCAACCATAAATCTAATTCTACCCACTTTCCAATTTTTTTCTAATTTCCTTCTTAATCATATGAACCGCCACCACTATTTATACGTCAATATTTCCACTTTATATATTATTTAATATTTACATTTATTTATATCCCTAATCATTTTATTTACTACACATAATATTCCATCTACCTACCTTCATGCCACCTTTATTATATTCACCATGATAGATGACTTATTTATGTTAACCAAACCCTTCATCTAAGTCTAACCACTTTCCTCTCTTTTTCTAGCTTCCTTCTAAATCATATTTACCTCCACCACTATTGATATATTTCCCTAATACTTAATAAAAATTTACATTTATTTATATTCATCATATTAACTATATAAAATATCCCATCTACCTATCTTTTTTCTGTTTTTAAACGACCCCGCATAAATAATGGCTTCACTATTGATTAACAATTTGTAATACCTTTCACTCCTATAAATCTCAATTCCATTCTCATCAAAATTAATGAATCCGCTAATTTATTTAAGTATTAGAATACCATAACTTATCTTGATATTGCAAATTTATTCTATTCCATCTACCAATCTTCTAACCTTAGATATTATATTCGCCATTATAAGTGACTTGATTATATTTAGAAAACTTTTCATCTAATTCTATCCACTTACCTCTCTTCTACTAGCTTCCTTCTAAATCATATTTACCGCCACCACTATTGATATATTCATCTTATACTTAATAAATATATACATTTAATTTCGTTGATACATAATGTCCTATTTACCTACCTTAATTCCATTCATATTGTATTCACCATTATAAGTGACTTATTTATTTTCATTAAACCCTTCATCCAATTCTACCCACTTGCCAATCTTTATCTAACCTCCTTTTTTCTCATATGATCCACCACCACTATTTATGCATAAAATTTGCCCCCTAATACCTAATTTATTATTTACATTTATTGATATCCTTCATCAATATATTTACAAAATATAGTATCCCATTGACCTACCTTAATACCATTCGTATTGAATTCACCTTTATAAGTGATTTATTTATTTTCATTAAACCCTTCATCTAATTCTACCCACTTTCCAATCTTTTTCTAATTTCCTTCTTAATCGTATGTTCCTCCACCACTAATAATTTTTTTATATTCCCCTTCATATTATAAAATCTTTACATATATTTATATCCCTTTTAATAATTTTAAAAATAAATAATATCCCATTTACCTACCTTCCTGCCATTCCTATTATATTCACCCCAACAAGTGACTTATTTATAACAAAACCCTTCATCCAATTCTACCCATTTTCCAATCTTTTTCTAATTTCCATTTTAATCATATGATCCACCCCCACTAAATTTTCCCCTTTGTAACCTATAAATTACTTACATATATTTATATTCATCCATTTATTTATTGAAATGCATAATATCCCATATACCTACCTTCATACCGTTCTTATTATATTCGCCATTATAAGTGACACTTTTATCATTATAATAAACTTCATCTAGGTCGATCCATTTACCTTATTTATAACCATCTTTATTGTATGATCCACCTCCGCTAAACTTTAAAAAAAAAATTACATCTTGGCATTTTAATAAATATAATTCCATTTTCCAATTCTTAGGTCACTCTAAAATTCTCCTGTTTCAAAAATTTAAGCCTCTCTTTTCATAATGTAAAATATTAATAACTTACTTCCAATAATTTAGGAATAGATCTTTCCATAATCCGTATTTTTACCCTTCTTTATAGTATCCGCCAACATTCTTTAGAAGTTCTTTAGTCCAAAAAGCAATCCATTTACCATCTTTTTTTTTGTTTTTACCATACTAACCTTACCATGAAAGATTTTGTATTTGATCCATATTATTAAATGTTTCTAGTCTCTCAATAACATCACAGCCTTCTACTCTATATTTAAAGTTACAAATAAAATTTACACTCTCAAAATTGCTCCATTTTATGAATAGATGATTTATTAATCTAAGGTGAGCTTGATTTGAATTTTGATTTTCTCAATTCTTTACATTCTTTAATTATAACTCTAAACTTCTTTTTCAATAGTTTATCCCTCCGAATAAGTTGATTATTGGCAGCTCAAATGGGTTTAGTTTGAATTATTCATTTTTTAATTTAAATATAATTCTATTATATTTAAAAGGTTAAAGCTCTAAAATTGAAATTTTATTATCTATTTTTAAAGATTAGACATGGAAATCATAAACTATATAAAGATTAAATCCAATTTAGTTTATCATTTTAATATGAAAATCCATAGAAAAATAGTAGTTGTTTTTAATTATTTTATATAAAAACAAAGAAAATTTTAGAATAATTAATAATTAATTTTAATGATTTATATAAATATGACCATCTAATTTGGCTTTTTATTACCCAGTCTTAACATCCCATAAACGGATTGATTTATCATTACTACCAGATGCTAAGGTAGTTCCATCTGGTGAGAAACTTACTGATTAGACACATTCACTATGACCATCCAATTTGGCTTTTTATTATCCCGTCTTAACATCCCATAATCTGATTGAATTATCATAACTTCCAGATGCCAAAGTAGCTCCATCTGGTGAAAAGCATACTGATAGGACCAAACTATTATGACCATCTAATTTGGCTTTTTACTATCCCGTCTTAACATCCCATAATCTAATTGATTTATCATCATTTCCAGATGCTAAAGTAGTTCCATCTGGTGAAAAGTTTACTGAGTTGACTCTCCATGTAAGACCATCTAATTTATTCAATTCATGAATTTTAATGTTCTTCCATTTACAATTTAATAGTAGTGCTCCATTTAGATTAATAAGACTAATGTCTACATTTTCGAATTCGGATCCACTTAGATTACATCTGACAAAATTTCCACCAATCAAACTAGTATCCCTTATTCTGATGTATTCAAAGCTTTAATTTTTAAGATCAACCTTCATCTGCACTAATAAATTAAGTCCATTTGACCCACATTGAATGAATTTTTAATCTATGGTTGTTAATTGAACTAAAAATTTCAGAAAATCAATGATGTTCTGATTCCCTGATATCTTCTTTATTAGATTTAATCTTTCCTTTTCATAAATTTATGAGGAAAAATCATTTTTACTAAAAGAATGATTTTAAATATTTCTTAAAATATTAGCAATTCGCACAATTTTATTTTCAACTTCCATTTAATTCTCTATATTATTTGTAAAAGATTCCTAGAACATATGATTATCTTTCTTTTAAAAGAATTCTAAAATATCTGAAATTTTCTTTTTCCTGAGTATTTGCAGTACTACTTTAAATGTTGAACTATCAATGTCCTTAATGGAGGCCATAATTTCATATAGATCTTCTTTTATTTAATAAACTTCACATTCCTCTTAATTAGATTAAATCTTGGAATGATTAGTGTAAAACATTATCTTCTTTAAAAATTATTTGTTTTTCTATAAATTTTAATATAGGTTAAATATGTATATATATATGATTCACAAATATCTTATTCATAAAAGCTCAATTAAAAACAAAAAATAATTAAAATTGGGTTTTGAATTTTATTGAGCATCAATTTCCAGAATTAATAATCAACTCACGATATTTTTAAATTTTTATTCCAGCACATTCTTAAAAAATTTTTTTCTTTTAGTGATTCAACCATGATTTCTTTAAAAAATAAATAATTCATTTTATTACCAATAAATTTATTTAGAGAAAAAATATACTTAATATATATCACTAATGTACTTTGGCAATCATTAAATATTAAATAGATGTGATTGAGCAAGAAAGATAAGCATACGAAATATATGTTTTTTCCTATAATTTATTTTACGAACTTTGTTGCATACAACATTTTAAATTCTAGTAAGACTGAAAATTTATTAATTGAGTGCTACAATTCATTAATTTTATCTATAAAATATTTATATGTATATTATCTTAAGTTTTAGAAGAGATTATACGAAATGTTTATGCAACATAAAATTTATCAACGGAAATTCTTCTTCATAAGCTGTATACGGTGGATATGGTAATGGCTACACAGTCTGTTTCTCTCCTGATGAAAATACTTTAGTAGTTGTGATAATTCTATACGTTTATGGGATGTTAAACCAGGATAATAAATAGAAGCAACAGACAAACGTTATGATATATTAACTTAATTTAAAACTTCTTTATTTGCTGATAATGTCTTTCTAGAAGGAGGTATTTATTTATAACTTATTTAGTCAACCTCTTTACAATCCTACGAATATTATTGACTCCACAGTTATAGGCTTAAAATGCACTGACAAATGGAAGCATATTCTTAGGAAGTATGATATAAGAATCGTAATAAAAGAAATGAAAATATTATAGAGCATATCATAAAATAAGTAATGTAATTTTATTATATAATTACAACTGGTTTTTTAAAATTTAAGTCTCTGGAAGAGTAACTGAATTAAATCAAGAAATTAAAATGATTTAAATTTATTTAATGGTTTCAAAAATAAAATCAGAATATGGAATGAAGCAATTTAAAGAAAGGAAAGAAAAGAATAAGGAGAGTTAGAGAAATTTCTAAATTTCACTATTAACTTGTCAAGGAAAATTTAAAACAAAAAATTACATAAAAACAAGAGATCCGAATATAATTATTTTATTCTTTAGAAACTTTAATCTTCTGACACTATCTTTTACAATTTGACAACTCATTCAAATTTTTTTTTTTTAATCTACAGATTAAAACTTACATTATTCTTTTTAAATTTCTGGTTCCTCTAAAATCTTCAGCTATGCAGCTCTTCAATTTAGGCTTATATAATATGTTTAATTACTTTATCATTTTACTTTAAGAAATTGTTCCTTTTGCAATTTGACTAAGAAATTCAATTTTATTATTATCCTTTTGATATTATTTCAAAATATGATTTATCATTCTGACTCATAAAAAGTATTACTTGTTAGATATTATAAGTATTGATTTTTAAGAATAAATTAATCTTTTATTAATTCTAAATTAAATGCATATATGCGCTTTTAATCTAACTATTGACAGATAAAGACATTGAGGTCAAGCTATACATGCTAAAACTATATTTTAAAAAAATTAAAATAACTAATGTTACAAAATTTAGAAAACCAAATCATCAGTTGATATAAAATGCTAAGAATTAATAAAAAATATTAAACAATCAAGTTTAATAGATAATAATTAAAAATTACTTTTCGATAAACTTCATTTAATAAGATGCTTATCTTTAAGTCTTTAGTGCATAAATTTTGCTTATCAAATAAGATTCCAAGGATTTTTAGGAATTTATATCATATGATTTAAATTCCCAATTTATAGTTTAGTAATTATAATAATTTATTAAAGTCACCATATTTCTTATCTGACCTCATACCCTTATGGACTGGTGGAGAGACATTTATGGAAATGAGATTCCAGATTAGGTGTAATTCTACTCAAGTTGAAAATTACAGAAAAGATCAGCTAATGGGAGTGAGGCTTATAGCACAAAATACACTGACATAAAGAAAAAGGAACTATTTGATCGAATTTTAACCAAATTAATTATAAGCCTAAGTATTTGGATATCATGAAGATGATGAGCTCACTGTATCAAATTTATTACTTTATTTCTCTCTTCTTAAAAAATCCAGCCTAACAATAGGATTAAAACAAAAATCTATGCTAATAAGCATTTACAGCTATCTAATATTAAAATTATAGTAGTAAATATAAATGTACACTAATAAATACAAAATAGTTTTAATAAAGTTAACAATAGATAATGGCAGAAATTTACATGATAAAAATTGCTAATATAATAACTCAAAATTCATAATTTTATTTTGATTCTTTCTAATCATATACATTATATATTTGTTTTGCATAAATCAATTTTAACTATTTTTCTTAGCCTCAAGAAATCGTGAATTGGTAAAAATTTATGGCCTTCAATGATAAAGTTTTTCAAGTTACTAATTATTAATTTAAACTGATTATATTGCTTTTTCTTTGATCCCAAAAGATTTAAAAATAAATTTTAGATTCTCTTTTTTTTAAAATGCATTTATTTGTTTATTTTTTATTTTTTTGCTTCAAATCGATAAAATAATAAAAAAAAATTTTCAAATCATGTTTTTACTCAATTCCTTGATTTTAAAATTTTGTAGAATATTAATGAAATGATGGCATCCCTTCGATTGTTTAATGATATTTAAGCTGATTAAATTATTTATAATAATTGGCTTTTCAATTTTAAAAAATATGAAAATTTATAACTTATTTACTTTCTCTATATAAAGATGAAAAATATCAATAGATTTGTTTTGTAAAAAGTTACTCCTTGCTGTTCCTTTAAATTTTTTTTGTTCTTTATTTGTTATAATAAAAATTAGAAATCAACATTTTATTATGTTCTTTAGCTAATTCTAGACTCAAATTATAGATTAATTAATTTAATTTTTGTTAAATTTCCCATAATGATTATAGTTATTCAAGATTTTTTAAGCAGTTTTTCGCTTATATACTGGAATTGAATCGTCTGAAAGATCCCTTAAGAAACTGGACGAAGAGATTGATATGATAATCGCAAATTTCTTGGAAATTTTTTTTAGTTTTGATTTTAACGTGGCAGAACGACTAATATTGAATAGATGAAAAACATGAAGGTATGTAAGACTTAAGGTTATATCAAGAAGTCTTTTTAAAGGCTGACAATATTGGAAGGATTTTTCTTATAAGGCAGTTTTTGATCTATATAAAAACATTGTAATTTCAATTTTTACAGTGAATTGATTATTTTTTATATATATTAGATAAAATATTAATACTAAGGATATAGGTGTAAGGTAATTATTAAATTTGTTTGGGGAATTAAAAAAACCGTAAAGCAATGCAATATTTATTCTCTAAATATTCTTAAATAATTAAGCAATTACAAATAATATGTTGAAGAACATTAAGAATAGTATGAAATTGATTAGTAATCTGATATAATGAGAATATTAACAGATTATTAAGTAAATATGCTTCAGGAAGAAATAAAAGAATATAGTAACGCTATCAATTAAAATACTCTGAAAATAGGAGTGATTGATTTAGTTTAGATTAATAAAATTTGAGAGATATCTATCTATACATTCAATTATATCACATTCTTGAAAAGAACTGAATTGATTCGACTTTTTCAAATAAATTTTCCATAAATAAAATTTCATTAATGTTACCTAGAAATTAAATCATTTTTTTTAAAATAAACGCAATAGAAATAAGAAATATATCATCCCTTAACTTCGTATGGAGTAATGTATTCCAGTAGCGCTAGCGTAAATGTAAACCATCTTTATAATTCATGTAGAATCTTTTGTGAGAAATTAAGGCACACACATAGGTATTTTTGTCAAAGCTAATTATTCTTAGACTCTTCTTATAGCTAAAAAGGAGATCATCAGCATTTGTAAATTTATAGAAATCGGCTTTCATCTCCTTTTTATAAGTGATTATCATTTTTTTTATTAATTAAGTCCAAAACTAGTAATTTTATGAATTATACTAAATTATTTCTTTCCTTCTGTCTTTTCTTGTAGATTTTGATATTTATTGAACAGACAATTCTATTTATTTATTTGAGATACATTTAAATTTTTATTTACTCTGAGTTTATTCGATATCCTTAGAATAATTCTATTCTTATTATGCTACTAATACGGATCTATTTAGCTGAATAGTTTTCGAGTAAATAATTATAATTTCTCTATCCTTTATTTTCTAGCTCACTTTAACTCAAATAGAAAGATCTATCAAAAGTCTCATAAATTAGGTTTTCCTAAAAAATCCTTATCTCAAAATAAAACAGCTAAAATTAGAAATCTCATGAATATAAAATAAATTGAATAATTTCTGTAATATAGTAAATAGAATATAATAATTATTACAGATTACTTCAAGTTTTCTAATTTAATCCTAATTTATAGCTTCACTCAATTAAAATGATAATAAATATTAAACTTAGTCAAATTAATATAGGAAGATTAATGTTAAAGTTCAATATTATAGATATAAAATAATTATTTATTCAATGTACGAATTATCTCCTTTTATTTGATTTCGCTATTTAATTTACAACGTTAATGAAAAAACATCTGATTTTCCATTTACTATTTGTACTCTAAAATTTTGATTTTACATTTTGATCTTCTCAATCGAAGTGACAAGAAGTTAAGCAGCATTTTACCATTAGAACATAATATTTTTTAGAAATAAACTAAGAATTAATAAGAATATTAGATTTAATTTTTGATTAAATTAATTGAAAGTTAAGACGATCTTCTAACAATTATTCTTGATCTTGATGTATTCAAAGCTTTGGTTTTAAACATTCTATTTTCATGTGCACAAAAATTAAATCCATTGAACCTATATTAGAATAAATTTTTATCTATGGTTGTTAGTTAAACTAATAAAGAAATTACTAAATTAGATTATTTTGCATTTTATTTTTGGATTCAAATTACAAAATAAATCTCATGACAATTTACAAGCAGAGTGTAGCTTTTGTAAGTTTGCTTTTGTTTATTTAAGAATGCCATAAAATTGTACTGCTCAAACTTATTACATCAGTTGGAGGAATTTAATTAAATTTATTTAGTTTCTATTACTTTTAAATAAATGCAAATTATAGATTTAATCGAAAATAAAAATAAAAATTGTTTTTTACCTCTATACATATTTTGATTTATAATTACTAGTAGTATTGGTTCTGGTGATAATATATTTTTTAATTTACAACATTGCAAACCCTCTAAATTGCTTAATTATCTGGTAACTATTATATTCTAGGGAATATTATAAGCCACAATCCATCTTAATAAGCTGAACTAACCTTCACTGTTGTTATCAAACTTATAAAATTGAATCTGACAGATTTATTCTATTGATCTTCTATGGTTTTCTATTTCATATCATTATAATTCTGATGATAACACCAAGGTATTGCTTAAAAAATTTTAACACCTTAAAGTTATAAACTTATTGAAAAGTGGATAATTATCGGAAAAAAAAATATTTATAATAATTAGAAATATATTTTATAATTTAATTTATTAAAATTTCAATTAATTAAGATAAATTTTTATATTGTGACATTGAAAATTTAAGTAAAGCATATAATTAATTCATCAAAAATCTATAATTAAAAAGGCTCAAAATAAATGTGAAAATTTCCTTCAATCTAAAATTGCTCTTAAAAATAAATCCTATAGATATTCTGTGCTAAATTTATTTGTTTATATATGTAAGCTTAAGTTTTTATCTAATTTCTAAGTTTGATTTAAATTTTGTCATTTATTTCTATTATATATTGAAAAAAAATTTATTTTTTTATTCATTTTTAGTATTTAGGATTTAATCATCAGCAGGCATATACTCGATTGGAATTTCTTTTTTATTTTTTTTGATGTCTTATTCATTCTTTAGGATTGGTTAAATTTTACTTTTTAATATTTATAATCAGCATTCTAAGAAAGAATAATAATAAAATCGACTAATAAGAAATAAACTTGCTTGATTTAAAAAAATGTTTCTTAAAAAACATCTTTATAATTAATCATTTCTACCTATTTCAAAAAAATAATTTCAAGATTGCTACCTTAAATTTATACTATATGAAAAATAAATGAAAATTTTTCAAAAAAAATAAACCAAACTTGATTTTCTAATATTGACCTTTAAAACATACCTCATTTAATCTGACACCAACAAATATTTTATTAATATTTTACTATAATCTTTCTAAAATAAAAAATTTCACTCTCTAACTAAAATCAGCTTAGTTTATTCTAAACGCTACCCTACACCTTACTGAAATAATAGGTTGGCTCTATTTAACCCAAGCTTACAATATTATAAAGGACCATATAATTTAGGTCAACCAAATTTCTAATTTAATAAAAAACAATATATATAAACTAGCTCCCTTAAATGGAAATAGAAAGCTACTTATGGAAAAAGATTTTTCAAACCCAACCTTTACACTCTAAAATCTATTATTATTAACGAAATATCAGTTTCGTTTAATTCATAACTTAACCCCAAACCTTAGGATAACTTTACTTACACCTCTAAAATAGACCCTCAAAACACTACTACATGAATCAACCCTATAATTTAAAGAACAACCACAAAAATCTAACTTTGAATTTGAATATGCAAAATTTATGGTATAAAATTTATTTAGGTTCTATTTTTTATTTAACAATATTAAAGCAATTCTCTTATCAAATTTTATATATATATTATATATCAATACCGTTTGCATAAAATTATTTCGATTTAAACAAATTGCGTTAATTAACAGTCCTTGTTTCATCCCAATAACGTTAACGGTACTACAGACATATTTATACATTTATTCCAACCAATGCCCTTAGTTGATTTAGTTTAAACATTTATTTGTAAAAGTAATGTAGCTAAACTATTGATTTAATAAATTGACCTCAACCATCTTATAAATCACATTCAAAAATACCTTTCTAAAATGCTAATAAATAAAAAAAGAAGAAAAATTGATTCATTTCAAATAAAATTGGGCTGTATTATATAATACATTATAGGCTCTTCTTGATAATAATTTTAGAAATTCAGAAGGTTATAGTTGAGCATTCCGCTAAAAACTTCAGTAGCGAAACGATTTTGAAAAATTTAAAGTTACTTTAGAAGAAAAAGCTATAATTTTAAAGATTTCTAATTTTCTGGATATGAACTCATGTTGAACGATTCGTAATTATAATTTAAATGGTTTTATGACAATAATGTTCTGTTTTAAAATAATTCAATATAGAATTATGGCCAAAAAGACTGTTAGAAGCCCTTAATTAGAATCAATCTATTCACAAATTTCACATTTATTGGTATCTGGATTCCAAATGTGTGAAAAATAAGAAGGTTTTAAAAATTATTTTTAAGTTAGAGTTCCTATATCTATATCTACACATATATTATCATTCCATTAACATCAAGTGACTTATTTAGAATCAAATGAGTAGAAATAGTTACATTCCTCTTTAGTTAACATCGAGCAAGTTAAAGGCTTGCAAAATTCATCCCAATAACAAGCACATCGATTACAATATTCTGCGTCTTTATAATCAGAACATGAAGTAATTGTTAATATATCACAAGTTGATGTTGATTTATTATCAATACATTATTTACCATCTGAAGTTACAAGCCATCTACAGACACCATATTCTACTTTATCACAACTGGCAACACTAAAAGCAATTTTGGATGTTCTTTCCATGCATTTAACTCCTCCCTCTTTATTGTCAATTGAAGTAACATCTAATTAACATCCATTCAAACTATAACAGTAAATGCCATCCCCACTTTTGAAGCTATAGTCAGAACATTTTGTAAAAGCTTCACAAGCATCATTTAGGTAACTCCAAACACAGTTAAGTTGAGCAAGAACATTTTCACAATCATTTTCCCCAAATGATGAACAAGGTTTGTTTGAACATGATGATGAATTAGCATCCCAAGTACAATAATCACTTAAACAATCCTCTTATAATTTGGCATTTTCACAAGAGCATTGAAAATCCCTCATTATCAATCAAAGTTGTGGCTGAGTTTGCTATCACATATAGAGCAAAACCAATTAAAAATGTCTTGATAAGATTTTATTTGATTTAAATTAAGATATTTTTTGTTAATTAAATATAAGATTAAAGGATAAAAATATATACTCTAATAAAATATAATATCTTTAAGCATATTTCTCAAATTCCGAAAGAATAATTATTTTTAGTATAAAATTACAAAATATGAAATTGTCTATGTATTATTTTTAACTGTATCAAAGTATTCATTTAAATTTAATCATTTAGGATTATCAAATTAAAAAAAATGAATAATATTAAAAATTTGAAGATGGGAAAGCAATTAACCAAAAATCATTTAAAATTAATACAATTAATGTAAAATGGTTATTTAAAAAAGAATTACATTTCAAAGTATCTTCAAATATATATATCAGAAATAGTAGAAAAAACTAATAAATATATTGAAATTTATTAGTCAGTAAAAAAAGAGAGTTTATTTACTATGAACATGCTAAAATATTGATTTGAGTTTTTTAAAAAAAATTTGCTTTTCTGAGGTTTATAAAACATAATTCCTTTAAAATTAAAAATTTCTTGAGTTTTAGATAAATTTCCATTCAGATTTCAGTTTTTTATTATATACCGAGAGGATTATTGAAGACTGATTACAATTTAGTTATTTACGAAAAAAAAATTTATAAGAAATACCCTTAGATTGTGATTTGTTTCTTCGAATTTATATGATTATCTTAACCTTTATTGTTCTGAATTATTTTACCATCCTATTACAATTAATTTAAAAAATGTATCCTATTTCCAAGATTTCAAATTTTCACTCCTAACTTGAGATGTTTATTTACAAAAAGATTATTTTTAAGGTTAGTTAATAATGTTTTGCAGAATTCAAATTTGTATTTTTAATAATAGAGTTCAAAAATATTGAAAATAAAAGGAAACCTTAATTTTATGTATTGAAGTAAAATTAAAATTTAAATAAATTTTATATAAAAACTATTATCTTTTTATAATTCAATCTATTAAGTTCTTAATGTAATTTCCAATATATAGCACTAATGCTAAAAATAATGCAAGTGAAAAAAATTATCCTGTTTGAATATCTAATTTATTTAATTTTTGATTCATTTATTACTAAAATTAAAATGCAATGAATTAATGAGCTTAAAAATTCATTGAAATACTCCTTTCAATTATACATTTGTATCTGTTGTAGTATTTTGAGAGGAAAGATTTGCATTTAGGTCAACCCAAGTATAAATATAAATTTATCTCTAAAAGCACAGTAATTTGCAATACGGAAACCTAAAATAAATTTTAATTCTCAATCCCTTTTATGTTAAACATAAAATTATATTGCATTTATATTAAAATTAATAATAATGGCATAAAATCATTTAAAATAAAAAAAAGCACTTTTATCTCTTAAAAATGCTCATAATGACAAATAAGAGGATGCTTTATCAAAAAAACGGTACAATTAATGTAGAAATTTAAAATTATAGAACCAAAATTGAAAATGCCATAAATTATTTATTAATTGATGCTGTAGGATGGAAAAATCATTATCCTTTTCATAACGATGGTTAATAGGTGGTTCATACAACATTTCAAATTAAAATCACAAAAAAAAAAGAAAAACAAATCACTTATATTTAAGATGGATTAATTCTTAGGTAAAATATATGTATAATAAATCAAAAGAATAGAAAAGTTTCATCAAAATATCAACTTATATTTAAATTTAGATCAAATACAGTTCTTTTAGTGGAAGGGTTCAAAAGAGAACGAGACTCAATCAATAGTAAAATAGACTGGATGGTGGAATGGTAAAACAACCAATTTAGGAGGAATCTGTGATGAATTTGGTTATAAGATAGGGTAATGGATTGAACCTTGTGAAACTTATTGTAGGTAATTTTATTTAATTTAAATGTAGTCAATATTAAATGACCTATTCTGGAACTTATGGAAAAAAAGGGTAGAGAATTGGATAATGGATCTATTGGTATGAATAGGAGAGAATGTATTTACCTTAATTATTTTTAGAGGGGGAGGAAATTATGATGAAAATGGAAGAAAAACAGGGGAATGGTTCGAAATTCACAAAAGCTATGATCAATAGTAAGTAATTTACCTTAATTAAGTCATTAAGTCATCATAATTGGTTAGTATAATAAGGGATTAAAAAAAGGAAAATGGTAAGTGTTGGATGGCAATCAGATAATGTATATATTTTTTGAATATAATAAGTGGAGAGGGGTTTTATAGTGAAAATGGTCAAAAAATAGGGAAATGGACAGAACTATCTGAAAGTTTCTCATAGTAAAATTATAAAAAATAAATTTTATAAATTAGTTTTACAAAACTAATATTTGGTGGTGAGTACAAAAATGGATTAAGAATTGGAAAATGGTTAACTTTTTATATGGGAACACCTGTATGTAATTAATACACAAAGTAAAATTATGATGTTATGTATGATTTTTTATTAACATTTATTAGAGGAGGTGGATTTTATAATAAATTTGGGTTAAAAGAGGGGTATTGGGTTGAATATTATGAGGGAGGATATAAATAGTATTATTTTTTGGCTCTAATTTTAGTCGTGCTTCATTTACTATTGCTGGCGAATATAGAAAGGGTTTAAAAAATGGAATTTGGAGAACCATATAGTATATGGATGGCAAACAAAATATTGTGTAAATATTTAAAATTGAAATTAATTTAAATAGAGGAGGAGGTAATTATGACCAGAATGGAAAGAAATTTGGTAAATGGATTGAAATTACGGAAAACGGCAATTTCAGTTTGATATCTTAAGTAGGAGTATACAGATAAGGAGTTAAATTTGGATAATGGGATACCTATTTTCTGGGGAATAATAAAAAAATGTTAAAATAAATATTTAACTTAGCGGAGGAGGCTGTTATAATGAATAAGGTTTAAAATCAGGAAAATGGATAGAATAACATGAATAAAATGATGTATATAAAAAGTAAATTATTGAAAGATTTATATTAGAATAATCTATAGTGGAGAATATAATCAGGGTAAAAAATTTGGTTATTGGGAGACTGTGAAAAATGAAAATGATCAGATTTAGAAAATGTAAGTTGAAAATAATATAACTTTTTAAAGCCGAGGTGGATTCTACAACAATTAAGGATAAAAAATAGGATAATGGATTGATTTAGTAAAGGAAAATACTGATGAACTAAGTTATGTATTTAGATATAATTAGTATTAATGTATGGATGCTATAAAGATGGAGAAAAAAACGGCTAATTTACTACATTTATTTAGTCATAAAAATAAACTAAAACTCAGAAAATGTAAATCATAAATATGTATAAAAAGTGGAGGTGGCTATTATATTAAGGGTATTAAAGTTGGTAAATGGATTGAAATAAGTGAAAAATATAGAAAGTAAAGAATATTCTATCAATTTAAATAGCTTTGATTAAATTTTTCATATTGGTAGATATTGTGCAGGAATAAATATAGGGATATGGGAGACATCAAGAAATTACTAAAATGCTCATTAAATCATGTATTTTATTAATAAATAGCTTTAAGGGGTTTTGGATATTATAATAAATTTGGGATTAAGCAAGGAAAATGGATAGATCCTTGTAGATTTTCTACAAGGTATTTCTAATTCATATATAAAAATAGCACAAATTTAGTTTATATGGGGTAATATAGTAAAGGCATAAAAATTGGAATATGGCAATTCCAATTTTAACAAGCGAATAAGGAAATTATCATAATGTAAGAAATGGTTAAACTAACTTCTAGGGATTCTGGAACTTATAAGGATGGTATTAAAGATGGAAAATGGATTGAAATGCCACCAAGTTTAGGTACCGGAAGATAAATTACTGATCAAGGATGTTACAACAATGGTATTAAAGTTGGTATTTGGGAAAAGTTATTTGTGGGTAAACCAAATTTTTTTGATTTACTCTTTGATTGATATAATTTTAAATATTGATTTAACATAAATAGTTTTTTATCAAACAATAAATATGTATGAACCAAGAATATTACAAATTACCTTACTTAAAGATATAACCTAAAATATAGCAGAAAATAAAAAAAAATAACTTGAAGAGGATACATAAACTCCCTGATATTCAAAATATTAATGTAATAAATTATCTTATGATTCTTTAAAATTTATATAGAACTTTTTAGGAAAGATTTTCAAATCTATGGTCAAGGTTTGATCAAATCTTCAAAAATTGAATTTTATTTTCACAACTCATTTAAAATCACTTTTTGTCTTTAATTCATTTTATGAATTCCATTAAGTTTATGTAATAGTTTGTTTCAAATTAATAATTAAAATAACGATGAAACTTACAATATAAATTATAATTAATCATGCTACTTTTTCTAATATGAATAACTCTTGATAATAATCATTATCTAACTTTACAATTTAGGTTGCAGATAATGAAACTTAATTCTTAGCTATTGTTATGTATTGCTATTAATTTTCAATAACCAAAAACTTTGCTGATAATCTGACTGCATGAATTTTTTTGATATCACATATGATTATTATCTAAGAACACCATTATTCTGGACAAGATAATTTTATCTTTAACATTTCCTAATCAATACATTACCAATAGAAAATAATTGTTATAGATTCAATAGATTGGGCTATAGTTACATCCGTTAATAAAATTTGATTTTATGAGTAGTTTATTTCTTTAATTTTGATGTGAGAGTATCTATTTAAATTTTTGGATTTAAAATTTTAGATTACGTCAGACCATTAAATTTTGCCAGATAAAATTAAATATCATTTACACAATGATAATATTAAACTGAAGTAATGATAGAGTCAGACCCTAAAATTATAAAACTTGATTAAAAGAATAGATTTCAACAGTAACTTAAGAGGAATATGTTTTTTCAGTTAATAATCTAACATATTGAGTTCCAGTATGTTTAAACCCTAGAAGATTTAAAACAGTTTTATCTGGTCCAACCAATGGGGAAATCGACGACTTAATTTGAGCCAAGAGGTTAATTGCTTATTATTGAGGGGCCAATTAAAAAAATATTAGAATTACTCAATAATATCTGATATCCAAATTTTTAAGGCCTTAGAATTAAAAACTTATAGTAACAGTATCTGTTCCCAAAGGTAATCCCTAAATAAAATACATTTGTACAATTAAAGAGTTTTATTGAAATTCTAAAGCATAATAGCTAACAAAATTAGAGAAGGCAACATTTATATAGCAATTCTTTTAATAAGAATGGGTGTATTAAGTTTGAGGATTAGTTATATTTAAATTATTTATGACTTAGACTCTCTCATCATTAAATGCAAACCAATAAAACTAAACCTAAAAAAATTCTGCTGTTCTCTCATAGACCATCTTAAGTTTAAAACCTAAAAATTCGATTGAAAAATAATACCAGTTGTGGTAATACTAGCGAAATCTAATGAAAATCCCTAAGGAAATACCTTATTTGAATATTACGAAAATTATTGTAAAATTTAATTCATAAATTCTTAATAGCCTTTAATACTTAGAATTAAAAAAATATTTATAAAATTTTTGAGTTAGTTAAATTTTTTATCATCTTTTAAGTTTTTAACATTTAAAAAATGCCAAAATTTAAATCAACATACAGCTAATAATACAATTCTAGTGCATTTTTATTAGTAATCCTTTAAAAATGCGTGATTAATAAACTTCCTAATTTTGGAGAATTTCCTTTTAAGAATAAAATTTTGAAAAGATATTTAAAAATATATATTATGAGGATTGCAAATTCATAGGAATAACAACAAACATCTTGAGTATTTTTAGATAACCATAGGGATTATTTATCTGATAGTTTTTAATTTTCTTTTATTATATATAGTTAGGTGAGATAAAATAATGGTTTTGTTTTAAGAAATTAATAGATATATATCTCAATAATTTAAATTTCACAGCAGTGGCCTATTCTATATTATTTAAGAATCAAGGCAAAGGATTAATTAATTTAAATTTGCCAATTCTACCTCAATTACAATCAAATCCAAAATTTCACAAAATTTTACCTCCATCTTAACTTTTATCCTTAAATATTATTTTAATTTAATAACTTTAAACATAAGTAAGAGATATCAAATATTTTTTTTAAATAATGGATTGCTCTGATCATATTCAAAATCCAATTGTTTCTATATGTATTGCTCCTCACAAGTGTCAATTTCAAAGAAAACTTTGCGGTTAATGCCTTTATCACCATGGAATGGCTCTCATACAATAAACTATTCCATTAAATCAATTTCAAGAAATGGTTATCAAGAAATTAAAAGAATCTAATCTTTAAGAGACATCTGATTTGACTAAATAAAGAATTGCTTTTAAATCCATGCTATTTGAAAACGAAAATTTATTGAAGAAAATTTGCAACGATTTATCGGAATAAATTAAGGAAACATATGATTGGATTGAAAGGAAAAATCAATCATACATTAATATTATCAATGATAATACTAATCTAGCAGTATCCTCCTATACTGATATAGATAAATTAGTCTCCATTTTATAAGGGTCAACATTAAATGATTGGAAAGCTTAGAAAAATAAATAAATGATGGAGATTGATAAAATTAAGAATTTGTTAGACCAAGAAATAAATGGTTTTATCCAAAAGTTGAAGGAAGTATAAAAAGAGATTAAGTCATTAATTTAGTAAGTTTTTCAATTTTATTCTAGGGTTCAATCTAATTAAGAAGAAGAAAATTAAAAATGGAATGACTTGAAAATTCATGAATTGAATAAATTGGATGGCCATAGTAATTATGTCGTATCAGTATGCTTTTCCCCTGATGGTACTACATTAGCATCTGGTAGTTGGGATAAGTCTATTCGTTTATGGGATGTTAAGACAGGATAATAAAAATGCAAATTGGATGTTTGTAATAGCATTATCTTTTCAGTATGCTTCTCTCCTGATGGTACGACATTAGCATCTGGAAGTTCTAATAAATCTATTCGTTTATGGGATGTTAAGACAGGATAATAAAAATCAAAATTGGATGGTCATAGTAGCTGTGTGAATTCGGTATGTTTCTCTCCTGATGGTATTACATTAGCGTCTGGTAGTGGTGATAACTCTATCTGTATATGGGATATTAAGTCAGGATAATAAAACGCTAAATTTGATGGTCATACTAGTTATGTCAATTCCATATGTTTCTCTCCTGATGGTCTGACATTAGCATCTGGTAGTTACGATAAATCTATCCGTTTGTGGGATGTTAAGACAGGATAATAATAAGCAAAACTAGATGGTCACAGTAATTATGTGCAATCAGTATGCTTTTCTCCTGATGGCACAATATTAGCTTCTAGTAGTTCAGATAAGTCGATCATTTTGTGGAATGTTGAGACAGGATAATAAAAAGCGAAATTGGATGGTCATAGTAGCTGTGTGAATTCAGTATGCTTCTCTCCTGATGGCACAATATTAACTTCTTGTAGCTCAGACAAAGTGATCCTTTTGTGGAATGTTAAGACAGGATAATAAAAAGCAAAATTGGATGGTCATAGTAGCTGTGTGAATTCAGTATGCTTCTCTCCAGGGGATTCTATATTAGCATCTGGTAGTAGTGATAACTCCATTTGTTTATGGGTAGTTAAGTTTGAAAAATGAATCGATTATTCATAATAAGATAAAAATAATTTAATTTTTAAATGTCTAACATTTATAAATTATCATTTAATCTAACCTTTATGGTCTATAAATCTCAGATTATAAATATTATTTGTTTTTTGTATTTAAAAGTCCTTTTAGAACTTTTTGTTAATCAGAAATTTTTTTTTTAAATACTGCACATTTCTTTCTAGTTACCACTCAAAGTATTCGAAAATATACATAAAAATACATCATTCGTCACATCTATTTATAAGATTTTGTTTTAAGATAAATCATCTCAAATAATCTTCTATCTTATCAAATATTATTATTTACATTCTAAACATGCTTTTGTTCTTAATAAATGACTTTTTAGTAAACTTTCAGAACATTGTAATATACATCTTATAAATAATCGTTTAATAAATTCTCATAGCTAAATAATGTACTGATGTTGTTATAATTTCAGATATTTTAATCGAATCAAGGACATCTAATCAAATTAAGTTTATAATAAATCTAAATTGTATTAATTTCTTATTTTTGATTTCAAATTTCATACCTTTTTTTAAGATTCTGCGGTCAAGTCTAAAATCTATTAAAAATATTTTGACTCTCTAATTAATTTGATTCAAATATGTAATCAATTATGATTTATCCATATTAACTTAAAACTCAATTATTAATGTTAAAACTTTCTTAAATTTGAAATTACTTATTATTTTCTGGTCCATTAATCATCATAATTACCATCAATATCTAATTATTAAAAAGGATTTTTGAATAGTTTTAAAATTTTTAAGTAAATAAAAAAAATATTTTGTTTTTTAATAAAGTTTAATTGTATATAATTATTCATTTTCTTATTATTAAATGCTTATATTCTTTTATTGAAATTTAGCATTCATAACCTTAGTTGATTGCCATTGAATGAAACAGATCAAATTCTTAATAGAGTGAATTAAGCAGATTTTTTAGCGTCTTTATTTTCAACCAAAGCCTGAAAATGTAACAAGCGCAGAATTATTAAATTTCATGAATTGAAAATAGATCATTTGGAAAATAAATCTAAAGGATAAGATTTATTGGTATCGCAAGATTAGGCATAAAAAATACTTATCGATTGTTTTTTCACATAAATTATCCAGCTTTCAATAAATAAAAGCGTCTTTAAGGTATTAAATTCAAGCATTATATTCCATGTTCCGAGAATTTTTACTAAATTTGTTTTTTCATATAGTAATTGTGTTAGATGATGATATTCTAACACTAAAATACAAAATCCTTCCATTAAATATCCTGTATTAGGTGTAATCCCTATAAGCTTCTCTTATGATTTTATCTATATTTACGATAATGTCAAAAAATAGAGTAACAGCAAGGCATTTATCATTTCTTTTCTTAAAAATATGTATCATCAGTATAAAAAATACAATATAATACAATTCATTATAGAATATTATTTAGATGTGGAATAGGTAAAATTTTAATGATTTTAAAATTCAATTGAATACAAGTATGAAATTGTTAATAAATTTCATGTCGATTTTAAATCCTATATTACCTCCATAACAATTTAGAGATAAATTTCTTGCAATTGCTAGGAAAATAGGAAAGTTATTAAAAATATTATTGTATTTAATTCATTTTCTGGCTTATGATTTAGAAATTGAAATTAATTATTTAAAGATTTTTTGGGCAGCCCTTATTCCAATTATATAAATAACAATAATTTTTGCTCATATTTTAATAAACAGGATTATTAAAAACTTTAATGTTAAAATAGTATTTATATAGGCTTATTGTATCTTTTTAATGTGTTAATCTAAACCAAATATTATGTAAAAAGTAATAGTGATTTTTGTTTTTTAGATTAATAGTTGTTATTTCAAGAAGAAAAATTGTAAAAATTGATTGGATTAGTTCTAATTTATTATATTTCGATAATACAAAGTCAACGTCAAACTTGGGTTAATTTGTATATGGAACAGTAGCTACCTTGAATCCAAATTTAAAAAGAAATTTAAATTACTTAGAAAAATCTGGACTTATCTTATGCTGTGTAAATATCTCATTAAATATTTAAAAGTTGCATCGCATAAATATAATTATTCTGAAGTATTATATTTGAGTGAAATTTAAATATTATTAATAGTTTTGTTATAATTTATTATTTAGAGATATATTCATACATTTGTTTGGTATTATTATTTTTCTATTAACTACTTGTTGTGCTTTACAATTTTTCATGCAAGAAATCTTAAAATAAACTAACGATAAGTTAATACAAATATAATGTTTAAACTTCTTAAAACCAATAAATTATTAAGAAAAAAGCTCAAAAGTTATAAATAATGAAAACTTATTTATCCAAATCTAAAGGTTTATCTAAACTTATTATCTTATTTAATTAAATAGGAAAAAAAATAATCTAACATAAAGTTTACTCAAAAATTAAAAATAAAGTTGTTAAGATTAAATAGTTAAAAAGGATTAAATGCACTAAATTCACATAAAATAAGTAGGAAAATACTATATTGAATTATAAAAATGTTTATTATTAAATACTTGATATGTAAGATATTTTTGAATAAATTCGATAATTAAAATAAAAATAAATTTACTTGATCATTTATGAAATGAGCCAATAAAGTAATAACCAAATAAAATTGAGTATACAAATTCTAGACTAAAATATCAAAAAAATTTTATGAAAGATGCTTCTAAATTTTTTTAAAATGCGAAATATTATTCAAGATAATAGCTTTCAATAATCTAAAATTTATCTTCTTTATTTTGTGATTGACATAAATCACAATCCTTAAAATTATTCTAATAATTATTTATGTTTTAATTTGATTAATTCTACCTGGTTGGAAAAGATAATTATATCTTAATTGATCTCTTCAGGCAGATAAAAACTTCTCTTATTAAGTATAGTACCTTCTCCAATAATAATTCGATTCTTAACTTTTGCTTCTAAAAATTAAAATTTGAGAATTCTATATTTATTCAAATTAGAATTTTTAATTTCTTTTTTTGAGGGTTTTTGTAAATAATTAGAAATGATGTTATAAAAAATCTTTTGAATACAAAATTTAGACTTTATTTTTTAAAGACATTTTGAATTAGAAGTTTTTGTAAGCATTAAAATTGATTTGGCATAAATAAACTTATATAGATTTGGATAATGATATTTGATTTTTAAGCGTTAATGAATCCTGATTTCAAAGAAATTTTGAAATTTATGATAATTTGATGTTGATTCAAAAGAATCTTAACAAAGAGTTTACTAATTCATATAATCCTCATTAGATACAAATGTTCCTTTCAAAGANTTTAGAGATATATTCATACATTTGTTTGGTATTATTATTTTTCTATTAACTACTTGTTGTGCTTTACAATTTTTCATGCAAGAAATCTTAAAATAAACTAACGATAAGTTAATACAAATATAATGTTTAAACTTCTTAAAACCAATAAATTATTAAGAAAAAAGCTCAAAAGTTATAAATAATGAAAACTTATTTATCCAAATCTAAAGGTTTATCTAAACTTATTATCTTATTTAATTAAATAGGAAAAAAAATAATCTAACATAAAGTTTACTCAAAAATTAAAAATAAAGTTGTTAAGATTAAATAGTTAAAAAGGATTAAATGCACTAAATTCACATAAAATAAGTAGGAAAATACTATATTGAATTATAAAAATGTTTATTATTAAATACTTGATATGTAAGATATTTTTGAATAAATTCGATAATTAAAATAAAAATAAATTTACTTGATCATTTATGAAATGAGCCAATAAAGTAATAACCAAATAAAATTGAGTATACAAATTCTAGACTAAAATATCAAAAAAATTTTATGAAAGATGCTTCTAAATTTTTTTAAAATGCGAAATATTATTCAAGATAATAGCTTTCAATAATCTAAAATTTATCTTCTTTATTTTGTGATTGACATAAATCACAATCCTTAAAATTATTCTAATAATTATTTATGTTTTAATTTGATTAATTCTACCTGGTTGGAAAAGATAATTATATCTTAATTGATCTCTTCAGGCAGATAAAAACTTCTCTTATTAAGTATAGTACCTTCTCCAATAATAATTCGATTCTTAACTTTTGCTTCTAAAAATTAAAATTTGAGAATTCTATATTTATTCAAATTAGAATTTTTAATTTCTTTTTTTGAGGGTTTTTGTAAATAATTAGAAATGATGTTATAAAAAATCTTTTGAATACAAAATTTAGACTTTATTTTTTAAAGACATTTTGAATTAGAAGTTTTTGTAAGCATTAAAATTGATTTGGCATAAATAAACTTATATAGATTTGGATAATGATATTTGATTTTTAAGCGTTAATGAATCCTGATTTCAAAGAAATTTTGAAATTTATGATAATTTGATGTTGATTCAAAAGAATCTTAACAAAGAGTTTACTAATTCATATAATCCTCATTAGATACAAATGTTCCTTTCAAAGATTACATTTTTAAACACATTTTTTTGATGCGATCCACTTCATATCAGCTGATTAAACACTTATTTGATCTTAAAAAGGATTGTCTGAAAATATGCTATCATATTAATTTTTGGAATAACTATAAAAGTATTTATTTATGCAAGATCACACTGCAAAATTAAGATTATGCAATTTACTTTTTCTTACAATTAATAAATGAGACTTACAAATTAATTCTTTTTTTTGACTCAAAGCATATTATTAGTTATTAATCAATAATAAATGTAGCTAGTAAATTTCTTTGAACTATCCTCTATAGTTGCTTTCATGGCTCTAAAACAAAGGATTTTTAAAAAACAATAATAATTTTTATTTCTAATTTAGGATAGCTAATCAAGATTTTTAACTTCTCAACTATTAGCATATTAGAAATTTTTTTTAAATCAAATTTTTTATATTCTTTCTATTACATTAATATCTAATGTCATAGTTTTTAATTCTTAAGTTAAAATTCAAATGACTTTTCTATTAATTAAATCATTATCTTTTTTTAATTATGTTCTTTGTAAAAGCACCATCAAAAGTGATTGGATCATTTAAGTAAAAAGCATAAATCTGTTTCCAAGAAATTTAAAAAGAAATAGAAGTAAACTAATAGACTTTAATTATAGGCATCCTACGATAGAATAAATGATTCTATTGATAAAAAGTTTGCACCATCTGATTTAAGTGAAGCTTTAATATCAGCGTCACCCTTTAACATACTATTTAAAGAAATACCTTTTAATCTGAACGATTTAAAGGATGAATTAATTAAGGAAATTAGACCAAAAATTGAGGCTATAGTCTCGATAGAAGTTTAAAAGAAATAATAATAGACGAATGATATGCATTTAATATAAATTTAATAAATTGAATAGAAATTTAATAAGCTATAAGATGAAAAGCAAAAAGAATATTATTAAATGATAAAGATGAAGGAAGAAGAAATTGAACAAATTTAAATTAATTAATAAAAATACTAGGTAACAACTTAAAGTCAATTTAAATTCTAACTTATAGAGACTAATTCTATCAAATAAATTGATTATTGTTGTGCTGTAGCTATTAATAAGGATAATTCACTTGTTGTAGCAGGGTGTGAAAAAAAAATTAAAGTATATGAACTTAAACAAGGGAAACTCCATTAAATATAACTTTTAACTGAACATTCAGGTAGAGTATTTACATTGAACTTCATGAAATAATCAAATCATTTTGTATCTGGTAGTGCCGATGATTAAATTATAATATGGTAGATGATATAAAATAATTAGTGGACTTGTTAATAGAAATTGAATGGACATGCTAGTTTTATTTGGTGTTTATTACTGAATAATAATGAAGATCTTATTATTTCTGGTAGTAATGATAAATCTATTAAATTCTGGGATAAATAAAAAGGATGGTTATGTTAATAAACCATAAGTGATCATACGAATTCTGTTTTATCAATTAGCTTGAATACATAGTAAGATAAATTGATTTCCTGTTCTTATGATTCATAAATATTAATAATTGAAAAATCATAGAAGGAGAAAACGTGGAAAACGATATAAAGCATAAAAGTAGATAAATGGGGATCTAGATTGTGTTTTACTGATAACAATTAATTCACATTCTAACCTAATTCTAATGAATAAATGTATGTATATGAGATAAATGGTGGTGATAAATAATTTGTTAAGACCAAAGAAATTAAAGTATATTCTGGATCAAATGGCTGTGATTTGTTCTTTGTATAATAATTCATAAAATAGAAATGTCTATTAGTGAATAAGAATGGTTTTTATATTAATTTAATAAGAAAGAAACAAAATGGAGAGTTTATAACTGAACAAAAAATTTAATTTAATGATAATAGTATTTTTGGATCAATCAGTGAGGATGGATAGTATTTGATAACATGGGATAGGAATTAAAAGGAGATTTAAATAAGAAAATTTCATGAAGGATGAAGAAATTGAAATATTATATTAATATTAAGAAATTATTCATTAATTAATATATTATTTTATTGTAGAAGAGAAATTTAATTACGAAAAGTAGTTTATAAGTGGAAAAATGAAGAGGTGATTCAGGAAAGATTAATTCCGATAAGAACAAAAATTTATTTATAAAGTTCGAGAAATCAAAAAATTAAAAATTTGGAGTAAAAAAAATGATGCTAGAATTAGAAAATTTTTATTTCAGATCAAAGAAGTTGGCAATTAAAGACCGTATCATGATCAAGAAAATCAATCTAATTACAATCATGATATGTATATTTGCGTCGTTTGGTTTTTTAGGTATATAACCTTAAAATTAAAACAAAAACTAAGTCTTGCAATACATATCTATATCTGCTTTATGGATAGCTTAACTTTGGTGTTTATTAGATTTTTATTTAATACATTTTAGATTTAATACGATTAAAGGTATCATCAACTTCAGAATATGAACAACAATCAACTCCTCTAAAACAACCTGACTTTATAATCTAATATTTGCAAAATTGTTTGATACATCAAAATACTTTACCCTCTTGATTTATTTTCTAACTCTTTTGATCTGAAAATATCGATATATTAACTATAAATAAATAATAAATTAAAATAAATTTTATAATCAATAGTCTTGTTATTTCCCTTCCGATTCTGATGCTTCTTTTTTATTTATTTAATCCTAAAAGGATGTTGTAGGATTTTAATCTTTAATTAACAGCTATAAAATTGTATATACACTGGAGATTACATGAAACAATAAATTAAAGAATGAATATATGTTCAAATTTAAGCACTTATTAATAAATAATTTCTCCAATTTCTATTATTTTTCTAAATTTTGTTTAGCTTCAGTTCAATTTTATAGTTGAATAATGATTCTTTAAAATTCTACGATGTGCTTTATATATTAAATATTCTACATTACTAGAAATGTGATTAATTTTTGATACTTTTAAGTCATATCTATTTATTAAGAGATATTTCGACAATTTTTATCAATTTTCAATCAATTATAAGTTTATTTGACTTTAATAAAAATTAAATTTATTAACCTTTCTTTTCGAAATGAATCTTTTTGTCATCATACAATATTTTGATTTACTAGAGAAAGTATTTGAAAAACTTAACGACCAGCTTGTTTTCAAAACCGAGCAATAGAATTAAAATCTCTTTTTTTGATATTAATTTCAGAGTTTGGGACAGAGTAGAAAAGAAAAAAATGAAATGAATTAAAATTTCATATAGACCTGTTCGATGATTATAAATGGGAAGATTGCTGCAATTAAAAAGTATGATATGCAGCTTATCAGAATAGATGACAAAATAAATCTCAGAGCTTTAAGAATTACAAAGAATTACAATTGGTATCAAAAAGTTTTCACAGCCATTCACATTTAATTAAATAAATAAGAACAACTATTAGTTCCATTTATCCTATAAGTCATCTCAAAAACATTTGTTTCCAAAATCTATTACATACCTTAGAGCTGAAAGTTACAATAACAAATCTTTTGAGATCACTCAGTTGGTGGAACTAAAATAGAGTTAAATAATAATGTAATAATTAGTTATTGACATTCCTAAAAAATCAGCATTGACATGTAAAAAATTTTCATTCACAGTTAAATGATCAATTCTGTATAATTCCACTAATCTTACAGAAATACTCAGCTTACAATAGTAGTGAGGTGAACTATTTGGATTGAAACAACAGTTTCAGTTCTAGATACTGAATAATGTATAGACATAAGAGAAATATAAGAAAAATATTAAAAAGTCAAGCAAGTGAATTAAATTGATTAAATTTAATTAAAATATGAACAGGTAAACAATGAATACCAATTTCTTGATATTCTTGGGAAAATTAAAATTGGATTAAATTAATTTAATAAACTTTTAATAAATTTTAATTAGATTAAAATTTTGCTATTAGTCTTCTTAAAATCTTTTAATCACAAGGTATAAACAATTATTAAACTCTTTAGAAAATGATAAATCTATTACAATTTGTTAAAAATTGCTATTAGTAATTCTCCTAATTAAATTCACTGCTTAATTTAAATGATTATTTCTTCAATTTCTTTAAAAATGGGTTTTAATTTTTAGATTGTTTCAACTAGATTAATGTCAATTATATGTAATTTTAATAAATTTCAGCTTAGTCTGATGACAGCAAATTAAGAATCCAATTAAATTGATAGCTTGAGTTTGAGAGAGTATGCATTTAAAATTCAATCTCTATTTTGTTAACTTGAATTTCTGGTCGAGTTACACTATCAATTATATTTTATATTGAATTGCTATTACTTTATTTTGTGTTTAATATCATGAATCAAAAAGTCTCTTATGTATTAATATACTTCCATATGAGATTAACTTAATTTGTAATTTTTTTATCTTCCTAAAGCCTTATATTAAATCTAAGAAAGTATTTTTGAAGCTTTAAAATGTGTTTTTACATCGATCAAAAGCAATTGATTGATTAGGCATCATATCTTTAATTCTAACGTAAATTTCCCTAAATTTAAAATCCCAGTTTTATCAAAAACAAATATATTTATTTACTTGATCCTACTTTACAAATGAATAAATATTTTAATTTTAAAGTCCTCCGATATTATTTCCAATTTTGATTTTCATCTCTCAAGATATTCTATGATTAAATTGAATGTAGATGTATTTTCTATTCCAATTTCTATGATTTCTATTCAAACATATATATCATTCAGGTCGAATCTAATAGAGAATGATCTTACATTATTTATTTAATTAAAAAAGAATGTATGATTAATTTTTAAAATAGATTATTCTATTCATTTATCTAAAACAATAATTTATAATCATACAAAAAGTTCTAAAATAAATTTAAAAGTAGCTTGAGAAAAAGGTTCTAACTTTTATAAAAAACCTTTTTTCATATGACTTATTGTAAAATAGAATAAATTGATTTAAAAAAAATCTAAATATATGAGAGAACAAAGTTTTTGTACATTTTTATTAATAAAAATGAATTTCTTAGATAATATAGATTAATTATGTATTGATCAAATGATTTGCGAAAATTAAAATTGTGTAAAGAAGCATCTAAGATGTCTAGCAGGAATATGCATTGGATTTTTGAAGGAACTTTGCAAATCTTAGGATATTTGCGATCTACTTCATATTGAATTAGGAGATTTGCAAGATAACTTTGAAAAGGTGGCAATAAATGGCATTTATTAACACAATTTGTGTTAAAAAAAGTGCAGTAATTAATCAATTTGCAGATTCTTACACCCAACTTGGTTGAAAAATATATGTTTTGATTGTCTAAATAAAAAAAAATGTAATAAACAAATAAAAGGTTTATGGCATTTAAGTAGATGGATAGATATTCAAGAAAATGTATATTCAAAATATAATGTAAATGATTTGAACCCAGAGAAATTTGAAGCTAATAAAGATTGTTCAGAAGTAGCTATAAAATATAATCTTGATAAATATTGTATTAAATATTTTAAAGGAATATGTCCTAATCTTAGATGCTTAAAAGCTCATAAAAATTGGGAGGAAATAAAAGAAATAGGAAATTTTAAAAATTTAGAAGATTAAATTATTAAACCTTGTATAAAATTAGATTAAAATTAAAAAAAATATGTTTAACAATCTTAAACACTACAATGTCCTGTTTTGATGCAAAGGAATCAACTTAAATTANCTTTACAAATGAATAAATATTTTAATTTTAAAGTCCTCCGATATTATTTCCAATTTTGATTTTCATCTCTCAAGATATTCTATGATTAAATTGAATGTAGATGTATTTTCTATTCCAATTTCTATGATTTCTATTCAAACATATATATCATTCAGGTCGAATCTAATAGAGAATGATCTTACATTATTTATTTAATTAAAAAAGAATGTATGATTAATTTTTAAAATAGATTATTCTATTCATTTATCTAAAACAATAATTTATAATCATACAAAAAGTTCTAAAATAAATTTAAAAGTAGCTTGAGAAAAAGGTTCTAACTTTTATAAAAAACCTTTTTTCATATGACTTATTGTAAAATAGAATAAATTGATTTAAAAAAAATCTAAATATATGAGAGAACAAAGTTTTTGTACATTTTTATTAATAAAAATGAATTTCTTAGATAATATAGATTAATTATGTATTGATCAAATGATTTGCGAAAATTAAAATTGTGTAAAGAAGCATCTAAGATGTCTAGCAGGAATATGCATTGGATTTTTGAAGGAACTTTGCAAATCTTAGGATATTTGCGATCTACTTCATATTGAATTAGGAGATTTGCAAGATAACTTTGAAAAGGTGGCAATAAATGGCATTTATTAACACAATTTGTGTTAAAAAAAGTGCAGTAATTAATCAATTTGCAGATTCTTACACCCAACTTGGTTGAAAAATATATGTTTTGATTGTCTAAATAAAAAAAAATGTAATAAACAAATAAAAGGTTTATGGCATTTAAGTAGATGGATAGATATTCAAGAAAATGTATATTCAAAATATAATGTAAATGATTTGAACCCAGAGAAATTTGAAGCTAATAAAGATTGTTCAGAAGTAGCTATAAAATATAATCTTGATAAATATTGTATTAAATATTTTAAAGGAATATGTCCTAATCTTAGATGCTTAAAAGCTCATAAAAATTGGGAGGAAATAAAAGAAATAGGAAATTTTAAAAATTTAGAAGATTAAATTATTAAACCTTGTATAAAATTAGATTAAAATTAAAAAAAATATGTTTAACAATCTTAAACACTACAATGTCCTGTTTTGATGCAAAGGAATCAACTTAAATTAATGATAAACTCAATCGAATAAAGACCATAAGTGGACATAATATTTTTATTAGATTGTACAAACAGCATGGGAAAATGGATGGAAGCTTCAAGAAGCAATATCACTTAAATAATAGCAGAATACAGGAAAAAGGTATAAATCAATACAGCAATGAGAATAGCTGCAGTTTGTTATAAAGATTTTTCAGAAGCTCCAAATCATATTCAGTATCATGATTTTACTGTAAGGCCAGAAGAGATTGAAAATTTTATTAGTAGAATTTAACCTTTTGGAGGTGAAGATGTCCCTGAAGATTTACAGGGAGCACTTGATGTAGCATTGAAATTAAATATTTGTAAACATAGCGCAAGTCTTTTACAATTATTTATTATTACTGATGCTCCTTGTCATGGAAAAAAATATCATAAATGTGCTTATGATACTAAACCAGAAGCCTAAGATTTAGAAGAAAAACTACAAAAATTTGTTAAATTAAAATCAAGATTTTTTCTAACTTTCTTACAAATACATGAACAAACTTCTATTATGGAAGAGGCAATGAAAAAAGTAGTAGATAAAAATTTCTTAAGTGCAAAGATAACTGAAAAATCATTTTCAGATTATATAGTATTCTCTCTATCATCAACTTATAATAAATCAAAATCAATAAAGGAAAATAAAGAATATATCCATGTATCTTAAGCTATTTACAAAAAATAAAAACCAATGCCCTACATTTATAATAATTATTAAAATTATTAATATCTTGATACATTTAAAGAACAAATGCAAAGTACTTAAATAATTAATTAAACTTTGGTATTTATTGAAAAAAATGAATTAGAAGTAGATAAATAAGGAGTAACAGTAAAAGTTTTCAAAGGATTTGATTAAAAAAATAATGTTCACATCGTGATCAAGATTTTATAAGATATTGTTTTGAAATATGATAATAACTAACCTTTGTCAGAAAAGGAGATTCAAGAGGCTGAATAATATTCAGAATAAAAATATTTGTAATAATTGATAGCAAAACAATTAAGTCATCATTTTAATTTTGGTTGTCATTAGAAGCAATTAGATTATGTTCCAATTTATTATGCAACTCCGTATTTGTATGAATTAGAGAAACCTTTTAAAGGTTTGAAAAAAATATACGGAGAAAGTTTAATTGATATTGATCAAAATTGGATCAAGTATACTAATAATGGAGAATATTTTAATTAAGACTACAATTTAACTGTTTTCTCTCATTTTACTTACTAATACACTAATTAATAACTTATAATAACAGATTTATAGGGAATATCAAATATTTTAACTGATCCTGCAATTCACACAAATGATTAAAGAATTTTTGATTAAACTAATACACGAGACGAAGGGTTACTTAGTTTCTTTTTAGGTTAGCATTATGAATGTTCAAATCTATGTCGATAGTTATAATTAAATCCAACTGAAATTTAGAAGAACCAGTATATCAGTAATAATCATTAAGATTCTGATGCAGATACTCAACTAGAAGTTAATTTCAATTAAGAAAATTTATTCAAAATTTGTGAAAACTGCAATGTAATGGAAAAATTAAAAAACTTATAAAAATATGAAGAATTATGCGATTAATGTAAAGAAAAATAAAGAGATCTATAAGATATTACTTGTAAATGTTGTCGTACAATTTTTTAAGTCTCATATAATTTTGATTAGTTATTTGCAACTGTCCTAGAATATTGTTAAGATTGTTAAAAATAAGGATGTCATCTAAATGAAGAAAAGATGTGTTATTATTGTGCTAAAAAATTATGCTATTAAACAATTAAGTATGTAGAATTGCAATAAAAAAAGATTGGAATATGTAATGATGCATATTTCTATTTAAAATAACTTAAATGTAAAAATTGTACTTAATATTACTGTTTTAATAGATTATTAAGCGAAAAGGATTACCATGCAGGTAATTTCTTTTGTGGTTGCACTTTCTAAATAAAGTGAATATATATTAAATTATTAAAATTATGAATAAGATTCAATCATAAAGCATTTATTCTTCAATTTAATGAAGAGTGCTTTTCTATAATTCATTTTCTTTTTTAATTCGATTTATAATTAGATCAGATTCTTTTTTCCAATCTGTAAAAATAAGACTCAATGTAAAAAGTGTACTTAAAATTAAGTTTGATATACCAAACCCTTACCAGATTCCTTTAGTTCCATTTCCAAGTCCCCAATCATAAGCAAAAAAAGAAACAATAGGAACACAACAAACAAAATAAGCAAATAGGGTTGAATACTATATATTAATTAAAAATGTAATACCTAAACTAAATTGGCTTTATTGATTCCTTTTAATGCACCACTTAAAGTACCTTACATTCCATCTATAATTAATGAACCAGCAATCATCCAAGGAAGTGTTTCTCTCATAACATTTTTAGTTTCATCTGCAAATTCATCCTGATCACTTTCTGTAGTGAAAAAATCAATAAATTCATCTTAAAATACCCATAATAAAGAAGCACATAAACTACATGTTATTAGAAAAATAAGTATTCCGACAATAACATATTATTTTGCTCCTATTATATTTCCATATCCCATTTCAGTACCAACATAAGACATAATTGCTATTGATAAACTTATTGGCAATCCTTAAATTATATAAATAAGGAATTACTAAAAAATGTTCCAGATACAGTTTGAAGTGCTAAATGAGCATTTACTGATGGAGTATTTAAACTTAATGCCACAAAAGTTAATAATACAAATATAAAGTATGCACAATATATATGAACTAATATTGGCATAGAAGTTTTGCAATATTACAAACCTAATTTTTTAATTCTTGGTATATCAGGCAATATTTTGATTCCTTAAAATATTTTTTTTTTATATTCTGTAAACTATATGAATACTAAAATTAATTAAATAATTTTTACATATTATTCCAATCATATTGAAAATTTCTGTTAATATTATGGCAAATCCTGCTCCTGGAATTCCCCATTCAAATTTCATTATAAATAACCAACTAAACAACCAATGCAAAAGCAAAGTGATAAAATGAATTATAGCAAATGGATATGTTATTTTATATGAAGCCATAAATATTTTTATGCTTTCAAAAATTATTGCTAAAATAATGGCTGGAATCAAAAACCATAAATATTACCATGCACAATCTGCTATTTCTTCTCTTCTTGACTCTTCTACTATTAGGCTAAACGGTTTTTTGATTGCTATTAAAATTCCTGAAAATGGTATTAGAAACATCAACATCACATATAAATTAACATTAAAGAATCTCTAGGCAAGTTAGTGTTTTCCATCACCTATTGCTTATGCTGTATGCATATTCAAAGATTAATTAAATCCAAATCCAATTGGTAATACAATTATGTATACACAATTCAAGGCAAATCCATATCCAGCTACATCAATTGATGTCATTCTATAATATATTTTAAATTTACCCTTTGTTAATATAATGTAAAGTAACACTCACACAAACATCCAAGCATACATAACCAAAAACTGTCTAAAATGTACAAACTAATAAATTCCAAAACATCCTTATTAATGAAGGTTTATCACTTTTATCTACTTATATCTCACTTACAGTCTAATGATGACAAGAAAGCATTGTATTAAAATTAAATTAAATTCTTTTATGAAAACGATTTATTCAAATTTAAGTGATTTAAAAAGAAACAATAATAATAGGTCACAATACTATACTATATTAGATAATTTTAAACTATTGATCTCAAATAATTCTAAAATTTTTATTTTATTCATATTGCAAAATATATAATTCTCACATTTGTAAGTATTGTATCATATATGAATTACAATTATAATCAATTTGAGATATATTTTTTACCAATTTTATCTCTATTCTCACCTTAATATCAATATCTCATATTAACTATTATATAAATATAAATAAATTTTTTTTCAAATAAAGCTAATTAAAAAAATATAAAAAATTTATTTTATATATTAATAGAAATTAAAATGAACTAAATACAAAAGGCATAATAACATCCTGTTTAGTTAACTGATGAAGAAAAAAGGTAATAACAAAAAAAATATTATGATACTTTAGAAAATACTAATAAAACTTTAAAAGAAGAGAATTAGAAATTTAAAAGTGATATTTAGAAACTTTAGGAGGAAAACAAGAAGTTAAGTGAAGATTTAAATAAATTAAATTATGTTTACAACGAAAATATTCAAAAATTATCAAATTTATAATAATAATAACAAGTTTTAGCTACATAATCATATTAATTAAAATAACAAGAACAAAAACTTTAAGATAATGAAAAGGAGATAACACATCTCAAAAAAAAAAAAGAGGAATATGAAAAAGAAATTCAGAAATTATAATTTAATCAATAAATTTGGGGAGATTTGAAAAAAGAATAGGAAAAATTATAATAAGAGCTTACAAATTACTAAAAGAAGATTTAAAATTTTAATGATACAAATTCTTAAATCGTAAAACTAATAAAATAATGGGATTTTAAAAAAAATAATTCATAAACTGCTTTGGTGCAAGAATGTCAAAATCTATTAAATTTAAAGGATTAAGTGTAATAAAAAGATAAAAATACATTTAAATGTTGCAAAGGAGAAAATATTATAATAGGTTGTTAATAAAAGAAATGTTTTTATCATTTAAATTGCATAGATCAATAGTTAATAATGAATGAAGAAATAAAAATATCAAATTGTGCTTGTGGTGATCCATTTTCTTACAATATATTAAGAAAATCAAATTAAGTATTAGCAAAATACAAATTAGAATAAATATTAGAACGTCAGGTAGCAGATTTATTATTAAAATATTAAAAAGAAAAAGGATATACATTTTACAAATGCCCTAATTTATTTTGTAATTTTTAATGGTTAAATAAATCTGCAGAAAACAGTTTAAATATAGGCTAAATATCATATTGTTTAAATTGTTAAGTGAAAGTACATTCTGAGATAGAAACAGAATGATTAATATAAAAATATAAATATAATTAATTCGGTTTATTAAATGAATGAAATTTAACCAGATGTATCAGTTCCTCATCCTTCTTGTTCAGCTGATATTAGTAGTCTACATTAAGTGAGTTTAGAATAGGCATTTGAACATAGATAAGCTAATAAAGTAGGGAGACCAAAATCTTAAGGAAGGATTTGTCATTGTTGTGGTTTGCGGATTGTATAAATATATTGATAAAGGAAAGAGAAAATTTTAATTTAGGAATAGCTAGTGATTAACTTGGATTTTTAGGTAGTGGTTATCCTTTATATTTTGATTTCATCAAGTCTTGTTTAACCATTATTGCAATATAATATATAACAGTTGGTAATTTTTAGTTAATTACTCATATTTAAACTTTGTTTGAATTGTCTGAGACTGAAGAAAGATTACAAGAAAAATAAGATGTTTTATGTTTAACTGCCTTATATTTTACTATGATCTATTTAATATACTTTAGACATAATTAAATTAAATTAGATAGTTTTTGCGACTTAAAATAAACTACTCCAGGAGATTATACAGTTTTATTTTAAGGATTGCCTTTAGATTTATCAAGAGAAGAATTAGAATTCAAGATTAAAGAAGAATTTGAAAATGTTGTTAAAGTTTGCTTTATATTCAAATAAATTATTAAATAAAAAAAAAACTAAAGAATATTTTTAGATTAATTATAGGATACTTATTTTGAATAAAATTATTTTTCAGGTAGTGCTCTTGTATCATTTAAATATAAATAAGACAAACTTAAATTTTTAAAAAGAGCCAAATAAGATAAATTTAAATATTATTTTAAACAATTATTACATTTAGATTTGAATAATGATGGATATGTTAATTTTTAAGGGATTCGTTTAGCAGTAAGGTAAGCACCAGAACCTACAGATATAAATTGGAAAAGTTTAAATGAATGGATAGAGTTGTCATAATTTAAAAGAATACTTGAAATATTTATCAATTTTATATTGTTGATATTTTTATTAGTGGCAACTTGCACAACAGAATATAAGAAAAATAAAATGATATCATTTAAATCATGTTTCACACCTTTAATAACTATCATATGTTATTATTTTTTTCCAGAAATTACTAAAAGAATAACATTTCGAAAATATATATCCTGGACAGAAACATAAAAAAGCTAATCCTTTAAATTGACAATTTTTATGTCTTTATTTACAATCTATGTAGCTAAATTCATTGATGGAGAATTGTTTTGGTTATTTGCTTGGTATTTAATTTATGTATATTTAGTAATTCATTTCTTCCTCCTATTTTTATATTGCTTAAAATTTAATAGTAAATAAAAAATTATAAAATAAAATATTAAACATAACCTATAAATTAAGATGAATTAAATAAACTTTATGAACTTTAATAACATAATTTAACAAGAAATCATGCTTACATTAATTATACTATGATAATCACAAATATATATGGAAATCTTATGCCTATAAATTCGATTCTGTCATTTATAGGATTGGGTTTATATTATTGGGCTGATAAATATGTTTTATTGAATCATTCAACAGTTAAATATCAGCCTTCATCAAATTTATCTCTTGAAATGTTTACATTAATCTCATATACTCCAATTATTATATCATGTTAACATTTTATGAATTCAAATGAGAACACTATTTCTTTAATATAATTGATTAGTGCATTTATTTTTTATTTAATTCCTAAAGACTTAATAATTAATAAAATTTGGAAAACTAAAAGAATCAAAGAATTTTCTCCTTATGATGAATCACAATTTAATTCTTGTTATGATAGAACTAATCCTGCTTTATAAGATAAAGCAATACATAATTGGGTAAATTAATAAAAGAAAGCCCATTCTAAATAAAGAAGATTAATATATTTATTAGATGAAGAATAGAAGGCAAAACATAAAAGAACTTTAGAAAAATAATTAACAAAAATATAGAAATAGATTGGTTAACTTGAAGCTTAATTAGAACAAAAATAAACTGCTAAATTAATAACATAATCAGATTAAGTATCTTAAAGTATTAATTAAGATATATCAGAAGACTCTTGAATAATTGACATGTGTAAATATTTGTAAATTATATATTGAACTTTTTTAATGTAAAACTATGTATAATATTAAAATTGATGGACACGTAGCTAAGAGATGAACATAAATAACTTTTAGAGAATGATCAAAAGTAGATGTTATGTTATGGGACTTCAGGCTTTAGAGAAAACTCTAAGTATCTTAAATTTGTTGGTTGGAGAGTGGGAATATTTATTGGATTAATGTCAAAGAATACAAATTTAAAATTAGGAGTTATGATAACAGCATCTCATAATAAAATAATTGATAATGGTTTTAAAGTAGTACCTCCATAAGGTGGAATGCTTTCTATAGAAGAAGAGTAGAATATAGAAATATTTTATAAATCTGATGAAATAGTTAAATAAGAAACAAAATATGATAACGGAATAGTGTATGTCGGAAGAGATACTAGACCATCAAGCGATTCATTATGTTAAATAGTATTAGAAGGAATTAAAGAAGCAGGAGCAGTTGGAATCAATTTAGGAATTGTAACAACACCATAATGTGCATTTTTAGTATATGCTACGAATTTAGGATTGATACAATAAATAGAATCTAATTAATTATTCTTTGTAGAATACTTTTGCAATATCTTTTTGCAATTAGTTAAGAATTCAATTGAAGGAACTTTAATTATTGATGGAGCAGAAGGTGTTGGAGGAATATGGATTAAAGAATTTTAATAAAAATTAACTAATGTTTTAACAATTAAGAGAATTAATTATGGTGATGAACCACATTTATTAAATGAAGGATGTGGTTCGGAATTTGTTTAAAAAGAAAAGAAATTACCTAAAAACTTTATATATGATCCTAGTTATAGATATGCTTCATTAGATGGTGATGCTGATAGATTAGTTTATTAGTAATAATTTAATTATATCATAGTTATTTTGATAATAATAAATTATAAATAATTGAAGGAGATAGATTTGCTATACTATTTGCTATGTATATAGAATAAGAACTTAAAAAGAAACCTAATTTAAAATTATCTATTGGAATTATTTAAACTGCTTATGCTAATTCTGCATCAACTAAATATATTACAGAAAAATTAGGAATCTATGCAAAATATGCACCTACTGGAGTTAAATATCTTCATAGAGCTGCACATGAATTTGATATTGGAATCTATTTTGAAGCAAATGGACATGGAGCTATTATTTATAAAGATCATGTTTTAAATTAACTCAAAGAATTCTAACTTTTTGAACTTGAATTATTTTTAAAATTATCAAATTAAGCAGTTGGAGATGCTATTATCAATATTTTAATGACAGAATTCTTATTAAATAAATTACAAATGAATATTTAAGATTGGTTATTAATATATTAAGATTATCCTGCACTTTCAACTAAATTATATGTAAAAAATAAATAAATTATAAAAACAAATTATGAAGAAACATCTTTAATTGAACCAATAGGTAATAATCATAAATAAATAAGATCTTAAATAAAAAGTAGATGAAATTATGTCAAAATTTGATAAATCATATAGAACATGTATCAGACCAAGTGGAACAGAAAGTGTAGTCAGAGTACATAGCGAAGGTCCTCAAGTTGAAATTGTTAAAGAAATAGATTTTAGAATTAATGAATTGCTAAAATCATATATGGAAATATGATATTTATAATATTTACAAAATTACATAATGAAATTAAGTTTTATTATTATTTATAACTAATTTGTTTAGTTTCTAATCTATAGCTTACTTAAAAGAGATTATACCTTAAGTTTATATAATTTCATTTCTATCAATATGAAATGAATTTCATAATCTATAGAATAGAAAATATATTATTTCTTTAACTTAAATATGAAATAAATATCCATCCTTAATTATATAACTTATTTAAAGTTGTTTTATTGTATATGAATATTTACTGCTATTTTTTGTTTCCAAACTATCTCTCTTCAAAAGGCATTTGAATATCTAATATTAATTATTTTTTGTGATATCTATTCTAAATGATTTCCCATATTCATAATACAGATTTAAATTTCATTTTAGGATGAATGAACAATCTTTTGTTCTATATAGATATGAATTTAGTAATATTCTAAGGGATATGTTTAATTAATAATATTACTGATAGAAATTAATATTTCTTTGATTATTTAGATAACAATATGTCATGTACTAATTTTAATATATATTTTTGATTTGTTATTTCTTTCACAACTACTTCTCTTACTAATTAATTCTCCCTATCACTATAGATGATTATTTTGTATTTTTAAATTGTATTCTAATAAATTATTAATTAATTGATTTGCAAATATTTTTTGGAAGAAGATAATTATGTTATAACAACTCAGTCAATTATTAATATAATAAATAATATACTGAATGATTCTAATAAAAGAGCTTTTATGAAGTACATTATCATATTTCATCATAAAATAATTAAGTAGTTAATTGATAAGCAATTAAATTATTCATAAATGTATTATTTATAACTCCATTTTTAATAAATTAAATGAGAAAGAATGAATATGACTTATATGTGGATGATCAAATCCAAGCAAAAAAATATTAGTTAACCATAAAATGCAAATATCATACAACAGTTTTTTAATTAAAGAAGTATTTCTACAAAGGCATCAGAAAAAATTTCGAAATAATTCATAATGACATTACTCTAAAAGAATCATAAACAATAGATGAGATTTTCTCTAGATATTGTTAAAACACTATTAGATTATGTGTAAAATCAGATCCAATGATTGATGTATTGGTGAAACATTCGATTCAGTATTAAAATATACGTAAATAAAAACCAATTTCAGATGAGGCATTAAGTGATATAATAACAAAAGAAGTTATAAAAGTTAAAGATTCAATGAATGTATAAGATGTATAAAATGAATTGGACACACTATCGACTACAATTATAAAAAAATGTACTAATTGTTGTATCTAAAATAAAATGATTGAGAATTATGAAAGTTCTATATCAAATCTATTATAAGAAAATGAATAGCTATAATTAAAAATGATATAACTAAAAGAGTAGAGAAATATTTAAAAATAAAAAGAATGTTTATAAGTAAATAACGATAGAAAACTAAAAAGATCATGATTATATCAATTTTTTCATCATATTTGTAAATTCTACTAATGATAAAGCTCCATCATGATTAGCATCAACTTCATTCATAATTTCTATCCATTAATCATTACCAGTTAGATTACATTTGAATGCTTCACTCAATTCTTCAACATTTATATTTCCAGAAGCATTCTATAATAAATTAAATTGAATAATAATACTCTATCAATTAATTTAAATGCAGTTTCTATCTTAGACTTTTATAAAATGGCTTATTTATCAATAGCTTATGCTAAAAATTATGAATATGATAATGTTTCATCATCACCACATATTTTATTAGCTTATCTTTCAACTGTTTCAGAATCAAATATTTTAAGCATAGCTTATGATAATTCTTCAATATCAATATAACCATCATTTTTAGAATCAATACTAGTAAAAACTTCTCTTAATTCACTTAATTCTTCTCTAGAAGCTAAATATAAAACTATTAATTTAAGAGTTGCTTCTTATAATTTAGATTAACTTTTATAATTAACTAGATTTGTTATTACTCGTTTTAATTAACTATCAGTAACTTAAAGTTCATAATTCTTAATTATCCATGGATCATTTAATGCTTATTCAATTGTCATTCTTTAAGTTGGATCTTTATTTAAAATTTTCTTAACAAATTCTCTTGATTCATTGCTATTCTTATTCCAATCTTATTCATCAAAAACGAGTGGTTTTTTAAGCACATTATCTAGAATTTTTCTATTAGTATCTCCACCAAAAGGAGGATATCCACATAGTAAAATATGTGTAATTACTCCTATAGCCCAAATATCAATAGATTCATTATATCTTTTTTATTATATTTCTGGTGCTTAATAATATGGGTGATTAACAGCACTATGCATTTTATGAGATATCTTTTAACACATACCAAAATCAATTAAAATAGCAGATGCAAATTCAGAACTTCTTTCAAGCATAATATTTTCTGGTCTTATTTCTCTATGTGCAATTCCATGAAGATGACAATAATTAATTGCATATAATAATTATCTAATAATTCTTGCAGCATATGCTTCAGAGAATACTCTTCTTTCTTATATTTTCATAAACAATTCTCCTCCTGAATAAAAATCTGTAATTATGTAATGAAATCTGTCATCACTGTAATATTCATTTATTTTTAAAATATTTGGATGATCTAATTTTTCTAGAATATTGACCTCTGCTGAAACTCTCTCTTCTTCTTTCTCCGTTGCATTCTTTTATACAATTTTAACAGCTCTCATGATTCCAGTTTTTTTATTTATAACCTTACGTATTTCAGAATATTATCCCTTACCAATAGGAGGAGTCAAGAATTAGTATTCTGTACTAACTCTTCCTTTTTTTTTAATTAATAGATTTAATGCTAAAACTGTAGGTTTCTCTATTTTATTATGATATATTCACTTACATTCTTATTTCCTTTAATAATCTTAATCAAATTCTGCTTAACTTTTCATCATTTTGTTTCCCATTTTAATATTAAGATAATGTTTGTAATATTATTTTATAATAAATTCATAATGCCAATCATCACTTCTATATTATTAAGTTTTATAGTTACGCTACAGGAAAGAATGAAAATTGTCACAATCCCACAAACAATCAAACAACCCCCTCAAATAAAATATACAAATACCAGTTATTGTTGCTGCTAAAGTATTACCTAGCAACCACATTCCACAACTAAATATATATAATATAATTGCTTACAAAATTAAAAACCATCCTTTCCCTATATTACCTTCCAAAAATCTAAAGTATTTCAGAATAAAATCTAATCGAAATTCAGCAGCTATTATCATCAATGCAAATAAACTTGATAAGATATCTACTACTATACAATTAATAAATCATGAATATCCAATTCCAAAATGCAAACAGTTCTACAAATGTTACAACGTCAACTATAGTTATTGCAATGATTGCACATCCGCATGCAATATTTACATATCTGACAATTGTTTTTAAAGGTGTTCCTTATGATGGCTAACTCATCTTAAAATATTTAATTAAATTAAATATTATTTCAATTAAATTATTCTCTAACCTTATTGATGCATCCTATAACTTTCTCTCTTAATGTCTTTATTGTCAAGTTAAATCCAGCTTTTATTTTGAAATCTCCATCCAAGTATCCTCTTATTATTAATTTCCCTTCCTTTTAACTTATTCTCAAACCTCCCAAAATTATTTTACCCTCAACCTACTATTACTACCTTAATTTATTATAATTAGACATACACTTTATCTTAAAATTAATCCTCTAATCTTATTGATTTAAAAACTATGTAATAATCTTCATTTAACAACTCTATATATTTAACATATGTAATCTATTATTTCCTTATCATCAAATGCTTATTTAATTACAACTCTCCAATAGATATCTGTTCATTTATTGCTTATAATTTGTACTCTTAAAACAAATCAAACTCAAATAATGAGTTTTAACTAGACCATCTTAGAAAATTATTAATCTCCGTATTCAAATCAAATTAAAACCTATATTATAACTATTATATAAACACTTAATCTGTATAAACATTGCTTTCTTCATGAAATAATGAGAGAAGTACAATTCAATATTATTTAGATTCTAAATAAAAGTATCACTGTCATCTATAATATCAACTAATTCTGTAAATTTTTCCAGAGCCTCTTAAGCATATACAGTTAATTCATCAATCTTTATTGATTCAAAATTTATGAATGTTAATATCTCATTTTCTATTGAAAATTATTACTATTATTATTATTAAACTTTAATATCCTAAAACTATCTTGCTTATTATTTTTGAATAAATTTATCTTCTTCTTTTTGTTAAACTGTTTAGTGTATTTAAGGGGATCTTACTATTGATAATTATTTATTAGAAATTGTTTCTAAAGTGAGATCATTCTCATTTTTCTCATCATTTCTATCAACTTAACTTAAGGACTAATCATTTGAATGACTAGGATTCTGTGATATACCTAAATTGTGAATTTAATTTACTTATTTATTATACTTATATTTTTCCTTAGCTTTCCTCTACAGGATTATTAGATAGATTCACTAATTAATGTGAAGTCACAGTAACAGAAGGTTTACTTCTTAGAATAATAAAGCATTCTTTGCACTTAGCAAAAAACTATCCCATTTTAAGTTCAAAGTTGATATTTTTATTATTATAATTTTATGTATTATTGTAATGATTCAAAAATTACACTATTTTGTATATATTATTTTAACTTCAATGAATATTCAAAGCGATTATTTTAAAATTATCCAAAATGCTTTTATCATTATAATGACCTATTACGATTTATTAAGAAAATATTTAATCTTTTATAAAATTTAATAGGTTCTAAATTAAATATTATCATAACATCATATTTCAAACGATCTTTGTTTTCCCAAAAGAAACGGACTTAATATAATTTCAGAATCACTTCTTTTATTACTTTAGCCTGTTCCTAATTTAAGTATCGAAATATTATTTATTAAAGGTGATTCTCCTATCATCTGTTAAAAAATGATGGCATTCTTTTTTGGATAATCACTAAATTAATAAAATTTATACAAATAGTCTTGTTCTTTTTATCTAGGATCAGTCTTAAATTTAAGTCCTAAGGATCTTAAATAAACAACAACTCGCCTTTCTATTTCTAATTGTTATATGTTATCACAATGAAATTGTGGTAATAAACTATCTAAAGATTCTACTGATTCTCTTGAAAGGTCTTCAAGAATTTCTATTCTAGATCTTGTCAAATCCTCTCCTTTTATACCATATTACATAGTTAGGAATCAAAATATGAAATTTGTAAAATAATATGATAAGAATTTCTTATTTATATATAATGGTCAAAATTATGCTTCTAACAACTATTGGTCCTATAATTCAATTACGTCATTAAGATTAAAATAATCGAAAATACTTAGGTCATCCTCTAAATAAGATATAATTCTCTTAATTTCAGGATGCCAATGACTAATTTAAATTAAAAAGATTTACTTCTAATAAGATGCTATTTCAATAAGTTAAGCTTCACCTTATTATAAGAATTATTTTAATGTGATATGCTTTTTAAAAATATTGAAAGTTATTTAAGCTGCTACTAATTATAATGAACATGTTTCTTTAAGACAAGCTTTTAAAATAGATTAAATTATTTTAACTAATGTTTACATTGGTACTTTTGATGATTTTGTTGCTACATCAATTAATTTAAGTAATTTTGATTTTGAAGAGCATTCAAATGCTCCATCAGTAACAATAATTTGTATCAACTATTTGAATATAAGTATAATAATTTACTCTATCATAAAAATTCTCTAAATTGTAATTAAATCTTGTTATTAAAATCAATAAAGATTATAGAGAATTTATCTTTAATTCTAAGTTTCCATTGTCTACACAATTCTATAAAAAATCAGCCAAAACTAATGGATTATCTACTTTATCAACCAGATGAGTATTTATTAATTTTGAAAATAACAATCTTTCTTAATCATTACTAATCTTTGAAAGTTGTTTTTAGATAAAAATAGTAAATTAAGCTTTATCTTTTAATTCAATTTCTGGAAATCTTTTTAATAGCATTATAAATTTATCGAAATCAAGTGTGATATATTACAATACTTCAAAATAATTTGAATGAATTGGAATGTCTATTCCCTTTTCTACAGATACATCAACAAGTCTAACATATGGTGGACAATTAATGGTTTACTCAATATTTAATAATAAATCACTATAAAAGGAATGCTAGAATAACAATCTTAAGAAGACACTCCATTTGACATTCAAAAAATTGTCTATTTAATTACTTTCATTTTATTTATTATTATTTTTAAAGTTCCATTAATTCCATTCTGATCCATATGATATAACAAATAACTTTTTATCTTGCAAATATAAAAAAATCCTTCTTAAAGTTTATACTAATTCTTAAGTCATAGGCATAGACAATAAAGAATTCAATTTGTTTAAATTTCCATCCTCAATAATCTCACTTGCTAATTTAAGAATAACCATCAATTAATTTTATATAATAAAATATGTAATAAATATTGAATGAAGGAGGAAACAGAAATCCAAAATAAAATTAATTTGAATGGAGATCGATCACTCCTGAAAGAGAATTTGGTTAAATGTTACAAGGTAAACCTTTGATAACAGAACCAAATGAAAATAAATAAACAGCTAAATCTATGAGTTAAGAAAATAACATCAATAATCACGATTTCTAATAAAAATACACTAATTTAAATAAGTTATTAATACCTGATAATTAATAATAAAAATTTTAGAGACCTTTAAATTACATGTAAACTTCTCTTAAAAAAATGTCAGAAATTGGTTAACAAATCAATTCAATCTTACAAAAATTTAAATAAAATAGAATCCATAGACCTTAATCAGATCTAAATATGTTTGATAAGCATTCTATGATGAAAAAAACTAGTTAAAACGACATTAGTCTATCAACTAATTTGAATTTAAATCATAGTTATATTGATAATCGTGGCACTGAAACTGAAAGATCATATTTTTAATACAAAAATTAAAAAGATAATGGAAAATAATAGTAAAATAAGGATTCAAAGGATTATTAATTCCTATTTTAAAATAGCAATAATTAGTTTTAAACAAATTCTTTAAAAAAGATAATTGAAAAAAAAATTGCTCTAGCTATGCAAACTAATAATAATAATAACTTATATAATGATTACAAAAAGTAAATTAATAAAGAATCTAAATAAGATAGATCATATAATATTCAAAAATATATAACAAATAAATTCTTAAGAAACTCATCTTGTTTATAACCAAATGAAAAAAGCGACAGAAAGAATAAACAAATGTCAAGTTATTTTTCATAGAATCATTATTCAAAAAGTTAATCATCATTTTTAATTGAGAGAGAAAATAGCAAATCTGAGAATACGACAAGTCGTAATAACAGAATTCGAGTTTCTAGTTATATAAAGACTCCTACTAAAAATAATAGTGATTTAATTAAGCAATTTAGTCCTAGATTTATTTCTTAGCAATTATCTTCATATTAAGTAAGTTCAAGCAAAATAAATTCATTATTATCATCAATGAACAAAGATATTGAAAAAATAAAAACCTCTAATAATAATAATATCTAAAATTTGAATATTTATCATATATAGGCAATACCATTATTTTTAAGTAACGATCCAAATTAAACTCATGTAATTGTAGGATGTTCTGATTTAACAGTTCGTGCAATTAATTTATACTCAGGTAGAATTTAAGTATTGGGGAAACATTAAAAACCAATCAAATCAATTACTAAAATTGTGATATAATAAAATTATAAGACTTTCTATTCTTGTTCTTTAGATAATTAAATAATTCAGTGGGTAAGTGAATCGATGCATGGTACTTATCGATTAAAACATTCTTGGAGGATGGATGAAGTTCCTTTATAACTATACTAAACTGAGAAAGGTGTATTATATATTGTAACAGCCAATTACATTTTCTATTTTTCATCAGTTACAAAAAAATAAATAACATATCATGGTGTTTTTAATTGCATGATTTAAACATCTAGTAATATTTTGATTGCTATTGATAATTTCATTTACAAATTATAAGCTGACTCTTTGTAATTAGTTTGCACTTCAAAGAAACCTATAAAAAATATGATATATGAGGAAGGTTTACTTTATGTGCTATAAAGAGATGGTGCTTTATTAATATATGAAGAAGCAAAACACCTAAAATTTAATTCAGAGATTGACATTGGAGCTATGAATATCTTTAGCATGTAAAATGGTTATATAATTATTTAAACAAATGATAGTGAATTTATTGTTTATTCTTAACAAATAAGTAAGTCATATCAAATAGATGGTAAAATCAAATGTTTGTTAGCCTTACAATAAATGTTATTAATTGGTAGTAATAAGAAATTGGTAGAAACCCTAAAATTTTGAATATTATTAATAAGTTTACTTTATAATGAAATAGTTATGTAAGTATAAATCTTTTAAAATATTTTCCTAAAAAAAGAAAAATAAATTAGTAAATATTCTAAAAATTATAAAAAATATTTTCTATTAAAAAAGTTACAAATGTTAAGAAAGCTTTTGAACAATTATTATAATTTATATAAATAAATAATTCAAGTTAGTTATCTTTCAATTAATTATTTATAAATTCCATTTTTATCAATTAAATCTAAATGTTTTCCTTGTTCAACAATCTATCCATTTTGAATAACAACAATTTTATTAGAATTAATGATAGTTGATAATCTATGAGCAATAATGATGATTGTTTTTTATCCTGTTTAAACTAAACCATCAATTGCAGATTAAACTTAGAATTCTGATTCAGAATCTAAAGCACTAGTTGCTTCATCAAATATAAGTATTTTAGGATTTTTAATTAAAGCTCTTGCAATAGCAATTCTTTATTTTTATCCTCCAGATAATTTAACTCCTCTTTCTCCAACAATAGTATCTAATCCATCTGGAAATATTGATTTATTAGAAACAAATTCATAAGCATTTGCTAATTTCATTGCATTATCAATATCCTCTTATGTAAAAGTATCAACACCATATGTAATATTTTCTTTTAAAGTTCCAGAGAATAAAGTTGGTTCTTAAGCAACAAATCCTATTGATTAATGAAGCTTTTATAAATTGTATTCCTTAATATCAATATTATCAAATAGTATTTAACCTTCATTTGAATCATAAAATCTCTCTAATAATTAAACAATTGTTGATTTTCCACTCCCACTTTATCCTACTAATGCAACAACTTCTCCTTTTTTAATCTCTAAATCTATTGATTTCAAAGTAGTCACATTTAATTTAGTTGGATATTAAAAAGTAACATTTTTAAGTGTGATTTCTCCAGTCACATTTTAAGAATCAATTGAACCATTCTAAATTTTAACTGGATGATCCATAATTTAAAATATTTTTTCAGAAACAGCTGCTGCTGATATCATCTAATTCATCAATCCACTTACAGCTAATAAAGATACTATTTTATTAATATATATCTTACTTGTCATTGTTAATGTATATAACACAAATGAACTTAAATCTCCTATTGTTAATTTATCTTCAATTACTAAGCTTCCTCCATAATATAAAATAGATAAAATCACTGCATAACCTAACAAAATTCCTATTGACATAAATTAACTTCCCAAAATTGCTATTCTATTTCCTATTCCATATACTTTTGTTGTTGCATTTCTATATTAAAGTCCTTCCTTCTCTTCTGTTGAAAAAGATCTTACTATTCTCATGTTTCCCAAAACTTCAGATGCTATCTATGTTGAAACTGCTACTGCTTATTAATATTCTTTTGTTAATTTTTTATATGTTCTCACAAATAATATTACTATTATTGTAAATGGTGGAATTACACAAAATAAAACTAAAGTTAGATTCCAACTTATAAACCATAATAATACTAAACTTCCTATAAATTACACTGCATTTTTTAATATCATTGATATTGAATCATTTGCTCCTTTATTTATTACAGATATATCTGAAGATAATCTTGAAATCAGTTCTCCTGATCTATTTGAATCAAAGAACTCTATATCTTTTGTTATCATCTTTTAAAATAATTCATTCCTTAAGTCAAATGTTATTTTTTCACCTAATATATTATATGCGTAAGCCCTCAAAAAAGTAAACAAAGCTGATACTATTGTTAATATTATGAAATAAAATGTTAATTTATTTAGATCTTCTTTACCATCAGATTTTGTTATTGAATCTATCATTTATCTTATATTATATTTTTTATATACCCTGTTAAATATGGAAGAGCCACCATTGAAAGAGAAGTTACTATTAATCCTAAATTCCCTAAAAATAACAATAATTTATGCTTCCATGAATATCGTATTAATCTATAAAAACTAGAACCTTTTGGTTTGTTTTCAACAGTTATTTCTGGTTCTATTGCTGTTATACTTTTCTTTTCCTCTTATATTTTCTAATAATCAGCTTCGATTATCATTTTCTTTTATATTTTATTCATGTTTACTAAATAATTGATTATTTATATATTAGTGGGTGGAATTCCAAAAATCCAAAAAGAAAATTTTTTTTTTAATATTTTTAATAATTTTTTATTAATCTTCATATTCTTAAATCCGAAATCATTTTCGAATCTAAAATAAGGCTCTTATTTAACTTATTTCAATCTCATAAATTTTTGGACTTATTAAAAATTCCTCTTATTTTTTTTACAATTATTTATTGATTACTCTTTATTTAATTCTATTAGAATCATTCAATAATTTCTAAATTGCCCATTTTACTTTAATTATAAATTTAAAAGCTCTCCACAAAATCTTAATCTAAGGCAAATAAAATTCTTCTTTATTTGGATTTAACTAACAACTTCCTGATATTTTATAGCAATAACTCTAATTATAACAAATTTTCTATTTACAATTTAAACCTTTGATTTAATATCATATTCCATATGAATCACTCGAGTCATAAGGGTTTAATTATCTTCCACATAATCTCTTCAATTATTAATTTAAATAGGATTGAAAACATTGCGTTCTATTTAAGTAATTCAATCAAGTAACTATTACGAAAGAGAATATTTTTTTAATATATTTAATATATTATATAGATCATTATCAATAGTATATAGAATTTAATTTTAATTATTCTTAAATAATTTTAAAAATAGTAATTTTTTTTCAGATAACCAATTTAATCAAAATATTAAAATGGATTTATATTCTTGTTATAGTCTTACTAGATCAATCCTATTTTTAATAGATAATTTTAAATATATTTAGTTTATATAATAATATGTATCAGAAGAATAATTTAAAGTCAACATTGTTTTACTACAGATTTAATTTTCTATTACATCGTGGAAATCTTTTTGTCATCTCTTTATTTTTATACAAATAGATTGACTGGGCTCTTGGTAGTTATTTAATCAAAATTAAAAGATTAATTGTTTCTTTTTCTTTTAAATAACTGTTGTTATGTTGAATTGGCAATTTAAATAGGTTATCCACTATTAGAATTTTGTGTAGAATTTGTTTGATTAACATTATTGGTAATCAAGAGTTAAATGTTTAATTATTTCTTTTTAATTTGATTTTCTGATCGATTTAATTTTCCATATTGATTTCCTGTGTTTTTTCCAGAACCCAATTCAAAAGTTTTATTAGTATATTTTTGTTATTATTTTCTAATTTAAATAGATTTAAAAGGATATTACTAATTTAAATATACTTCTGCTAATTAGTGATTAACCCATTTAGGAGAATTAGGTTTATATTTATTAGTGGTTGAAATAGATCTTAATTTCCTTTTATGTGTTTTATTTGAAGTTTCATAAATCTAATACTCTGGTTCAATACTAAAATTGGCATTTTTAGTATTAGAAAATTATTATTCTTTCATAGATCGAGTTCTGCTTTTCATTCCAACATATTTAGCTTAAGATTAGAAATGGATAAATTACATTTTCTAATGATTGGAATAACAAAACCACATTTTTGTGATTCAATGACTGGTTTAAGTAAAACAATTTCAAAATTGCCTGAATCCATTTTCATTTTAGCATCTTCATCAATAGCCTTTGAATAGATAGAATATTGATACTTATTTAGAAATGTCATAAAATCTATTATGAACATTGAGTAATTAATTAATTAAGGGTAAATCTTTTGGTAAATATAAGTATGCAATTTCAAGAGCTCTAGATAAATAATTTTCAGCCTCACTGAAACAAAAAGAATCATTTTTTGAAACAAACTTAGACTCTGTTGAAGTGCAATACAATGAAATAACAAATAAGCATATCATATGTAAATATTATTGATTAGTAGGAAAGTCCAATACATGTATAAAATTACTAAGATTAACTGGATTCATCTAAATGAAGAACAATATGTTGGCTCGATGAATGTATGCTTATGGACATCCAGAATACACTAAATCGTAACTCTTTAATACTAATCATTGTACTTCTTAAGTTGTTTGAGTAGTTTAAATTTAATAACTCTAAACTATATTTTAATGTTTTGGTTTTAAAATAGGGATGCTCTTTTTAAGTATCTCTTCAATTACTTGTTAGTGTATTTAACTCTGTAAGTATTTTTGAAGATCAATTAATATTTTTGAAGATTTTCTTATTGCCATTTTAGCAAATGCTAATGCTTCAGTATGTTAGCCACTCTCTGAAAGGATGATACAACATTATAAATAACAATTTAGACGTATCATTGAAAGGAGATACCCTTCTTAATCTGTTCTGGGAGTTTTTTTTAAAGCTAAAATAGCATCTTCAAAACAGGTAAATGCTTATTCTAACCATCCTATAGCATAAAATACTACACCCAAATCTATTCTAATCATTAAAAAATAATGAATTAATGGATTAGAATAAGAAATGGCAGTTAGTATTTATTCTGCTTATTTTAAGTGATATACACATTAGGAATATTGGTTGGCTTCAAAGTCTGATATACCTAATTGAATAAAGTCAATTAACTATTATTCTGCTTAGTCTTCATTAATTCTAAGTGCTTTGTTGTTCCTTTTTTGATTGGCCTCTATCATAATTAATATTAACTTTACATCCTTAACCATCATCATTATTGTGTATAATCTCTACAGGTTAAACTTAATCTAAAATTTACTGAAGGATATTTATGTCTGTCGAAGGAGGAATAGGGTTTTGTTTCTTCTAAACATTTGAGACTAGATTATTTAACAACTTTGGAGATTTCAGTTCTTGCATTTTATTATAATAATTTACTTTATATAATTTTATAAATAATGTTAAAAATTACGTCTTGTACATTTAGATACCTATCTAATATATTATTTAGTTTCAAATAACTATTTCTAAATCTTTTTTTATATTTAATTATCATTATAATCTATATTTACATTTCTAAATCTTTTTTACATCATTATATTTAACTTCTTGTATAATATTTTTGTATTTAATTTTAATGGGATTTTTTGAATATTTCTTTGGAAAAAAAAAAGAACCAGAAAAATAAGTTAATTAAACACAAGTAGTTGTTTAATAATAAAAATCTTAAAAATAAATTGAAGAAGAAGTTTATAATAATTTCATTATCTATAGAATTGGATTTATGCATCTATTCTTTAATATTTGGTATCCCCAATCTGGAATATTTCTATATCTGAATTTATAGATTAAAACTGCATTATTTTTGATGATGAAGAAGAGAATAAATTAGAATATTAGGCTTTATTCAAAAAATATAAAAGGCTGATGGCAAATCTTATTGATGAAATGATGAATGAACTCGGTGTAACAGAAGAATAATTTGCTTAATAAGTAGAAAAGGGATTGAAACAACAATAAGATAAATAATTATTTGAACAATTGTTAACAATAGATAATTTTATGGTCTTCAAAACATAAATGATTAAAAGAAATAAAGAATTAGAATTAGAAGCCTTATAAGAAATTAAGAAGTAAGATCAGAAAAAGTATATGATTCATCCATTTTATTAGAATATCAAAGAAATAAATTGTGAATCCTTAAAATGATGCAAATATTAAATTGCTTTAAATAGAGGCAGAAAAAGCTGAATTAGAACATGCATTATAAATGTCCTTAGCAATTCAAGAAGAAAAGAAAAAAATGTTAACAGAAGAAGATAGACAACTATAAGAAGTATTAAGACAAAGTTTAATTGAATTTTAGTATATATTTTATTTATTCTAAGATAAGGATTAAAAAAATAATAAGAGGCTTTAGAATTGAAAGTTCAAGAATTAAAATAAGCTAGAAAAGATTAAGAGTTACAAGCACTCACTTTTGAATAGCAATAAAAATTATTATTACAATAATAATAATATTAACCCAATTAAGAAAATGTATAATAATAAAAAGAAAAAAAATAATAATAAGTAGATATCAATTCAGATGGAACTCCTACTCCACTTTTAAAATCAGTAAAGTAAACATTTTATTTAGGAATTTCATTAATAAAATCCTTATAATTAGGCCCCTACAATGAATGAATTTTATAAACTATAAAATAACGATAATCCAATGCCTTAATAAGGAAAAGAAGTATAAAAATAAGAAGTTCCTATTTTGTAATCAAAAAAACTAGATAAATTACCTAATAAACCAGTTTTACCTTCAATCTAAGCCACTTAAGCTTAACCTATTATTTAATAAGCTGATTCAGTGATTTAATTTGAAATGGATGTAGCAGAGGATGATGTTAATGTTAAAAAATCAGTTATTGCAAATTTAGTATCCTAAAAGTCTACAGAAATTAATAATGTTTAAAAAGGTGAAAGTATAGAGGAAAGAAAAATTAGATTAATCAAATAAAGGGAAGAAATTAGAAAAAGAAAAGAAGAAGAAAATAAAAAAACTTTAGAATAATATAAAATAGAACAAGCTAATGTATATATTTATAATGTCTTTTAGGAATTAAAAAATAATAAATAAGATGAAGCTTTTCAAATTTAAAAAAAAAATACCTAAGAAGAACTTTAAAGAAAAAGAGAACTATTAGAAAAAAAGAAAAATTAAATCAAAATGTAAAAAGAAAAAAATGAATAAGAACAAATTTAAAATTAAGAATTTGATGTTGATTTGTTATGAAAATTAGATAATTCAAAATATTTTTTTTGGAAATTTTTTTACATTATTTTAGTTCTTTCATCATTTCAGTTTTATTAAAAAAATATTGTCATGTAATTTAATAAAAATTAACTATAAACAATTATATATTCGTTTTATTAAATGAATTAACAGCAAGAAGAAGTAGAAATTTATGATGTCCACAATTCTGATAGAAATTCGGAACAAATTAGTAAATCCCTTTTTTCCACTGTATTTGCTATAATTTACAACTTCAGTTGGGGAGCGCTGTTTCTTATTTTTCGACATTATAGTAATTAGTTTTTGGTTTTAATTAAGAGATAATGCTGATTGCTAGTTGATAGATAAATGGTCGTTTTACACAGAGATTGTATTTTTTGCTATTGCTGCTTACAAATTGTATTTTATATACTAATGTTAGATTTATCGAATTACCGATTTAATATAAGACAAATGAATAATGGAAAAATTAATTGTTTGATATTGCAGACTATTTAGAACTGTTTCTTAGCATAGTTATTCTTATTGGATTGACTGTAAAGAAATTAATAATTTTGTTACTAGTATGCTTATCTCTAAAATGAAGAATGTTATCATCTTAGAAAGTTCGTCTTAGGATATTTGTTTATCACATACTTAATACTAATGATATGGTTGATTTCATTCATATTTATTCATTGCAGTAGAGAAGAATTTAATCGTAATTCATGATAAAATTTAATATATTTTATTTGCATTTAATATTAATACCATTTTAATTTTATTTTTAAATTCCAATTTCAAAAAGATGTTAATAGAAAATACGTGAAATTTATTTTTCTAAATTTCTCTCTTTCCTTGATATATCACAAATAAATAAATACTATAATTTCTGATAGAATAAGTATGAAAGAAAATATTAGCCATATGTTAACAAAGAGTAAATTTGATTCAAAAACTCTTAACCTTTTAGTTATTAGTCTTGGAAATATTTATGAAATTTTAGAACAGAATAAAAAATTATAACTTAAGTCATTTGAAAAAGATGTTAATCTAAAGTTAAAGCAATTTTAAGAGTAACTTTATGAATTATAACTGTTATGTTAAAAAAATTAAGGCTTAATGTCTTTTGTCAAACATGATAAAACTATTATTGATATGTAAACTTCAATAAAATTACAATTGAACAATTTAGAAAACTTAGTAAAATCTAAATATAAATCAATTAATTGTGATTTAGATATTATAACTTTCAACAAATAGGTCTTTCCTGTTGCAAATTATATTAAAACTTAATTACTATTTACATTAAACCATCCAAAATATTCACCGATAGAAATAATTATGGAGTTTCTAATTCTTGAATCTGTTAAAGTTCATGAATATTAAATGATTATTTAGCATAAGTACTTAATTGAAAAATACTTTCAAACATAGGAAAATTTAAAATAAAAACTTAGTATTGAAAATGAAAAAGCACTATTTACACTAAATTATGATAAGGTGGAAAATTAATTGAAATTTTTAATTGAAAATGATCCATATATCATAACTTCTAGCCTAAACTAATCCAAAATTTATTTATAAGAAGAAATGTTGTTAATATTCAATAATTCTTGTGAGCTTAAAGTGATTACAACTAACACAAAAAATATCAATAAAAAGTAGTTATCAAGTGATAACCAAAATAGTTAGCATATGACCCAAGAAACAATTAAAATAAATGGATTTGGATATATTAAATTTCAATTAGTTAACTTACACATGAAAAATTATGAATTTTATCTTAAGGATTCAAATATAGATTTAAATAGTTACTTTCCAGGTATAGATGCAGATCTTTTTAATGATAGTAATGGTTTTTACATAATTCCAAAAACAAATAATTATTAATTGTTTTATGATAAAGGATTGATATCTAAAGATGAAAAATTAAGTGTTGGAATTTAACTCAAAAATAAGTTTTGGATAAATGTTGAAATAAATAAACAAAAAATCGATTGCTTTATGTTTGATTGAATTGTTATTAATATTTTTAATTATTATATATAAAACCGTTGAAAATCATGAGTCAACAATTTTATTAAACATATGTGCCTAATCCTTTCATTCCTACGTTTAATCCAACGATAAATTCATCTAGAATTGATTATCCATCAACTAATTCTGCAAAATAAGTTGATATTAAAGAATTAACAAATGAGTAGATTTCATAAAATAATGTCATCACTTCATCATTTAATTTGAACCCATAAACAAACAAATCAATTGTTATAAAACGTAAATTAATAAAAAATGATTAATAGCAATTTTAACCAATTAAGATGAATATCAAAGAAAGATTAATGATTTGAAAAATAATCATAAAAATGAACTAAAAGAACTTGAATTAAAAATGTAATCATAAATAGATTCTCTCTAATAAAAAAGATATCAAGATGATTAATAAAAATAGTTAACTGATGTAAGACAATAAATAGCTGAACTTTAATAAACTCTTTAAGGAAATAATTATAGTAATCCTTATTAATAATAATAACATTAATTTTATAATCAAAATGAAATGGATAGATTAGAAAAGTAATTAAAAAAAAAGAAAAATAAAATAAAGTTGTTTAAAACTGAAATTGATAGTCTAAAGTTAGAACTATAGATAAGATAATAAAAAATAACAGAGTTAGAAATAAAATTGCATTATTCAGAAAATAAACCAATAATTTAATAATAATCTGCAATACCTAAAGTGATAGGTGTACCTTAATAAATAATTGCTTAGCCTTCAACAATAATATAAGAGTCTCCAGAATTAATTGATAGAATTAGGAGTGTTGAATATGAAAGAGATGTAAGTTCTGAATTTATTTTAGTGTTTGCTTTAGGAACTAAGAAGATTGTAAGCAACAAACATACCTTAAAGATAATAGCCTTCATTTCCTTCAGTAGAAGAATGGAATCGACTTATGCATGAATATAAAGCTTTGGAAAGTGAGAACAATAAGCTAAACACTATAATTTTATAAAAGGATGATTTAATTAAATCATTAGAATAAAGAATAAGTGTTGAGCTTACTAAATAAAGTGCATTATAAGCTTAAGGTAATTAGCCTAGAGCTATATCAGTTTTTTATGATCCATAACAATCATAATAGTCGAAATCTCAATAATTATATCCTATTGCTGTTCAAAACACTGAATAAAAATCTAATATTGAACCAACATTATAGAATCCTAGTGGTCAATGAATTTATTATTATTTATTAGACATTAAATTTAAAACTGCAAAATAAATAAATAGTAGAATAATATTAATATTTGAATTCAAAAAAAAACATTAAGTTCAAAAGACTTAGCAGCAACTATCTCTTTTTTTTTTTTATTCCTATAGTTAATCAGTATTTGTAGTTTGATTAGTTGTAGTTGATTAATATTAGGATTCCTATGTTTAAAATTTAATTTAGGATGTTTTGCCACTTAAAAACTATTGTAATTCCCTTGGTGTTTCACTGATAGATTTCAATGCAGATATTATTTATGCTTCATTTAAATAATTATCTCCATTTTCATCAGGTTCTGCCTCTGAGCCATCTAAAGAACAAGGTAATGATTATTTTCTAAAATTACTTCCTAATGATGGTCTTTAACCGATTCGTTTAGAATTGGGACTAGAATTTTACTTAGGTTTAGAATTTTCAGAATCAAGATACTATTAAAATCTATAACTAAATTATTCTTTAATATCTGATTTACTATTTGATTTTTGAAGTGATCTTCTTAATGATTTTCTATATTCTCCTGTATATTCATCTATATTCATGGCTTAATCAATTTATAGTTAGAAATTTTATTCTTTAAAAATTTATTTATCGTATTTGATTCCCTAAAATTTGATGAAATAAATACATTAATCAATAAAATCTTTTCCATCATAGATAATTCTTATTTAAGCATTGACATTTATTTTTCAATTTATTCATAACTAAGTTTTATATTAATTTTGACTTTATTAAGAATTAATTTAGCTCTTTAAGCAAATTTTAAAGTTTAAATAGTTTTTTCTTCATGTTCTAAAGCTGCACTAACAGCACATATAAATGAAGTATTAGAATTACCACCTAAACATTCTTTAAGTAATAAAGTGAGTTTAGAATCTCTATAAGGAACATGTTTATTGTTTTTTCTACTTGATAAAGCCATAATGCAATGTCCAAGACAATGTAATGATTAATTAATTTTTTTAGTCTCTTCAAGCATTTATCCTTTAGCAACTGTTTTTGCTAATCTTTCACTTCCAGCTAGATCAATAAATTAAATTTTAGATGTTCTTTATGATTTATCTTTCCATTCAACAAACAATCTACTTAGATTAATTTAAATACTCAATAGTAAAAATAACATGTGATCTACTTGATCTAGAATTGAACTAAGTTGCTCCAATAGCTCTATTGTAACTACCAAATGCTATTAATTCCATGAGATCATTAACTGTTTCCACTTAAACTTCTCTTACTCCAATTAATTTCGGACCATCTGCTATTGTACTAATCTAAGAAATTCAAGATGGATTACTTTAAGATCAAGTTTTTGATTATTATTCTTATACTGTTAGTTTAAAAGATCATAAATTTATTCATTATAAATCTCAACATAGTTAACTTTAAGTGTCACTTATTATAAAGATTCTTATTATTTTATTTTTTGATATCCCTACATTATTATGTGATTATACATCTACAATTTGATAAAACGATCTTGGAAGTATGCCAGAACTTGTATCAATATTAAACTTATTATTTAGAATCTATTCTATTGTACTTTCTGGTCCTAGGATTGTATAGGTTTTGCCTGATGAAGTTGCACCATAAGCAAAAACTGCACTATTATATCCTTATAAGCTAGAGATGTCAAATTTGGTTAATTACAAAAAACTTATTTTAGGTAACATTATAGTTTAGAAAATCTCTTCTTATAAGGTCATTGGAGGCATGATAACATCAAATTCAAATATTTCATCTTGTTTTGTATTTTTATAAGTGATTGCTTCTTCTTCAATAAACCAATTAGGAGACTTGAGATTAAGGAAAATTTACAGACTCCTCTTATGAAGTTAAAATAGACTTAAAACGAATGATAACTTTAATTTGATTATCCATTTATATGTCTATAATAATAATAATATTAATAAGAAAATCAATTGATCAGTTATTAAAACTTAGTCCTCATCAGACTTCGTGGTCTCCCTAAAGTTTTACAACTATTTTTAGTATTAGGAGTAGTATTCTCATTTTCATCAAGTAACTAAATTTTTTTAATTTGATAAATTGATCTAGCAGGCATTCTTTTTTCTATTATGAATTCTGTTTAAACTCTTAAACCTTAAATTTTGGGGTTATTTTTATAGAAAGTATTATTGCGAGATCTTATAGGTTTAGGTGTAAGACAATATGCTTTCTTTTTATTTTAATGATAATATTAGGTGATGCTTTTTTAGATAGTTTAATTTCTATCTTAAATATCTTTTATCATCTGTTACATTCTTCTTCGTAATAGATCTGACATATAAATCAATCTAGGTTCATCAAATCTATTCCTATTGTATAATGAAGATAACAGTAAATATTTATTTGATTCATCTTATTCTAAATCTAAACAATTATAATGTAATTGTTAGGGTATAGGTTCTTTTAGAAAATAAGTTGATTAGAATCGATGAGTTTCTATGATGTTATTGCAAGTTTTAAGTAGAGTTGTACCTGGCTTTTTGATTTCTTTTAGATAAACTCGAATACAATAATCATAGATTTATTCAATCGATAAATCTAAAGATAAGAGTTCTTCAAGTCTTTTAAATCATAAAGAATACCTTATGTATTTTCTTAGATATAAATTTCGAATGTATTCATAGTTTTTATTTTGAATGAATTAAATAAGTGAATTGATCTGGATTTCAGTAAATAAAGATTTATTGAATCTCAAGTATTTTTGAATTTCAAATTATTGAATATCATTTAATGGTTCTGGTTAAGTTAGTAACACAATCATGTCGAGTCTCGCAATTAAAATATGCATTCCCATATTATGAATAGAAAATTGGATTAACAGATAAAGAATAAATTAAATTAATGATAAATCTATTCCCTAAAATATAGGATAATTAATACAATCGATAATCTTGGGGAGGATTACTATTTATTGTAACAATCATTAGTATAATTATTTTGATATGGGCTGAAATTACTAATGCTTTATAAGGAACAATATAATTGCAAGTAGATTCAGCAATAGATTCTAGGATTAGAGTAAATTTGGATGCAACAATCTAAGCACCATGTTAAGCATTAACCTTAAATATTTAAGATATGATGGGCTCTTATTTATAAGATGTATAACATACTATAATTAAAACACGTATAATTAATGAAAATTTACAATATGTTTAAGAAAATTAAAATGTTAATTTTACATCATGTTATGGTGCTGAACTGTTGATAGATTAAAAATGTTATAGTTGTTAAGATGTAATGATGGCATTTGCATAAAGAAGATGGAGATAACCAAATTTTGAAAGTATTATTTAATGTGTTGGATAACCTACAATTTAATTTGATGATTCAGAATTAAAATAATTCATTGAAGCTGATCTTAATCATTCCAAAGAACTTTTAATAACTAAAAATGAATTGATCAATGTTACAGCTACTGAACTATTCAAATAATCAATTGAAGTTGATGATGATGAAGAAGATGCTACCGAATAAATTATGACTTAAGAATAGAGAGATAAATTTAAAAAAGCATTAGGTTAACTCTCAGAAATAAGTTACAATCCTATGCAATGGGATGACTAAAGATTAAAATAAGAAAAGGGTAAATAGATAGACTAATTAATTGGAATGCTTAATATATCTTTAGATCATATTGGAGGTACTTTAGCTAGTCAATTAAGATTTTCCGATAGAGAAAGAGTGTTACCATTTAAAAATCTCACAAAAAATGTTTCGCTTTTGACTGAAATTTACAGATAAAAATGTGAAACAACTTTAAAAATATTCATAAATGCTAGTTATAATGATGAATCTGTAATAGAACATTTTGAACTTGATATGTCTAAGGATTAATGTTCAATTCCATTTTATTACTCTACTTAAGATGAAACTATGACTATATAAGTATAAAATCATGAAATTTAATGGAATATTAATACTTCTGTAATGATGAACCAATTTGTTTTCTATATTGAAAAACTATTAGTTATCAATGAAGAATATAATTATAATTATTAACCGAATTCAATGCTAGATAGAGCATATAATTAATTTAGAATTAGTGTTTATGTTCATGTAAAATAAATTAAGAATCCACTTAATAACAATAAACGATTGTTATTTAGTGAATCATTCTAAGTTGAATAACCATCCCAATCCTATATCGAAGTTTCTGATATTGAAGAACATATTGATGAAGCATGTAGATTTTTTGGATATTTCTATATAAAGAAAGTTCCTGGTATATTTGCAATTCAATCTAATAAACCAGCAATGGAATTAATTAATAAAACCTTCCAAGGTAATCATACCTTCTAATTATCATTTGGCAATTAGCCAATAACTCAAAGAGTAACTGAAAGTCAATTCTCTTCAAAATATTATTTAAAATTAGTTACTACAAATAGTATTGATATTTGGAATAATTAAAATGTCTTTTATACCTTTACTTAACAAAGATCCCTTTATAATGCTACCATTACACCTTTCATTGAATTCCAATATGAATTTGATCCTATTTCTATGACTATTCAATCTACCTCTATAACAAATTATTTAGTTATTGTATTTGCTGTTATTGGAGGTGTTTTTGCTGTTAGTAAATATATTGCTGGCATCTTGAATATGTTGATATGATAATATAAATTTTAATATTTATTTAATAAACAAATAGTTTAAATTCAATAATTCAAAAATAAAATGAGATGTAAAACTTAAGACAATTTTGATTCTTTCAAAACTCTTTAATCCAATCGTTCTTAATAAATTAAATAACATAAGAGTTCAAAGTCAGAAGATTTAGACTTGCTATTATTTTAGAATATGAACTATTCATCTGTACATGAAATCTCACTTAATCATGATTAAAGTGAATTAATCAAAAAATAAGAAGAATACATCTAGAAATTGGAACATCAAAACAAAATTCTTCAAAGTTTTATAATCAATTAAAATCATTTATAACATTTATGCACTTTTGTTCAATAAGTCTTCACAGAAGTAGAATTAGTAAATAATCAAAATATTTTTGAACCAAAATTACATACTCTTTGTTTAAATATATTAAATGAATAAAAGTAGAAACTAAAGGAATAAAATAAATTTATTACTTGTTTAAAAGATTTAGTAATTTTATGTTCACCACCTGAATAATTTCCAAATGGTGAACAATTAAATCTTAAATAAATTTGGAGATGTATTAAGCATTTGTTATAAGAATGTAGAGAAAACAAAAAAATTAATTAAGAACAATAAGTAAATTATTGTTACTATTAATAAAAAGCAATTAATTTTAAAACTTTAAAGAGGAATCTAAAATAATCAGTCAATTAAACCCAAATCGTCGACACTTGGCAAGAACACTAAATATTGATTATATTGATAAATTTAATAATATATGAATCCTATTGTCAATGAATTTTCTCAAGTAACTGATGATTCCATAGAAAAAGAAAAAGCCGAAATCAAAAATATAATGATATTTGAGACAGCTGGAACATTATTAGTGATATATGGAGCATTGGCTACATAGTAAATAATTATTTAAATTTAGAAATAACTTTGGTGTAGCTCTTGTTTATTTTGTAGGATTATTAGTATGTGGAAGATTAAGTGGAGGATACTTCAATCCTATCTGCACTTTGATCGGATTTGTAAATGGATCAATTTCTAAGAAAAAAGCTCTCTATTATACAGGAGCATAAACTATTGCCAGTTTAATTGCAGGAATGTTATTAATGCCTATGTTTGCATATAAATATACATTACCATATTATGAAAGGTATTTAATAAAAGGCAATATATCAAAAGATTACCGTCACATCAAGTTTTTGGGACATTGATGTCAGAAATTGCTGGATCGCTTATTTTTTTTACATTTATACAAATTTAAACTGCCGAAAATACTAAAATAACAACAACACCTGTATAATCTGCCATTTTTATTAGTGTCATTTATTTTGTAGCAAGATAGTACTGATTTATAAAATTATTTTAGATACACTGCAACTATGGGTAATAGTTTATTTAATCCATCTGCTGCTTTTGGGTATTATTTATAATGTATAATAGATTGTAATTATTTTATGGAATTTATTATGGAAAGTGGGATTAAATGATTAACTTATTGATTTATATACTTGGTCCTTGGATAGGATCATTATTAGCCATCAGCTTTTTTTGGATAATATATACTCCAACTCTTGTTAATAAATAACCAAATTGAATTTCATATAATTTATTATTAATTTTATATAGAAATTAACGAATGCATTTTTAATAGTAGAACTCTATAGAGAATGATAATCGAATTAAATAACTTTAAAAAAAGAGACTAGCTATTGAAAAATAAACTGAAATGAGAAGAAAAGAAATTGAACAATATTCTGATTTAGATTATGAGTATCATTTCATTTTACTCGTTTAGAAAAATTTAAAAAGAAAATGAAATCCTCATTTAAGATAAATATAATGTAGAGTAAAGAGCTGCTAAATTATAAGAAGTATATAATGGACTCAAATTAAGTGTAATGAAATAGTAATTATAATTCAAATTTTTGTAGAGTTGGAAAAATTCAAGTTTCAGCAGAAGCCTTATGTAAACATAAATAAAACATTTATGAACATATGGCTAGGCATAAATCAAAGGAAGCAGATTTATTTTTATAAGCAACAAATACAAGACCTAAAGATTATTAATAAGTCTTAGAAGATAATTTAAATTAAGGTCCATTAGTATAAGAAAAAGAAAAAGAAATGGAAGCTCTAAAATTACAAAATTAAATTTTAAAAAATGAATTAGAAATTCATAAAAATTAATAATAGTATATGAGAGAATTCTCTAACAACCCTAATATAGACTAAGATATAATTAAAAAAATGGTTAATGAAAACTAGTTTAATAAAATAAATACAAGTAAAAATGAGAGAAGTAATAGTTAATTAAGCATGGAAACTAAATAAATTATGGATTTTTATAACGATAAATAATAGACTTCCTCTATGTACAAGGAATAATTATAATTTGGTTGATATTTATAAACTAATTCATTCAAAATATTATTCTAATTCTTTACTTAAACATTTTAATTATTAATAAAATTATCGACAACATTCACATTTTAAAATATCTTTAATTTCATTAATATTGAATTTTATTGATTAATTCTATTTGATTTATATCTATTCTTAAACTTATTCCACTTCAATTTATTATTATTATTATTATTATTATTATTATTATTATTATTATTATTATTATTATTATTATTATTATTATTATTATTATTATTATTATTATTATTATTATTATTAATTATCATCTTCCTATATTTTTTTTTATTTTCTAGGCCTTATGACTATTTCCTCTTTCTAAAAGTTATTAATTTAATCATTGTCATTATTATTTTAATCTTCAAAATATTGAAATTTATTTTCATCATAAAACTTATAATTTGTTTATTTCCAATCTGATATTCCATTTAAGAATTCTGCATAAAATTCTTTTTTTTCAACCATATTACAATGTTTTTCATCTAATTTAAGATTCAATTTTGGAATTTCATCTTCTATAAATTCTTAAACATCTTTAAAACTAGTTGATTCTAACAATAATGATAAACCAAAAGTTCCAAATCGACCTGTTCTACCAATTCTATGTAAATATGTTTCATAAGAAGTTGGTGTATCAAAATGAACAACTAAATCTAGAGTATCTACATCTATTCCTCTTGAAAGCTTTAAATGTAAATAAATATAATACTAGATCTGTGGAAATAATTAAATTAGCCCTATTTCTTTTAAGTTAATGCATCATTTTTATCCTATCAGATTAAGTTAAATCTCCATGTATAAGTACTGGATTAAAACCTTCAGCCTTTAGATCCATGAATAAATTTTCTCCTCTAACTTTGTCATTATAAAAAATTATAGTTTACTTGATTGAAAGTTATTTCATTATTTTTGCGATGGCTTCAGTTTTTATTTATTATTTCGATCTATTTTCATCATCATAATTTAATTTAATATAAAATTATGTTAGATTATCTAAACATATTTCTTCATTTGATTTTATTAATTTAGGATTACTCAAGCATAATTATATCAATCCTATTACTTTTGAAGGATATGTAGCTGAAAAACACAATATTTGTGGCTTATTTTAATCCTGATTTCTTCCAACTATATTTGATAAGATTTTCTTAAAATGAGGTTAAAATGTATAATTTTCATGTAATTTATCTGCTTCATCTAAAATTAATAATTTAATATTGCATAGATTCATCAACTTTTCTTAAATCATTTACATAATCCTTCCAACTGTACCTATAATAATAGTACACCTTCTAGTTTTAAGTACATCTCTATCTTATTCTACAGGTAGTCCTCCTATAAATAAATGAGATTAAAAATAGTCTTTCTCTATTCCTTCTATTTTATTTACAACTTTTGTTAATATATCTGTAATTTATATTGCTAATTCTCTTGTAGGAACAATTATTAATGCATATGGTAAAGGATTCTCAAAATTTTAAATTGTATTATCAATAGTAAGGGATTATTAAATTCTAGCTTTTCTTTATTAATTTTCTTAATAAATTTCCAACCCATATTAAAGCACTTATACTAAAAAACATAATGTCTTTCCAGTTCCTGCTTCTCCTTAACATATAACATCTTATTTTTATAATATTGATGGTATAGCCTTTTATTAAATTAATGAAGGTTTCATAAAATTCATTTTTTCGAAAGCTTCTACTATGCATTTATTTATACCAAAATTATAAAAATTCATAAAAAATATTAATAAATTAATTAACTTTACATATAATTTCCCAACCTATTTCTATTGTTTGAATGTAAATTACTAAAAACTTTTGATTACTACAGCTCAATGTTTTAAGAAAATATTAACAACTTTTCATTTTATTATTAATCTCTTTAAATAATTGATTTTGTTTTAATATTTATGATATCTCTGTTTTAATGAATTTATATTTTAATTTAATCGTAGCAGAATTTAAATATAAAACATATGAAAATATAAATATGTACAAAATTTTAATATAAATAATGAAAATGCATCATTATATTTATAAATTTTATAATAATTTATTCATCAGCGGAAATAAAATATAAAAGTAAATAAATTAGAAGTATTTTTTAATATCAATTAAATATTGAAAAAGATGAAATTGGTAAAATTTAAATAATTATGGATAAAGTAGTTATGAAAATTTTGAATATAAACCAAATACCATTTATTTTTAGTTTCCATAATAATAATTCCTAAAATATATTAAAAAAAAAATAAAAATAAAAACAAAAATTTAGGAAATTATTTTAAAATAAGTTAAAATAATGATAATCCTGCAAATGGAGTTGATTCTAAATTATTTCTAAAATTATAAATCATATTTTTTAATATTTTTGGCTTTTGAGCAAAAATTAAAAATTTGGTAAATTTTGAAGGATTAGTTGTTTTTTCAATAGATAACTTAATTAAAATGATTTGACACAAAATTCAAAAGGTAGTTTGACACATTAAAAGCAGCTGTTAGGTTCAGAGATAAAATTTAATCAATAAAATTTTGACACTATATGAATAACAGAGCAACTATTTGTAGTTGATGATAATTAAACTTAAATTATTTTGATTTCAATCCATTTATAAAATTTAATTTATTTTAGCGATTTGCATGACCATAAATTTACTATCTTTTAAAATTATGTAGAATTTATTTAGTAATTAAATTTTTTTTATCATCATTTTACTTATACTATAATATTTAAGAATTTGTAAATTTAATTGTGTTATGAAAAACCTGAGAATTTACCAATAACTAGAGGAATAGAGTTAATTATAAAACAAGAGCTTTAACCAAATAAATTAATAAATAAGAGTTTAATATGGTACTAAAGTTATAAGTCTTATTTATAAGTAATACTAACAATTATTAATCAAAAATGTTGAGTGAATGAATTATAGCACAACTTTATTGGTTTAGGTGATGAAGGTATCACAAATGAAGGGCTTTGTACGGTAGATGTTTCACTTGGACAAGTTGTGATTCTTTTTCCAGCATCTTCATAATTTATTTTGGCTTATTTCTTATTCTGTAAAACTTACTGTTTCAAATCAAAACAAACCTCATGCTTTTAAAGGTATTATTTTGTAAGAAGTTAATTTTACTCTAACTCATTTTTCATTTATTCTTTATATTTCTCTATTTTACTCTATAAAGTTTAGGTTTAAGCTAAAATCATATTAAACTATACCTAGTTTTTCACTTAAATTCATAATTTACTTTTGATATTCATTCTGAAGAATTTAGTTTTATTGTCTAACTTCATTAATTTGTCTTCTAAGATGTTCTTTTTCATCTCTAAAAGCCGGAGTTTTAGGTTCTGAATCACTTAGACAGCTTATATTGTGAATACTATGATCTTCATTCTCTTAGAACAAACTCAGTATTTACATTATAGAATAACTCATTACTATTTATTATTTATTTTTATGTCATAAAATTTATCTTTATTAATACTTAAAGATGTGACCTATTTGTAGAACACAAAAAACAAATAAGGAACAAATAAAAAGATAATTAAGAATCAAATTAAATATTTATATTCATAATTATTTTTCTTTGAATTATTTTATTTCTTAAATTATCAAAAAAATATTAATATTATTAATGAACAAAACTTTATAATTACAAATGTTAAATTATTTATATAAATATTAATTTATTACATAAAGTTACAAAATTATTTAATAGCAAAGAGTAGGTTTTGCTTAAAGGGAAAGGATACATTAGAAATTTAAATTCTTTATCAACCAATAAACANTTTACCAATAACTAGAGGAATAGAGTTAATTATAAAACAAGAGCTTTAACCAAATAAATTAATAAATAAGAGTTTAATATGGTACTAAAGTTATAAGTCTTATTTATAAGTAATACTAACAATTATTAATCAAAAATGTTGAGTGAATGAATTATAGCACAACTTTATTGGTTTAGGTGATGAAGGTATCACAAATGAAGGGCTTTGTACGGTAGATGTTTCACTTGGACAAGTTGTGATTCTTTTTCCAGCATCTTCATAATTTATTTTGGCTTATTTCTTATTCTGTAAAACTTACTGTTTCAAATCAAAACAAACCTCATGCTTTTAAAGGTATTATTTTGTAAGAAGTTAATTTTACTCTAACTCATTTTTCATTTATTCTTTATATTTCTCTATTTTACTCTATAAAGTTTAGGTTTAAGCTAAAATCATATTAAACTATACCTAGTTTTTCACTTAAATTCATAATTTACTTTTGATATTCATTCTGAAGAATTTAGTTTTATTGTCTAACTTCATTAATTTGTCTTCTAAGATGTTCTTTTTCATCTCTAAAAGCCGGAGTTTTAGGTTCTGAATCACTTAGACAGCTTATATTGTGAATACTATGATCTTCATTCTCTTAGAACAAACTCAGTATTTACATTATAGAATAACTCATTACTATTTATTATTTATTTTTATGTCATAAAATTTATCTTTATTAATACTTAAAGATGTGACCTATTTGTAGAACACAAAAAACAAATAAGGAACAAATAAAAAGATAATTAAGAATCAAATTAAATATTTATATTCATAATTATTTTTCTTTGAATTATTTTATTTCTTAAATTATCAAAAAAATATTAATATTATTAATGAACAAAACTTTATAATTACAAATGTTAAATTATTTATATAAATATTAATTTATTACATAAAGTTACAAAATTATTTAATAGCAAAGAGTAGGTTTTGCTTAAAGGGAAAGGATACATTAGAAATTTAAATTCTTTATCAACCAATAAACACCATTATTTCTCTTTTATCAATCCCCTTATAAAAAAACTTTTTTTTTTATAAATATTTTAACAAAAAAATATATCTTCCTTCAATCAAAAATATCTGATTAAATAAATTGTAATTCCTAAATTATCTTAAATATCTTACATATTCATAAAATATAATAGAATACATAATGGCCTTAGATTAAGTATTTACTCATTAATTTCCATAATCTAGGCTTTTTAAATTCATCTTGACATTGAACTTTAGTATCAACCTAACAAGTCACAAAAATGAAAATATTCAGATTTATCACTAAAAGATGTTGATAATAATTGTATATTGCTATAAAATACGATAAAATTATTGATAAGATAATGAATATAGAATAAACAAAAATTAGAATCTCAGAAACTTTATTTTCTTGGTTCTACATTACTTGTTAAAATAATCACTTAATTATGGTTTTATATATTATGTGAAAAAGTAATTGATGCACTGTTAGCGACTGATAATAAACTTAAAACTAAAAGAAGTTAAATTTAAATAAATATGATTACAATAATTTAACTGAAAATCAGTTCTGATATCTTCTTCTGAAATTTCTAATGCTTAAAAAACTGGATCTTAATTTAAAAATTAAGTCCCCATAAATTCAAGAATTTATTTTGAATCTACTTATTCAAGTTTTTTCTAAATTTGTATAAACTGAAATCAATCGATTTCTGTAATAGTCGAGTCTTTAAAGGAAATTAAATTAATAAATAAAATAATATTTTTATGAATGTTTATAATTAAAAAATTATATTATTTAAAATGTCCCTAAAATTAATAAAATTGATTGACTCGTTTCATTGTTTATTAATTAATAATAATTAATAGCATGACCTATAATTTTGATTTTTAGAATATAATCTTACCAAAATTAAATATTTATAAAAGATTAAATTAATAATTATTATAAGACTTCGACTATTTTAAATTCTCATGTATAAATATAAATAATATTAATTATTTTAAATGGCATTTATGGTTTTCAAAATATTTGATTAATGTAAAGAATAATAAAATATTAATGAGAAGATTTTTTTCTATATTTTTAATTATAGGAAGGGAATTTAAAACTTTCTTTTACCTACCATTGTTATTATTTTTAATTTAAAATGGATTTTATACTTTTTAATTCAATTTTAATGAACTTAATAATGTTAAAATTTTTAAGTAAATGGCATTTAGATTGTAAAACAAAAAATTCATTTATTTGTACTGATTTAAGGATAAAGAATTCATAATAATTCTCTTATATAATTTCATAATTATAATAAATTATATGATAAACTCATAATTATTTGATTCAAGGAGAGAAATTGAATAATTTAAATAATAGTTAGGTAAATTGGAAGGAACAGTGAATGTCTCTTAGCCTAATTAAAATAAAACATTATCTTATTGAAATATTTATAAAATAAAGTTAGCAATTTAGAGTAGAATTTATAATTGAAAGTTAATGCAATGTGTTCAAATGTAAAATATTATTTGATTAAGATTATAATTCCAGATATTTAACCATAAAATTACCCGAGCTAAATGAAATTTATAGAAAGAGAGCAGTTTCAACAGATGTTGCAAATTATAGTGTAAATATAGAAAAAAACATTTTTTTACAAGGAAACAAAGCTAGTAGATATTAGAAGATGAATAATTTAAAATTGTAATAAATTTTGAATGAGTATAACGATGAATCATTAAAATAAAAAATAGATCTAAGTTTTGAATAATCATAACAATAAAATTAAAGAACTTTTTAAATAATAGACTTAGGTATTATTGTTTGATTGTCCTGCTCCAAAATCATTAAAAAAAATAGAAAAGAAACATTTTTAATTTATGATTCAAAAAGGTAAAAGAAAATAGGCAGTAGAACTTTGTGCATTCAGATAAAAGAATGTATAAGAATGGAATTTAATAAATGCAAAAATAATATAAAGTATGGAATAAATTAATATAAAATATTAATGTCCAACTTTTTTTGTGGATGGTAAATCAATAATTCATTTAATTAATTCTAAAAGAATCATAACATTCTCTGATGTTATTAAATGCTTATTAAACAAAGATGAGATTATTTCATATTTATATCCACGATTGTTTGTTGGACAAGATGGGTATGAATTATCAATAATAACAGCTTAGAGCCAGCAGCTGAGAAAATTTAGTCTACATTTAAAGGATATATATAATATAAAAGATTTCAATAATTTAAGACATTATATAAAAGTGCTATTTATATTTAAAAATTTTTTAAAAGAAAATAATTAAAGGAATCGACAAAATAAAAAATATTTAAAAGGACAAATTAAATATTTTAAGAATTTTAGAAAAGATAAGAAATTTTTTAAGTAATTAAATAGTAAATAATTATTTTAGGAGAATTGGAATTAATATAAGTTGTATCAAAGAGTAGAAATACATCTATCATCATTGTGTTATTCTGAATATCAAAGATTGAAAATGAATAAATTTATTTAAAAAGAAAATTCTTAAATAAGTAGAATATTTAGAGCTATAGATACATAAGTGGAAATAATATATGTATGTAAATATGAATAAGATAAAGATATCTTAATGTACTATGAAAGAGTAATGCTTATAAAAATAATAGATGTTTGAGTTACATTAGGTATCTTTTAAAAAAGTTAGGTTTTTGATTCCTGAGAATGCAGACAAATTTAATGCACATATGAGTTAAATATAAAAATTAATTTATTCTCCAAAATGTTTAAAATAGATTAGAAAAATAATTGAAAATAAATTGGCAATTATAATTCCAGGATATCCTTCAAATGAATTTATTCATTTAAGCCATATGCTAAATATACCACATTATAGTGGATTGCCTTAAAATCATTGATTATATTCTAGTTAATCTGGAGCATAAGTCTTATTTAATAAATGCAAAATGCCTACATCACCAGGAGTATCTTAAAAAATTTGATGAAATAGAGTTTTTTAATACTTTAACAGTTTTGATTGTAAAGAATAGAAAAATTTTATTCTTCTTTTGAAGGAAGAGGAATAGCTACAATTAATATTAGTACTATTCCTGGATTAAACTAATTATTATATGGTAATGAAAAAGAATTAGATGAGAATACAATTCGTGCAATTAAGTATAATTTAATAATAATAATTATTAAAACAGATAAATTATCAAAACTTAGTTACCTCTTAAATTAAAAATTGCTGTAAAATCTTTGTATTAATCCTATTAAGAATATATTACTGATTTTTTAACATCAGGGGAATCGTAAAAGCATTTCCAACTTAAAAACGATTAAAAATACAAAAAACTTCATTTAGTTTTCATATTAATCCATAACATGAATTTGAAGAAATCTGCTCATATGATAGTTATTCAGCTCATCATTATGTCTAAACTTTATATTGTAAATTTTATTATTATTATAATTAAGTATATCCTTTGAATAATTAAACTCTTGGTAATAATGAACTATATGAAGATATAAATGTATTCTTTAAATAAAAAAAAATGTTTGGATATTTTACTATACATTTAATATCATTTGACAATTAATTTTGGGTTATTTGGTTTAGATTTTTTCTTAAATGTTGCTACTAGTATAAACAATTATTATAAAGGTCTTAATAAAAAAAAATTAAGATTTTATTTATATTCCCCTTATGTAATTCATCCAGGATTATAAAAAATATCGATTAAATAACTTTTTTAAACATGCAGAATGAATTAGGTATAATTTGAAACAGAATTTTAAAGAGGATAAATATTTTTGTTTACAGATATTCTATAAACTTGTATGTTGTAAATGATATCAGTGCATGAGAATATCTAAAAGTGTATTTAGTTATTTGAAGAATAGTTGAAAATTATATTTAAAATAGGAGGATAATTAAATGTTAATTATGGAGAATCTATCTATGAATTTAGAAATGATTCAATTAATATTTTAGATATTCAAGGGGCTTTAAAAATATTAAAAAGAAAACTATAAAATTAATAATGAAAAAAAATTACTCTAGAACAAATATATTTATTATTAATATAGTGTTTTTTCGCATTTAAAAATTATTTTTAATTTATTCTTAAAAAATAAATGATTTAATATCCTTTCTTTAGCTTACCATCTAAATCTCATTAGTCAATTCCTAGTGTTTAAAGAAAATTATTGAAAGATTAATACGAAGTACTTTCAACAGATTTAGGATAAGGAACTTATGGAAAAGTAAAATTAGCCATAAATAGAGCAAACAACAAGAAATGTGCAATAAAAATAGTATTATTAATGTATATAAGTTAGATCTCTAAAAATTATATTAACTAATATAATGCAAAATAACATATTGATAATGAGATTAATTATTTATAATGTTGTAAACATAAGAACATAGTAGAATTTATAGAAACATTTGAAGATAAGGAAAATGTTTACATAGTATTGGAATACTGTTAGAATGGAACTTTATATGACTTGATAAAAAAGAAGAAAGTTTTTAGTGAAGATGAAGCCTTTTCTTATTTTTATTAAATAGCTCAAGCAATACAATATTTACATGAAAAAGATATAGTACATAGGGATATAAAATCTGATAATGTATTGTTATAGAATAACACAATTAAATTATGTGATTTTAATTGGTCAATATATTTACCAAATGGAGGCAAAGCAAAACCTTGTATTTGTGGTACTACTGAATACATGCCTCCTGAAGTTGTAAAAAAGGAGAAACATGATAAAGGAGTAGATGTCTGGGCTCTTGGAATATTATTACACGTAAAGATTTTTATATTAATTAATAGTATATGCTTCATGGTAAATTACTTTTTAAAGCAAAAACAAAAGAAGAATTACATGATAAAATATGTAATAAACAATTAATTAGATTAAATGATTACTTATCTATTGAGTGTAAATAATTATTGCAGTAGATGCTTGCTCATACAAAACGATTTAATATTTAATAAGTCTTAAATTCTGAATGGGTAATTAAAATGCTTACAAATAAAAATATTTCACATCCTTTAGAATTAACTCCAATTAAAAATAGATCAAGTGCATATGAATTAACTAGATTTAGTGTGATTTCAGAATCAACTTGCTTTTCTAGTTCAAAATTCACTACTAAATCCTATGAAATCGAATCCCCATTTAAATAATCAAATAATTTAATGAACTAAGTACCATTACCACAATAACCTTTAAAAGTTAAGAGCACGGCTCTAGATCAAAAAATTACTGCTTTCAGAGTTGAAAAAAGACAAATTGACTGAAAGATCAAATTTTATTTATTTTAATGTAATATTATATATCATTTGTGTTAAAATTAATTATTTGTATTACAAAATGGAGTATATTGCATACACTGATGCTAAATTTTAATTTACTGGAACTCGTAAACACTTTTTTAGAGATAAATAATATTATGTAAGTGTTTTTGAAGATTATTTTGTGATGGGAAATGTAATTCTCTTCATTTATTAAATTAGACTTGTGATACACAATCTCCAAAATACAAAATAAGCTTAGATCTGAAGATTAAAATAAATTGGGACTTAAAAAAATAGAAAAACGATATAATTATTTAATCCTTTGTATTTCCATACAAAAATTCTTTCAAGACTTTATATGCAGACCATGTGGATTTGTTAAAGTAACTTTAATTTAATATTATTATATTTCTCAGATTCAAAGAGCTTCTTGGTTTGTCAGTAACATATGAAGGCATAGGTGATCTTTATCTTCCTATTTTATAAATTGGAAAAGGCAGTTCAGCTAAAGTTTATAGTGCTAAAAATATTTTGAATTAAAACATTTACGCAATAAAAGCTATAGAGAAAACATTTTTAGATTCAACTGAAAAAGGCTCTGGTTTAGTAATTCAGTTCAATATATTAAAATTAGGCTGCTTATCAAATGGAAGTTAGAATTCTTAAAATTCTATCCCCTTATTCTTATAACTTTTTAACTTTAAAGGAAATATATGAGGGTGATCATACTTTTTATTTAGTCACAGATTATTTAGAAGGAGCTAGTCTAAGTGAAGAAATTGAAAGAGCTAAAGTAATTTTTAAAATAATTTATAGAATCTACTTCCAGATCGTCGATTATCAATATAAACTATTAAGATATTGATGTATAAATTATTATCAAATTTAGCATTGCTACATAAAAATAAAGTATATAAACAAATATTATAATAGATTATTCATAGAGATCTTAAACCAGACAATTTGATGTTTGCTAAAAAAAATGATTATACTTCTTTAGTTTTAGTAGATTTTGGATTAGCCACATTTGAACATTTAGATAAGTAAATTTAATTTATTAATATATAAGATTTCTATTTCCTAAATGTGGAACTCCAGGATATGTTGCTCCTGAAGTACTAAATTTACATTTTGAAAATAAATACACCACAAAAGTAGATATATTTAGTAGTGGTTGTATTCTTTATAAATTATTGACTGGAAGAAGTATTTTTGGGGGCAAAACCTTTGATGATGTATTAAGAGCAAATAAAAAATGTTTTATTGATTTAGATCTTCCTCTGGATCATGTTTATTTGACTGATCTTTCTCTGGTATTAACGTCATTTTAATATTATTTTAGAATTTATTAAATTAGCTATTATAAAAAAATCCAAAATAAAGAATAAGTGCAACACAAGCACTTTCTCATCCATTCTTCGAATAAATTAGTTAATAAAGTACTTAAATGTTATCTACTTTTATATCAAATGTAAAAATTAGTCACAATGGAAATTTTAATTTATAATGTGAAGAATAAATGTCTAAATATGATATAGAAGAGTATTAGATAAATAGTGAAATGAAGGAAGACGAATAAAATACAATTTAAGTTCCTCAAACAAAAAGATGTTCACTTATGAATGAGTTCTAATCTCCTTTTAGATCTACATTTAAATTTTATTAAAAAGAACCCTTATCAGGAATAAAATGTTTAAAATTAATTGACTTGGCTAGTCCAAGGGAAGATTCAAATGAAATAGCAAGTGAATGAACTTTGAACTTGAATTTTCTCAAGATTAATATATATAATAATATAATTAAATTATAATAATTTATTAAATTTAGGTATAAATCTAAAAATCTATTTTAATATTAAATATATAAAAATAGCTCAATTCAATTTGAATTACTTATTTTATTTATATCCAGATAATTTAGTCATTCCATAAATTGAAAAATTTAGCTGATTTTAATTATTTTTAAGATTCAAAGTAACTAAATTTGATATATATGATTTCTCTCAAGATCTATGCCTTTACTTTTTATGATTTAATAAAGGCTTTAATTTTAATTCTTTCTATATTTGTTGTTGTTAAAATGTTAAATTTCCTTTAATTTTTTATGCTTTTTCTTGAAGTAAAATTATAATAGATAATCTCTTTTTAGGAATTGGTTAAATCTTTTATTCTATCTTAATATTTTAATCATCTAAATATTAGTATTTGTTTATGTTGTTCATGAAATCTTAAAATTCTTTTATAGAATTAGAAATACTAGATTTTTGGAAGAGTGAAAAAAATTCTAATGTGAAATCATATTAAAAATACCATATAATTAACATTTAATAATGTCTTTGGAATAAAAACAAAATTTACTTGTTAAAGAAATCATTGATAAAGGATTTAATATTGACAACTTTTAAAAGTTTATAGATTAACGTCACGACTTGGAAGAATGGGATTATGATGAATTGGTAGATGTTATCAAAAAATTCTAAGATCAATAGAATGATTACTTTTAAGTACTTAAATGCAATAGGACCATTCCTAATGCAATATCTAATTTAGAAAATTTGACATCCACAGTAGTTGGTTATGAAAAAGTACAAAAAGGTATTTTCATGAGTACATATGTATACTTCAAAATTGAAACCAAACCTATTAATTGGATTGTGAAGAGGACGTATGAGGAATTTATTGCACTTAAAAATATGCTTAATAAATATTATACTGTACCTAATATACCTAATTAAAGAAAATCACCTGTTGAGTTTACATATATTAAGTAATTAAGACATTTGCAAATGTTTTTGAATTTCATTTTATTAGATCAAGAAATAAGAAGCCTTCCAGTCATTCAAGACTTTTTATCTTTAGATTAATTTTAACATAACTAAGCGATAACTTTTACAACTTTGAATGGAGATTTTGGTATCAGAATTAATAAGCCAATTGCTTGTTTTATAAAATAGTCTGATTATTTCTTAAACAATGTCTAACCCTTGTAAAAAAAAGCTTATAAATTAGTAAAACAATTAATGAAGCATATGTAGTAACAAAATCAAACTTTAGTTTAATTATCAGATGTATATAAAGAATTATTTAAAGAATCAAAAGCATAAAATGCAAGATTAAAAGATAGTTATATTATAGCTAGTCATTTATTTGAATAATGGTCAAAAATATAAACAGACAATATAAAAATATTGAACGAAACTATTTATGCATAGTAAAGATTTTAATTTCATTAAATTACACCTTTAAAGGATATTTTAAATCAAAGAGAAAAACATTATTGTTAATTATATGAATTTTCAAATAAACTAAAAGCAAAAAAAGAAAAACTATTTTAACAAGGAGAAATTGTCAAATGGGATTTAGATGAAAGCTATCTAGATAGTTTTAAAATAGAATAAATAAAATCAACTCCATAAATAGCATTTTAATGTATGTGTAAAACTGTAATTTATATTAAAATTATATCAGGATAATTTACATTTATAAATTCTGAAAAATCAATTTGGTTAGATTAATTTAAGGGCCTATGAAGCTATTGATTATGTAATTAAATATGCTTCATTGTAAATAAAAGAACACCTTGAAAAATTTGCCTAATCTATGATGATAACTTTAAATTAATACCAAAAGTTATGGACTGATACATTAGATAATCTTGCTGTATCATGAACCTTTTGTTTTTATAAATATATATAGAAAAAGTATTAATAAATAAAATATTTTAAATTGAATTTTATAAGGATAAGTATTAGGTGTAAAAATCTGCATAATAGAAGTTTTGTGTAAGGAATTATATTTAATAATTAAAATACTGAATATAATATTCTATTTACAAGCTTATTATAAATAATTATAATGATAAAACATTAAAAAACGATTCTTATGAAGTAAAACAAAATTATTTGCTTTAATTATTTGAGTTTTAATATTATTATTAATAAAAAATTGTAATGATAATACTTTTCATATATTTCGTATTATCTAAACAATAAAGAGATGTAGAATTTGATAATAATAATTATTGGACATCAATTGATAGAGTTTCAAATAATAATATCTATAGAATCAAAAGTTTGACCCAACCTTATTATTATGTTTAGGTGATTTTATTTCAAGAGGATTTATCGTTTTTATTAACTTATGATTTCAATTAAAATCCAGAGTAAAATAAGTCTAGAGGTGATTATATAAAGTATTACTTGAATTAAAGAATTAGTTTTTACGAGAAGAAAAGAACAAGTTTCCTAAAAATTAAAGCGAATGGTAAAACAATAGTCATATCAGCATATTCTAATAACAATTTAGGGAATTATAATATAACTATATGGGGTAGTAATAAAGAGTATTGCGATAATAATTGCTCAAATTAAGGTGAATGCACAGTAAAATGTAAATTCTATAAAAGATTGACGGATGTCTGTGCTATTCTGGTTATGTAGGTTCTGATTGTTATTATGCAGCTTAAGAAATTAATATGGGATAGGAAAATATTTCATTTTATGGAGATGAGATTAAATTCTTCTATTTAAGTATAAATACAGAAGAATAGGATATTTTTTTAAATCTAGAGGTAAATAATAAATCCAAATTAGACTGATAGTTATAATGGAATTGAAGTTCTAATGTAATTATCTGAAGCGATAATTCTTCCCAATCAAATTCCAATTCATGATTAAGATTACCTTTTAAATTAATACATAATAAAGATTTCTTAGCCATTATATATAAGAATAAAAGATAATGTTGTTTTTCAATTCAATACACAAGTTCCTCTAAACCTGATATTTGTAGCAAGATAAATTAATGGATTAGTTAGCACTCTAACAATAAAATATGAAGATTATAATAATATGGTAAATGCAGTTTCTATTATCGTCATAATTATAATAGTTGTTGCCATATCGGCAACAGTTATAATAATTATTATTTTATTTTTTGTATGTAAGAGTATTAGAAAGAGAAAATTGTTAAGAACTTAAGCAATTTTAAGAATGGCTAGACTAGATGCTTAAGCGCTTAATTAAAATGATTAATAATAAAATTAATAAAATCTTTTTGATCAATTGATTCTTGTTTAATTTAATGATTAAAAAAATTAAGATAATTGTGCAATTTGTTTAGATAATTTAAATAATGATTAAGAAGTCAGATAAACATATTGTCAGTATTAAATGATATAATAAATTAGTCATAATTTCCATTCTATATGTATTAAAGAATGGTTAATGAAAAATAAAAAAGAATGTCCAGTTTGCAGAACAACTTTAACAAAACAAGATCCTTAGACCAATAAAATTGTTATTAAATGACTTAATACTCTTATATTTAATTTATTCATTTATCTCAAAAATTAAAAATATTAATGAAAAAAAAAAATTTAACATCAATTGACTTAAGCACATCCATTTTTTCAGGAGGAAGCTTGAAGAATAATTATTCAATAAAAACACCATTATCAAATAGAAGTCCAAGTCTATAGAAGGCTATTAATAGATTAAAATAAGATAATAGATCTTCATTAATTGGGATAAGCTCGATTAGTTAGACAAAAGTATTTATTAAATAATATATAGATTCCAAAAAGAAGAGGATATTATGAAGTTAAAAGTAATTAAAGTACTTTTAGAATTAGCCATCCATACTAAGAGCCAAAAATAAGTCTTGATTAGAATGATCATAAAAAAGAAACTATTAGAAAAATATTTTCCTTGTAAGCATATTGTAAAAGTTAATCAGCCTTGTAACTTGCAGCCTAAAAATATACAGTAAAAAGAACAACTACAGATAATTCTTAAATTTTTAATTCTCCAAGGCCAAAGTTACTAGATAAATTTGGTAAAGAAATAATTAAATGTAAAACGGAAAAAGCTGTAATAAAAGAAACTCTAGTCAAAGAAGTAACTAAAAGAATACCAAAGAAGTCAAAAGATATAAATTATGAACTTGATACAATGTTTCAAAATTATGAAAAGTATGCACAATTATGTTTGAATACAAATTCATTTAGTAATCAACCAAGAATATATAATGGATATTTCAAAATCTATTCTTAATCATAAAAGGAATAGATTTTCTTAGATAAAATTGGAGAGAAGGAAAAATCTCTTAGTGATGAATCAGAAGCATATAAAGAATTCATAGAAGAAGTTGATGAAGCTATTATCTAAAGAGACGTTTATCATAACAATTTGAGGAATCCTTTCTTAGATGATAAAATAACTGTTCGATAAATGAAAAAAGCTGGTTTCTTAAAGAGAAGACCAACAGAAATTTTATGATAATTTATAATCAATATCTTTCTTAAAAGTTAATAGATAAATTATCAATTTAAATTAATTGCTTTCCTTATTATTACCCAAAAAAATTCTTCTTTATTTATAATTATTTTAAAAGAGATATTTACAAAATATTTTAAATCGAAAATTAAGATGCATTTAATTTAGAACATATTTATTCTTTTATTCCAAATCTTGAATAAAATTAAGGGATCTCAAAAATATTTAATATTATAAAATATGGATTTTAATTAGACCTAGTTTTTTTCCAATCCATAGACATCAATTCCAATAGATAATTTTATTTAGAATATTTTTTTTTCTTTGTTTTTGATTTGAACAATTTTTAATTATTTTTGATTCTTACAGTTTAGATCTATTAAATTATATTCGTTTCTTTTTTACATATGCTCTAAGTGTTTACAATTTTTAATTTACATAAATATTATTCTTTTATGATGTTTTTAGAAATTTAAATTAAAACTAATAAATAAATTAAAATATAAAATTATTTATTTTTATTATTTAGGTTTAACAAAGAGTTTATTTAGGAGATATGTTTAATCTAATACTGTTTTTATTTAAGTGACTTACTTTTTTGGTAGAGAACTAAATTACTTAATTGAATTTTTAAATATTCCAAATTTTTTAAATTCTTTTTATAGAACTCAATTGGGAGCAATAAAATCAATATTTAAATATAAAATACCATGGAGTATGATTTTAAATCTTAACTGTTTCTCTAGAATACTCAAACGTTGATTTGCTTTCTTATTTTAGATCTTGTTTAATACAATTATTCTCTATCAAGAATTATTTAAAAAATATAAATAATTTTTTTAACATATTGAATAATTTTTTGTTCAAGATAACCATGAACTAAAATTTAATTATCATATTTTTGGAGTTCTTAAATAGATAATTAACCAACTTTTTTTTATGTTTATAAATTAATGTTTGTGTGAAGTGTCAATTTTATATTCTACAGAAAAAATCAAAATGAAAAATATGCAACTAAATTTTTACATTTTTAATTAAATAGACTTCAATTTCTTGTTGATTTCTTATTATGCTGTAAAAATTTCTCTTTTCTTTGTCTTTATTTTATTTAATTTTATATGCTTTATTAAATCCATTTTTAATTACTTGCTTATTTTTTCAATCCTTTTTATTCTTACTTATTATAATAATTTAATTATTAATTTAATTTAAATATGTTTACAAAAATTAAAATTTTAATAAAAAATTAAAACAGAAAGGATATCCTCATATTAAATAAAATATAAAATATTTAAAGCCTACTATAAGCTTTAAAATAAAAAAATTTAGATTAATGATAAACAAAAAATTCTTAATTCTTATCAAATATACTACAGATCAACTTATAATCAAATGGATTATTTATCATCAAATTAAGTATATATATTAGTGCTACTTTCTCTACAATCATATTGAATGAATTTTGAATTAGATTTATTTTATGTGATTGGACTAGCATAATTAATGATATTCACACTAGAAGGGTAATGAATTCTCTTATTGTTAAATTTATAGTTTTTAATGACATCACGTTTGACTGACATTGGAAGTACTTTATAGCTAGGCTTTAAAAAATTTTGTAAAGGAAGTTTTTAATTTAATTTAGATTAAAATAAAAATTTTCTTCTTTTTAGATAGTCTTTTGATAGATTTCCTAAATTAAACTCATTTGGTTCATTCTAATTTTAATTGTTATTGATATTTAAATTTAATTGCATTGATGAAAAAACCTTTTCATTTTCTACAATAGATTAAATACAATAATTTTAAACACTAGGATTTGAATATAGCATTAAAAAATTTTGATTTAATTTTAAATCATTTTTCTTAGCACTGTTGAAACTTGATCGATTGCTCACATAATAGTGATCAATTTCTGCTAGTTTTAAAATTTAATCTTTTTAAACTCCTATAGTAGCTTAATCAATTTTTTTTTTTTAACAAAGCAATTTAAGTAAATTTTATCTATTGCGACTTTTTTATTTATAATCATGCTCAATCTAAATTCTACATTCTTCAGGAAATTTATGAATAAACTCTTAAGAATCTATAACAATAACTAAAGCTTATAAAGAAGTAACTTAAGAAGTAAATTCATAATTTCCAGATTTATTAATAACAATTTCCTCTCCTAATAAATGTCCTTAAGAAACAATACATAATGGTATATTTTTATTATCAACTTTTTTAAAGACAGTTACATCACCAGATATTATGATGTAAAAAGAATCGCCACTTTCATCTTCTGATGTTAATTGTGTTGCTCTATCATATTAAATTGTTTAACAACTATAAATCATACTTTCTAATCTCTAGGAGGAATATTCATTATTAACATCTAAATTATGCCTTGAGATAATTACTCTTAAAAATATTAAACATCAACTATTGTTTTTCCTTTTTGGTTTTTTCAAATGTCATTTGATACATCAAAAAATCATCTTTTTTCAATACAACAATGAATGATTCTAGGCTAAAACAAGCAACAGTAAGAGTTCTTGGTATGTTCTCTGCTAAAGCTTTTTCACCAAAACCGTTTCCTTCCCCTAAGATTCGCATACATTCTCCATATTATTACTCTAATCTTTTTTTGTCTTCATGATTTATACATGATTCTTTATGATGATTATGATGTTTAATTATTTTATGGGTAAGCTTTTTCGCAGTTAGAATTGTAGAAATTTTAAATTGCTGTTATTAATTCTAAATTTAAGGAGCTGCTTCTGAGTTTTATCTTTGTAATGACATTAATTAATCCATTTTTTTTAATCTCATAAGCATAACATCACCATAAAAAATAATATACAGCTTATCATTTGAAGGATCATTTTCTTAAAATAATACTTCTCCTCCTTTAAAATACTCCATTCTCAATCTAGAACACAACTAAGAGAAAACCTAATTAATACCTCAAGTATATCATTTCTTTATGTTCCTTTTTATAATTTTTCAGCTACAAATTATTTAAAGTATGGGAGTTCTTCCATTCTTTGCAATATAAAATAAAGTTCCTCTCTAGTATGATTTTCTTTATTCATTGTTAAAAACAATTTTATAGCTTCATGAAGATGAGGATCCTCAGATGCATCATCAAGAGATTTTAAATGAACTTTTTACTGCATTAATTTTTTTATAGCAATATACAATAATATTATGAAATCATTTCTTTCCCTAGCTGTCAAAAAAATATTTATTTTCCTCAACAATTTTTCTTTATTTTTGAGAAAGTTAGACAATATTAATTTCCCAACTTTTAAGCATATTATTCAAACTTCTATTCAGTTATTTCTTCAAAATATATAGAAAAATATATTGCAACACATTATTTTTAATAATTTCAATAATTTCAATGCAATTTAATCTAAAACATTTGAATATCACTAAATTTATTTCATTTAAACATTCTTTGACTCTTTATTTATCAATATTTAATCCTATTTAATTGATTTTTAATTTATTAGATGTTCAATATTGGATTTTCAATTTTTTTATCATAACTAATATAAATCTAATTCTAATATATCTTTAATTAATCATACTCATGCAATTAGTAGTAATAATTTATTTATTTTATAAGTTTTTGATCAGCATCAAAATATATCATCTCCTAATCTTTATTAAATATCTAAATTTTAAATCAATCATCCTATCCTCTTAGTCTTTTGTTCATTAAACTTTTCATATTACTCTTTATAAATAAAGTTTATTGTTTCAAAATCCATATTATAATTATTAAATATTATAATTAAATTTATAATCATTGTAATTGAAGATATTTAGAGCTCTTCGCTTTTCTTACTGATGCTCTTTTCTTAATTGAATGATTAAATAATTAATAAATACTTTTTGAAGTTTTATTCAAAAGTTTTACTTTTTTGTTATATTCTAATATTAATACATGAAGATTAAATTAAGGGAAAAACTTTTTAAATTCCATTCCTTTATCAAATCCTACCATTTATTAATTGTAAGAAATTGAATTTTGACCTACTTGGAATTTATTCTCATTTTATGCCCCTATTAATTTTATTTCAGTTTCACTTGTTTATTTTAATTATTAAGTAGTTTAGAATTATTTACTCCTTGTAAATCCATCAGATTTTAAAAACTAAATTCTTTTGTTTGAATCATGAGAATTTTTTAGATCTACTTTTAAAGAAGATTCACTTTATTTTTGAAAACTTTCTTTTCTTTTCGAAACAGGAGATTCTTAATTTGTATTTACTTCTTAATCTTAAGGAATTAAAGATAAATTATCTTCATCATCCAATAAGATTTCTTTTTATCCTTAACTCTATGCTATAACTTTTTATGCTAGATTTAATTGCTCATGATATAAATCAATAATATACATTTAATATTAAAATTGCTTTATAAGATCTTCTATTGAATCTTTATTATTTTTATCTATTTTATATTTTTAAATTATCTTTTAGAATTAATTTTTCAATGTCTGGCCTATAATTAAGAAATTAACAATTATTTATTAAATGATCAGATTAAGAACATATTTGACATTTTTGACCAATAATATAAGAATTAAATAAAATTAAATGTCTTATTTAATGATAAACTTCGAGTTCTTCTTTATTTAGTGAATTTAAAAAAGTGTTTTAAGAAATTCTAAAAACTTTTGTAAAGCTTCTACTAATAGCTGAGAATTTACGAGGTTATTAAGCAAAAAAAGATTCTTCTCCAAAATATTTACCTTTTTGAAGTTCAGTCACTTTTTATTATGAGTTCTATTCATAAAGCTCCACTTTTCCATAATCTAAAAAGTATAAATAATTATCATCAATTTAATTTTAAAGATAAATCTATTCATCAGGGCAATAGTATGCTGTTTAAAGAGAGTTTGACATTTTCTTTATTGTTTCTTCACTAAAATTAAGAGATATAATCTTGCAATCTTAAAGTAAATCTTTAAAAACATTTAACATTAATTCTTACTATAAAAATGAAGATAATTATTCAAGAATATTTTGTAACTAAAATTAAATCTTACGTTATTACATGATATTTTGATTGTTAATTTCTTTTGATACATCGATATTCTAGATAACTTCTAGCTCGAATTTATAGTTAATCCGGTATAGAGTGTTATTGCATGTAAGAAGTCAAAATTCTTAGCATTTCTCTAAAATTAATTAAAATTTTTACTAAAACTGCCTTTTTTATTTATTTATATTTTATACTATAGTTCCTACTTAATTTAAAGAAAATGTAAAAACTGCACAAGACAATAACATAAGAAATATACAACTAAAGGCTTCTACATGATTTTATGGTGTTATATCACCATAACCTACAGTAATCATTGTTACAATAGCCCAATAAAATGAAAATATATATCTAACTTATTTTGTATCATATTATAGATTTTTATGAAGAATCCAACTATTTTTCTCATATTCAATTGTTGTCATTCCTATATAATGCCAAATACATGCCATAAAGTGGGCTATAAGATTAATTGTTATTACAAGATTAATCAAACTTATAATTTCTCTTTGCATCGCTGATAAATTTAATAATTTAACTATTTTGCCAATTATTTTTTAAAGTTTAATTAAACTAAAAGCACAATATGATATAAAGATAAATATATTCTCTAATTTTATTGTATAATAAACCAAAAAAAGGAACACTACATCGAAAAGAAATGAAGTTTTTAAGTATTTTTTCACAATGATTTTTCTAGTTTTTATAATCTTACAATTATAATGTATTATTACATTTCCTTTTTTTATTATCGCTATATTTAACTTTAAAATTATTTCTAAGAACAGCAATATTAAAAAAAAAGACATTTCCTCTATTTATAAAATAGGATATACTCGATCAAAGCTCCAATAAAAAGGTATTAGTATAATTAAGCTTAATATAACAAAAAACATGATTATATCCCATAAAATTATATATTTATTTGTCGGATCTATAACAAATGAAATAATATTTTATGAATTATTTTTTTTGTCTTAAACATATTTTTCTTAGAAAATAAGATTATTCTTAATTTTTTCTTTCTAACTTGAAGTAAGAACATAGCTTCTACAAAGCAATATGTTTTTAAACTTTTTCACTAAATTATTAATTTTGATTAGTTGAAAAATATTTTTTCCTACTTTTTGAGTAATTGGAGAACCTATCGGTGACCTTGCCAATTCATTTTAATCTTAATAACACATGTTTTCAAAAATAACTTTTTCATTACATACATTTTAAATCTATTCCTATTTTTAAAGAACAGGAAGTTTCTAAAATGGTTTAAAATTATCAAATTATTGCTCTATGCTAATAAATAGATTTTACATTATTCTATAGTTAAATCTTATGAGGAAGGATGATTTATTCTAGGAGTTATTTAAGAAAAAAGATGTTGATCCATCTAACTTCTTGGACTTAAAGATTATCTGCTCATATATTTATATATAAAAATCAATTACTAGGCTTATAATTATTAATTATTTTTTAATAATAAATAAATTAATAATAACAGATTCTATTAATTAAAAATTAAACTAAAGAAACCAAATGCGAAATAAATTAAAATTTATTCATTTATCTAAGTAATTTCTATGAGATTCTTCACTTTTGTTTAGATTTATACAAAAAGCTGATTAAATAAAATTATTTTTGATAATAAAAAATAAATAGATTAAGAGTTATTAGAGATAAAATATTATTAATTATTATAATTTTAATACTCATTCATTATTCCATGTTTTTCTTCTTTTGTTTTAAAGCTAACTTTTCATATACCATCCATAAGACTCCACTCTATATACACTTTTTAATTAATCTAGGTAAATAACCTTAATAAAATCCTTTCAAACCTTCAGCAGCTTTAATTGTCTTTGCTAATTGAAGTAAATTAGTCTAAGATATATTATTAATTACACTCTTGTTTTACGCTTATTATCTAATTCTTAAGTTATCAAATGGATATGTGACTAAAATAGCTAACATTGCAGCACTTGAACCACAAGTTGCTACAATAATTGAATTTTTCTTTGGATCCTAATCTTTTGTAAATAAACCACAAAAATTTAATAAATTTCTATAAATTGTATATTAAATTCCAGAAAAAGGAACATCTTTTAAAATTGCAGCAATAACACCCTTTTTTTAAAATAATTTTTACTCTATAAAACCCAAAAAAGCCTTCTTCTTTCGCAATTTTCATGAAACATTTATCAATCTTATTGTATTCATTATTACCAACAATTTACATTTTTGTTCTCATTACAGCTAATGGTGTTGAAGCTACTGTTCCAACTAATTTACTTGAAGAGGCGATGATTAAATTAAGAATACTTTAAAGATAGACTGGATAATGAGTAGGTGGGCTCTTTATAAAACTAAAAAATTTACCTATATTTTTCTATGCCAGAGAAAAAAAATGAGAAAGATACCGTATTTTTAGCGATTGATAAAATTGTGCCCCTATAAAACCCTCTTAAACCTTCTTAATTATATATTTAGGTGGCAATAAGGGATAAACCTTTAAAATTAATATTATGTTTTGAATATCCAGTTGCTATCATTGATGTTTGTAGAACTTCTAAAGGTTGTAAAATTAAAGTAGCTCCTACAGCTATTTAAAAGTTTTTCATATTTAACATAGCAGGTTTTATATTTTTTTTGTTTTCAATTTCTGTCATTATTATATTATTTATTTATTTTTATAATGAATAATATCTAATTAATTAAATAATAGTATATTTCTCTTTATGAAAAAGTCATCAATTTCATCTACTAATAAGTAAATAGATAATCTTTAAACACAATTTCAAATTGAAATTAATTAAATCCTTTAGAGATTGTTTAGTAAACAAAATTGAATAAATAATCAGCTTAAAAATAACTGAAAAAATTTATATATATAAAAATTTTGAAAAATGTATTTTTTCTTAATAACTTTCTTTAATTATAATATAATTAGGAGAAATTTAAATTGAAAGAATCAAATAACCAAAAAATGAGCTTAAAAATCAATTTTAAATTTGAAATAAAGAAGTTTTTAAGAGGAGAACTTAAGAATAATGATAAAAACAAATTTTAAATAAATTGATATTTCTTTTAGTTAAAAATATATAAATTTTTGGTTATTTATAGACTTATTGAAATTAAAATCTGAAGAAGTAGATAAATGAACTTAAAGATGAAATAAATTATTATCTCTAACAATAGATTATTTAATAAAAAGAAATTGAAAAATTAAAGGAGAAATAAGAAAAGCAAAATCTAGATGAGTTATGTAATTAAAAAAAATACTTTATTTCAAACTTAAGATGTTTAGGGTAAACTTAAGAAGTTGAATATTGAACAATTAAAAAGCCTAATTGATTCCAGCATAGAGGATGAATGTATGAAGAATCAAAAAATCATATTTTTATGAAAATTGTTCAAAGCAATTAGTTAATTAAACAAAAAATATAGAAGAAATTGAATCTTGAAGTGATAAATTAAAATCCACAATTTAAGAATTGACATCTTTAAATAATTAATATTTTTAATGATGCTTTAGAATAAAAATTAATGATAAAATTATTTATTTTTAAAAGAATGACAGAATAGATTATGAACAAAAATCAATAAAAAGTTAAAGAAAATTATTAGATGACAAAAATGAGCTGGGCTGATAAAAAAGTCTTACATTAAAAAATAATTAGAATAAAAAATTGACAATAATTATAGTTTCTTATCTACTTTCATTAGCTCAGAATATGAAACAGAAAAATAAATAGCCTTAATTTAGGTTAATTAACAATAATTGATTTTTAAAATTATGTTGAAACAATAAAAGAATGAATCGCAAAATTTTTGAGTCATTTTATCTAAGTTTAAAATGAAAAAATTATTAAAAGGGTTTGATGTTAAATCTAATTGTTAAATTATTTATTTTATTTTAGAACTTGTCGCTAAATTAATATAAAATAATTATCGAGAGAATATTTATTATATCTTTTTTAATGAAATTTAATTACCTATTAGTAAATTATATAAATATATATAATTTTTTTTTTTTTTATGACGTCTTTTTAGGAGCTGAATGAAACTCTCAAATAATAGGTATCAGAGCTAACATACAAATTGGAATTAAAGGAAAAAGAAATAGAACATTTAAAATCACCTAATAAGACGTTATCTCAATTTGAAACTCAAACCTTAGAATTATAATTAATATAATATAAACACTTGCAGACAAAATTAGAGAAAGAAAATGAATAATTACGAAATAAAATAAGTCAAATGGTTAATTCTTAAGTTGAAACTTAAAAAACTATTTTAAAATAAAAATAGCAACTTTAAAATGTTAATAAAAATTTATTTTCCCTTTCCTCTTAAATTTAAGAGGAAGACAGTCCTATAAAACTTATTATAAATAAATTAATAGACAATGACAAGGATCCAATGATTACTTAAAGCTTAGACATAGAAAGTTAATTAAAAATGAATGAATTAAAACGGGTAAATAATTAACTTGAAAAACGAATCCATTAATTAGAAGAAAAGTCTTAGAGTATGGTAGCCAGATAATTTTAAGATGCTGCTGCTATACTAAAGCTGAAAAAATAAAAAAAAGAGTTGATTGATTAATAAGAACTCTAAAAATAAACATTACAATAAGAATTATAGAAATCTAGAGTTTAAGCTTTTTCTGATGTTACTATATCTTTCTCAGACTTATACTCAGAAATTTCTAATATTGAGTAAATTAAAGAAAAATTTGGAATTTTAATATAACTAATTTTAAAATAACTTCTAACATAAAACTCAAATAGTGATTTAAATGAATCTATAATAAAATCAAATAGAAGTAGTTATTCTAGAAGGGTAGATTAAGTTTAAAATTAATTTAATGATATTTTAAAATATTTAAATAAAGGTTCATTAAAGAGTCGAGAGTAAGCATAAGAAAATTAGATTTATGAATCTTTTATATGTGAAAAACCTTAAACAAATGATAAATAAACTTAGACTTTGAATAATGAAAATGATGCATGTGCTGAAAATGATTTGAATGGAAAAACTAGAAAATTAGAGATTGTAATTAATAATAAAAAGAATTAAGAGGAGGAATGTTAATTTATTGATGCTGAACAGTAAACAGAAGATTAAGATTTAAATTAATTTCTTCTTAATTCAATGACACCATTAATGCTTTCAGCTTTTCCTTAATTACATACTGAAGGTGATTTAATTGAAGAATAATAATAATAATCTTAAGATAAAAGTGCTTTATGTTTAAGGAATGGAATTAAAAATGATTAAGGATTTGATGAAGGTTAATTAATAGGTATAGTCGAAACTTTAACAATTTAATTAAATTACATAAAGAAATAATGGTTTAAGTCTGTCGATAAATGCTTAAGGGCTTAATAAGAGTTAGAAAGATTGTCAGAAATTGAATCCTAATATAATCATTTAAGTCATGAATATTTAAATTCCAAGAATGAACTTTCAAAATAAAAAAATAGATATTAAACTTTATTAGACAAATTTTTTGTTCTTGAACTAGAAAATGCTTAGTAATGAATAATTTTTAAGTATGCACAATAAAAACAGTTTTATTAATATTATTTGTTAAAATTTTATTGTATTTTATTAACAAGAATAAAATCTCATTAATGAATTTGATTTTAATAATTGATCATACAATTTTACTTTCTTCTTCATTTTCTCCAGGACTTTTAGCTAAATGAATAGGTTCATATTCATTTTCATATTCTTCATCTTCTTCTATTTATCTTTTAAATTTAATATAATCTATTAATAATGAAATTAATTATAATAAAAAATCGTTTACAATAAGTTCAGTAATTAAAATGCAAACTAGACTTATACCCCAATATATAACAAGTCTATCATAAACTAGAAAATAAGCTAATGTTGAAATTAATAATCCTGTCATTAAAAGGATAATTGTAAATAAATAACTAATAAATGTGTAGATACATTATTTTCTTCTTTAACCTCTAGTATTTAATGATTCACAAAAAACATTAAATATTCTTAACAATAAGCCAACACCACTAGTTAATAATACAATTATATATAATTATAGAATTTACATATTAACAACAAATCCAAGAATTCCAGAAGAAATGCTAACTCTACTCATAAGCAGAATTAATCTTTATTTCCGACCAAAATTTTTCTTAAATAAAAATATTCCGCCTAATAAACTATTCATATGATGACAATTTGAAAGTCTATTTTCTGAATGAAATTATCTAATTGGTTATTCTTACTATAAATCTTATTCATGTTTTTCATGATTTTCAGAAGAAGGACTATTAGGTTCAACTTCGCTTGGCATAATTTAAGCACGTCGTACTCTATTTAAAGTCACAACTTTTTTGACTACAGCTGGAGGTCTATTAAATCCTGGGAGAATTGGTTTAGTAGTATCAATATCATTAGAATCTTTTATATGTCCAATAATCAAAAAGATTAATATTATAAGGGAAAATCCTCCAAATGCAAATAGAATATATAATCTATCTAATACAAAGTTCAAATCAAAGTAAAAAGGTTTATAATAATAAAGATAGTCATCAACTAATGTTACATAACCTGCTTCACAAGTACATGTAATTGGAGGAGTTTATGATGAAGTTTCACAACCAATATCATCAAAAGATTTAGCATCTGTACTTAATATACAAACTAAATTTGTATCAACAGATATAAAATCAAATACCTTTTATTTTGGTCTTACTTTCTTCAAATCCGTATATTATCTAATCTAACTCTCAGTTTTATAATATAATTATTATGTATGATTTGGATAAGGAAAATTATTTGAAAGTCTCAGAATATTTGTTTCAAAAAAACTATCAACATAATTGTTTCCTTCTACCAAAATTCTATTTTTCTATGATGATTTTTTTTCAATCATGACATTCATTGAACTTGAAGAATAATTTTATTATTCTCCCTCTAATAAAATATCTCCTGTATATAAAACTAGAGTATTATAACTGTCAAATAATTTTTAGTTAATAGATTACATTTAAGTTACATATGAATCATTAGTAAATAATTATTTATTGAGAGAAGATAGAAAGTTTAAAATTTTAAATGCTGCTTAATAATTAATAGATTAAAGAGTTTGTGAAATAATACCTGTATCAGTATTTTAGGGTTAAAGAAAGGCATCAATTTATAAATATAATTATTCTGTTTTAGTTAATTCAAAAATAGTTTTGAAATAGGATAATTGATAGAGTAATGATATAGAATTGATAACAACTTAAGACTATTCTGCCTAAGATAAATCAGAATATAATTTAGAGGCAAGTTTATCCCAAACAGATTAATCATTTAAGATTCCAGAACAATCTGAAAATGTAGAATAATCTTAATCACAAACACATACTTAATTAACACATTCTCCTCGATTCCAACAATTATAATTGCATTTAATATTTTCAAGGAAATATAATTCCATAATAACTATTTAATCTAGAATAAGATTAGTTTGATTAAAATCAATAAAATTTTAAACAAATTCTATATTATTTTTAACACTGACAGCAGATTTAGCTTTATTAACAGAAACTTCAACATAACTCATTCCAAATTAATCATCCTTATTAACTTTGACTAGAAGATATCTACATGTTGGAAGAATACTTTTAATTGATTTATCTTAAGACCAATCTATTAATAAATAACCATTATTATTAGTGAAATTTCCAATATCCCACATTAAATCTTCGAAATTATTATAAATGAAAATCTAATATTATGTAGAATCAGAATCATTCCTGATACCATCATCTATAACCAATTCAAACTCAGTTTCAAGTGAAAAACCTGATGTAGGTTTGACTGTTAGTTAATTTAAGAATAGAGCAGGTTTAACTCTAAGATTATATCTAGTTAAAGTTCCTCCAACAATAACACTTATGTCTTATTATGTTTTCAAATTGCCTAAGTAGAGATATAAGTTTAATCTAAGAACAGATTTCTCTATATATTCAATTTTTAATATTTTGAAATAACGAATAATAACTAAGTAATATGATGATACATCTAGATTATATAATAAGTTATCAGTAACAACTAAAATATCTTTATTTCCAAATTCAGTATTAAATATTTAATCAGTCATATTTAGATCACTAACAATGATTTGTTAATATAGAGTTACTGAACGAGTCTCTTTTTTTATAATACAAGTAAATTGATACACAAAACCAGAAGGTAAATTAGAAACATTTAAAGTTTCATTATTTCCCATAACTAGAGGTTTATTTAGAGTTGTTCTACAAGGAATATTATAATATAAATTGACACAACTCCAAGTATAACTAATACCAATTTTGCTTAGGTTTTTTGGTACATCGTTATCTGTAGCATTAACAGTTATATTAAATGGTTTATTTCCAACTATTCTATCTTTAGTAAGAAATTCAGAGAAGATTTAATTGCTACCAATTTTTAATTTTTTACTTAATTTTATGTCTGCTACAGAAATTTCAAGCAAGTTTTCAGAATTAGCTTTTAATTTATTCTCTGGAATTTTAAATGAAGTTTCAACTCCAGTCTCAACTGATTGTGTATAATCATATTAACTAGTTCCAGAGGTACTTGATTTAATTGATAAAGTAACTGGATGACTTTCTGTGAGTTCTTAAACTATTTCACCAGAACATGAATAAGAATATATAGCCAAAGGAATAGATATTTCAAGATTTGCAAAATATGTAGCTGTTTCATCGAATGTTGTAAGTAATGAAGGGTTAGTTGATTTTGTTAAAACTTTTATAGTTGTAGTTTTATTATAATCTAAAAAATTTGAATAATTAACGGTTATAAAATATGCTGAATCTGCTAATAAAGTGCCTCCTGGAATTTTAATATATGATGATCCATTATATTCACTTAATACAGAATTAATAGCTTCTTCAGTACTATTACTTGTCCATGAATTGTAAATCAATGCTCTACCTCCATTATTTATTTCTTTCATTACTTCTACATTAAGATCCATACAATAAGATATTGAATTTTAAGGATAAAAGAGAATTACATTAGGAATAATTGCATTAGATAAGATCAACTAAGTGTTATTAAATTATTCAATATAAGTATCTTGACATAATTATAAACTATTATCAATGAATACATTTTCTTTGAATTCTATTATATCATTAGGCATGATTAATGGATCAGTACCTAATTAAATAATGAATTTGTTTCCATTTTATTAACAAACAGGAGATTCTCCAAAATTAGTATTTTTGAACCATAATTAACAATTTTCTTTACTGAAGAAATAGGCATCTTCTGAATTAGTAGTGATAGGATAAGTAAAAATAACAATGATTTATGAGAAATCACTACTAAATCTAACAGATTCAGCGAAAGATAATTTACAAGAGATACAATAATCTGAAGTAATAGGTGGAGGTCTTTTACAAAGACAATCAGGAGGTTCAAGATTAAATTAACATGTTAAACAATATGATAATGATTAACATGTAACACATGGAAGTTAACATTTTTAACAATTAAGACTTTTTCTATCATCATAATATCCAGAGGGACAATAACATTATGGAGCTTTTTATCTATCTCCTTTACATTGAATACAATTATATTTAGAATCTATACATTAAACACATCTAAAAGCACATGAATCACAAGATACTTAATTTAAGAATGTTCCTTTAGGACAAATACCAATACAAAAATCTTCTTTTCTTTCAAAACCAGATTGACATTCAATACAATCTTCATTTGTACCTCCATTACAAGTTTTACATTCTAATGAACATTTTGAACATATTTTATCTTCAATATTTTTATAATATCCATCAGGACATTCATATATACATTATCCTTAATGTTTAACCTTAGTATTTGGACATTATTCTAAGCATTATAAATTACCTAATCCATCATTGTTAACTAATTTATCACAAGTAGCTTCACATTAATAATTATTAAGATTTTAATAGAAATTATTTTTACAAGTTTTTAAACATTCTGTTCCTTATTAAAAATATTTAGCAGCACATTTTTAACAAGATGTATCAGAAGTACATTCAAGACATTCTTATGGACAAGATTAACATTTTAAATTAATATCAGAATAAAATCCTTTAGGACATTCTAATAAACAACGATCTAAATATTTAACATGAGTATTTGGACAAATGGCAACACATTTTTTAAGTGAATCAACCATTAATAAAGTTCCTGGGCATTTTTCAACACAAACATAACCATAATCACTACGATAATAAGTAGGATTTTCATCACATGTTAATGAACATGTTCTACCATCTAAATAATAATTGGCTGAACATTTAGTACAATTATAATTGGTACCATCATCACATCTAGCACATCTAGGTTCACATACTTTACATGTATCAACATCTAAGTATTTACCTAGTGAACAATAATATGTGCATCTTTACCCATCCACATTAAAATTGACTGGACATTGATCATAACATTCAAAAGTAGTACCATCATCAAAATAATAGTTAGGACATGTTGATTCACAAACAAATGAGACAGTATTATGAAATTTTTTTATGCTTGGACAAATTTGTACACATATTGTATCATATAAATAATAACCCCCTTTACAATCAATACAATGAGATGGCCCACCTTCACTACAAGTATTACATTCATTTGCACATAATAAACAACTGTTATTAGCTACTTCCGCATATGTTCCATCAGGACATGTATTTTAACATTTCTAATCATATGCATAATATCCATTAGGACATTTCAATAAACATTTTGTATTAAGATGTAAATAAAATTATGGAGGACATGCAGTTAAACATCTTTAATTATATGAATCTTCATAAGGATTTAGTAATGGACAAGTTGTGACACAATCACCACCTACTAAAAATTATGTGTCTACACATTTTGTACAATTTTCACTTACTCCTACCTCTTCAATATTATCACATGTATAACATCCATCAGCACATTTTTCACAGATGAATCCATTAAATATTTTCGAATCTGTAGAGTACTTTGGAGTAACTGTAATTGTACTTTCTTTTGCAACATATCCTATTGGACATTAGATAACACATTTTTTAAGAGTATCTTGATACTAATTTAAAGGACAAACATATAAACATTGCATACCATATTGAACTCCAGGAGCATTACAAGTATCTGTGCATTAGTTTTCTATTTAATTTGCAAATTTTGTAGTATCTGCACAAAAGTCTTCACAAATTGTAGTTAATAGATAATAACCAAAATTACATTTGGAACATTCTTTATTTGTACTACCAAAACATTCATAACATTTAGCATGACAACTTTTACAAATTCCATTTTCATCAAATGTTTTTTCAGGACAGGCCGTCAAACAGTCTTATTTAAATTATTTATATCCAGTCGGACATTTCATACTACAATATTTAAGATCTTCAGTCTTAACTTGATAAATTGCACAACTATCAATACAAATCATTTTATCAGAATCTTTATATGCAGTATCACAAGTAGCACTACATAATTAAGTAGCTTTAAGTAAAAATTAATTAGGAGGACAATCAACACATTAAGTAGCATTTGTACAAGATTGACAACTACTTTCACATGCTAAACATTGTTTATCATCCAAATAGTATTTACTGTTACAATTTAAACTGATTTTACTATTAATATTAGTTGTACTAAAATCTCCAGTCTACTTTTCAATACATTCATATGTTCCAGTAGCACAATGACTTATTGTAGCAGGTGCAGGACAAGTATTACTACTTAATGTAGATCCAACTATGCATTAAGTACATGTATTAGCATTTGTTCCTCTTAGACAATTTTCAATATTTATCACTTAACATTATGTAGAATAAAATTGTCCTTAAGGACATTACAATAAATTAGATGCTGTTAATGATGATGGTATTCCATAGGTACCTGCCTCTTTGCACATTCCATAAGTATCAGGATTTCCACTGCAAGCTATACAAATAGGATATAATTCTCCAACTTCTATTAAACACTTCTTAGAATTTGCAGGATTGTAAAATTGAAAATTGTATCCTCTAAATATTCTTATATTTGCATATTTAAAATATTTAGTATTATCATTATTCCAAATAGTAGTTGTTGGATAATCTCCAATAAAATATTAATCAGATAGGGAATCACTGAAAATTTTAAATGATTTTTTTCCATACTCTTAAAAGTCTGGTGTAATAATATCAAATAAGGCCATTCCTGGTTTAGGGTTATCTGGATAAAAATTAAAATTGTTATAAATGCAAAATAACATTGGAATCCATTTATTCATTAGTGCAGACATTTATCCATGTGATTCACCTACAACTCCACCTATTGATACTTAAACATCAAAAGTTGAAACTGAAGAAATAAATCTTATTTAAACTAATGGATTTAAATTTTAATCTGCTCTATATAAAAGATTCATTTAACTATTTGGATTACTAATATAAACATTCACAGATATCATAAATTTATCACCAAAACTACTTCTTAAATTATTAAATTATGCATATTAATTTTATTAGAATTACCAACCCCAATTAGAATCAAATGTTACACCGCCTATTAATGTTCCAACATCTTATGTTGATGATAAAGCATTTAATGCAGAAGTAGTTGATGGAGGTAATGTCATCCAATAAGTAATATATTCTAAATCATAATTATATGCTTATCTAGTGGTCTCTGTATATAAATTACCATAATATGTAAACTCTTTATACTTTCCACAAAACCCATTAAAATTAAATAAACTCACCACCTTATTTTTTATCACTATTCCTGCTGAATCTCCAAATGTAGAAATTGTTTTCAGTTCCAAAGTTGAAGAATATATGTATATCCTTGGTAATGTATCTGAATGCGTTGCTACCTTATAATGTAAAAGTTTCTTTGTTAAATTTATAGAAACTAAAACATAAATCCATCTGTCATCAACATCTGATATTGCCAACTCTGAAGTTTCTAATGTCATACAATCTTTAATTGTATAACAACTCTACACTTTTAATTATTCATTTAGAGTAGCAGCCAAATGAAAATTACTATTATTTTTAATTCATATAAACATACGCATAATTATTAGTATCTGGACCAATTAAGAATAGAAGGTTTCTACTTGTACTTAATAATGAATCTTTCTTGAACCAACCTTCTACTGTAAACTATTTATAAGCTGGACCTAAAAGGCTGTTTGGTATTTACAAAATATTGCTAGTTGTGTCACAAGGACCAGACTAATTAATAAAACTCAATTTCTACTTAAACTGTAGTGAATGGTTTGTAAACAAAATATCCTAATGAAAGGCAACATAGTTAAAAAAATATCAGCAACATTTTTAAAATAATTAATTTATATTATTTCATTAAGTCATTTTAGACTTTTATAACGACTATTCTTATTAGGAAATCTATAATTAAAGATCCTTTATTTATTTTTAAAGTAAATCCCCTGTCTACACCATTTGTGTAATCTCGAATTTTTCGTAAATTGGCTAAATATAATATTATATATTTTACTAATCTCTCTTGATAAGTCTTTAAATTATAGTGATTGAACAAACATTCATTTTCTAATATTTTCAATCTCCAACCCTGATTTAACGATTTTATTAAATCTTATTATAATTTTATAAATTCATTTTTCCTCTGAAGTTCACCCTCTAATTAGTTAACCCTTTAATTCTAAACTTCTGATATTCGATTTATATCATTAGAATGCTTCATTTACTTTGAATACTCATTTAATTTAATATTAAGATCACGAATTATTTAATCCCTTTTAAATATCTCATTTTCCAATTTTTAAATTTACTCTCTATTTTTATCATCACCTATATCAAATTATTATTATTATTTTATTGATTATTACAACTTTTAATTTTCTTATTCACTTACAACTCTTTTTTTCTTTTCATCATCTAATTCTTTCATTAATTAATTTAATTTCCCCTCATAAAATTACATTTCCTTTTATTATACCAACACTTATACTTTCATCTCTTCTTCATTTTTTTTTTCTTAATTTTTTATTTCTTCATTTTTTACATCTTGAGTTTTAGGTTATGCAATAACTGTTTATTTCAAAAATGCTCCTTTTTATTTACTATCTTTTTTAATTTCAACAAATTCTTATTTTTTTTAAAGTTCAATCTACTAAGTCTCTTTTTACATTTCACTTTTTTAATCCTTCTAAACTTAACTTGGCTCTATACTAATAATTTTGCTAAATTCCATTGATTAATCAATTATTTCTACATCTTCCAATAGCTAAGCTTATTCCAATTCGATCATTTCTTTAACTTTAATCTTTATTTAATTAAATGAATATTATTTATTAAGCTTTGATTAAATTTTTAACCATTATGTTGATAAAGAATTTATCTTTTTTCTTAATAAAATTCTTTTTTCAATTGACTTCCTAAATAAAAATCTTTTAATTGCTCTTTTTAATTTTATTAATTTATTATGTAATTATTTTAATTTAGTTCTCATTATTCTTAAATTTTTATATATTCTAAACTATTTCTAAATTTTTACAATATATTTCAATCGAAATTCAATTAACAAAGTATCAAAGAATTCTCTGAAATGTTATTTCATAAATATTTTAGTTTTTCCCATTTGATAACTTAATTAATTTTATTATTCTTTTAAAAATTAACCTATTTTTTAATTTTCTCCTAAAAGTTTAAACATTTCTTCAATATTTTTGATATTCTTAAAATTTTTATTAACAAGATGTTAATATTTTTTAATAAAATCAATATGTTTTAATCGAATTTCATATCCTGCTTTTCTTATTTAAATTGCTTCCATTAATCCTGCACATGTCATTTATCTCCTAACTTCTGATGCCTCAAATGTTAATGGTTATTTAAAATTATTTGGCTTAATACATCTTATAAATTTTGGAATTGACATATTTAATAAATTTAACAATTCTTTTAATGAGTTCTAAAATTTAGTTACAACATTGTTTAGTTTCATATTTTAATAATCATTTGAGACATTAGACCATATCTCCTTTAAAACTGGATTTGTACTATTAGGTAAAATTTTAAAAACCTCTCCATTTATAGAATCTCTGTTTTTTTCAACAAATCCAGCTACATTATAAGCAACAGCACCAGCAAAGTGTTTTAAACAAAACCAATCAAATTTTGCTACTCTATGTATTTTTTTATCAAATCTAGGCTCAATTTCAGCAGTTTACAAATCACTAACCAAAACCAAATTATCTTTAGGTAATTATTTTAAAGAACTTAAAAATTCTTTATCACCTCGATTTTACACAATAGTTTAATCAATGAGCATTTTATAAATTGAGACTGAAGAATTTTCTATCAAATCTATAATTTTCTTATTATCTGGAAATTTTATTTATTACCATTTTATTGATTCTTAATCATATTCTTTCTACTCAGTTACAAACATTTATAAATTAAAATGTTGTTATAATTTTTCATTTGTAAAATTGATATTTAATTACTCAAAACTATTTGTATGTAATCCATTTAAATCAGTAAATATTTCAAATCCAAATATATCTAATATACCTATCATATGTTTAGTTAATTAAGGTTACTATTAATTCTAAAAGCTTAAAGATTTAATATTAAGTAATTGTTAATTAATTTTATCTATTAACCAATTAAAAAGTTTTTCATATATATGTTTTGCTAATGTATCTCTTGCACTTTAAGCATTTTCTAAATTATTGTTTTTAGTCACAATTTCTTTTCCAACTGAAGTAAAGACTTTACAAATTAAATCATCAAGTTATTAAATTTGAATTCCTAATAATTCTGATGCAATTTTGAGTGAATTATCAAGTTTTAATGTAGACTTGACTTAATCATATTCAATTTTAACATTTCCTAGATGTAATAATCCTGCAAGTGTATGATAAATATATTTTTTTTCATTAGGACTAAAATTTAAATTATCTAAACATATATCTGTTTCTTCAAATTCTTATTTTTCATTTCTATTATAAGATAGATCTCCATTTTTTAAATATTCATATTTGGAAGGTGATGTAAGCTCTTTAATAATAACAATAATATACATAATTCTGGAATTTATGCTCCTATAATCTAATAGAAAATATGATAATTTCTTTCTTAAGAACTTATTTTAACAACTCTACTTTTTTCTAATAAATATTTATCTATTTTAGCAGTACTTACTCTTTTAGTATCTGCATTAAAATATAAGTGCATAAATTTTCCAAATCTACTAGAATTATCATTTCTGGCTGTTTTAGCATTACCAAATGCTTCTAGAACAGGATTAGAAGCAAAAATTTATTATTCTATCGTTTAACCTTATTAAATTGTTCTAAATAAACCACTTTTTGATTCAGCTGCTAAATATTTTAATAATATTTTAGTTGATTCTGTTTTTCCAGAACCACTTTCCCCTGAAATAATCATTGAACATATTCTTAATTCCTTTGTTGGACTCTCAAATAATTGATCAAATTATAATTATGCTATTTTAAATAAATGAGGTTGAAATTCATTCTATTTTGTACTTGTTTTTAATGATGCTTAGCTTTGCCCTAACTTAACTTTATAATAAGCAAGTGTTTCTTAATTATAAATTTTTGGTAGAAAAACATAAGGATTTATTGATACTAAAATAGGAGAACCAATTTATGTATAAATTTATTCCTTTAAGTATCTAACTCGAATATTATGCAGACAATTGTATTCATTTAGATCTGATAGCATCTAAAATATTAATTTAAATAATATTACTAAAAGATCATCTATTCCTTGTTTGGATAAGGGGTCCACTCTGAATTTCGTGGCAAATTTAGTTTCATTTAACTTTTCAATTTTACAAACTTCTTTTTCATCATCAATCCAAATTTCATCATCAAAACTCATATTATATTATATTTTTATTAAAATAAATGAAAAACGAAATAATCATGGTTTTATTGCTCTTAATAGCTAGACAAATAGAAGCATAAAATGGTTTTTAACTCTTTGATTAAAAGGGAGATATTTCTTTTGATAATGTAAAAGTTAATCTGAAAAAAATATAAAAAAAATAAATAGAAACTCAAGAATCTGTTAAAGAAGTTCCAAAATAATAATAAATAGGAAAATCTTAAAAGGAATTATTAGAAGAATAATTATAATAAATAGAAAAATATAAACCTTCTAATATTACAATAGAAGGAGGGAGAGTATTTTCATAATAATAATAAAATTAATAAAAAGAAATAGATGAAAATTCAGAAATGGATGAGTAAACTGAAAGTGATGATGAAGAGGAAAATGATGAAGAAGATGAGGTTCTTTTAGCTATATAATAAATATCATCAGATGCATAACTTGATGCTATAGAGTTTATTTTTAAAAAACGGCAGATGGATTATTAAAGAATGGAAAATCTAATAGAAATGATTGATAAATAAGAAATTAATGTAACATTAAATTAAATTTATGAATTAAGTTCTAAATACTCATTTTTATAACTGTTTTAATAAGCTTTAAATTAATTAGATATTGAATTTTCTGAAGAGAAAGAAGAATTAAATGATAATGAAATATCTGATATAGACGATTATTCAGATGAATAAAGTGATAATGAAAAAGACATAAATTAATTTAATGAATTATAAACAGATTTTACTTTTGATGATTTAATTGATTTTGATGATGATGAATAAAAATATGAAAAATCTGATAATTAAGAAGAAACAGACCAAGATTAATTAGATGATTTTGATTTTTATGATTCTGATAACATACCAGATGATATTGATAATTCAGATTTTGATGCATTAGAATTAGATGAATAATAATATTAAATTCATAATTCATTTATTACAGAAAGTTAAGTAAATTAATAGATTACAGAAGAAGAAGAAGTATAAAATGAAGAAGTGGAAGAACAGATTTTCAATGAAGAAGAATTTATTCTAAATTTTTCTCCATCTTCAAAAATAGAATAACAATCAGAGGAATAATTAATTTATTCAGAGTTTGAAGAATTAATTGAATAAAGTTATTCTGAAGAAGAAGAAGATGTAGAAGAGTTTCATTTGAATATGTAATCTTGATAAATTGATCTTAGTTAAGATATGATGTAGTAATCCTAAGAATAATAGTAACAATCAGTTAACCAAGATAATACTTTTATACCATTATAATATGATAATTTCATTTAATTACAAAAAGTTGAAGATATAATCATAAGCAAAGAAGAACAAAATTAAACATACATTGATGAAAATATACCAGTAGGAGTTTTAAATTTTCAAGAAAATTATGACAATTCTGAAATAAAATTATAAAAAGAGTTTGAATTTAGTCCTAAAAAATTAGAGAATAATAATAATAATAAAGACCTTAGCTAATTATAAGCTTAATTTGATTTATCTAATGAAAATTTAGATCAAATAAATTAAAAATATGAATAAATGAATTCAATATATAATTAAGAATCTGAAATTTAAAATAATGATACTCTTACAAATAAAGAAATTTAACCTTAATTTATATAAATTTCATAAAATACTGAAGTAAATTCAAATAGTGAAAACCAAAATAATAATTAAGAATAAAAATAGACAAATATTAATGATTAAGAATAAGAAACTAAAATAGAAATTCATGATGATAATTTAAATATAAATATTTAGAATGAAATTTAAGATTTGAAAGAAGAATAGTCTAAATAAAATGATTAAAAGATATTCATAGAAAATTAATAAAATAATGAAAAATAGGTTGAAAAAGAATAAAGGTAAACTTCAAAATAATAAATTCCTATGAGCAAACCAGCTTAACCTCATGAATTGGAATTTGATAAATAATAGTCAAATTAATAGAAATCAGATGAAGAAATTTAATAAGAAAAAGAAATGAAAGCTAGAGCTCGTTATGCTAAAAGATATTAAGCTTTAGATGTGGCTAATGATGAATAAAAAAAGAAAGAATAAGAGGAAACTCATTTTGTGGATGTTGATAAAAGCATAGATGATATTTTTATTATTTAATCCTTAGCTTCAACAAAAAAGAATAACGTGATAGAAATGAAAAATCTAAATGAAGAGCCAAAACCACAAACATTATAAGTTACTGATTAAGAGAATAATATAAATATAGAATAATATAATTCTGTTGCACAAAAACATCTAACCAAAACTAATAATCAAAAAACATAACATTTTGTAGAAGCTTTTGTATAAGATATGTCATTAAAATCATATAATTGTGATCCAAGTTATTATGGTCCAAATAAGGAAGCTCGTTCATTTGCTTGTTAATGTTCAAATAAAATTTTCTTATTAGATGAAGAATCATGGTATTTAGCTGGTACCATTCAATATTATAAGTAATATGAAAAATTATTTGAATAAATTAAAAAAACTATTCCAATAGTTTTTGTTGGAACTTCTAAAGATAAAGTGTGCTTCTCATCATAAATGCATTAGCCTGTTATTTTAAATGATTTTTTAAGGGAATTATTCTTTAAGACAAAAATCTAAAATAAGTTTATCTAAATTCCTAATATTATTTCAATGTCTTATATGTAATTAGAATATATAGATAATTAAATTCGAAACTTCATGATGGAAGCAGAATCAAACGATGAGATCAAATTTGCTTATGGTTTCAATATTCGCTAAATATTAATGAAATTAGCTCAAGAAGATCTTCATATATAATATATTGGTTCATTTTTAGTTCATTAATAGTAAGTTCCTTTTAAATTGACAAACTAATATGGATCATTAAAGATTGATACTATGGAGATTACTGTCTAATTACCTTAAGATGAATTAATTTGTTTACAAATATGTGAGTAGATTTTAAGTGGTGATGTTGCACAACAATTGAAAGCTTTTATAAACTTTAAAAAAGGTCAATATTAAATAACTGTTAAAGTATTGAGTTCAAATGAAAGCTTTGAAATTTTCTACAGCTTAAAAAGTTGAGATTAATTTTCATTTGAATTAACAAAATTTGTTTGATAATATTAATACTAATATTTAAATGTAACTAATTTAATCAGTCTTATGTTTTATATAATGTTAGATTAAATATTAATATATAAAACATTAAATTTATGATTAAGAATTTATATAATAAACTCAATCTTTCTTTCCTTTTTTTGAATTCCAATATGTTAACATTTAAAATACTAGAGTAAAATTTAAAGCTACACTGATAACATTTAATAGCTTAATGAAATATATATTTATATTACAATTAACATTCCATCTGTTGAACTAACTAAAATGGTGAAGCATCTTGCAGCTGCTCCTGCAAATTATAAAAATATTGTTATAAAGGCAAGTTATCCAGTGTCTTTATTTCTAAAATTTGACCATATTTATGGTAGTCTAGCAAACATAACTAAAAAATAATCTTGTTAAAAATTTACTCAAACAAATATTTATTATTATGGCTAAGTTAAATATACTATTTGGAATCATTCCTGTGAAAAATGGGAAATTTACACCTATAAATATGGCAGTTCTGACATAAAATTATCTTAGAGTAAAAGATTTCTCATAAATCTTGAAAAGGGCAACAATAATTATAGTTTAAATTAATATAGCTATATTTTCAGCATAAAGTTTCCAAGGATTTTATTTATGCACATTGTAAGCAATAGAAAATGAATATACAAAGAGCTTTTTTTAATTTTATAGATTACTTCAAAGAAAATTGAATCAAATGATAATCCTGTAACTTTTGATTTTTGAATAATCTTATAAATCTAAGGGGCTTTCAAGATGACTGATAATACTATTATTGTATAGCTAATTATTTCGGATAAAGTCTTTTTAATGCATGAAATATGTAAGAAATCTTTTTAAATTACCAATTTATCAAAGCACTCTTCCGAAAAAACAAAAAATACTGTTTTTTCATCATTTTCTGTACTTTTAGCATAGCAGGTACAAAACAATGATGTATACAATATAAACAAGATTGTTAAGTATCTCATAAATTAAATTTATTTATTAAATGATGCTAATTTTGATTAAAATATTTTTGATGAATATTTGGCAGATTAAAAGATGTAGCTACATAAAGATGAATAATAGTAATTTTATGATAAAATTTTGATATAAAAAAAAACAAATAGATAGAATTTAACTCAATTACATCAAAATTTTAGAATTTTAAATATTTGAATCATAAAAGGTTGTATTAAGATTAATATATTGTTTTATTTATTTGAACTAAATTAAAATTTTAGTTGAAGTACCACATGGGTAAACAAATAAATGATTTAAATATAAAGGAAATAAAAGGGATAAAATATTTCATATGATATAGTTATAAGTTTTGACTTTAGAATAAGTTAATAGAGATCTAGATAAAATTAATTTAAGGGATAGAGGTAGTTGTAAGTAATAAAATAAGAAAGGGTTATAAATTTTGAAATTCATTCTAGAGTGTATTTTTATTTAATAATTTTCATTTATTATAATCATAAAACTATGAATAGACATTTACGATCAGGTTCTGAAAAAAAAATTTGGTTAATTGATTAAAAAACAGGGAGTACAAGTCTGAGAACATCAGCATCCCGTATTCGTTTAGGTAATGTTAATTCGTAACCATCAATCAGATAATATTATAGTGGTTAAGTAGTGTATAATAATATGTAGTACTTTTATGATAAGCATAAATCGTATAATAAAGATATTTCGAAAGTGTTTAACAAATTTAACAAATTGAATTATTTACCATAATAGCATAGTTTATAAAATCTTACTTAAGATCATTATGTTACTAGAATAATTCCGGTATCTCCTAGTCAAACGGTGTTTTTAGATTAACAAATAAATACGAAAGTAAACTCAAGCAAAATGTCTCATCGTAAAGTAAATTCTTTGTTAACTGTAAATAAAATGTCATATTATTAAGTTTACACAAAAATAAAAACTAAAAAATGCAGGATCCATATAAAATATAAAATTAAAGGAAAGATTAGTATTGATAGTATTAAATCACAACTTGACTAAGTACAATTTTATAATAAACATTGATGCAAATCAATAGATAATTTAAGATATTGTTATTTTAATATACCTATACCATTACAAAGAAGTTCATAAAGAGAAGCTGAAATATTGCTCCATTAAGTAGGTAAGGAATTATTAGATTAATTAAAATTGGGATAAATTGATTTATATTTTTATTCTAAAGTAATAATATTATTGATTTAGAAAGGAGAGCCTTTGAAATCTTTATTTGATTGTTAAAATCATAAGACGATTATAGTATCTCCAACTAAATAATTTAATGGAATTACTGAAAATAGTAAGGCATTAGAGTATTTGGATCATTTAGAATTTGTATTGAAGGATTAACCATCTGGAGAATAAAAATCTGAAAGTTTAGAGACATTTATTAGCAATAAATATCAGAAAAACATATAAAATATAGCAGACTATTTATAATAATAAGATGATAAAGTTTCTAATTTTAAATTAAATTCATAAGAAGCTGAAAGTTTATATAAGAGATGTAAATTAAAAGCATAGAAAAAATTACATTTAGATGAAATTTTATAAAAAAAGTTTAATGAAATAAACCTAACACCATTAACTGAAAAATATGAAAATCAAGATCAGTATTTAAACGATGATGAATAAATTACAATTGAACCTAGATAATTAGAAAATGAACATTTTATTAGGTAATATAGTAGAGAATTGTAAATTTTATAAAAAACTATCATTTAAAATCATGATCCAGATGCTGTTGCTCCAAGTAATCTATATATATACTTTAAGTGGTGGTTCTAGGTGGAAAACTAGTGAAATATGAAGATCCATAATATAACCAGTAGCATTTAGATAAATTATAGTAATATATTGGAAATAAAAAAGAAAATTAAAATACTTATGAAATACAGTTTGCAAAAAGTGCTTAAACTAGTAGAAATAAATATTAACATATCAAAACTAAAAAATAATTATTATAAACTTTATAAAAAAGATAAAAATTATTATTTACTCAAAATATTCCTTAATTAATATCAGAAACTAAATTAAATAGAAAAGAACTATATTAAACATTTATATTATATTAAGCATTAGAAGCTGTTTCAAGTTAAATGGAGGATGCTTATGTAATAGGTGAAGGAGTAAGTTTTGAAGCATTTAGAAATGGTATCTATTAAGTTTCACTTCAACCAACTGATTTAGCAAAACAGATGTTTTAATAGATTGATTACAACTTTTCAGGTTATTTGAATTGGAGAGAATTCTTGAATTTAATGGTAGCTATTAGAGCCAAAACTTTAATGGATAGAGTTAACTTATTTATTAAAATTGCAGATAAAGATGGAAATCGAGCCTTATCTTATGAGGAAGTACATAATTTAACTAGAATTTGCTTAAGTAAATATATAAAAGTAATGAATTATTTTAATCAATAAGGATGATTGTTAATTATTGGATATGCTATGTGATTATTTTACAAAATTAATTTTTGAAACATTAGAAGTTGATAAAAATGATGATATTCCTTTAGAAAAGATTAAGTAAACAATTTTAGATGGTGGAGAAAATTGTTAATTATTAAGCATGTTTTGTGGAGCAGATTTATGAAATTTAAAATTTTTAAATAACTGATAGATAATTTGATATTATTATTATTATTATAATAATATTTCATTTTTATAATGGTAATTCTTATTTATCTATCTTAACTTCTCCGTCTAATGTATAAATGAACACTTATAATTTTTCTTTTTTGAATTCTAAGATCAAAAATGATGGTATTTAACTTAATATTATAGAAATAAGAATTACGTTTAAAGTCCATTAAATCCTCCAGTTGCTGATCCTGGATTAATAATATATTTCTTTTCAACTGCTGTAACTTTAGCAACACCTGTATGTCCTGTAATAAGTACATCCCCTTCCATTTCTTTTAAAAATGTATATTAAGATTCTTCATCACCATGAGGAACAAGCTATAGATATATATTTGAATAATTTCTACTTAATGACCATGTACTAATACTAATTTCCATGATCCAATTTATACTACTTTAGTCTCAGGTACATCTTTCACTTCATCGAAATCTCCTTTTACAAAATGTGTATTTCCTGAGAGTGTTTTTAACCAATCTTAAGTTTCTCTGTTTCCAACATTCCCTGTACAAAATACGTATTAAACTTTATTTGGTACTAAAAGTTCTTTAAATTAAGGTGGCAAATCAGCAGCTCTTTAAGGAATGTTAAAATCACCAATTACTAATCCAAGCTTCATTATTTTACATCAAATACTTCTCCAAATTCCTCATCATAATACTCAGACATTTATTGCCAATATTATTTATATTAATATATTATTATTATAATTAATTGTTCCATATTATTTCTAAATTCATTATTCATCATCACTTTTATCTTTTAATATTATTCTTAAATCATTTCTATCTCTAACTCATTTTTTAGAGTTTATATCTTCTTATTAAATAAATATAACTATTTAAATTGTTTAACATTCATTAAAATATTTTATTTTTTGTTTATTTCATCAGTTTCTTTGAAATGGCAGCCATTTTTCAAAAATAAAACTAAGATGTATATTTTTAGAAATTGTTAATATTATTATATAAATGAGACCAAGATATTAGTAAACTTAGAATGATAACAACACCCAAGTTAGAATTAATATTAAACATGATTCACCAATTCAAATTGAAGTATTAAAATAGACAGGTGAAAAGTGTGTAGAAAATGAAAAGATTGGACTTTACATCTTTTAAAATCAGAATAAATCTATAATGGCATCTTCATAAGGATATATTGTGTGGGCATAAAATTAAAAGATATTTGAGATACCTATTACTGAATAATATTACACAATAGGAATCATTTACAAAAATAAAAGCGAAATGCCTCATTAGGTATGAAAATATTATTAATTAAAAGAGAGAGCAATGTGAAAATAACATAACATCTACTTTACAAAATTATACAAAATTGAATTTTTATTAACTTTCCATTGAGAATTGTAATGGAAATATATAAATCTTAAAATGGAGAGTTAATATAGGAGATTATATATCGCCAACAATGATTTTAGGTATCTGCGTTGAAGAAAATCAAGAAGATGTAATAGATTTGAAATCAAAACTAAAAGGTCGAATCATCTAATTGGCAAAAACAAAAACATTTTAATTAAGAAGTGATATATTAATGGTAATTGATGTTACATAGACTTGCAACCATTTGAAAATAGAAAATACTTATTGTCTTATTTGTAATGAAAAGGTTATTAGAAATGCAGAAACATTGGATCTAAATTATTCAGATGATATATCTAGGAAAATTTCAAAAGAAATAGTTCTTGACATTTTAAAGAAAAGAAAACTCATAATGGTTCTTGATTTAGATTAAACTATTTTACATGCTATAAAAGTAATGACAAGTTTTAATAAATATGATTTTTGTGAAAAAGAGAATTAAATTATATAGACAGATAAAGAAGTATAATTTAATGGGTTTCAATAATTAGGATTTAATATTGAAGAACATTTTTTAGAAATGACTTGTGATTAAGATAGCAAATTTCTTATTAAATTAAGACCATATTTTGAATAATTCTTTTTAACATTAATACCTCTTTTTGATATCTTTATTTATACCAAAGCAAGTAAATCATATGCAGATTTTATATTAAATTATATTTCTGATAGATTAAATGAAATCATTCCTGAACATAAACCTTTCTTTCCTCCATAAAGAGTTTTATCATGTGAAGATACTATTTGTTCAAATAGTAAATCATTGAATAGATTATTTCATCCAGGAATAGCCACTAATTTATTAGTTATATTAGATGATAATGCAGAAATGTGGAATTAATTTAAAGATAATCTTATTTATACTAAACCTTTTGTTTATTTTAATGAACATAGTTCAATTAAAGATGGATAAGGGATTGTTAATGATATTGAAAAAGAAGTATTAATATATAACAAAAATGATTTTTGGTTATACAAAATTACTTAGAAATTAAAAGAAATTTCTGATAAATTTTGGAATCATATTAAATTAGCTCAAGATGATCCTAATTTTGTTGTTGAATTTGAATAATTAGTATGTAAATAAAAAAAAATTAAAACTGAAATTATTCAAGAAATAAATGGTAAAATGGAAGAAAGAACACTTTTAGATATGATAATCAATAGAAAAATAAGTGCTCCAACACTTTATTAAGAGATTAGAAGATCTGTATTAAGTGGAGTTACTTTATTTTTTGCTATATCTGAAGCACATGAAGAAACTATAAAGAATGGATTAGAATAAGCAAAGGATAAAGCAGTATATTTAGGAGCAAAAGTTTATAGAGAATTTAAAGAAGATATTTTTGTTAGTTAAGAAAATAGTTATGTGATTACTGTTGGAAGAAGGAAGATTAGAAGCATAATTATTGCTTAAGATAAAAAGATTCCTATAATACATTATAAATGGATTGAAGATTGTGAAAATTATTTGTATAGAACAGATTATAAATTATACATTGAAAATGATGACCGAAATAATTAAAATTTAATTGAAGATGATTAAAGAGAATATTTATTAAAGTGTTAGTTAATGAAAATATGATGGATAAACAATTTTTTAATTTGATTTTAATAAAAAAAATAAATTTATTTATGTATTAGTACTATTCATAAAGAAGTTCTATCTAAGAGAATGATCGTAACAGATCTTTTGGAAACATGTTTAGTTCCACTAAATCTGATACTCTTTAAACTGACTAAAGACATTAAGGATGTTTATAAAGAATATAAATATTACTCTAAGAATTAGAAAGAATGGCTGAAGCTTAATAAGTAGCTAATTAACAAATCTCATAATTAAAATAAGTAATTGAAGAATCTAAAAAAAACAATTAAACTCTGGTTTTAAATAACGGTTTTGATTCAGAAATACTTGAAGAATTAAAGCTTTAACAATAAAAATTTAATCAATATAAACAAGTTAAAGAAAAATAAATTGAAGAACTAGAAAATGAACTTAACAAAATTCATAAATAATTCAAAGAAGAAAAATTATCTCGTCTAGATTTGAACCAAAAATATGAATAAAAAATTATGGAGATTGATTTTTTAAAGAAAGAACTTTAGAAAAATGTATAAGAATAACCTTCAGATATCAATGATAGTGGTATTCTAAATTAATTACATGAAGATGTAATTGAATTGCAATGCCAAAATAAAGAACTTAAAAATCTTAACTTAGGTTACTAATAAAAAATATAAGAACTCTTAGAAACTTAAAACATTATGGATTAAAAATTGAAATAGTACTAAAAAGAAGTATCATTTCAACCCTCTCCAAATAGAGAGGAATTATCGTTTAATGAATAAAGAACAGATCCGATATATAAATAAAATAGAACTAAAACAATGTAGCCTACTTTTTAGATGAATAATGAAAGTCCCAATTAATAATCAATTTAAAAATAATCATTTAATGTTTTTTAATAAAGATTATCATAAGTTCAAATTGGATAAAAAAATGAAACGGATAATTTTAATAATTATTCTGAGACTATAAGAAAAGATTCTTTAAGAAATAAACCTAAACCTGTAGATAACATTAAATATTCAACAAGTAAGCAGGTTCATTAATTTTGATTTCATATTATTTTAAATAATTTAAGTAAATCATAATATATTCCATGTTCCTTTCTATGCTTTGGCTAAGACTTTATGAGCCAATCTTATAATTTCAGAATGTGAATCCCTATTAAATTTTTCTAGAGCTTCCATAACTTCTATTTGTAATCTAATAGGAGAACTGATTCTAGAATCAGGATCATCAACTAACTGAAAGATTCTAGTCCAAAAATTTAGGTACATCTTCTTACAACTTTACATGGACACAATTAAGAAGCAGCTGCTAATCTTATATCATTATCTTCATTATTAGTATAAACCAATATTTCATTAACATCTTCAGTAACCTTAATTCTTAAATGAGTATCTTTTTTAGTTAGAGATATGATTAATTGTTCTTACTCTTATCGGATTAGCATTTTTATTTCATAAAATTTTTAAATGCTTATTTTATATTAATAAAATAAATAATTCTTTATTAAATTTAAGATTTAGAAATTTTAAAAAGAATTAATCTATGTTATTTGAACTATAAATGATATAATTTAATTTAATATATCATTCAAGCAATCTGACTTCGCACTTAAATAAACCAACAGTAAAATGATATTATCCATCTGGATTAACTTTGAAAGTATATTACTAAAATATAATATATAAGATTTTACATGACTACTTCCTACCTTCAAAATTGTCACAGAATGTTCAGGACCATTCCAAGTAAGTATCAATTTATCATTTTAATCAAAATTGAATCCAACTTTTTTTGTGTTTATTTTTATATCATTTGAACTAAACACATCTAATATAAATATTTATTTATTACACCCTCCATGATAAAGTAGATAGAGACCATGACTAGATTCATTCCAGTCATGAAAACTAAATGCTCTTCTTCCTTTTGATTTTCTTTCATTCATGTCCATTACACCTATATATAAATTCTATTATTCCATTATAAAATACTCCTCCTCTTTCTTTCACATCAATAGTTAGACTTTATATTTAATCTTTTTCAAGTTGTTACTATATACATACTAATCCCATAGCATTTCCTTTTTCATATGCAGCTTCTTCTCTTAATGTAATAGAACTAGCTTTAAAATTGGGACTCCATACATAATGCATTCTACAATAGTATATTCTATATTTGTACTTTTATAAAATTAAAGGACTTTATAAATGTTATATATGCATATAACTTTATAGAGTAGCATTGCTTAATGTTTTTAAAGCAGATTCTGCTTAAGTACTTAACTCTTTTAAAATTATTTCATTTTCTCTTTTCCATTTTTCTAATACTTTTTATGGTCCCAATTTATTTATTTTTAATACTTGTAATAGACCTTGAACATTTAATGATTAGGGAGGATTAGATTCATTTAATTAAGTTAAAGTTTAATTAATAGATGCTTTATCTCCTCCTAATATATCATAAGCTTCTATAGTTCTATTAATTTTCAAAGAGTTACTCTTACTTTATTAGATTTTCTTCGAAAATTTTTACAGACTCATGCATTTATACAGATCTACTTTATATTGCTTTTATCAATTCATCTTTACTAAATTGTTAGTTTATTTATTCCTTCACTTATTAGGGAAATTGAGCACGAATCATCTTCTAGAATTCTTAATATAATTAATGATCATGAGATTTATGTGGATGATTCTCGTTTTTTGCTTTAAATAACCTATTTGATTAATCACATTTAGGATCTATGCATATATATTATTTCTCTTGATTTTCTTTATGTTCATTATTATCCATTTTATATATTATTATTAATCTAAATTAATTTATGATTTCTCAATTCATATTTTTACTTATCTAAACGCATTTTTTATTAGAAATTTCATCTAAAAACCTCATATGTAATAATCATATCTTATAAATAAGAATTTTCTATTGTTTATTTAATCACAAGAAAGAATAATTAATTTTATATACTTTTTCTAGAATAATTTAACTTAATTAGATTGTGATCAATATTTTTTCATGAAGAATTTTTCTATAAATTTATTTAAGAATATATACAATCTTAAACAACATAAATGAATAAAATTAAGCTCTCCTTTAGAAGCTCATAAAAGCAAAATCAGTTTTTTACTGATTAACTTCCAATGCTAATATTTTTTTATGAAAGAGTCTGTATTTTTGGATCAATAAGTGCAGTAATTATTTTTTCTTTAGAATTTATATACCCAATAGGATTTGGCAATAGTAAATATCTTATAATTTGTTTACCACTAATATTTTTTATATCCTTTAAACTCATCAAAAAATACCCAAAATTATTTAACTACATTTTACCCATCAATAATCTATTAATTGGTTTATTCTACAATATCAACCTTTTATTTAATTTTATACCTGACTTAAATTTGATGATTGGATAAACTGTTGTTTTAGTTTAATTCAGCCTACTTTTGGGTTCAAACTTTTTGTTGAATATGGCTATTATAATATTTAACTTTTCTACTTTAATTTTAGTTTAAACAGTAGTTTAGCACTCATTTAATGGAAATTAAGTAATGTTAATACTAGGTATTTTTATTCTTTAATAATTCAGCTCTTATCTTAACTTGTTTATCATATTATTCAAATGAATACCAAAAAAGAGAGTTTTTCTTACTTAAATAGAGAGATGATGTGTAATATGGTAGTTTAATAGAACCATTTAGTATATAACTTATGAAGGTTAAGTATGATAAACGAACAAATTTTATCAAATTAGAATCAAAAAATCAAGCATCAGAAGGATTTTATTTTTCTACTTAAGAAGAGTTTAGATAATTTATAAGATAAATTCAAATTCCAAAATAACAAAGGAGTACATTGATATAATCAAGACTTTCATCAGCAAGATTAAAGAATGATTATTAACAATAAAATTCTTAAGCTAAAATAACTAGATTATCAATTCCAAATTTTGAAAATTCAGAAACACTTGAGTAATTACTTCATAAATCATTCACTAATTAAAAAACAGATAATAATGATTTTTTATAAGGTTACGATACTATTGCAAAATGCGACTATAAAATAAAAATCCTATATATAATTGAAAAAGGAGAACCAAAAGCAATTGTGTTACTTTAGTAAAATGAAATAAAAAGACAATTGATTAAAGCCAAATAATCTAGAGATTATTTAAGGAAGGTAATCTCTTAATTCCAATCCTTATTTGAAATTAGAATAAAATAAATCAGTTCACTTTTAAATCCTAAAAAATAATTATCTTAAGCTATATTATTCTCAGAAATATCATTTCGCTTAGTTCAATTCATTTCAGAGTATTTTTCAATATGTATTAACAAAAATGATATTCCTAAATTGAAAATCTCTACAATTAATATTCATGAACTATTACAATAAATAGAAAATACTATTAAAGACTATTTAAATTATAAATAGATAAAATTTTCTTATTAAACAGATGACAATTTAATTATTACAAATAACGCATATTTGATTACACATCTAATATTAAGTTTATTGTGTTTCCTTATTCAAAAATCTCCAATATAAATTGTTTTATTAATAAATTAAGCTAACCAATCAAAACATTTGAAAGTAGATAATGTTGATGAAATTATAATTCAAATTTATGCTTAATTTTTAGGTTCTCCAAAAAGAGTATTTGAAATAGATTGTTTTAACTAAATGATAAAAAAAGTATTAAAGATTATTGGTCCAAATGGTTAATTGATAAATGAAGACAATACTAATTAATTTAGTTAGGAAATAAAGTTTGAATGTGTTATCTTTAAGAATATAAACTCTTTTAAAGACATTTTTTTAAAATTCTGAATTTTATAAATCCTTTAATAAATAAAACTTTATTTATATGATATAATCTAAATCTCTTAGTAAAAGAATGGTTTTTTATTTATATAAATTATGAATAATTAAATATTATAATAATTACAGTTGTATTTATGACATAGTTACCAAAACTCATCTAGGAAAATATATTATTTGAATGTAGAGGTAAAAAATTTATCATTATAAAGACTTAAAGTAATAGTCATAAGATAATATAATTTTTGATAAAATCATGAAAAGTATAAAAATACATACATATAGAGGTTTCGTCCTAAAAGTTGGTCCAACCAATTAGTATACATATCACAACTCATAAGAATAAAATATTAAGGGTTCCAACTTGTATTTATAAATATATGTGATTGAAAAATTAAAATTCACGATTGAATTTAGTTATAAAGATGAAGTATAGATTTATATAATTTATACAGTCTTATCAAATAATTGTGAGTCCAAATTTTCAATAAGCATATTCGAAAAATAAAAATGAAGTGAAAATATCAAGTGCATTCATATTAACAAATAAATGGATCAGTTTAGGATTTGATGTAGATAGTTTTTTTAAATTTGGAGAAATGTAATTGAAAATGTTAAGTATACAATCTCTTTGTAGATTAAAAAAAATTTATGAATCTAATATTGTGAGTAAATTAAAGTAATAATATTTTATAAAAAAGTGATGGTTAATGTATTATTTAAAAGATTTGCGAAAAAAGAATATTGGAATTATTACCTCTAAGTATTAGAGCTTAATCAGAAAAATTAGAGATTAGAAAAAATTAATTAACAAATTAAATAAGACGATAATCAACTATTTCTAATTCTTAAGAGAGGAATATTTAGAGCCAATCTGATAAAAAATAATTTTAATCTAAATAAATGAATTTAATATTATAAGAGTAAACAAAATAAAGCAACTTAAATGGATTAAAAGTGAAGTCAATTTCACATGCCTAAAACTAAAGAAAATTCATATAAATATAAAATTGTAAAAATACTTAAATGAATAAATTACAATAGTAAATAAAACCACTTGTATTTGAATAAATATCTACATAATCAAATTAAATTTAAGAACAATAATAAATACTTAAATAATAATAATAACTATTGTTATCAAATTCTAGCAGATCAAAGTAGATAAATCATTAAACAGGTGTATCTCTTACAAAATAATTATCATAAGAATGTTTACTAGGGAAGACAATCTAATTAGCAACAGGATTATAGGTTATTGAGGAAGTTAATTCTACAAAGCCTCCTATAAATTCAAAAACCAGTTCATCCACTTAAGTCAAGTTATAAAAAAAGGCTGTATAAAGTTTTTTAAGACATAATCAAGAGTTTTAAAATGGAAGTAATTATACACATGACACTTATGATGAAGCAAAAATAGAACAAGATTAAAAACATAAAATATCTTAAGAAAGCTCTGGAGTTAAAGATTTGTATTATGAATGCGATAATTCTGAATATTAAACAAAATATGGAAAATTTTCTAATACTTTTACTCGTCCTCTGGGGTTATCGTCCTATAATCATAAATTAGTTTCTCAATAATCCACTTAATAGAACTAAGGAAGTACAAATGAATATTTTTACTTGAGTAGCTAATAAATTGAATAAAATTAAAGTGCAAATTAAACTGCAAATGAAATTGAAGAATAGATAGAAGCTCCAGAACTAAAAAGTAAAATGACTGAGGAAAGTTTTAATTCTATAAATGGTCTATAAATTAAGTAAGAAGATAGTTAAGAAGAACTAGTAGTTTCAAAATTCGAATGAATAATTTTTGTTATTATTAAATAAATTTAACATCTTCTTAAATTCATAATTTATTTTATTTGAACTAAAATGTATAATATTAATAATTCATGTTTTTTCTTAAAAGAAAATTCCAAATTAATCAAAAAATAACAATCTAAATATGGCTGCTTTCATATATAATGATAATGTATGCAGTTTAAATTTTCTTATTATTTTATAATTAGATAATAAAAAAGTGCTTATGATACAATTGCTCAATAAATAAAATTAGTAATCAGAATTAAATAAAATGTGTGACTATTTCTTAAGATGATTTATGAATACTAAGATGCAAATTATTTGAATAAATATTTATTAAATGAATCAATCATTTCTCCAACCTACATAAACTTCATCAGTTCTAAATCTTTGAGTGAAAAAGGTATCTTTAAAATTGGTAGGACCATTAGAAAAATACTCTAAGATGCCTGGTTAATAAATAGAATAAAATACCAGTATAAGCAATCATAGCTCCATTATCAATACAATATCTTTCATCCATAGCTCCTACCTTACCACCTCTATCTTTGACCATTATAGATACCATTTCTTAAAGACGTTCATTACAACCAACTCCACCAACAATTATAACATCAGTAGATTCACAATGACTCATAGCTCTTTCTGTAACTTCAGTTAACATTGCAAAAATAGTTTCTTAAAGAGTAAAACACAAATCTTCAGTCGATAAATCTTAAGGAATTGGATTACTAAATTTTTTAACCACACTTGATTGTTTATTCTTTCTTTTTGCTTAATCATTACCTTCTATTTCAGGTAATTTAACTTATGGAAATTAAGTAACAACATCTTCAATAAATGTTAATAAACCACTAAAACTCATATCCATTCCTTTTACAACATAAGGAGTATCAAGTATATAATTCTTACCTTTTTTTGCTAATTATTCTATATTATATCCTGGAGCAGGATCATTACTAATATTAACTAATCTAGCAAAACGATCTAAACAATTCCCAACTGCTATATCAATTGTTTCTCCAAATACTCTATATCTATTTTTTGAATAAGCAATAACCTGAGTATTTCCTCCACTTACATATAAAACAGCTGGATTTTCACATTAAGTTGCTAATCTTCCCATTTCTATATGAGCAACACAATGATTCACTCCTACTATAGGTTTTTTATAAAGTAATGATAAAGTTCTTGCAACAGTAGCACCAATAGAAAGTGGTCCAGCCATTCCAGGACCTTTTGTATAACAGATCAGATCAATATCATCTAAGGTAATCTAAGCTATTTTCAATGCCTCATCCAAAACTTCTAATATTTTATTTCTGTGATGTTATGCTGTTTCCTTTGGTACAAATCCTGTCCCTGGAGGAGTTATATATGTTCTTCTTGGATTTGATAAGATATTCCCATCTTTTGTAACTACTCCAATCCCAATTTTATTTGCACTTCCTTCAATACCTAATGCAAGAAATTATTTATTCATAAATTTATTAATAATCACATCATTCTAGAATCTTATCCATGATCATTCAAATTTGCCAATTCTGATTCTTAACGAATTACTTAAATTTAATAACTTACATTATTCTATGCTGTTGGTGAAGCTAATTTATGTGCTTCATTATTTTCCTGGCCTAATTTATTAAGAAAGGCTAATTTAGGGTCTGGAATAAGTCTAAGAATCATTCTTACTATCAACCCTCCAGATCCTAATGCAACACAGATAAGCCTAAAATTATATATATCTATTATATTTACCATTATTCAATTCTTAATCCAAAATATGTATAACAATGGAATACTATTCCTCCAAATGTAACTAAAATTATTTGAAGTGTCAGAATTCCTATAACTATAATTGGAAATAATATATTTGTGAAAATGCCTTAAAATATATTTGGTTCATCTTTAATCCTTCTTGCATTCATAAAATTAAATAGTTGCATCATTACAAAAGTATTGAATATCACTGTGAATTGCCTTGATGGAATATATGTTTTTTCGTAAAAGGTTTCATAATTCTCAGAACCATCCACATAATAATCAGTGCTAAAGGAAACCAAATTACAGTAGTCATCATAATTAGGGCAAATATGAATTTTCAAATTATTATCATATAATGTATTAGAATATTTGTATTACAAATTTCCTTGAAAATCTTTACTGTCATCTTCTTATCCCTTATATTCAGGTATAAAATCTTAAGCAGAAAATAATAACACCAACATTATTATCATCTAATATATAGCTTATCCAATAATGTGTTTAAACATTTTCTATGAAATCATATATTCATTTCTGTTATGAGGTTTTCTTTATAACAATTCTTCTGTTGGAGTTTCTGTAGCTAAAGCCAAAGAAGCAAATGTATCCATAATTAAATTGACCCACAACATTTAGATAGGTTCTAAAATTTCTTGTTTAAGTAAAACAGAAGATATTAAAGTCATTGTAACAGCTACTACATTTACAGTTAATTAGAATTGTAAGAATTTCTTAATTGAATCATATATATTCCTTCCCCACATTACTGCCTTTACAATTGAACTAAAATTATCATCTAATAGAATTATAGATGCACTTTCTCTTGCAACCTCTGTACCTGCTATACCCATAGCAAATCCTACATCAGCTTTTTTTAAAGCAGGAGCTAATTTAGAATTAAAATTAATTTATTACCATCATTAGTACCATCTCCAGTAACTGCTACTACATGTCCTCTTTCTAAAAGACCTGTAACTAAAGCATACTTATCCTCTGGTCTGCTTCTAGCTAATACATCTAAAAGAGGATATATTTTGTCAAATTCTTCTCCATTTTTAATAGTATCCACTCTTACTTATTTACCTATTTATTTTGCAGTTGTTTAATCTCTAGGACAATCACAAATAGCAATCTTACACCATTTACATACTACACCTCCAATTCTATTTACAAAATCAGGACCTTCTAAAACTAATGATTCATTTTCATCAATTAAAATTCCACATTCTTTTGCTATAGCTTTTGCAGTTATTTTATTATCACCTGTTACCATTCTTACTTTAATTCCTGCAGTTTTACAACTAGCAACTGCTCCAGGTACTTCAGGTCTTAGAATATCTTTGATTCCTACTATTGCAATTAAAGTTAAATTTTCTGTTTCAACATTATATACGCCCTTATCATTTTTATTTGTTAAATCTTCAGTTCCATTTAAATCTCTATAGGCTAAACCTATTGTTCTTAGCGATTTAGATGCCATACTTTCTATTGCTTTTTCTATGTTTTATCTTACTGTATAATCTATAGAAATTATCCCTTGATTTCTAGAATGTAATTTATTACAACCTTCTAAAATGATTTCACTTGCTCCTTTTATAACTAATCTTTTTCCAATAATCATAGCCATTCTTTTTCTTTTGCTTGAAAAAGGTATTTTCATACTTGCAACATGAATTTCTCTTTCTTTTTCATAAATAATTCCACATTTTTCTGCAAATAAAATCATTGCTACTTCTGTTTTACTACCTTTTTCTTCTGGTCTAATCATTGCTGTTCCATTAACTATAGAGGCTTATACATATAAATCATGCATTTAAGAAGGAAAATATGTACTCAAATTTAATTATTCATTGTAAACATCAATATCCATTAAAGTATCATTCCAAATAGATACCATAAACATTTTATTTTATGTTAATGTACCTGTTTTATCTGAACATACCATATCAGCTCCACCCATAGTTTCACATGCTGCCATTTTTCTGACTAAATTATTATCTTTAAGCATTCTCTTAGTTGAATAAGCCAACGAAAGTGTAACAGCTAGAGGTAAGCCCTCAGGAATGGCAACAACAATAACAGTAATAGAGATTATAATAAAATTAAGCATTTCTTTAATGTGATCTTTTTCAAATGAATTATCTTTAATTCTTTCAATAGCAAATCTTAATAATAAAATAAATAAGATTAAAGCAGAACTTGCAAGTCCAAATTTACCAACATCTTATGCAATAGTTTCTAGTTTTTCTTGCAATGGAGTAGTTTATACTTCTTCCGTTGCTAATAAAGAAGATATCTTGCCTACACAACTTGAATCTCCTACAACAGCCACAATCATTTTACCTTCTCCTGATAATACCTTAGTACCACTAAGCATAACAGGAGATGAAACATCATGTCTACCACATGAATTTTATTAATCTTTTAATTTATCTCTTTATTTTTTGCAGTTTTCATATGTATCTTTTTTTATTGGATCAGTCTCACCTGTCATTGCACTTTCCTATTTATTATTAATTTAATAATTACGTCACTTGTTAATTCAGCTGCCTCAACAACAAAACAATCTGCTGGTATTTCCATGCCTTCAAAAATCTATATTATATCTCCTACCATCACTAGACTCTGATGCAAATCAATTTTACATCCATCTCTCCAAACTGTTACTGTTTTTCTACTATCAGCCATCTAATTTAAACTTTGAAATTATCTCTCCTTTTGATAATCCTAAATCTAATTTATAATCACATACATTCACTGCAGTCACATTGCAACATACAAATACAGCTATAAATATAGCAAATCCCTCTATCCAAGCTAAAGATCGATGATCATCATCTGCTGTTGCTACCCCAATAACTATTGACACTATTGAAGCCACTAATAATACTCTCATTATGAAATCCTAATAACATTCAATACTAATATATCAACCTCTAAAGCTTATAATAGTAATTATATATAGGTTTTTGGTGGAATTACAGGTTTCTTATTGTTTCCATAAAGACTCTCTCTCTCCTTAAAATCATCACCTTTCAAACCTTTAGTAAAATTTGTGCATAAACTCATTTCCAAATTTTATAAACCATCAATATTCTCTAATTCATCAATTTCTTCTGCAAATAATCGTTCTTAAGCTGCACTAACTATTTTCACTAAGGTTTATTTGCTAATCCTGAAATTACCACCTTAATGAGATAACTCTTAAGATATTGATAAGTTTTATTCATCTGAAAGTACTACTTGCAACATCAATATAATTAATATATCGTTAAATTTGAAATTCTCATATGATCTCTGAATCTATAGTTTATGTTTGGGGAGGTAATATCTCTTATAAACATTCTAGCTGACAATGAAGGACAATTGGGATTGGGCAAAAATAGAGGATCCTAATACTACCACATCCCTAAAATTTGCCATTACAAAATTGGTTTTATTTAAGTTTCTTGTGGCAAAGATCATACTGCTTTACTCACTTAGAATGGCCATGTCTATACTATGGGTTGCAATGAACATAATAAATTAGGGCATTTGACTAAATAATCCTTATATGCTCCATAAAAAATTGAATAACTAAGCAAGTACAATCTTTTATATTAAAAGAGAGTTATATAAGTCTCCTGTGGTTACACTCATACTGCCTGTATTACATCTGATGGATCCCTTTTTACTTGGGGAGATAATTCTGCTGGTCAATTAGGGATTAAACAGAATGGTAATTTAAACAAAGTTAATACTCTTACTAATTGTATATAAGTTTCATGCGGTAATAAACATACATTAGTATTAACAGGTATATTCATTAATTTATTTTTTATAAGATTCTTAAGAATGTTTTGGATTTGGATTGAACGATAACTCTTAATTAGGAATTTAAAGATTAAAAACTGTGATAGAACCTACGAAAATTAAATTACCTTCAATATAATAAATTTGCGCTGGAAATTTGTTTTCTTTATTCTTAACTTAAGATGGAATTGTCTATATTTGTGGATTAGGTTTTGGGAATTTATAAAAGTTAAACTACAAATGTATAGTTTTATATATAAATAGAAAAATTTATAAAGATTGATGGTAAAAGCACTCCAATAGGTTTGACTTCTACAAATGAATTGATATTTTTTGAATTAGATGAATAACTATAAAATATAAAAGACTTTTGTATGGGAGATTTGATTGGAATGTGTATAGGAGATAAAACTTATTAATGGTAATTTGATCCAGAATAGAAGAGAATTACTCAATTAAAATCAATAGATTAATTATAATCTAGATAATTAATACATTTTTCTGCAGGAAATAGTCATTTAATATGCATAGAATAAAAAGGATCTTCATCTTTTATAGAGAGTGTTTGTAGTTCAACCACAACACTAAGGGGAAAACATGAGGAAAGAAGTAAAAGCAATTATACTGAAAAGCAAGATGGATCTTAGAATTTAAAAATTTAGCAATTAGAAAAACAATTAGAAGAGAAAGATAGATTGATTTAGTAGATGAAATTAGATTATTAAACAAAAATACAATAAATGCAATAAAAATAAAAAGATATGGAAGTATAATTGTAAAACAAAGATAAAGAAATAGCTAAATTGTAATAATAAATATTAAATTATAAGAACTATTGAGTTGCATCGTTTATAAGAAGATAATTAGAATAAGAATTCAGATTCTGAGATATTATAATGCCATGTATAAGATGATGGAAGTGATGATGAAGACGATGTTAAAGTTTTGAAAAAATAAATTTCTTTACCATATTAGTAAACAAATCTCACTTATCACACTTCTCATTCTTAGTTACAAAATTATTCAAATTAATAGTAAGTTAAGAGTCCTGTAAAATCTATAATACAAGAAAATTAGTATGAAGATAGTCTGTAGAAAAATAAATTCTGTAAAACTGATAATGATAGGGATAATAAATACTAATCTTTTGAAAAATAAAAGAAAAAAGAAGTTTTGAATGAAAGACCATAAAGTTCAATCAGAGAGAAAACTAATAATAATAATGAGAAGACAAATCTTTCTACTATAAAATCAAGATTAACAGATTTGTAGAAAAATAAAGAATAGCTAGAATAAAGAATGAGACAATTTGAAGATCGACTTCGGGAAAATAAGTTATATACTAAATGATAAGATAAATAATAATTAGTATATTTCAATCTGAATACTTTCATTTAATTTTTTTTATAAAAACTAAGAAATGTATAAGAATTGTTATCACTTTAAGTTCTTTATCTTTTTTTGAATTGTAAATAGTTTAGAACTTATATTAGATTCAACTTATCCTTTGTTTCTAGATATAAGGTTTCAGGATTATCAGTAATTAGAGTATAATTCAGGAGATCTAAATCATCCATTATTATATCTGGAATTAATTTAGATTTTAGCATCGTGGTTTTTATAAAATACTCACACATTCCTGATATGTCATAGAAGTATTCAATCGCTTTTGTTTGTTTTGTTGATTAGTTAGGCATTTATCTGATGATATACTATTAACTTAGTTAATTTATGTTACAATTCATTATAAAGTCTTTGAATATAATTAGCCTTACCTCTTATTTTAAAGGAATTTAAATAAAATTGAATATTTTTGAATTCATATAAAATGTGACTCTCATACAGTATATAAAAAGTATTCTTAAATAAATAATTCAAATAAAATAATTTAATTTTAATGAAGAAATAGAAGTTTTTATATGTGATAAATTAATATTGGAAATGGTGAATCATCTTCTAGGTAAACGAGTGACTTTATTCTTCTTCTTTCTTTTGAAATTTGGATCATTTTTCTCCATTCCTGCCTTCACCTTCTTTGATTTTGAAATGGATTCATCTACTAATAAATTGTCAATTTATAAATTCTCAGACAAATGGAAGTATCTGATATTATTTCCTATGTAATGATAGTCAGCAAACCTCTTATTGTCAATTAATCCAAACCAACAGGATTCTTTCCTTTCAATGTTAATTTCACTTTGCTTAAATGTGTATTCATTCTAACATCTACTCCTGTTATTGTTCCTAAAACAACAGTACCATTTTTTAATTCAACAATGACTTATTCATTCTTAAGCTTCATCAGAAACCTTACTAATTTCATTGTTATTTTTTAATAATAATATAAAAATGATAATAACTCAAATAGATATATAAAAAAGATGATATCCAATGAACATAGATAAAGATGAAAATAATATTACTTGAATTAAAGAGTATATATAAATAATAATTTCTAATTAATATATCAAATCCCTTTGATAAATAATAAATAAAGTTAAATCTTAAAGGTTTAAGTAAAATGATTAAATAGTATTTAGCGAATAATCATTAAGAATAAAGGATTACAACTTTTATTTTAATGATTGTAAATTAAAAATGAAGAATAGATAATAAATGGCAAAAATGATTAGAAGGCAGGTTAACTACGTTTAGAATGATATAATGATTTAATTAATATGTATTTTTATCTTTTTTGCACCATATTATATTATTTCAATAAACTTTTAATTTTGCTTTTTTACTCTTCTAATTAATAAACCTGATTATTTTAAGAAGGTTTGGTTTAATGATAGTAATTACTGCTGTTCTCAAAATTATACTACCTATTCCAATTGCAATACAAACAAGCCTTTTATATTAAAAGTTATATTACCATTATTTAAGACTCAAACCATTAAATGAATATAAAACTATTCCTCCCTATTCTAAAATTAAATATTAAAATAGTCCAATCATTAATATTGAAATATAAATCATCCAAGAACAACAGAATTCGTGTAAGATATTAAACTTTAATTACACCATCCTAGAATTAATCAAATTAAACAAATTTGTAATTACCAAAATATTGAATACCATTAAGGACTAAATATTGATAATAATAAATTTACTTAATCTCCAAATAAAATGCATAAAGCTATGATATAGACAGATAATATAATTATATGAATATAATCAAAAATATCCAATAAAAATCTTTGTTTATTAAAAGATTTTGTGTGGAATAAATTGGCACTTGGTTTACAATAAGATAAAATAATTGATGCAAATAAATCAGTAATTAGATTTATCCAAAAAATTTGTAGTGGAGATATTATTACAATATCTCTAATAGCTAATGAAGCGATTAAAATAGTAATTAATTATGAATGTGTAGTAATTTAATATTAAACTAGTCTTGTAATAGAATCCAATAGATTTCTAGCCAAAATGAGTCCAATATAAATTTAATCAAGACTATCATTCACCAATACTATCCCTGAACTCTCTCTAGCTTTTTCCATCGCTAATTTACCTATACAATAACCTACATCAGCACTTTTTATAGCAAAAGCTAATTATTTAAATAGAATTAATAATTACCAGAATTTGCACTATCACCAATTACTCCTACTACATGTCCCAACTTTTATAATTCATAAACTATATTTTATTAATTTATTGGTGTTGATCTACTTATAACACAAATATCTTCTATTTCTTTTTTGTAATTTTCTGTTCTATTTTACAGTAGATTACTAAAATCAACTCCTTCCGTAATTGTTGAATCTGAAGTAATAATACCAGCTTACACAGCAACTTGCTATATAGTCTGTGAACTATCTTATCCAACCAAAATAACTTTAACACCTGCTTATTAAATTTGTTCAACAATTCTTTTTGTTTCACTTTTCAACTAATTTGAAATCATAAAGAAACCTAATAGTGTCAAATTTTCATTATCAAATTAAAAATTATCGTTCTTTATCTATTCTTCAACATTTTCATTTTTTAAATCTACATCTCTAAATGCTATAGCTATCATTACTCCAGGATTTTGTCTTATTTGATTTAAATTCTATTCTATTGTATCCCTTAAAACATCATCAATAGGAATAATCCCATCCTTCAAACTGTAAAATTTATTTGATGATTCCAATATTACTTTAAAAGAACCCTTAACAACAACCCTACTATTATCAATAATAGTTGTCTAATTATATAACTGAATATTCTTACTATTCTCCTTCTTTTACTTGAACTAGGTATAAAATGAGTCACTTAACTTTTTCTCTCTTCTATTTTAATTCCTAATATTTATGACAGTAAATAAAATCCTTTTTCTGTAATACTTTCATATGATTCATTTTCTGGATTATATGTATTATTTATAATGCAGCTATCTATAAAAGCTTATTTAAATTCTTATGGAAATTCATTGAATCTCTCTTAACTTAACTCTCCATTCGTATCATTTAGAAAACTATCAATACAATATATGTTTTGATATAGTGATTCAGTACAAATTATTAACTTGATAATTAAGAAAATATATACTTAGTTCATAAATGGTAAGTTTTCTAATGCAAATTACTTTCTAACTAAACTTTATGAATTTAACATTTATTTTAAAGTTTAAGCTAATCTTATTTAATAATTATATATCATTGTTTTAGATGAATTCCATGACAATAAAACTATTATAAAGTTCAGTATATTGGATAATGTACTATATCCATTTAAATTTTAATATTAAATCATGTACCTAGCCAGCACAATAAGGATTACAATTATACAACCTACAAATCCAATAATTTCTATTTTATTTGAAATATTTTTTATTTTTTCATATATTGGTGTTTCTTCCCCTCTTTCTTATTTGATTTAATTTAATATTTTCTAAGCAAATAATTCTGGACCTACTGCCAAAACCAACAATTTTCCTTAACCTGACATTACTTGACTTTCTGCAAATATTAGGTGGTTCCTTACTAAATTTAGCTCTTCTTATGGATTTGCTTCTTCTAATGTAATTTTGCGAACACATTCGTCCTCCCCTGTTAAAAAGCTTTGCTAAATAAATTATAATTAAATATTAATACATTAATTAATAAATTAAATTATTCCACGATTAAACCGTCAACATAGATTTTATCACATGCGTTCAGTATAACAATATCACCTACAACAATATCCTTTGCCTATTTAGTTTATTTTTTTCCATTCCTCAAAACAACCACAGATTTTAATTATTCTTCTAAATTTTGTTATCTTTTTTTATTATTATCATTGATTTTTAACTTGGTTAGGTTAATGTAAATTTACATAAACTGACTCTAATATTAAGGAATTCAATGAAATCAAAACAAATATTGTTATACTTTCAATCCATTCATTTGTATAGACTCCATCTGTTGATAAGTATGTTAAAATTAATGTGATCATGGACATGGATTAAAAAAATATTGTTTTTGGTTTCTATATTATATAGATCATTTACAATTAAAATACTCCAAATATTACTCATCAAGCTAATAGGTATGAATTTCTCTTTCTCATTGATTCCAAATACTTATTATCTCTAAGGAATATCACTTTCCCCCAATCCTCTTTCTATATTAGAATTTAAACATTCTTCAAATTGCTTTGTTGATTTGAACTCGCTCGTGCAATTTGCATCATCCTAATCTAACCCAGAAGTTAATAATTTTTGTAATTATTCTTTAGATACTTTAAACATAATTAATTATATATTGGTTTTGTGTTAATAAATTCTCCACATAAATTCTTTATTTTTTCATGTTGCTTGTGTCTAGATATTATTCTTTCTTTTTCTTTTGAAATTTCAACAATTAATAAAACTAACTAAGTTTAACAATTTATTAAAGTATTAAAACCGTATCATAAAAATAACTTTAAAGTCTATTATTTCATATTTTTTGAACCTATTTCTTAAAAATAAAAATTTTATTTTTTATCTAATTTTAAAATATTTTAGTAATTAATTTAATGGAGACTATTTATTGTTTGAATTAAGAGCATTCTGAAAATCCATTAAATCTATTTTGCTTAGACAATGAATGCACAAATAAAGGTTTAATATGTTCTTTTTGCTTATTAAAATTTCATTAACAACATGTAAAAAACGTATTTCCTTTAAAAACTATTGTATCAAGTCTTAATAGAGCAAATAATCCAAAAAACTAATAAGAATTGCATAATAAAGGGAATGAAATATTTGAAAAGCATCATAAAATTAAATAAACATTTAGATAAAATCTGATTGAAATCAAAGAAATTCTTAATAAATTAGAAAAAGAAATTGAAAAATAAATTAAAGTCTTAGATTTAGAAGCAGATCTATTTGTTGGAGATGCTTTTGAAAAATCTATTAAAGTTTTAAATATGTAGCAATTAAAAAAAGAGTAAATTGAATAAGCGATTGAAAAAATTGAACCTCTTCTAAAGACTTTTGAAGGATAGATTTGGATCTTAAGAGATACAGAAATTAATTAATAAGCCTAAAAACTAATTAAAACAGCTGAAGTAATTGAAAGAGAGAGCAAATTTTGGCTAGAAAAAGTATGCTAATTATACTATTATAAAGTGTCTTATCGATCTTAAAAAGCTTTATGAAACATGTTAAAATCCAATTAAAAAATAAGTGAAAATACTTACAAGCTAAAATAGATATTAGTTGACATATGAATAATGGAACTTAAAAGAAACAGATGCCATATGTTTTAAATCTAAAAAGAAACATGATATTTGGTTATCAGGAGTTGGTTTATATGAAATTACAACATGGCCAGAATAACCTTTATAATTTAATGTATAATTATTTGAAGGTGCTATTCTGAATAAGTATGTTTGTTAATTATAAATTAATAGAAAGAAAATAATCTATGAAGATACATTCTCTATCAAACCAGAAATGGAATTTTAGAATCATATTGGGAAAATTTATTTTAATAAAGCTATTAAAATTGAATTTGATAAACCTTATATTTTAGGTATCACTGATTCTATATTTAGCATTAAAACCTAATTAAAGTTGTTTGAGTTACTATGGTGCTAATGGTAAATTTGAAACAGAAGAATTTTCATATTCAGAACCATAATTCACTCAAGAGTTTAGTGATAATTCAACCACTATAAATCAAGGAGTTATACCCTAATTTTATTATGAAGAATGAAATTTAATTTTTATTAATCAATTTGAATTGAAATGCTTTAAAAAATTATATATTATCCTTATTTTTTTGATGCTGATTTAATAGCCAATCTTATTTATTTATAATTTAAGGGGATTTAAAAATATTTTTGAGGGTTGTTGTTTTGTATTTAATGATATATTTTCTATTTTTATTTAAATTTGATTGGATTTAGAGATATAAATAGATTTATTGCTCTTATTGATTGATTTACAATATAAAATTTACACATATTAATGTTTATTTTGATTTATAAAATATAATGAATGTTGTGGATTTGTTGAGAGATAGAGCATAAGATATTCGAATCTTATAAAATGGCCAGATAACTATAAGACAAATAAGTAATTAATTATTGATTTTCTGAGTATAGGGAGAAAATCAGATAAATAGTTGAAACTGATACTATGAATTAATTATTTCAAACCAAAAGGTTGTATAAAAATGACCTCTTGATTTTATAAGAAACCTTTAAATTTATAGTCAGAATCATTGCATTAGACTTTGAAGTTCTTTTTTTAAAAAATAAAATAGATCAATCATCTAGAACCAAATTTAACTTCAACAGCTAAGAACATTATTGAACTATATCAATATTTTGGTTTATAATCTAAGGCCGAATAATTATAGAATGATAAGCAAAATCAAAGTTAATGGTCAGTTTTTTTGATCTTAGTTCAAAATCTCATAGAAATAACTAGAATGGCTTTAGAACTCACAATAAAACGATAAACTAATCTAAAGCTTTTTTGCATAGGTAAAGAAATAGGAGAAAGAATAATACCATTAAATAAAAAAATATATGAATTAAAAAGAGTGTTACGAAGTGAATCAAATCATTAAGATTTTGTTTATCAATCAAAATAATCAATATAATAATTAGAAACATAATAAATTTATGATTCTCTTCCAAAAACACAAAGAGTAATTGAAGAAATTTAGAATAACTCTCAAGATACTTCTGTGATAAGAAATTCTCATTAAAGAAAAACTGAAATTACATATAGTAAACCACTTCCATTAATAAATCAGATGAAATCAAATCAACTTAGTTTATATAGATAACTAAAATAACGAAATTCAAGCATACACAATTCGATTTAGACATACATAAAACAAATTTATGATAAAAACGCAATATCTGAATGATTTACATATCACATTTCTACAACTCTCATGAAAACATCCTCTAATGTAGCTTAACTTATTCCCCAATCTTAAATTCTAAGTTCCTCTTTCTTTGACTCTATACACTCAAAAACTTCTGATACAACTAATTTATTTTTATCAACTTAATAAATAAAGTTCCCATTAAATTCTTGAACAAGTATGGCATCGGGTAAAATCTTTTTTAAGAAGCTTTTAATCATAGTTTAATAATATTTATGACTAAACTTAATATATTCTTTACTTATGAACATCGTTGTTTTTTTAAAGATAAAGTTCCTTATGAGAGCTAATAAATAGATGATAACCACCTCCATACATACTCTTTAAACTTGTAGAATTTCCTATACATCTGAGAACTCCAGAACTTAAGATACCAATCTAATATAGAGTTAAAAAAATTAAATTACTCGAGTACAAAGAACATCAGCTTCTTCCATTGAATGAGTAGTTAAGACCATGGCTCTTTTTCCTTTACATTGTGATATAATATCCCAAAGTTGTCTTCTATTTTCAGGATCTAATCCAGTGGAAGGTTCATCAAGAAATATTATTAATGGTTCTCCAACAAGTGCAATAGCAATTGATAATCTTCGCTTCATACCACCAGAAAGTTGATTTGCATAATAATTGAAATAAGGTTCTAATTTGACTTCTGACATACTCTATTATACTTTAATGCGTTCATTTTATTTGTTTATTCCTTTTAATCTAGCATAAAACAATAAATGTTCTTCAACTGTTAATTCAGGCCATAATAAATCAAATTATGGACAAACTCCAATATTCATTTAAACAGATTGCATATTAGTTTTAATGCTATGTCCACCCACATATGCTTCTCCATCATTACATGTATATAATCCTGTAATTGCTGATAAAATAGAGGTTTTTCCAGCTCCATTAGGTCCTAATAAACCAAATATTTCTCCATGTTCAACTGCTATACAAAAACATTTAACAGCCACATTATTTTAATATACTTTTCTTAAATCTTTACAAATAAGAGGATAATCTTCGTAGTTTTTAATTTTATATACTTTTTCTCTTTCATTTTTAGAATCCTAATCTTCTTAAGCATCTTAGATATTAATTCTGTATTCATCTTCATCCCTGAATTCTATTTTTTTCTTTTTAAAAAGTCTTAACACCCAAGGTTCACTAGAAACTCCAAATTCTTATGGAATTACTTCATGTAAATAAACACCCAAGAGTCCAAAGAAAATGAAATTTACATATAGTGAAATAATGCATCCTTAAATTTCAGTAGTCAGAGGACTTATTTAAGTTATACAACCTGTTTGTGCACAAGCTGAAATGAATAAAGTAGATAATTACCCATAGAAAAAATATAAATAATTCTATTGAAGGCTATTTATGGTATCATTTATAAATAGATAGGAATTTCATAAGGATCTGGATAAATGGCTAGATTAGTAGTAAGTGCAATTATTGAACCCCATACTGAGAGTAAATATCCAATAATGGTAGCAGTTCTAGCTTTACTAATAAAGACTTAGAAAAAAAAGGACAACGAAATTTAACATAAACCCCATCCAGTTAAGACTATAATCTATAAATATAATGACTGATTACTAGAAGTGTAAGATTTGTATCTGATAATAGAGCTAATTGTATTAGATATGAACCAGTAAAAAGAAAGAGTGAAAATGTCAAAAGGGTCATTAATCCAGAAAATAGATATTATAATACCCAATAATCCTTCATTTTCATACCATTCATTTTCATCATTTATAATAATCTCTCTTCTTTCTCTAAAACAATTGCATACAAAAAAACAGGAAGTAAGAGAGAAAGTGATAATGGATAAAGCATGGCTCCAATAACATTGATCAATTTTAATAAGAAACTTTTATCCTATCCTTTTAATGGCATATATTCAATTCCAGATACTAACCAAACATTAGGATTATGATAATGAAGTAACGCTCTTGAAATGAGATCAATTGTAGCTATTTAACCTTCAGCAACTAACATCATCGTATTAGTTTTATTTGGTTACACCTTGTTTTAATATCTAATAAAGTTTATTGCATATTAAGGATTACCTGAGTTTTGTTATCCCATTACTTCTGTGATATTCATGTAATCTGATATCATTTACTTGAATACTCATATTAATCTTCTTTTCATTAGCCTCAAAGAATGTATATGCACCATCAGGTATTAAATAAAGGTCTATCATTTAATAATATAAATACCTTATAGATCAGATCCTCTTACAAAAGGTACTGTGTGCAAATATTCTATTTGATGATAAATATCCAAATTTATAGTGCTATTGGGTTACTACAGAAAAGGCACGTTCTTAAATGCCATTTCATGATCTTAAGTTTGATAACTACATCCAGGACGTTGAAGGATATGTCTCAAAAGTCCAATTGATCTTATTGATATATGCAGAATTCTTACTAATTTCCATCATTATAACCTAAAAATTATTTATCCTATTCTCTTAACTAAGTGCTGTTGAAATAATACCTATGTATTATTATCTTATTATACCATTGTAAACATGTCAAATTCAATAATCCTGGTAATGCTGAATAAATAACTGGGACATTGAATAAATATGGAAAATCCAATGAAAAATTAGCTCCCTTGAATTAGTCGAATGCCACTTCTTGAATCAAATAGACAAATCCTAAGCACAAGAGAGGGGTAAACATCTAGCATAGATTAGTCCCTATCTATCGAGATTATAGAGCAGCATTTTTATAAAATAAAGCTCTAAATTAATAACTCTTCTTCATTTAATTTAATATGTTCTCAAACAATTAATACAAACATAACTTCAAGAACAGTTTCAACGAGTATTATTCTGGTCAATCCTATACTTCACTACCTAGATTTCTATTAATTCAAGAATTTAATAAAGATGCTAAAGAAATGAGCCAATTTGTTCCATTTATTAGAGAGCGAGATTAGATGAATCGTTTAGTTCGTATTAATTCAGAGAAACATAAATTAAACATTAATAAATCAAGATCTCCATCTAATAGAAATTAAACTCCTGATTAATTTTGGTAATTTAACAAAAATCAAATAATCCCAGAAAAGAGATAAAAGAGGAGCTTTAAATTTAATTACTAAATCAAAACAGAACCTAAAACAGAATAAATATTAGAACCTCTTCCAAATAAATAAAACGAATTAGATATATCTAATGTTAAAACGGATAGAAATGTAATTTACCCTCCCATTCAAATGAAATAGAGAAATAATAAATTAGCACATACTAATTTATATGGAAAGTAGAATGAAGAATCTAAAAAATAATAAATTTCAATACCTTTTGAGATGCTTTAACCTTACATTAACTAAGAAATGGAATTAATAAAATAAGATCTCTTTTTTAAAGTAGATCAAGATTATTAATTTCCCAGTGACTTGAGTGAAAAATTAATCTAGCAAAAAAAGTAATTATTATATATTAAATGTCTTTTCTAAGACATATAGAAAATTTGAAAAAAAGACTTAAAGAATGGGGTGAAACGAAAACGGAGGAAGATATTGAAGATTTAAAATAGCATGCTAAATTCATTCTTTCTAAAAATTCTTGATTAGTGTTATAATATAAAAAATTAAATGAATACGATTGATTCAGTAGAGTCTTTTGATTGGATTCATGAAATTGCAAGCAATGAATAAAGATTAATAGAAAGAAGAATAGTGCTTTAACTTTAAAGTTTGGGCTTAGAATATGGTATAGACTCAACAAAGAAGTAGGACCAGTACTTTAAAAAGAATTTCTCATTTAATTTCAATCTAAATTAGTTACAGAAGAAAAGACAATGATGATTCCTCTTTAAAAATGATTTTCTCTATTTCTATATAATAAAATATAAAATGTAAACACATCATTTACTTGCTGCTTTGAGAATCGAAAAACCAAACTAAAAACCATAATTTTTGAAAATTCTTAAAGATCATAACATAGTAAATTGCACTACTGAATAAATTGACTTAGCTTGGTAACATTGTTTATAAAAAGAATATAAATAAGTTATTGAAGCTTTATAATAACAGAGAATAAGAAGTATATCATTAAATTCTCAAAAAATTTAAACTAAATTACAACCTCTTGTATAAATATTTGATAAAATGGATAATATAAGAAAAAGAGAAGGAAATGAAAAAGAAATTAATAAATAATTGAGTGCCTTGAAATTTGAAGCTGAAAGGAAATTAAAAGACTTTATAAATGAATCCTGTTTAGATCGTAGCTTTACGCAAGTTTTATAGGAGAAGATTGTTGAATTTTAAGGAGAAAGAAATAAACTAAATGAAGAATAAGGTAAAGAGGGTAGTAAAAAAGCATAACAAAGACTAATCGATCGTAAAAAGCTTAAATCTGAAAAACTGAAGGAATAAATTAAATTTTTTTAACTTTTTGATGACAATAAAACAAGAACATAGGCTATATGTGCAAAATTACAAAATACTTCAGTTCCTAGATATAAGTCTACATTAAATGATAAAGAAGAATAAAGAATAAATAAAATAATGAATACTAAGTTTTTATTATGAATTCTTTATCATTCAATAATGTGATCACTGCCATTTCTTGATTTTTTATTAATATCATCAAAAGAAGGGAAGTAATTTGATCCTAAACTTTATTCAAAACTTTGTTGACTACCTCTAATAACTTATATCTTTATATCACCAATATTGTCATTAGAATTAGTTATCTACATAGGTTTGATATGTGGAAATGTTCTAACTATTTCGTGGGGACTTTCATCTGCAATACCTAAGTCTCCTAAATATATAGTTACATTATTATAGATATACCTTAAATGGATTCTTCGAAAAATGGATGTAAAAGGGCTTATTCTGGAGAAATTCTTTTAATTGGATCTTTTTATAACATTTATTTTAACAAATCCAAAATTTCATTGGAACAACTCTTGAAATAATTATTACACTTAAATTTTTTATTATTTTCAAGGATTTCATCGCTATTATTTCCACTAAATAATGATTTTCTACTTAAAAGCTTATAAAATATTGCACCTAAACTAAACATATCAACTTTAGTAGTATATGGATATTTATCTATAAACATTTCTGGAGCAATATAACCAGGAGTTCCACATAATTAACGATGAGGTGTTGATAAAGGGATAGCCAATCCAAAATCTATAATTTTCACTGTTTCTACTTTATTAGGTTCTAAAAGTACTAAATTTTCTAATTTTAAATCTCTATGTATAATATTTAGTAGATTTAAATAACATAATGCTTTCAAGCATCTCTAATTGATTTATAATTTTAATACACTCATTATAGCCTTTATTTAAAAAATGTTCAATTATGACTTTTTTGTGAATGAGTTTAATGTTTCACCTTTTAGCAATTCCATTATAATATAATAAGACTTTTCTCCTTCATAAAGATCAACCATTTTTACAATTGAATCATGCTCGACTAATCTCATTAACTCAATTTCTTGGAGCAAACGATTCTTTTTTATTTTAATTTCATACATATCTTTCTTTATCATCTCTTTTAAAAATATAATCTTTTCTAATGCATTTTGAAGCGAATTCATAATGTGTTATTTTATTTACAACCTTATATACTTTACTTGATGCACCAGAGCCAAGTAATTCTTTACTCTCATATATTGCTGATATATTCCCAAAGAATATAAGAGCATGTAATTTTCTATACAAAGCTTCTAGGTCGGCTTTATCAGCGTGAAACCATTTGAGTTCTTTATTATATTTAATTCCAAATGCAATCAGTTAGTTAGATTCAGTTTTCCAAAAAACTAAATTTTAGAATGTTAAATCATGGAGGTACTTAGATTATTGAAAGTTTACTGACTCTTTTAGTGTGAATGTTTTCTTACTTCTGATATTTATATGCGATCATCTTAAATTAAAAGATGATATTGTTTATCTTTAAAGAAATGCTTACGTTAACATCTAATATAAAAAGAATTTTGATCCATTTATTATAACAAAATAATTTATAGATAATTTGAAAATTATGATTGCTGTCAAATAACTCATGATATTTATATGAATATTATAGTTTGAGCTAATTTTAAAGTTTTATTTTTAATTTTGTGAATATCAAATTCTTAATGATAGATTTAAAATGATTAAATAGATTATCTATTGATTTAATATAAGGTATATATTTTAAGATTATGTAATTATTTAAATAATGTTTTGAAGTATATAAATATAGTATGAAAAATAATATTATGTACTTTTTATTGATTATATGTCACGTTTTCAGCCAATTAAATAGCTTAATTCATAGTCAGCTTTCAATGATTGATCAACTACAGTTTTATTATTTTTGTGGTATTCTTCAATATCTACTAATTTATCTCCAACAACTTAATCAAATCCAGTATTTTCTAAAGCTTTATAATTGGCAATCAATTTAGTTAAGTTGATATAAGAAGGACAATATAATTGTTATCCAATAATACAATTATTAGTTGGATGAATAATCTAAAGAATAAGAAAAGGAGATAAATTACTTTTTCAATGAAAGAACTATTAAGTTTAGCTTTATAATTATTTCCAAGACTATCTTCAATTAAATGAACAATAGACTTAAAATCAATATGTTTATGTCCTTTAGCTAATAGTAATTTGCCAGCATGATCTCCAGCAAGAACTCTAGCAACAATAGCTTCTAAATCTCCAGTAAAGATAGGTGCACATGATTATCCAGTACTTTTGAAATAAATGCTTTATCCATTATAAATTCTTTGAGCAATTTTATTAGTAAATGTACTTTAGGGTCCAAATGTAATATCAGATCTAATACCAACTAATTAAGGTATAAAACGACGTCCTTCAACTTCTAAGTGTTTCCATTCATCAATCTCTTCTTAATGATCATGTTCAACTGGAGCTACATAAGCTACAGTTTTATAATTTCTAGTCTTTGCCAAATCTAGAGTAGCAACTAATAAATTTTTCTTTGAAGCTGTCACTTAATAATAGTCATGGCTCACATAAAGAAGATTATTAGCTTATTTGATTACATCATGTAAATCTTAACGATCATTAAATTTGAATAACTCTATATTGGTTGAGAATTATTGCTTGAATTTAAGTAATCTTTAAACAGTGAAATAAGTAGGGAAGATATCAGCACAAATGATCTTCTCATACTTACCACTTTCAGCAGCTACTTTTAAGAATCCTTAAGCAATTCTATTGCTAGCATTTAGAATCAAAAGAGACATATCAAATAAATAATTATATTTAGGATTTAATATCTAAGTAAATTTATATATACAAAATATCAAAGTCCTCTAGATTTTCTTGTACGTATTAAATAACATTTAAATTCATCAACAAGTTTACTTAATTATTAAGTTTCTCTTTATTTCTACAATTTCTATTCTTTTTAAATTTAGAACTATTTCTATCTTAAATCAAAATTTTCAAAATTATGAGCTTTCCTTGGTGTCTAATGAGAATTCAATAATGTTTATTAACTAATCAATAAATGAATAATACATCTATCTAATAAAGGAATCATCATCTAAATAATTATCACCATCATATTTTGAACCTATCTAAACTTGAACAGTATTCTATTATATACTTAACATAGGTTATCTTTTACTATTATTTCTTCTCTCCATCTCTTCCACTACCTTTTATACTATAATATCTATATATCTATCTTAATCAATGCTATTAAGTGAATTATTGTTTGAACTAACTGTTGGAGTCTTTGATATTTTCAAATAAGGTTATTTATTCTCTTTTACTTCTTCATTTGGTAATCTTATAAACATTTCCTTTATATTAATTTCATCTAATCTTTCTTATATTATTGATTAATTGCTTTCATCTGTACTTGTCTATTTATCTTATTTCTAATCCCTTTAGCAATTATTAAATTATTTTATAAATCTTCTTACTTCTGGACTAACAGAATCTCTAAATTATTTCATATCAGTTAATTATTTTTTATTAAATTATAATATAGTACCATAATTCATTTCAATTTTTTAGCTAACATAATAGCCTTTGTTATCTACTTTAATGATCTTTTCGGTTTTCTCAACAACCCCTAATCTTTCTTTTTCTATTTTATTATTAATACATTTATTTACTTATCTACTATACTATGATTACAGTAATTCTGTAAATGGTAAAAACTATCTGATTTAATTAGATTTTACTTCTAATTTAAATCTTCTTATATCATCTATATCTATTACATAATAATTCATATATTCTTAAAAAACATTTGAATCATATTCAGTATCAATCTTTGGTTTTACAGAATTGCCCTTTTAAAATTGATTATATTCATCTATAACTACTGATATATTATTATGAGGATAAAATTTATTATAATCATACCCTTATTCAAAATCTGTTAATACTTACATATTTTTCCTCATTTCTTATTATAAATTTCCATTATACTTCTCTACTTCCTCTTTAAAGATTTGATAATCTGCCATAATATCTTCCAACTTTTATTAAATAATTGTATCGCTCTTGCTATCTTCATCACTTTCTAATGCATTTTTAAATTAATTTATTGATGTATTCTTTACATTTACACTGCTTTAAGAAGATATTATAGCTTAAGATAGACTTTTTGTTAAACTAAATATTTCTTATTATTTCATTTATATTTATTGTATCTGTCTCTATGACTTTTTTACACTCTTTTCCCAATTCCTTCTTCTATTTCTATCCTCTTTAAATTTAGATCTTAGTTTAAAACCTTTCTTTATAGAATCATCTTCTAAACCTTCTGATATTATTTCATCTACATTACAATCCTCAGTCAAATGTTTATGAGTTTATATTTACATCTATAATTCCTTTGCTTTTATTGTTATTTCCTAATTATACTTACGTGCACAATAATTTATTCGATCTTTTCTTACAAAATCTTTCATTATTGCTTAAATGCACTTTGCCTTTGTCTTTTAATAAACATATAAATCAACTACAAAATGTAAAGATGGACAATCTCTTATTACATGTCCTGGTAAATCACAAGAATAACAATGAATATTTAATATCTAAAGTTGATTCTTATTAACCTCAGAATTGATCAAAAAGAATTTTTCTCTATCTTCTGGAAATTTTGATAACAAATCTATAAAATCATTTCTTTTTAATACAAATATATCAGTAAATCCATCACTTTTTGCAGATGCTGTTCTTTCAGTATTACCAAAAAAACTAATTTCACCAAATATTTATTTATTTGTCAATCTTGCAACTATTTATCTTGTTTTTATTAAAATTATATTAATTTATCCTTCTTAAATAAAATAAAGTGATTATTCATTTTTTATTTCATTTTCTATAAAAATATATTCATCTGGTTAAAAAGTTTATTCAATCAAGATTTAAGTTAATTCAATTAAAAAGTTTCTTGAAAAAGTTTAACAAATTAATTTATAATTAGCTAAAATATTTCCATTTACTTGTATAGTAAATTCAAATTTTAAAGAAACTGAAAGATTTGAACAAATAGATTCTTAATTTATACTACGATGTGTATCCCAAAGATATTATAAATATCTTCTTACTCTATTCTATAATTATTTAGGAATTTTAACTTTTCCCATATAATTATTGATTTCTGCTATCCTTTTTTAATATTGATCTTATTTTTAACTAAGTTGTTACATCGTATTACCAATGGTATTCATAGTAAATGAAAAAACACCACAAGCAATCAAAAGAAAAAATACTCCAAATAATCTTTCAGTTGGTGTTTAAGGTGAAAGATCTCCATAACCAACTGTAATCATAGTAGTAACAGCCCAATAGACTGAATTAACATATCTAATTTACCATGGTTCTTCATAAATTCCATAAATTACTAACCAATTATAATTTGAATCCTCACTTTAGGCAATAAAATGAAAAATACAACCTAACCAATGTGACCAAAATAAAACAAAAGCACATAATTTTAAAAAACTAGCTAATGTTTAAACAATCGAATTTTCAGAAAAATATTCTTCTATTTTATCCACTATGGCTTTCAATTTAGCCAATCTTAATAATCTAATCACTTTTATAAATCTAAAAAATTTTAAAATTCTAAAAATTTAAGCACTTTTTTATAAATTTGTTTAAGATGTAGAGATTTCATCTTCTGCTTCTCCTGTTAAAGCCACTGTAAATAATAAATCATATGGAAATGATGAAATCATATCAATCCAAAACCATAATCTTAAATAATCTATTGCAATTTCTTTATAGGAATAGTTTATATTACCATTCTTATATATAGCAGTATTAAATGTAATCAAAATATCTAATAAAAATGATGCTGTAATAACATAACCGAATTAACTACTAACTTCAATATCAAAACTAATCCTTATTGGAATTGTAATAATTTCATAAAGGATTAAAATCATACAAAAAAAATCCCAAAGTATTTTGATTGTATTATCAGGATTAAATGTAAAACAATAAATTATTTCTTATTTGTTTTTTCTATTCATAATGATTCTTTAATTTTCACTCTATGAAGATTTGGTAAGTTCTTTTATTTTTTCATTTCTTTCTTTTTCATCCAAATGAACATCATCAAAAGGAAGATATATTTAATCAATGTCTTGCAGTCTAGATTCTAACTTAATTTTTCCACTATAAACACATTTATCAGCCAGAATCCTTTTTTCATTTAAACTAAGTTCACATGGATCATTACGATCCTTATTACTTTTTTAAATGAATTCATTTTTTCTAAGTTCTTAATCTCCTCTTCTAGACATTAGTGCTTAATCTTCATTAGGTACTCTTGCAGAATATTATTCGACTTCCATATAGATTGAGTTCATTTGATATGTAAAAATTATGAATAACAATTTCATTAGGAAATTACAAATATCATTAAGGCAACCTTCATAATAAATTCAAAATATCTGGAGAAGGTGGAATAAGAGGTCTACTGCACTTTTAACATGACTTTTATTAAGGGTACCAAAGTTAAGAATATAGAGTATTAAAGGAACAAACTGATCCATCTAAAACTTTTAACATAAAATTAACAAAAACACCCATCTTACCATTTACAAAATTAAGCTTTTTAAATTATATCTAAAACAATCATATTCATATTCATTTTTATCAATAAATTGATATATATATATTTTGGAATTCTTTTAGATATATTTTGAGTTCTGTAATTCATAAGAATAGCCATTTTTTGTATATTTCATAAATTACAATTACTCTTATTAAATCATATCAATATCACTTTATTCTATAAATAAAATAACACTTTTCACACTCCTCTTCAAAGAAATGTTGCTTAATACAAATTGATTTAACATATTAAGAATAAATTGCAATAATTTTTTTTGACATTTTCTTCCATTTTTCTAAGTACATAAAATGAAAATTGATTCACGATATATCTTATCTCTTACATAATTGTCTCATTTTTTAAATATATTGCATATTTTCATCTAATTATGTCCTATTTGCATTTATTGGGCAAACAATTTGTGATAAATAAGAGATAAAATGAACAATCTACAATCTTAATTTAATTTTTTTCATTCCAAAAAATAAGGAAAGTTTAAATCATTAAAATTAAGATTCAAAAGGTCATTTTTCTCATTTGTATTTGTTTCAACTTCAATATAATTTGATGACAATATAAATGATAGATATTTGAACATTAATTAATTAATACATTTATTATTTTATACTTTATTTCAATAAAATCACATCACATATAATAGATAATATAAATAATAGGTATATGAACATTAATTAAAGAATTTAATCATTATTTTTTATGCTTTATTATGCCTAATTTACTTAATCTAGTTTAAACTTCTTGTTTTTCATCAGTAGTATGTATTTTATGAATAGCAGCTGAATATGATTATAAACCAGCAGATGATATCAAGAGTAATCTATTGAAAAAATGTTTGAAAAGTCCTTTTAACTCATCATTTTTATCTTCAATATAATTTTTATATGTAAAATTGAAAGTCTAACCTTTTTCAGATTTTTCCCTTTTAGCCTCTTATAACTGTTTTTCTAATTGTAATAGTTTATCATCATTTTTTTATAACAAGTCGTTTTTCTTTGAATCCAATTTTTTATAGATTGCTGCCTTTTCTTTATACTCAGCTAACGCTTTTTTTTATGTTTCAACAGCTCTTTGTCCATCACTTAAGCTTGAAATTATCTTAGTTTTGATTAACTTTATGAGACCTTTGTCTTAATCATCATTTATTTTATCTCTTAACTTTGAGTTAACTTCTTAAATTGCCTTCTTTAATTCATCAAGTAGATCCATTAAACTTGGTGTCTCTTAAAAAGGTTCTTTAGCAAGTCCACTTAAAAATTCTGAAAAATCATGATATGCCTGGTATCGATCGATCTCTACCTTCAATATTTTTTCAAATTAAATACGAAGATCAAAACAAAATCTATCATCTTTGCATAAACTTTAGTATATTTCCTCAAATTATTATTCAGATGTTTCTACCTACATATCAATAATTTATTTTTAAAATAGATTAGAAAGAGAATATTAATACAAATCATGAATATCATTTTACTATTCTCTCTAAACAAATCTTAAAATTCTCAAAATCTTACTACTCTTAAAACCATATATTGAAAATCTTTTACTATTCATCTTGAAAATTAAAATAAAACCATAAAGTGCTTTTGCTCAATTCAAACTTTAATCCTTTTTTTAGATTTCTAATAAAATCTTATTTTGAGTTTTAATTTAGTATAATAAAGACACTTTAATCAGTTAATTTTAATAAAAAGAATGGTCCTTAAAATCCAGCCTAATGCCATAATTAGGTGCATTTATCAAACTCATTTAAACTAGTAAACTTTCCTGTATATAAAATTTACTCCAGAGTTGGAAACAATCTCTTTAAATAAGAGAAATTAATTTGATCTCTTTACATTAAATAATTAAATAAATAAATATATATATATATGTATTCATTTAACTCTTTAATTACCTAATAATTTACTTAAGAAAATTTCTGCATCTTTTTTTACTTCTTATTCTCTATTATGAATTTCTTAAGCACTTTTCGAGAAACTTTAAAGTCCTGCTGCACAACAATACATATGCATATTGAGAAAGTGTTTCCACATAGAACAGAATTCTTGATTTTTCTCATTTATGTAAATTTAATATTATGTATTAAGTGTTTATCCTGCAAGCATTTTCTCTTTTTTAGCCTATTCATAAGCTTAATATGTTTCTTTTTATTTTGCAGGTTCAGTATTTTTTCTTTTTTAATCCCTATCAGCTTCAATTGCTGTTTTAGCTTTATAATCATCTAATAACTTTTGTTTAGTCTTAATTTATTCTAGTTAACCATTCAAACTTAATATTATTTTGCTCTTTATCAATTCAATATACTCTAAATTCTTTTTCTAAGCTACACTCATTGACTCAGCTACTAAAGAAACCACTTCTCCTAATTTCGGTATTTCTGAACTCAGTTATTTTTGAATCTTTTTTAAACATTCAATTAATTCCTTATTAGCTAAATCCACTTTTTCTAAAGCCAATGCTATCAAATTAAAGAACCCACTAAGATCTTCAAATGCCTTCTTGTCATTATTAAGACTTATGTTAATCTCTTCATGTTATATATTCGTGGCCATTTCTATTTCAAATAAATTATTATATTTTAAAACTATATATTATAAAATACAATAATATTATTCACTTTTTAGAACTAATAAAATATCATTAAATTCTACGAACTATGCATAATATAAACAAATAATTAAATTATATTTTAAACTGAATTAATCTTCTTGGAGATTAATATAAAAATATCAAATCAATTCATAGTTGAAATAAAAGGACTTTCCATATTCATTATTTTACACATAAATGAATTTTTTTCTATATTTATTTATTCTATTCCTATCAAATCTATTATTATACTCATTAATTTCTAAAATAATTATTAATTCTATTCTGTGTTTTTTTTTATTGATCCTTTCACAATTATTTCTAAAATAGATTCATTCATCTGATGCATTGAAAAGGTGCTTACCTTATAATATTTACTTACAGAGATCATTAAAATATATAATAATGGTATATTTGTATAAAAAGTATCAGATTTAAGATTTAAAGTAAATAAAGCTGAATTATCTCTTAAAATATTCATTAAAAGAGCACTCAACTTATTATAATTAATACATTGAATTTTAAAATTTATGATTTGCTTAGGTTTTACTAACAATGTAGCAAGAAGATTCTTTAATGATTCTGTATGATAATGTTATCTATCTATCTTCTTTAATTTCTTTAAAATTCCTTTATACAAAAGTGGATACACATTATTTTCAGTATAAGCTTTTTTGGTAGTAATCTTTAAAATTATCTGTGTATCCATAATGGAATATTTTCTACATTCAATAATTAAGTGTTAGTTCTTGTTTTTCCAGAAAGCTTCAAATTAAAAAGAACTCTTTATATCTTGAATTTTATAATGCAAAAATGTGATTGTTGACATCTTGTGTAGTGAAAGTTGAGTCTCTTTAAAGAAATCTAAGGGACTCTCATGATACTCAGAATAAAACTACTTGTTTGCGTATACAACTTTAAATTTATCCCATACATCATTATAATTGAGAATGACTAAACTCTCTTTTATTAAATCATCAAAAATAAAATATTAGTTTAAATTTTTTTCTTTCCATAAAAATTGATATCTTGAACTTTTAATTCTTTAATATTCATTGTGACAAGTAAGTATTGTAAATAATAAGAATAGAATGCACATAGGGTTAAATTCCAACATGGATCTGAAATAAATTCGAGTTGCTATAAAAATTAAATATAGAACTGCATTTTGTACAAGATTTTGAGTTATGTTCATATGCAAACCCATTTAAATAGTAATATCTTCAATCCAACCAATATCAGATTCAGCTAAACTCTGTATCCAATTTGGGATAAATTATATTATTGAAGCTTACAAACTAAATGAAAATACTATTATATCAACTATTTTAAACCACTATTATCGTATCACAACTTTGTAAAAAAAAAAAGAATACAAAATTGTCAAAATGATATATACAATAGATAGTATTATCTAATTTTTTATCATCCAATATCCTGCTTGAAATGCATAAGAAACAATTGGTATAATTGTGTTAATCTTAAAGCCTTGTAATATTTATGGTCTTTAGCTTTCTTAATATTTTTCTTCCAATAAAGAATCTGAGAAAACTAATGAAAATTTATTCATAATAATCAAAATAATATTAAAATTATGTACCATTCTATTATAAGATAAGAGAAAAGATATTTAGATAAAATATGTTATGTTAATCAATTAACATTTATTCTGATCTATCAAATCATTCTAAATTTTTTTTAATTGCTAATGAAACGAATTTTAGAAATAAGTTTGATTATTAACATTTGCTTTATGAATTTATATTGTTTATTTAAAGTGTAATGAATAAAGAGAGTTTGAGATAAGGTTTATATATTTTAATCATTATATTGAAAATATATATTTAGGAATATTATTTTGAAATATTAAATATTGATTGATTAGAACAAATGAATATATTTGATATACTGATTTTGAAAGATGAGATAATTAATCATTTAATTATTCAATTTTGAATAAATTGACAGGTTTTTAGAATTTAAAATTAATGAATAATATAAAATAAGTCTTTTAATACTGATAAATGTTTTAGAACATGGTTAAGTATGAATATTATTTTTTAAAAGGTTATATTGTATTCTATTAGAAAATTAGTATTTATATACTTAATACCTCACTTTATAAGGGAATTAATTATTATTAACATGAGTTCGAAGCGAAAGTAAGTAAAATTAGATTCAGAGAAAAAGGTGAAGCAGGAGGAATCAAATTATGAGGATTCATTCAATGAGTCTAATGATGAAGAACCTAAGAGTACTGGGAAACAGAAAACTAGACATGACAATTCATTATCTGTACTCACAAAAAAGTTTGTTGAATTAATAAGGAATTCTGAAGAGTTGACAATAGATTTGAATGTAGCAGTCAATGATTTAGGAGTTTAAAAAAGAAGAATTTACGATATTACAAATGTTTTAGAGGGAATTGGTTATATTGAGAAAATTTCTAAAAACAAGATCAAATGGGTTGGAGCCACAGATGATCCTTAGTTAGAAACTGAGTTACGTTAAATAAAATAAGAATTAGATGCCTTATAAGATGAAGAGAAAACAATTGATTATTGGATAGAGTACTTGTAAAAGAATTTGTAAGAGAAGTTCTAAAGTGATCCAGAGGTAGCTAAGTATACATTTCTTACTCATGATGACTTTAAAGAATTATCTAAGAGTCAACAGACTGATCACAAAGGAGAGGCGCTATTTATTATAACAGCGCCAAAAGGAACTTCTGTTGAAACTCCATAAGAAAATAATCCTGAATACCCTTATTAGGTATACTTAAATAGTTCCAAAGTATAAGGATAAAATAATGAAATTTAAGTGTATATTTGTTCTGATGAGAACTATCCGATAGAATACGAGAAGAAGTAAAAATGACATATATTTTATCTAATATAATTTTATCACAAATTATGACTAATTTCCATTGAATAAGCTTCAATATCCTCTACTACAAATTCTTTATTTCCTGTCAAAGAAGTAGAGCCATAACAAGTGTTAGAATCACAACCATTACATATTGTAAGTTAACCAGGAATCTCAATGATATTATCTTCGAATAAAAGAATATCATCCTATTCTTATATTTAGCGATTCGATATATTAAGCAAATATTTTTAATTTCCATAATTTAGAACTCCTATTATTTTATTATAATCAAAAACTCTAATCAAAATAAGTAAATTTTCTATATTGGTGCAATTATTTTTAAAGGAATCAATATCATATCCAATAAGAGATCCTAATTACAGTCTTCGCAAGTAGATTTAAGAGAAGATTGTGATATTAAGATGATCAAACATATAATTAAGTTAAGAAATCTTATCTAAAGTGACAGGTTCAGCATCAAATTGAAATCTTTCTGTTTATTGAACAGTTAATTATAATTAACTTTATGCAACAGTTTGAGGTCTTAAGAATTAGAATTCAGATTTGGCCAATTCTTATTATTGAAGAAATTGACTTGCTGTATTTTAATTAATAGAATCATAGGTTTGATCATTAAAATCTCTTTCACTATATTATAATTCAGAAACAGTCTGGCCTCTAGTAATCAATTAACTTTTTAATGTTTCAATTTAAGATTTCAAATATGTTATTTCTCTCTCATTAATATCCTTAAGACTATCCTCTAAATCAATAATAGTTTGATCTTTTTAATTGATTTAACTTTTTAGAATTAAAAGTTCTTATTTTAAATAATCGATTTCTTTATCTTTTTCAATTAATTTATTGTCTAACTTCTAAGTAATAGTTTCTAATAATGTGTCTTTAAAATTATTAGTATTTTTCATGCAAGTTTCTAAAGCTATTTAAAGTTTTGAAGTCTCTTATTCTAATGCTTTGTTTTGCTCCTCTAATTCAATCATACGTTTTTTGAAATAATAGTTTTCACTTTTTTTAACATCAAAATAATCTTAATAATTCTTTTCAGATTAAGTTTATAATCTATTATAATAAATATTAAATTACTGATATTCTTTTACAGATTAATGACATGGTTGAATATGTGGTTCATCTAAAATATCATGAGATTATCTACAAGCTAAAAGATGATATATTTTATAGTATTCTTCACTTGTAAGAGAATTTCTATCAATTAAATTAATGACTAGTTCTTTGAGATCATCTTCATTAGAGGCATACAATTCTAATAATTAGAAAATTTCATAGTTCGTTAGAAATTGTCTTGATTCTGATTTAGTTTTTTTATAAGTGTTATGTGCTTAAATGAGATGAGTAAAACAGGATTTATTTAATCCTAACATATCTGAAGGTGTAGTTTTCTTATGATTCTTTTTTAATTTGAGCATACCAAGATCAAATATTTGTAGAAAAGCATCAGGATTACTATCCAAAAATTCATAACACTAAAGTCTTAAATCTTCAAGGCCATAAAATTCACTTAATTAAAATGCAAGAGTAAATGATTTTTTATTGATAACAAATGAACTCTCAATTTATTTACATAAACCCTCGCATTTAATAAAACTACAAATTTGATAAGCCAAATAAAGCTCTTGATAATTATAAATGGTATATTGTCCACCATAAAAGCATTTAAGAATTCCCTCAAAAATATCTGGATCGTATTCTTATATAGAGATGACTTTTTTATCGCAATCAAAAAAAGGACTTTCAATTCTGAGATGTGCCTTTTATAATTCAAATCTTTTATTTTTGATTTGAATTATAACATCAGAATGAGCATCTTTAGGGAATTATTCTAATAATTTTCTATTCGTTGATAATTGTAGAGTTGTCAATACATTAATAGTATTTGCTGGTGATTCAATTTGATGAGAGGAATTAGTTGAATTATAAGATGTTTATGGTCTTTATGGTAACATATCCTAAGAATTTTAGTAATATATTGATATAAAGATTTTAATTTTCTTTAATGTATTATTGCAATATATGAAAAGCTCATCTACCCAAAATATTTTTGGTACCTCTAGCAGCTTTGAAATCATCACAAGGATGTCTATAGAAGGATATGATTTTTTTTCCCCATTAGAATTATGAAACCATATAACCCTTCAAATTAATATCATCTTTTGATCCTGGAATCCAATTATGAGTTTCTGTTAATTCTTCTAAATCTGCTTCTAATCCTGGATAGAAATCATAATCCTCATGAACTAATAATTATAATTTAATAATTTTACTGACATAGTCATTTCTATCTCCATATTATTCTAAATCTAATAAAGCCAAATGTTGATCCAAATAATAATTACTCCAAACAGCACTATGGAAAGAAAGTTCATTTTCTAAATCTTCTAATTCTTTGCTTTGACTTGAAACAACTTAATGACAAATGCGTTCAACATCAAATTCTTTATGAAGTAAGGTATCATGTCCTTTTTAAACTTTTTCAACCAATCCCTCAGTTGTAATCTAATCTTTCCAAAAATTCCAATCAATTTCCTATTCATCGTAACACAACCTATACTTAAGCAGCACCTGTTGCAGGTTTTGAATAGAAATTAAACAAAGAACTCAATTAAGATGCATAAAATCTGCTTTCTAATGTATTAGCTTTAACAGTTAAAGTCTACAACCATTTATTAACACGATCAAGATTTATTTATTATGGACGAGCTGCTACTGTCTTACTTCTTGTTTAATTAACAATTAATCTTTTCATATCCAAAATTAAATATTTAATCTTAAAATATTCATCATTCAATCACTTCCTCTATAGCTATCTCATCATATTTAGACTAGAACATTTAATAATATTCTGTAGACATTAATACTAAATGTTTTTATGGATTATCAAGTCTTGTAACCTTTCCATTAAAATCTTTCATCTATTTTGTACAATATTTTTTAGCTGTCTACAAATCAGGAACATAATCATAATCAACAGGTTATAACAAATTCTCAATAAATGTTGGTTTTATATGATAACGTTATTTACTTATGTGATCAATGCACTTAAATTCATTATTCTCTGGTAAATAATTTATTGATGTGATAATATCTACACATTGATCACTCTTTGTATAAACTCTATAGACATTCTTTTATCCTGGAAAAGTTGTTTTATCATATTCCTCTGATAATTTCATCACAATCTAATTTTTACATTCGACTAATTTATAAACAAGACCTAAAGCAGGTTATTTTTAACATGTAACTAGATGAGTTCCAATACCAAAAATATCTATTTTATGTCCTTTCTTAATAAAATCTTTAAGAGCTTCTTCATTAATATCATTTGAGGCAGCAACTTTAAGATGACTAATATCTTTCTAAAATTAATCTCCATAATGTTTAAATAGCTCTTTGGCTTATCTAATAAAATAAAAAGATATTGAATTACATTGATAATTAAGCTAAATCTCCTGAATCTAAACGAATTCCTTTAGCTTTTATACCGGCATCATCTAAAGCAAAAGCCACAGCTAAAAAATTAGGAATTCCTGATTTCAATGTATGATAGGTATCTACTAAACATAAAAAATTATTAGAACAAGATTATGCATATGCTATAAATGAAGCTAATTCACCTTAATTAGTTTTAATTCCCATTTTTTTATGATATTCAATGGCTCTTAATTTTATATTAACACCATTTAGTTCAGCTGATTCAACATCATTTAATTCAGAAAATGAAGTAACAAATGAATGAGCTATAGTTCCTGAAACTGGTATTCCCAATTTCAACCCAGCCATCATATTACTAGTACCATCAAATCCACCTAAATATGAATATTAAGTTGCACTCATTCCTCCATCAGGTCCTTAAGCTCTTCTTAATCCAAATTCAAGTAAATGAGCTTATCCTGCTAATTGTCTCATTCGACTTGCATTTGTAGCTATTAAAGATGGAAATGAAACTAAATTAACTAATTTTTATTAATCTTATTATTTTACTGACTGCTGTTTCTATCAATTAACATATACCCTAAGGTCCTTCTATACTAATCAAAGGCTCTTTTGGAAAACAAATTGATCCTTCAGGCATCGCTCTAATTTTTATTTAGGAAGAATCTAAATTCCTAAGATAATCAAAAAATTTCTGATTAGCATCTGATGGCAATATACTTTTAAAATGATAAAGTCAATTAGTTACTTTTTTTTCACAAATTCGATTTCTTCTTCAGTGAATTTAAAATTCTTTATATAACGTACCACTTCATTTAAACCTGCAAAGATTACATATTAGCCTCCAAATGGACATTTTCTAAAAATTAATTCAAAAGCTGTCTAATCATTTTCCATTTTATTTTAAAAGAATGAATAAGTCATTACTAACTTATATGAATCATTTAATAAAGCTCCTAAGATATTTTCATGTCCTCCTCCTGTTTGCTGCATTAAATTAATTAATTATTAAAGAATGAAATAAATGAGAGAGAATTTCCATATAAAAATAAGAGCTGAATAAAGATAGAAAGAATTTGCTAAAAGAAGAATTATAAAATTATAAGCCACGCCTTAATACTTTAGATAAGCAGTTTTAGAAAATCCAATTAGTGAATTGCTCAAAGAAATAGATTAACCAGATTATTTGTAGTTCATCTCTTTTTTAAGTTCTGTAGATGACTATTAATGCAACCTATACCTTGTTGAATAAGGTGTATTAACTATTGCATTTGATAAAACAATTAAACTTTTGTATAATTATAAATAGACTTCAACTTAAGAAGCGAACTTAAATTATGTAACTAAAATTTTAGTAAAAAATTTAGTTACTTTCCATTATAGGAAATTTAATTGATTTCAATAATCGTTCTAATGATGATATTAGATAAATCTTATAAAGAGCTATCGAAATCAGCGATTTTTCCATGTCTGAATTTAAACTTACACTTATTTGGATGATTGATGAATTCCTCAAAAAAGAAAAATTTAAGGAAGAGTTTTTATCTTGTGTAACAAACTTTTTATTCAACAATTTAAGTAGAAGAGATCTAGCTTCTGCTATCTTTGATACTATTTTAAATTTATAATCCAGTTAAGCAGTAAGTTTATCAAAGGAACACTTAAATGAATTAATTAAGCATATAGGAGATAATGATAGTTAAATAGTTCAAAAGAGTCTATTCATTTTAGTTAATTATTTAGAGATAGCTCCTGACACCGATTTAGACGAAGATTTTATAATATTATTGAATGAAATCTTTAAAAATAAGGATTATTTAGCATTATTAAGGCTTTGTAATATATTATATCCTAGAATCTAACTTGAACCTAAGTTAATACTACAGCGCATGGAGATGTGTGCCTTTGGACTTAAATTATAGGAATATTTCAGTTTAATTAATAAGTTGATTTAAGATGAAATACTATCTTCAGCTGAATACTTGAAATCTTTAGATAGTATAGATATGGAGAATTAATGTGAAAATAACAAAACTATGATTTTATAATAAAAAACTTAATATCAGGATTGATGTAAATATATGTATTATTCAATTTCGCTAATTAAATCAAGTAATTAATGTCGCATTGGTTTGAAACTGTATTTGAATCCAAGGAGGTTCCTGTTAGGAGAGAGATGATTAATGTTGACTTTGTCTAATTTTTCAGGAAAGTTTTTGAAGGTATGAAACTTTTGTAAATATTGTTTGAAGCGTTCAACTGACTAGATTATTATATATTTAGTTGGATACATTTTTTTAAAAATCTGATTTCATTCTTTGTTCAAGTTATTCTTCTATAGTTTATTTTAAAATAGATTTAGTTTAATGCATGACAGGTATCTTTTTTTCAAAGAACTTTCTTTTTAATTGTCTCTCATGTAATTCTTTAACATTTTCAAACATATCAACATCATTTTATAGAATTCCATTTTTAGTCACACATCTTTATGGTCTATTAGGTGTAGCAACTTCAACTTGAAATTCTTAATCGGACAAAATTTAATTATTTAAAGAGGCAAAATCTAATGAAGTCATTAATTTGATCTCTGTTTCATTTCCTTAAATTAAACCTAATTTAGATAAAACCATATTGTTCATAACTTATGATTAATAATTGATTTTCTTAATATATGCCTTAATGGATTCAACAGAATGATTTTTAGCTGCACTATCATTTGATTCTTTAATGAAATTCATAGCTCTATCGTGATATTCTTAAGCCAATCTTAATTCACCTTATACATAATAGAGAACTCCAAAATAATCATAGATCGTAGCTTCATTCTCAGTATCATTTAAATACCAAACATATTACAAAGCCTTTTTAAGATATATTTTGCTTAAATGATATGACTGTTGTAATTTACACAAATCACCCATTTGTATTAATGCTTCAACTTTGAGTGTTTAATTATTTTAAACATCAGCTAATATACGTAAGACATTATATATATATAATCCATTATTAAACTCTCTATTTGATATATACATGTCAGCCAATAAATGCAATGATTTGCCAAATATAATCAGATCATAACCAATACATTGTTAAACCAATTTTTTTGTTACTATAGTATTGGATTAATCATTTACTCTCTAAAGCTTCATCTAATTATCTTTCATATATGCATTTAATCAAATCTTTTTTTTAAACATTCAACTAAGCCAGAACTCCATTTTCCTCAAAAACAAGTTTTCTTGATGAAGATAGAATTTAATTATGTTTCGTATTTAAATAAGGCAATTTAGGAACTTTACGAGAAGAAATACTATGGTTATTAATCGTTGTTTCTATCTAAGAAGTATTTGTAGCCTGTTTATTTTTGATTGGTTTCATTGATTTTAAATATTTACAATCATAATTTAGAATTTTAGTTTTTATATAATATTTTCCACTGATTAATCACTGTTTTCCAGCGATTAGAATAATATCAACGCTCAATTTTTAAATAAATTATCATAACTCATTAAAATCGATTTCAAATAAAGATTATAAATGAAATGAATAAACATTCTATTAAATAAATATTCGATAGAAATATAAAGGTAAATTAATATTGAATATATGAATAGATGAATATTGATTTTTTAAATTCTTTAATTATATTTCTAATATTTTTATTAATATATTAAAACGGAATGCTTTACATATTAGTTCTAGCATAGTTGTTTACCTTAGTTGTAGTTTAGGATCCTGTTGATAAATTGTTTGAGTTTTAGTAACTGATGAAATAAAAAACCAAAGTTTCAAGTAAACGTTTTTGAACTATTGTATTACTTAGAATAAAAAATTAGTGAATATGATAGTTCAGACATATTCAGTGAAGGATATATAACTGTAAGTGAATAATCTGATGAGGAAGATGGATATGAATAATATGAAGATATTTCACAATATGATGAAGTAGATGAATCTAATGATGAATCAGATGATGATGAGATGATTATAGAATAATAGAGAATAGAATAATAGAAAATGGAATAATAGAGAATAGAATAATAGAAAATGGAATAATAACGATTAGAATAATAGAGATTAGAATAATAAAGATTAGAATAATAGAGATTAGAATAATAAATGAAGGAATAATTGGAATAATAAAGATTAGAGAAATTGAAATTGGAATAACAATAATAAATCTTAGAAAATGAAAAGAAAAAAAAGTAAATTATTGAGATACCAGAATAATGGAGTGATGATGATGATTAAGTTATATAGTTACCTAAATAATAAAAGAAAAGGAAATAAAAGAAACAAGAATTTGATGATGATGAAATATTAGAAGTTTTAAATTCTGCTAAAAAGACTAAAGTTTAATCACTTGAAGATTTAGAGGAAATGGAAAAAAAAATAGTAAAGAAGAAAAAGAAGAGAGAATAGGTTCCACAAGAAGAATTTGTTTAGAAAGTACCAGCATAAAATTAAACCTTTATACATTTTAATAATAAGAATAATTATCTAGAATTAGCACCTTGTAGCAATAACCCAATATAATAAAGAGCTTGTAGTTTATGTAAAAGTGAAGTTGGATACTAATTAGATGATGACAATTGGTATATGATTGGTTTATAACATGGATATAAGAAGGAATTTCTTTTATTGATTGAGATCACTAAATAATCTTTTGGAGATAGTCAATTATATTTGAGTTTTTCATCTAATGGATCTGCTTGTATGACTAGTGATACTTTAAAATAGGATATTGATGTTGAGAATGTCTTATAGAGATTCTCTAGTAAATCATGGAGACATTTCATTAAAAATGAATTATTTGCACTTCCATAAAAATTAGAAGGAAAAAGTTTTCAATTCAAAGCTATATATTAGAATAAATAATTTGCATTTTCAGATTTTGAGATAAAATTTTCATCGAATCTGATTTAGGAATTGAAATCCTATGCTAAATAAGAAGTTTCAATTAGAACTAATTCAGTTGAATTCATTTCAGAATAAGTAATATATTATTAATAATTAGTTACAATGCACATTAAATGGATTGATAAAATAATAAAATGATGAATTGCCTTTCACTTTAAAATTTAAAAATGGTGAGTCAACTTCAGAACTTCTAATTCCTAATTGTTAGATACCTTTACATAATGATATCTTGTACGGAGTTTCAGATTTGTATTTTGGAGAATACTTTAAGGAGACCTTGCAATCTAAACTTAAAGGAAACTTTAGAGGAGATTTCAATGCCACGACTTCATTTGAAAATGGAAAATTAAAAGTGAGATTGGCAATGAAGAAATTTAATAAATGATTTATGCATCTATATATCACTCATGTTTTTATTTTGGCTTTTCCAGAATGCCCAATTAATTTAGTTATAACACAAGTTTGTCAAATAATATTATTGCACCTAAATATATACACGTAAATACCTCTGGTTTTAGGATAATACATCCAAATAAGAGTCATGTTTTTAATAGGGAAATACAATTACAATAAATCGTGGAATGCAAACCACATGACTCTATCTAATAGAAACATAAGCATATATATAACCCAATAAGAAAGCCACAATTTTGATTTTGCATCATCTTTTTACTTTACACATTAAACACTCATATATGCAGGATATAAAATGCCAATCAATATTTTGACTAACAAATTTCCAGCTCCGAATATTGTAAGTGTAAAGGCAACAAAAATTATACCTAAAATTAATTATCCAGGATTGATATTGAATTTTTGAGCAATCAGTTAAAGAGGAGCTACATCACTAAAATCATCAGATATTCTCTTAAATATCTCATCTAAATTGTCTAATTAAGGCTCTTTTTATGGTCTTTTAGGTCCTGGAATTTATGGTTTATTATTAGGATCAATTTATTAAGCTTATTCTTCAGACATAAATTAGATATTTAATTTAAACAATATTAATACATCTATTTGATAAAGGCAACAATGTTTATTTAAATAACAATGATATTACTATATGTTATTTGAAATAATATATAAATTAAAAATCAAGTCTTTTTCTTTTATTAAGCTTTTTATTGCAATTATTGGAGTTATTATTACAAGAATTATTGTTATTGATAAAATTTATTATCCTAATTTTAAGTTTATTATTAAAATGTATTATACATTTAAGAAACAAAACTACTAGCACTTTTTTAACTAGTTAGTTTTTATTATTATTGAATTCCAACTTGACTTTAAGATTTTTTGAGTTATTATGATTATATTTATTGTTATTTAATGATATTTTAAATTTCTTCAATATTAGACTTTTACAATTGTTATTATTATTAAGTTTAATGTTAGATAGAGCTTCCATTAACATTTTCATGAGCCTATTAAGGTTTTCCTTAAGAAATCATTTCAGATTGTTCTTAATGAATGCTTATACATAATGAAATAATTATAATACCCATTGATTAATTCATCAGGATTCATTCCTAATTATTGTAAGTATTTGGCCTACCATTTTTTTCTTTATTCTTTTTTTCTTCTATTTATATCATTATATAAAGCTTCTCTATATTCTTTAATAGAGAATTTTTTATTATCATTCATAGGTATTCTAATAGGTTCAGAACATTCAATTTCTTCATCAGGAGAAGAGAATTCTTTCAAATACTTATGTTTAATAGCTTAATTAACAGTTAATCTCATTTTAGGATTGAATTATAAAAGTCTAATATATGTGAATAATATTAAAAACCTTCTTAATAAATCTAAACAATCATCTTGTGCTCCTGAGAAAAACTATTAAAAAGATCTTCTTTTTTAAATAGATACAGAAGCTAAGATATTAACAGCTAAAGGTGATTCAAGTGATTCAATATCTGCATCATTTGGTTTTCCTAATAATTCAATAATTCTTTCTATTTAATTTAATGTTGATGTTCCTGGAAATATCGCCTTACCTATAATCAACTCACCTAAAATACAACCAACACTCCACATATCAACTGCTTTTGTATAATTTGTAGATCCTAATAATATCTCAGGTGCTCTGTACCATCTTGTGGCAACATATTCTGTCAATACAGGAGGTGCTAAACGTTAAATTTTAAAATCATTGTACTGCTGTCATCCTCTGTTATTGCTATACTTCTTGCTAAACCAAAATCAGCTAATTTCATATGACATTCAGAATTTAGTAATATATTTGATGGCTTTAAGTCTCTATGAATAAGTTCACCTGAATGAATGTATTTTAGTGCTTTCAAAATTTAATATACCACATATTTTTTATGAACTTCTTCTAAAATCCCTGCTCTCTATTTTATTAATTAATGTTTTTACTATCACAGCATGTAAATCTGTTTCCATATAATCAAATACTAAGTAAATATCCTTATTGTTTTCTGCTTTTATGATATTCAACAATCTCACTATGTTTTCATGCCCATTCAATTCTTATAAAAACATTATCTCTCTAAATGTTCTTTAAGCATCTGTAGCATTGTGGAAAGCATCAAATACTTTTTTTAAAGCCACTACCTATTCTTTTAATTTTAAACTCTTACTGTCTTAAGCTTCTTATCAACTGCCTTCCAAACTATTCCATAAGCACCTTTACCTAATTTTTGTATGATTTCGAATTTTCTAGCAATATGAGGTTCAATTTCTTCAGTCATTTAATTTATATTTAATGTGCACTCATCTAAATTTCTCAAACAACAATAATGTTATGATGTATCTCAAATTAAGAGAAGAAGGATGCCAAAAGGATACTGCTAGAAAATTTTGTCGAAAATAGTTCTGTCAAGTAGTCTAATATTATATTAGATCGATTAAACATAATCAACTATTGGACCTCCTGGACATAAAATACTTAAAATACAACCAGATCGATTACTTGGTCAAAAAGGATGGTAGCCTGGTTTTCTAATGAAATATGATTTAGGTGTTGGTTATAAAGATTCTGCTGGTAATATTTATAATTGATACAGATCTCAACGAAAAATTTACTACCGCTGAATTAGCCATACTTAAATAATACAAATAATATGAAAAAAAAAAGAATGCTGCACTTTTACAAAAAATGCTTGCAGTTAAAAGTTATGCTGATTCACTTAGACCTCCAAAATTAGATGTCTTTAGTTAGAGTTATCTCTAAAGAGTAAAATAAATTTCTTAAGAATTAAGGGAAGGTTAATCTAAACCTAAAAAATATTTTGAATTTGGAGATATGAAATTCTATGCACTTGTTGATTATATTAATAGATTAGGATAAAATAAAGATACAATAAATCTTAAATTTGATCCAATCTTATTAGAAGAAATCAAATTTTAAACTGAAAATACATAAAAAATTAATACTGGTAGAGTATTTCGTAGAATGGGAACCATAAGTAACATTGAAAGAGAAGCAAATTTTATTATGGCTTTATAGTAATAAACTCCATTAGGAGAAGATATGGAAAAAGCAAAATAAAAACCAGAAGTAGTTTCACTTTTAAAACTTAATCATCAAAAAATTGATCTTGCAGAAGAATTCAATTCAACTTAATATTTATTTACTCCAACAAATTCTTAAACTTTATAACCATCTTTAATTAATGATGATGCTGCCAAAACCTTTGTAAAATAGTTTTATTAGAAATAATTTGATCAAAAACTCAATGCTATATCCTCATTTAATGGAAATATTAGAGTCAGAACTTAAACTAATAGTGAATTTAAAAAAACACCTAGACAACCTACAAACAAGGTTAAAACATCAAGTATATGAATAAATAGAATATATATATATTTTTTTTTGCAATATTCTAAATTATTTTTTGTAAATATAATATTTTATCATATTAAAAAATTTTACAAAAATAATCAGTCAAATTTAATCGAGTTTTTATTCCTCTTGGTTTACTTCACTAAATTATTTAATTTATTGTTAATCGTTTTATATTATTTAATTAGGTTAGTTTAATTATTAATTTTATTGTGAATCATCAGAAATTCTATTTAAAGATTTTTGTTATATTTATTTCAATTCTAATTGTTATTATGTTTATAACAATTAATAATCAACTTTTTCTGATGGTATGATTAGAGCATCAGATTGAAAGATAGTTGTTATTTATCTATTATTATTGATTACAACTTCATCTTATTTATATTGAGATATTTATTATTAATTAGAATTTGATTAGAATCTTTCATCAAAATTTCGATTATAACTAATATTGCCATGAATAGCACTAGGAGAAAGATTATCTATCCATTTAATTCTTTTTCCATCTTCCCATTCAGAAAGGTAAATTCTATCAGGTTCTGGTTTGCTTTAATCTTCCAAAACTTTTCCTTTAATAGTTAATGTAGCTATTCCATTTAATTTACCCATTCTCCAAGAACCAGCTAAACTTTTACCATCTGGCCATTCTAAAACTCCATGTCCTGATTTAAGATCTTTTAAATAACTACCAATATATTTTCTTTTATCTTTTATTATATTAAATAAAAAATACCTTGCCAAATAAATTCTCCTTTACCTTCCATTTTACCTTCAACCCATTCTCCATCATATATTCTTCCATCTGGCCATTCATATCTACCTAAACCATGAAATAAATCATTTTTAAAATCACCTATATATGATTCTTATTTTCCTATTTTTTTACTCTTTCTATTTCCCCATATAAAAGTTCCTCTTCCATGTTTTTTACCCAATTTATATTAACCTTAATAAGTTGTTTAATCTGGCCAAGTTTCATTACCAATTCCATCGGGTTATCCACAAAGAAATTCTCCTTTATATTCAAAACCATCATTAGATTATACAAATTTTCCTCTTCCTGTTATTTCACCTAATTTAAATTAACCTTTATATATAGTATAAATTTTAAACCTGTATATCTAGAACCATCTTTAAATATCTTTCTCCCTTCTCCATCTGGAATTCCATCAATTACTTATCCTTCATAGACAGATTAATCTATATAATATATTTTACCCAATCCATATGGTTTTCCTTCAGCCCATTATCCTACATAAACATCTCCACTAAGTAACTAATAACTAATTAATTATTCATTTCATTACGGAGTATCAATGTGAGGAATTCTTTTGTAATTAGGAGATAAATTTGTTGTGATCTCTAATTTTGGTAATTTTTATAGCAACTTTTTTACTACCACTGGGAATTGATCAAAAAATTATTCCTAAGCTTGAATTGAAAAAGGTTAAAGTCCTTATGGACAATTGTCTTCAATTTCATAAGATTTCAGTTAAATTGGATCAAAATCAATTGTTTGTTACTCTTTTTAATGATCCTACTCTTTTTCTTATAATTTATCATCAAATTGATCAACTACTGATTATTTATGCAAAATGTTATCATCACCCTATAGATCTTCATACAAATTATTTTCATTAATTCTTTATTCACACGTGCAAGTATTACCCATGTTACAATAATTTATTATTCAAAAATATTTAATGGATTCATCATTAAGACATGACCTTAATTAATTTGATCTGAGAAGATTTTCAGATATTATACTATATAAAAAACTCTTCACTCAAACAATATTATTAAGATTATTTTTTATTATAGAAATATTATTTATTATCAGTTTCATACATATTTATAATTTGTTAAAAATGTTTCCAAAAATTTGTTTATTATAATTATCATCTAAGTCTAGGTAAATTATTTAGAATGTTAGAATTAAAAGACTAAATTGATTATTTTAAATTATGGCTTTTTATAGTTATAATATATAAAAAATGCTAATTTAAGAAAATAGACAATTAAACTTTAAATAGAAATAAATGATTGTCAAATAAAAGTCTCCACCAAGATCAAAATCATAAAAGAAATATAAATAATTTATAATATTTAGTCCCTTAGAATCATATACAAAAATTCAAATACAATTCTATGCTAGAAAATATTTATTAATGATTATTTCAAAGAATTATGATGAACCACAAATAAGATAGGAATTTAAATTTGAAAATTATAGAATTTTTCTTAAATTGGTCCTTTTGAAAGGATAGGTCTGTATCCTAATTAGCATAATATATTTAAAAGTGATATAGAAATTGTTACTGTATAAACACATTTTTTTATTATTTAAATTTAGACAATTTAAACTATTTATACTTTTTTAAAATATTGATAGTATTTAGTAATCATTTTCTACCAAAAATAAATTTTATTTTTCTAAACCTATCAAAAGACATACTATTAATTAATTTACTAAATGAATAAACCACTTAACTTTCAACATAATTATTGAAAATTTTTCCTCTTATTTTAAATAAAAAAAAAGATAATGCCTTTTAATTTATAGTAATTTTCAAAATCTTATTATGACAGAATTATAATTTTGTCCTCTCCTTTGGAATTACTATGAATAAGCTTCTAATTATAAATCCTATACTCTTTTTAATTCAAAAACAACATTAATTAAGCAATATTCAAATACAACATATTTAATACAACATCCAAAAATTGAGTAGGAATAGTGTCTATATCCACACAATATTAATTTCAGATGCTTTTTGTATTGAATCAGATATATATTTTATTTTAATGTTGTAGCCACCTACACAACCATCAATATAAGTTAATTTGACAGATTCCAAAAAAGTTCAAATGATTCTTTAAAATTGATTATCTGTATCCTTAAGATTAAACATAGGAATAGTGAGAATAATTTATAAAATAATATAGTATAGTCTAATTGAGGAATGGTGTTTTACATTTATTATTCATATCCACCTTTATGAGATACTAAATTCAAATTATCCTATATATGGGCTAGAATAGTTAGCTATGTTTTTTATAATAGAAGAAATCATAAAATTATGGATAAAATTTGATATAATAAGAATATTAGCATTCTAGATATAAAATTTTGTTAGTATATATATAAAAATAAAATAAAAATAGAAAATCGTTTTATTAATATTAATTAATATATGGAGGAATTATTTGCACTTTAATAACAATTAGCAGAAATATAAGAGACGTCTACAAAATATAAATTATCTGATAGAATCATAATTGATTTGATTGAAAAACTAGTTAAAGAATATGATTTAAAGGTTTATCATTCAACAGATGGTTAAAGTTTGGTGACTCCAAATCAATTGTCAAAGGAGATTCATTAATTAATTTTATCTAATAAAAGAGTGGCTGTGAATTAATTACCTGATATATTGGGGATAGGATTTGACAAAATTGAAGGATAAATCGAGAAAGATAGCAATGGTTGGGTAATTTTAATATTAAATATTGATAACAGGATGTTGTCAGAATGCATGATGAAATGATGTCTCATGATTATATTCTAAGTGTATGTGAAGAAATCAATGAAGATCTGTAATAGAAGTCAATTATTTCATTATAGGAAAGTAAGATAATTAAAAAGTTTATTATAGTAATGTAAAAGTATGCACTTCCTATGTAATTTGTAAAAAAATATATACTTGAATAAGTAGGGACAGTTATTTAAGGAGTATGTAATGAAGATAAATTGACTACAGTAACTTATCTTGAAATAATCACAGCAAAAATTTGTGGAATTTTAAGAGCAACTTTGAGTCCAATATCATTTTTAAAATTGAATAAGGATTTAGAAATACAAAATTCATAAAAAATTTGTGAGTAATTATTAATAAGCAAATAACTTGATGGTAAAATCATATCTGGTTAATATGTAAGTTCAAGATTTCTTTAAAATTAAGAGGCATCTGTGAAGGCTTTTTTTGAATAAAATTCTTATGTTGAATATGATAAACTTAATTCATAATTTTTTATTCAAAAACCAAAAGAATACTTAAAGTAGATGTTCAAAGATAATGTTATTTTTTTAGATACATGTGGATTTAGTAAAGATGCTTTAATTTCTAAGCAAGATTAAATTTAAGAATTATTAATTAATGAAGGGCATACAAATCTTTAAGAAATTTTACCAGTTATTTTAAGTGATTAAGATATTGAAACTTTGTTTTCTTTAATGTAATTAAATAATTGTGAATATGCAAATTTTATGATTTATCATAAACCATTTTTAGATAATTTAGCATTAGCATTTAAAGATAAAATAATTGAATAGATTTACTAAAATCCTTAAAAATTGATTGAATAATAATAAAATTAAGAAGAGGCACCTTAAGACATATAAGCATCAGCAGGAGGATTTACAAATAAGAAACCAAAAAAATAATAATAAGTATAAAAGAAGAAATAATAAAATAAATAAGAATTATTTAGTAATAAGGAAATAACTGATTTACTTACATAAAAAAAATTAGTAGAATATAATGATTGTATAGATGAATTATTTTAATTTTTACAACCAAGATTATATACATTATATGAATAGATAAAGATTGAATTATTTGAAAGTAAGAAATCAGCATCTAGTTAAGTAATATAAGAGATTCAGAAAAAGATAGAAGATATGGCTATTGGTCTTTTGATAACATAAAGATCATTGTAAAAGATTTAATAAGAATGTCATGAAGTGAATACAAAAGTTCTAGTAGATAATTGTTTATTTGGATATAGATTATTGGTAGAAAATTTAGTAGTAATAACTTGTAAAAAATATAATATTCAACTTCCATAAAATTTATTTGCTGATCCTAATCATCCAAGTGTGGTGAATGGTTAAATTAATTTTGGATTGTCAAAGTCTGGAAGAGTATTTTTAAATAAAGTAGCTTTGGGAGAAGCAATATTATTTTTACCTAAAGAATAATAGAAAGCTTTGAAAGAAACAATGGAATTATACACTAAGAAATCATTAGATATATTATCTTAAAATTAATTTTTTGATGCATTTAATTTAAAAGTCAATTTAGATAAAAAAAATGATAGAAATCTTTTATTATTTATTAAGCATCATTGTAAAGAGTATATTAAATAAAGATAGAATGAGATTTTTGATGAATAAGTTTTTAATTAAATAATATTAACAATGTTAACAGATTTAGGATTATATTTTATTGGAAATTATGATTAACATTTTTATTCTGCTATAAAGTAAGTTGTATATGAATTATAAAGTGATAAGTAAATTAAAACATTAGTGAATAATATTATAAGTACATATAATCATTAAAATTTAGATTCTATAAATTAATAATTAGAAATAACAGCTGAATCGAAAGAATTAATAGAATTACTTAAGCTCTTATGATGGAAGTTTTAATATTATATACATATAAATAAAGTTTATTACGATTTAAAAAATATTTGTTAAAAAAATAAATTATTACCTATGAGATAAATAGTAATTAAAATACAAGAGTTTTAATATTTTAATTTGTGATTTAATGTATAGATTTCGAAGAGCAATTAATCTATTTAGTAGAAAAGATGGTTTCATAACAAAATTGAAAAACAAATTACTTAAAGATGATGAAGAAGAAAAATAGATAATTCCTCATTAGACTATGAAACAACCACTTAATGTAAAATAAGAGATTGAACAATTTATATCTTAATAAACAGAAATAAGTGATTTAGAAAGAATAAGAATGAAAAATTTAGATGATAAACTTGGTACAAATACACATTTTCATGAAATTAAATCATATGAAGAGAGATTGGATTCTGATAATGTGATGAGAAGATAAGTATTAGCAAGAAGAGAATTATAAAAAGAGAAAGATTTAGCAATTTAACATTTATTTGATCCAGATCCATAATAAAAAGTTTAGAAACCTTGGATTCGTCATATTAATGATTTTACATCTGAAGCTATTAAATAAAGTATAAATTAAAACAAATATTTATTATTAGTTCCTTATCCAAAACATCCAAAAGTGTTTTAAGAAGGGGATTTCTTTAGATATTTTGAAGAAAAACATTATGAAGTTGATAAGGTAGCTCAATTTGATTTTTCGGAATCATTATACACTTAATTAGTTTAAATTTAGACTTTGAGAAGGGAAGAAACAGTTAAACATAGATATTTTGAATTATTAGATTGTTATTAGAATATTCCAATCGTATTTAAAGATTACACATATTTCAGTAAGAATCCTAAAGAAGGTCATCCAGTGTATAATATATATAAGAGGAAAAATTAAAGTAAGAGTTTTTAAACTATTTAATGAGAGCAGCAATTTAGACAATGAACTTATTAAAGATGATGATGAATTAGTATTAAGTGGTAAAATAATTGCAGATTTAATTCCTAAACACTATGAAGATCTGATTTTAGATATTGAAGTATATATATAATTTATTAATTTTAAAGGAGGAGAAAATTTAATAATTATATAAAGACTTTTAGCCTAATTAGACTCATGATATATATGGATGTATAATAGAATAATAAGGATTATGTTTTTTAATTGTTCGTTCTAATTAAATTTAATTAGTTTTAGAAAATGTTGATAATACTTTTGCGTTCTTTCAAAATTACCTCTATTATATTGAAAAATCAGATCTTGATCATTAAAAATATGTATTATAACTTAATTTAGATGATTTTGAGGATAGAAAAATTATATATTAAATATCACCAGGTGAGATTGCTAAAATAAAGAATTTTGGATTAGGAAAAGCTGCAATTGAAATTTAAATTGCTAATGAAAATAAATTTATTGATTTAAATGGAAAAGATATTGTATAATAAAAGAAAGGATATAAGTTTAATATAGATTAAAATGAGGTTAATACTTTTATAAGTTAAATTCCATTAGAAGAGTAATCTAAATAAATTAAAACATCAGAGGGTTAACTTGTCTATGAATGTAAGAAAGGAAGTATTTAAGCATTTTCTGCAAATGATAATTTTTTGGCTATACAAGAAAGAGATAATTAGAATTTAATTCCAGATAGATTAATAATTATTAAAGAAAAGAAGAATCATGAATTAGTTATATAAGAATCTTAATATTCTATAAACTTAGAGTCTTAGTAAATTAAGGAGTCAAATTTATTATATTTTAATTTGATTTGCCCCTATAAGCCATTTTAAATATTGAAATATAATACTGATATTAAAGCAATATCTTTACATTTCTCTGAATAATTACCTGGCTTTGATTATAACAAACTTTAAATCGAGACTTTTAAGATATCAGAGGATTTTAATGTTTGTGTTTCATATTTATAAGATTTACCTGTGTAATTTGTTTTGATATATTTAATTGATTAAGAATAATATTAATCATTAAGTTAAGAGGATGTAATTCTATATGAGAATGGTTGTGGAATTTGTTAGATAATTGTTAATCCTAATTGTTAATAATAAGTTTTAGATAATCTTTAGAAAGTATTTTAAGAAGTTTGTGTACTTTCTGGCAAAGTAATATTGAAAACAAAGGGAGCATTATCTGGTTTGATAGGAAGTTATACTCACTTTTTTGTTTAATAATTTTATGGATTTATATGTCATGTAAAAGATTAATGTAAATTAGAATGGATTATTTGATAATAAAAAAGAAATGATTGGTTTACCAATAAGTTCTTATGATATTACAAGAGTACCAAGTTTAAGAAATACATATATAAGTTACACATTGAATGATGAATTGACATATTAATCATAAAAAATGGTTGCTTTATTGAGAGAAAATAAAGATAATGAAGTGGATTAAAAGTATTTAAATAAATAATCTTTAAGAAAGGAGTTTGGAGTAGTATTATAATAATGTGATTCAGATTATGATGAAGCTATCTTTAGATTAACATTTATATTGTCTATTTTATGATTATTTTTAAGAGTATATTTTAATTTATCAAAACAATAACGAAACAAATTTGAATTAAAGTATAGAAATAATTAGTAGTCTAAAATAATAATTATGGATTTGTATATTATGTAATATAATAACTCATTCTTCAGCAGCAGCTTATTTTGCTTTGAATTCTTTCTCTTATTATAGAGCATAATCAATGGTTCGCTGAAATATAATAATACAATAGTTACTTTTTTATTGTTGAATTAATAAACCCAGAGCCATGGATAATAACATAATGCAAAAATGACAAATGAGTTAGCAAAAATATATACTTACCAAGCCCAAGGATTATCAGCTACATTTCTACCTAAGAATCTCCAAAGTGCTTTAACTTTAGGATCAGCATTCAATCTAGATACAACTTATGGTTTTCTGACTAGAAATTCATATTTTATTAAATCATACCGAAACTTGGTTTCACTGTTTATTAATATGGAATAGTCTTAAACCATTAAGGAGTGTAATCCTTTACATTATTGTAAATCAATCTGCCGTAAACCATTAATAAATATATTAATCAAAATTATATATATTAGAGAATAGCAGATAATTCAAACAAATCAAAAGGTTTTGCAATGAAATAATCTATTCCTGAATTAAAACAATTTAATTTAAGCTCCATATCACTGTAACTAGCCATTGCAATTATGAATCCTCTGTCTATTTATTGACTTATAAATAAATTCTTTATTTCTTTTATTAATTCCACTCCACTTTACTATAAAATTCTAATCAAAATATTACAGGTAGATATGCATCAATAAAGTATAATAAATAAGCTCCATTTCTACATCTACATGGATTTTATTATTTATTTCTAATAAGTGATAAACTTTATTATTAAGTAAATGCTTTATCTGATCTTACCTCATATTTATTTAATAGAATCTATAATACTTATACATTTAAATAGTCATTATCAGCAATAATCACTTTTGAACAACATTGATTGGTTAATTTATATTTAATTACAGATTATAAGAATTTTGGATTTAATTCAGGTGGATCTAAATTAGGATTAGTACTATCTCCAAAATCTAAACTACTTGTTGGAGGTTTTGATGAATTATTAACACCTGATTCACTTTTAACTATTCTTGAAGGATTATTATTCAAACTTTTCGGAAATTGAGAATCTTAAAATTTAATTGTTCCACCTGAATTACTTTAATATTGAGATCCCAATGGTTTTATTTGTGGTGATTCTTACTTAATTTTAGATATTTATGAAAAATGAGCACTTTATAAATCAAATTGTGTGTCAGGTTTTAATGAATATTATTTGGATATTTAAGTAAATGACATATATTTTGATTCTTCATTTTTATAATGAGAACTCTCTTAAGCCTAGGCTAAAAGCATTGATAAAGATGTTTCAAAAGGTCTTTTAAATTTCATCTATTAAGCATAACATGCTTATTATTTACTATTAATTGAAAGTGATTCTACAGTAAATGTAAATGTTCCTGACATATTATTATCAAAGCTTAATTCTAAAGGTTTTCTAAGTGATCCGGATAATAAAAATGCTATCATTGCAGAAACTTATAATTCCAAAAGATTACTCATATCAAAATCTTTACAATTATTTTTCATTAATTAAGATGTATTTTTTAACACATTAGAATAACCTAATTAAGAAATCTCATCTCTAAATGGAATATCTTTTATTTAAAATTAAAAATTGTTTGGAGAAACTTAATGAATGTCAATTCTTATTTTTTAAGTTACTGTGTATTTTATTGCAATTTCAAATAAACATTTTAAAACTTATTTGGTCTATCAAATCAATTAATATTTATATTACTCTTTCAGAATCATTATAAACTAACATATCTTAGTCTATTATAGGTATTATTGATATCTCCTTAATCTTTAAGCAATCATCATAAATTAATTGTAATTCATCCAAAATATCAGTTATTTTAAATGTTGAATTACGAAATGTAAGTTAATTTATCAATTATAAAGTCAAATCTTTCATAGTACTTAAAAACATCATAAATTTTTAAGTGCTCATACGCATTTATTTTAAATAATCTTTCTAAACTTTTCCATTATTTTTCTCTATGTCATGAGAACATAGTAAAATCAATAAATGTATAGCATTTATATAATTAGTTGATTCAGATAAAAAAGTTTAAAATACATTTTGAAATTAAAGAGGCTCATCCAAAACTCTTTTTGAAGTTGCTTTTTAAACAGGCTCAAACATAAACATTGTATAAAGTTTCTATTTCACTTCTGTTACTAAAACTTTTATGTTTAAGTTATCAAAATCTAATTCATCGTTCTTAATCTTGAAAAGTTAGAATGTAAAAAATTTCCATCTAAAATTAATTGTTTATTTACTTTGAATAATTATTATATAATCTTCCTATCATCTCTCTAATTTTATGTAATCCTCCCTTAATTTTATATCTACTATGTATTGTATTATCCAAATATATAGAACTATTAATCATTAGATCAATGTTACTTATCTTAATCTAAGTCAATTTCAGAATTTTCAAATAAATCATTGACTTCACGACTACCAATCACAATGACGGATTCCAAAAATGTTGATTCATAATCTATTTGTAATCCTTTATTTTTATTTTTATCCAGTTTTCCAAGAAAGAAATTTTGATAAACAATTTCAAAATTTTAATTGTAAACCAAAATGGATTAATTATGAATCCAAGCCCTAATAAATAATATAGAGAATAAATACATTTAAGCTAATACATCATCTTCTTCATTACATTACAAATCCATTATTATAGGACTGTTCATTACATCAGGATAATCTACTTCAGGAGAACGATTTAAATTTTCTTGATTCTATTATTGTGATGATTATTTATCAAATTAATTTGATTTCTATTTAAAAGTTATTAGATTTGTCTATTAATTTTAAATTGATTCCTTTTTCTCTTTTCTTAAACTTGTTCTGCTGTCATATAATATTACACTTAATATTACAAACATATATGGAATTGTATAGTAAAATTTAAATATATTTGGCTACAAAATAGAATTTATTGATGAACCAACACCTACAATAATTTTGAATACTTTATCAGTATCAGTTAGTATTATTATTTATGCACATATTTATTATTAGAAACAATCTAAGGATAATTCAGAATATATTGCCAACCATTGTAGATATTTGAATATTTGTTCTAGTTTCTACATATTGTAATAATTATGATGATTTAAATATTGATTGAGTAGTATCAGTATAATATTAATGGAAAGCAATAAATTTTGATATAACAAAAAGGAAGGATTGATTAGACTTATGATTATTAACAATTATTTTCTAAAAAATTTCATTAAATTAAGAATTTTATAAAACATAAATATTTGATTCATTTAAAGAGCGGTATTAATTTAAAGTATGCAATTTGAATTAATTTATTCTTTATTTTTCATTATTTAAATTTGAAATTACTATATATGTCTAAAACAATCAAATTTATCAAATAAAAAGAATTAATTATTGTTAAGCTTGTGAAATAAATATTTTTTTTTTTTATTTTTTAGTAATTTAATTGTTTAAAATTGTGTATGAGTTTAGAAATCAATAAAATACTTATTATACATAGTTTAATGATTGGATAAACTGTGATATAAATTGATTTTACATTATACGTTATATATTAAATTTTTTATTCGTTTTTAAAACAGAAGAAGAGTAGAATTTCTGTAAATAAAGAGTTAATAGATGTTTATTGATATATTTGATAATCATAATATATTATCAAAAATCATTCCACATATTTATTAATTTATGTTTAAGTTGTGTATTTTGACATGCAAATAAACTTAAAAAACTTTAGAATTTTTGATTTTTTTAATTTAAGCATGATAACATTTGTTCTCTTCTGTTTTTTAGTTCTAGGTCAAGCTATGAAAGTTTCTTATAGCAAATAATGCACCTGCTAAAAATTTTCAACAGACACAAGTTGCTTAGAGTAAACAAACTGTATTTGGAGAAGTGATGGTTGCCAAGCAAGAGCTTGCACTGAATATTACGATAAAGATAAATGTAATAGGGTTGCATCTTGCTCATGGAATGTATCTAAATGTCAAACATTTACTAAATGTTCTGATTACTACATGAATGACTCTTTTGATTGCTATAAAATAGGTGATCAAAACTTAAATTAATTTTGTGAGCCTTCAGAAAATGCAAATAAATGTTAAGAATATAAAATCTAATTATGTGGAGATGTAGAAGAAGATTGTACAGGATTCTAAAGTCAATGGAGTATGTGTTACTGGAATAATAACAGATGTAATGTTATTGATATCAGATATTGTGATAAATTGTTTAACAACGATTTATGTATTATATTTGGAGAGGGTCTTGGATGCTAATGGAAAGAGAATAAATGTATAGCCATATCTTGTTCAGATTTTACTTCTGAGAGTAATTGTGTTTTATAAAGATAAAACTTTATAGAAGATGATCCATTACTTTGTAGATGGTATGAAAATTAATGTGAAGAAGCTTAAGATGTTTCTCATCTTGATTTTTCTAATTGTCTTGTCAATTCCTTCTATAATTATATTTGGGACTCAATTAATAAAGAATGTGTTTCTTGTTAAACCTATATCCCACCAAAGACAACGACAACGCCTTGATATGCAACATGATTATTTTATTTAGATATTAAACATTATTCATTGTAATTCTATAAATATCTCATCTTTAATATTTTATATTTAATTATCAATGAATATGATTAATTAAATAATTTTTTATAAATTTATTTCTTTTCATATTAATCTATATACCTACCAGTTATTTTTTTATTCACAATCTTCATTGTTTTTTTTTTATATTCAAATCTATATAAATTCATTTCCTTTTGATTTCATTTGTTTTTTATTTATTCTCTCTTTGAACAATTAAATCATTACAAACTAACAACTTTATTTAAGTAAAATGTCTCAGACATTAACATAATAAGACCTTTAAAGAAAATCTTAAAAAAAAATATTATATTTTACGTAAGAAATTAATAAATATAGGTAAAGCTTTCAAATTGTTTAATGTTATTTGAAATAATTATAAACATTTTTCATTTTACTCTTAATCTATATATTAATTTTTAAATTTTGATCTTTTAAGCGACTATTATTTGTAATTGATCTAATTAGAATTAATTATTCTAAATTAGGATAATTCAAAAAGGGTTCATAACAAATTAAGAAAGCTTATAATTGATTTTAATAATAAATTATACATTTAATTAAATAAAAAATTCATGCTTATGTGCTGTTGTTAATAATTTACAAATCAAATTTAGAGATTTATTTTATGAAAAGGATATATAGATAGATATAAAAATAGATGAAAATTAGTAATGAATTAGTTTAAATGTACAACAATGTCAAAGAAAATTAATCATAGATGATAAAGATGAAGTAAAAGAATGATTAACATATTGAAAATAAATGAATATTAATAAAATAAAGAATTCTAGTTAGAAAAAATTGAGCCTGTAGTTTCAAATATTAAGATATATTGTAAAATATTCATAAATTTGAGAAACGAAAATCTTCATTTGACTATTAATTAATGTTGATGATTATTTCATTTTTAAGTCTAAAGTAATTTTGAACTTGATTTAGATGATTCAAAGAGACTTTTGAAAATAAAATCTTTAGGTCTTTAATAACAGAAAAAAAAATCAAAAAAAAATTATAGATTAATTATTATTTCAAATAGTTAGATTACACTAAATTAAATGGCAATAAAATAATTAGATAATTTACTTGTTTGCTGATACATTAATCTTTTAAGGAATAATTATGGAAAAAGAATTCCTAAAAAAGAATACTAGGATCATGGCAAATTATATTTTTAAGAAATTAATTCAGTTGAAATAATGTAAAAGAAGGATAAATATACAGATTCTCATAGGGATAGAATTATTGAAATAATATATGAATAATTTGAAATTTTTTATACATCTATATATTATAAAAATTAATGGGAATTACATGTTCAAAACGCAAAATTAATAGCTAAAAATATGTATAGGTTTAAGCAAAACCAATTCAAGCTAGTTTAAGTACTTCAAAAGAGGCATTAGCATTTTGTGATTCATAAGACTTAGCTAATATAATGAGAACCAAGCCAGTCAAATAATATTTATAAGACGTAATTAAGAAGTAATAAATCTATTTTGATTCTTGTGAATAATTAACACATATAATAGAGAGAAAATCTGAAATTTTATTAAGATGTTATAATGATTTTACTGAGAAAGCTTTAAAAATAAAACTCATAGTACTAAAATACTATAATGAGAATTTTTTGGCTTATTAGAAGTTTGAACCTGGTTGCATATAAGAAAATGATTTAGTAGCAAATGAAACTATGCAAGTATAATATCTGATTTGCATGATAAGATTCTTCTTGAGACTATTATCATTCTAAATTGTTTGATGGATAAAAATTTTGATGAAGAATAAGAATTATGGTGGGGAAATGATTATTTTAAAAATAGAATTTAAAATCTGGGTGGAATAGTGGAAGATAGAATTTAAAATGACCAAATTGTTTAACCTATTGTTCAATATTTATAAGCATTAATAAATAAAGTTACATAATCTTTACCAATTAATCAATAATAATAATAATAATAAAAGCCTTTTCAGCATAATCAATCTGTTGTAAATAGTACAGCAATTGCTTAAGTACATTTGACAAAATTTTATAATGATCTTAAATTAGAATTTGCAAGAGATGCTGGTGAGGAATAGATTGTTTCTTGATTAAAATAAATCAATAATTATATTTATTAATATATTTTAATTTATGAATTAGCCTTATCTTCATCCAGCAAATCAAATAATTTAAGATTAAGCACCAAAGGAAACCCTTTATATAACTGGATTGAATGATAAGATTAAATTAGAGGATATGAAATTTGTTTTATATATACTTTTTTCATAATTTGGAGAGGTCCTGTAAATGGTTATGAAAAAAACATAAAAATTAAGAGGTTAAGCATTTATAGTATTTTAAAATATTACATATGCTACTAATGCTAAAGCAGCATTATCAGGTATGATTGTTTATGATAAACCATTGGTATCAATTACTAATATTTTAGATTATTGAATTTGCCTATAAGAAGAGTGTTATTTTTGATAGAATTGAAGGCAAATTCTACTATAAATAAAAATAACATAAAGAATTGTAACCGAATTTACCTAATGAGTTAATGAAGGAAAAAAAATAAAAAAAATTTGAAGACAAAATACAAAATAATAGCAATTTAAATTAGGGAGAAATCAATAATGTTTTATTGATAGAATCATTGCCACCATTTGTTACAGAAATCATGTTATCAGAGTTATTTAGGTAATACCCTGGTTATTCACTCATTAAGTTGATACCTGCTAGAGGCTTGGCATTTGTTGAATACTAGAATGATGATTAAGCGACAGTTGCATTAAAGGGCTTAAGCAACTTTAAAATCACTCCTGAATGTCAATTAAAAGTTAAATATGCTAAAAAGTGAAGAGTATATAAATTATATTATTTTTTATAACCTTTTTATTCATTTATGCTCATATATTTATAGATATATTAACAATTTTATTATATTAATATTAATCACTAATCAATCTTTTAACATTATTATGTTATTCTATCATAAAAGTTCTTAAGGAGAGAAACAATTTTAACAATCCAAAATTAACTTTATACGTTATTCATTTATTTTTATTAACTAAAAAGTTTGGAATTTATGGAATCCAAACTAAAGAAATATTAATTTAGATACATACTTCTTATAATCTAATTTATAGATTAATAAATTATAATTAACCTATTGTATTACGAACTAGTAATTTATTTTTTTAGAATTAATCCCATTATCATAAAAATAAAATCATATTTCTTTTTACTTCTTATCTATCCAATTAAATTTGATGATTTTCCTTAAATTTTATCTTTGTTCATACTAATAATATATTTATGAGATAGTTTCTTTGCAACTAAAAATATATTGTCCTTCTTTTCTAAATAAAATTTAGCTTTTGCAATTTATTTAAACCAGAAGTATTAATTATTAGTTGATACTAAATAATACCATTTTTCCATTTAAAGTCATTGTAAGAAACTCTTTTTGAATATAAATTCAAGTGTATTATTAATTATAGAGTAAGCTGCAATCATTAAAGTATTTGAAATTATTTAATTTTAAAGTGAAAATCTTTCTTAATCTATTTAATTGATGAATGACTATTTAATACATTTTTGGAGAATATTTATTTTAGATTATCAGAGAATTTTTTCTCCAACCTAAAAGAATTATATGCAAAATTAAGTAATTTTAAGTTTATCATCTTATATGCTGTATTAGTTTAAACCATCTTATTCATCTCTTTCTGCTATTTATTAAAACTAAATAACTGTAAAATCATTCTTATCGCTTCCCTCTGATTGATGGTAGATTTTATTTTGCTATATTTTTTTTTTTATTTTCAAAATTAATCTAACTTTGTTTTCCATAAATTATATATCTGATTTATGTCAAATTACTTATTTCTTAAAAGTAAGCCTGATTTTATCTATCCTAAATTTTTATCGTATTAGTTCTTTATGAATTTTGGAGGATTAGATAGATCAGTTTATATTTTTTGGGTAATTGCTTATTTATAAATAGATAATTATCAATATTGGTGGCATATCAATAAGGTTTTTTATTTTAATTACCTTTATATTTTCATACTTGTCAAAAATATTTAGAAATATTAATAAATAAGTGATTATAATTCATTACTTCTCTGTATCTAAATCAGGTATTTTTGTTATTTGAGTTACAGATTGTGAAACTTTATGACTTGAGCATTTTGTAGAAATCCAATACAGTGTATGATCAATTTTGGGTTCCCAATAACATACTAAATTGTAAAAGTAATGTGCATATATATATCCTGCAGGTACCTATAATAATATTTATAAAATTTACATCAATTGTATAATGAATTCTAAAAGAAATAACAATAAAAGCTTAAAAGAATGATGAAATAAAAAAAAATAAGGCTATCCATTTCTTTCCCAATTTTCTCATTTCTAATGCACAAATAACCAGAAATCCAACATGACCCTATTATTATGAATAAATTCTTACAGAATAAAAGAAATCTGAATACTTCCCATATTTTACAACAAAGGTTGGTACTCCTGGATCCTACCAATAGTAATTATGAGCAAATTGAAGTTTAAAAATATTCAAATGAATAGCCCTGATTCCATAGAATATGATTAAAGCAGCAAAAAGCCTAAAATTTCTAACATAAAACACCCAATAGAGACTAACATAGAAAAATGCAAAGTCTAATATTAGGCCAGAAATCACTTGCATTAGAGAAGCAAACCTAATTACAATTTAAAATGAATAAGTACCATGTATGAGAATGATATAATTAATTGATTATATCTGTTTAGTTATGACCTAAGTCAAAAATGCCTTTTATGTCATCCTATGGTGTCCCCAATATTTCACCAATTTGAGTTATCACAATATAACTGAAAAAAATGAAAATTCTAAATCGAAAGTTATAGCAGGGATTATCAGGGACAGTACTTTATCTATGGTCAAATTTCTAAGGGGTTTCAGGTTTTAGAACTTCGCATCCATGATAAATTGACAAATCTTATGTTTATTTATTTGAGATATGCATTTTAATAATATTATTTATTAAATATTTAATCATTCATTAAGTATTGCATTCATGATATTATTTAAATTTTATTTAAAATGTTAGCAATATTGTTATTAACATACTTCTTTAACTTAAATCAAAGGAATATTAATAGTACATCTTTTATCATATTTTTAATTACCAATCCTATTAGAGATATAACGCATTTATTTAATTATTTATAATATTCATTCTATGACCCCTAAGGCTATATGTAATTTATCTACCAATAATGCACCACCTATATCAATTGCTGCACTATATAAATCAGCAATTTCTAATTTCATTTTGATTAACGATTATTCTTAAACGTCAATTCTCTCTTCCAACTCTTTTACTTAATTTCTATATTTATTCTCTATCTAAGAATTTGCTTAGAAAGCTCTCTCTAAAATTGTTTGATACTCTTTTGATATTTTAAAACGATCATCATTTAAATTATTATTTTAATCTTCTATTTCTTTCGGTTTCGTAGTTTCATTTCCTTATCCTTATATATTATTATCAAAAATTACTCAAATTGTTTGCTTCTTCTAATTATTAGAAAGCCAAGGATTCTCTATGACTAACTAATATACTTGTTCTTATTTAAGCTACACTATTTCTTTGAATAGTTTTATCTAATCTTTATATTTATAAATCTGATATTAAAAATTCTAATTCTGCTATCTTTTGTTCATAAGATTAAATTTTTTCTTTGCAATTACATTTCTATTCTGTAATCTTAATTTTAGACTCATCTTATAAAACTTTTGTTTAATCCTCTTTCAAAGATTTAATTTACTATTGAAGTTCTTATTTAAGTTTTTTCTCTTTTTCATAAGCTTATTTCATTTGTGTATTTTATAATTTATATTAATCTAGAGTCTAAGATAATGCTTCTTCCATTTAAATATTATATTGTTCAAGTTCAGAGATGATTTCCTGCTCTTTTTAAATTTCTTGATTTTTTTCTTTTAACGCTTTTTATTGTTCAGCAATTTTTGCTTATAATAAAACTTTTTCCTACATTGATTCTGCTAATTATTGTTTGCTTTTTAACAAAGTTGTTCTCATACTTGCAAGTTGAACTTTTGCTTCTTCTAATTACTTTTAAGAATCAATATTTAGCAATTTTTATTGCTCCACCTATTATTACAGATTTCTCAATTCCTCCTTATTTCTATAATAAATATTAAATATATTATACTATTCCAAAGACTCATTAATTCTTGTAACTTCATTACCATATACTTGTGTCTAAGGATGAGATTATGAATCAGAACACTCCATATTTAATATTATATTACTTATTAACTTTATTCCAATTTCAATTAATACTAACATAGTTCTAATTCATATTCTAATTGTTGTATTCTTTACTCAGATAGTTATTGAGTCATTTAATAGGTCTAAAACTTTTCTTAAATGGCTCTTCTTAATAATAATAGTGGTTCTACTAACTCTTTTTGATCCATCAAAAAATTGGGCACATTCTCAACTTATCTCAATAAATATTAGACTTCGCTATTGTAATCATTTAGTATTTTTTGATTACTCTCATATTTTGTTTACCAAATTTATATTTAGGTTTTTAATCGATTTATTTATTATTCTGATTTTGATCTTACATTTGTTTCATGAATCTATTTTTCTGATTAAATAATTTAAGTCTTTGACTCATGATTTAATCTAGTCATATGAAATTCTTAACTTAAAATTTCATCTAATTTAAATTATAAATCTTCTATTAATTAATCCTTTTATGCCAATTCTGATTCATATCTTTATTTTAATGTATCAAAATCCTATTATTTTAGATTTAGATTTAATAATTGTTCTTCAATAATGTTTTCAGATTCATTTGATGGAGCCATAATGAATTAATTCTAAATTTAAAATCAACTATATTACTTCTATTTTTTTTTCTTTTTAGCGAGCATCTATTTATTTCGAAAGCTGTTACTCTAAACTTTCATTTTTTTGTAATAATGCTTAAATAGTTCCTGATGTTAGATTTTTCATATCTTAAATTTATTCATTTTTATCTTTCACTTAATTTTCTAGATTCTATAGCTTTTCATTTTAGCTTTGAATTTATATAATCATAGATTCATTTAATTATTTTAATTGTTCTTTTTCAACATTATTTTATTACAAATTATTAGCATTATTATCTTCTAAAAGTTTTACTTTATCTTCTTAATCTTTAAATTATTTTTCATATTTTTTCATCATATCTTAATAGATATATTTTTCAATCATTCCATCAATTTTATTTTGAAGTTGTTAAATTAATAAATTTTACTCGTTAATTTTAATATCTTTATTAATTAATAATTAATTCTCACTTTAAGATTTCTATTATTTTGTTTCAAATTCTTTTTATTTATTGTCACTTTAAAACATCTATTCCGTTGTTTTTTAAGTTATTTTATTATTAAATGACTCTTGACCAGAAGAGATAACTGAAACTTTTGAAAAATCTAAGGATTAATCTTAAACTTCACCACTATTGTCAATTAAATATTTTTTACTCATTATCTAAATCACAAATTTTAGTAATTTTAAAGTTAGCAATCAATTTAGCTTTTTTATCTGGACACTTATCAAGATCTAATGTTTCTTAGAATTCTAAGTGGAATCTAAAAAAAGATCTCTTTTACCTACGTTTTATTAATTCAAATATTGAGTAAAGTCAAAGTTATGAAAACCAGCAGTTTTTTATCCTTTCTCAGTTACGAGTAAAACAACTAATTAGGCCTAATTATCTTCTGATTTTCCATTTTGGGTTAGATTTGTTATTATGTTGAATTGAAGAGTTTCNTAATTTAAATTATAAATCTTCTATTAATTAATCCTTTTATGCCAATTCTGATTCATATCTTTATTTTAATGTATCAAAATCCTATTATTTTAGATTTAGATTTAATAATTGTTCTTCAATAATGTTTTCAGATTCATTTGATGGAGCCATAATGAATTAATTCTAAATTTAAAATCAACTATATTACTTCTATTTTTTTTTCTTTTTAGCGAGCATCTATTTATTTCGAAAGCTGTTACTCTAAACTTTCATTTTTTTGTAATAATGCTTAAATAGTTCCTGATGTTAGATTTTTCATATCTTAAATTTATTCATTTTTATCTTTCACTTAATTTTCTAGATTCTATAGCTTTTCATTTTAGCTTTGAATTTATATAATCATAGATTCATTTAATTATTTTAATTGTTCTTTTTCAACATTATTTTATTACAAATTATTAGCATTATTATCTTCTAAAAGTTTTACTTTATCTTCTTAATCTTTAAATTATTTTTCATATTTTTTCATCATATCTTAATAGATATATTTTTCAATCATTCCATCAATTTTATTTTGAAGTTGTTAAATTAATAAATTTTACTCGTTAATTTTAATATCTTTATTAATTAATAATTAATTCTCACTTTAAGATTTCTATTATTTTGTTTCAAATTCTTTTTATTTATTGTCACTTTAAAACATCTATTCCGTTGTTTTTTAAGTTATTTTATTATTAAATGACTCTTGACCAGAAGAGATAACTGAAACTTTTGAAAAATCTAAGGATTAATCTTAAACTTCACCACTATTGTCAATTAAATATTTTTTACTCATTATCTAAATCACAAATTTTAGTAATTTTAAAGTTAGCAATCAATTTAGCTTTTTTATCTGGACACTTATCAAGATCTAATGTTTCTTAGAATTCTAAGTGGAATCTAAAAAAAGATCTCTTTTACCTACGTTTTATTAATTCAAATATTGAGTAAAGTCAAAGTTATGAAAACCAGCAGTTTTTTATCCTTTCTCAGTTACGAGTAAAACAACTAATTAGGCCTAATTATCTTCTGATTTTCCATTTTGGGTTAGATTTGTTATTATGTTGAATTGAAGAGTTTCATTGATTATTGCAACACCATTTTGTAATTCATAATTAGATTGAGTTTCCATTTTTAAAGAACCTAAGATATTACTAAGAAATTTAGGTTTACCTTTTTTTATTACTACTTAGATCTTGCACTAAAAATGCACTAACAATTAAACATTCAAGATGGTGGCTTCAACTAAGAATTTATATCTTTTTCTATTCATTAATAAAGAATAAAACAAAAAATTACAAAATTAATAAGCAGCAATAATTTTATTATTATTTAAGAGGAATTAATTAATAAAAATATTTATAAATAGGAATAAAAATAACATAATAAGTTGATCAAAGACATGTATAAATTGAATATCTAATAAATGATTGAGAATAATAATGAATATAATACAATTATATGATGACATCTACAAATAGTAGAAATCAATACAATTATTTTATTAATTATCAATTTTTAAGATTGCCAATATAATCTTGTTCTAAAAAAGCGTGTCCTTTAACCCAAGAATGAAATTAGTTAAATAATTTAGTACAATCTTTTCCTGCTCCTAACATTAATTTTTCTGATCCTCCAGGATGATAATCCATGTAAATTGAAATATCATATACTTTTCCATTTAAAACTGTCCATACATCTCCAGGTTTATTATGTTTAGAAATTTCTTCAGCAGTATAATTTTTAAAAGCTGGTCGATTTTTTCTTGGCTATTAAACATATTATATTTGTCCCCCTTTTACTTGAACCTTTTCTCTCTTTGATACCTCCTCTTGAGGAAGTAAAGGGGCCACAAATCTACTTTCTGCAAAATTAGGTTTACTTGACAAAAAAGCTCCTGTACTTTAATTAAAAGAAGAAACCATTTTGTTTAGTTATTCAAATGTTATATCTGTTGATTCAGTTTTACGTCCATTTCTATATTTCTCTTTATTTATCTTACCATCTTTTGGCTCATAAGTATATCTAACCTCTTTTTAAGATGTAGAATCCATTGAATTTTTTACTCCTGGTACAAACAAATATACAAAACGATTATCTAAACATTCTTCAAAATTCAGTTTTTACATCTTATCAGATTGAAGGAGGATTTTATCAGTCATTTAATATTTTTTATAGTCCATTATGATGTAATTTAGAATTATGAGAAGCTCTTCTTTTGTAGCTTTTAGATGTAGGATTTCATCTATTCTATCATCTGTAACAATTGAAGTTATCTTATCTTCCATACGCAATTTGCAAACTTAAATAAAAATATTTATTTTAGAATTTGAGAAATATTTTTTAATTTTTAATTAAGAACTTTTGTTATTGTAAAGAATACAACTTACTAAAAACTCTTATATATGGAAGAATTTTTTATTTCAATTTTAAATTTTTTGTTTCAATTTCTCTAAATTTAATTTATTATTCAAGCTTAAAGAAAATCTTTAGAATTCAAACTTATAATAACTAATTTTACTCTTTCTTTTAATCTAAAAAGGTAAAAATAACAAATAGATTGAGAAAATTAAAAAAATACGGGTATTTATAAATTTTAGCCTTCAATTAATAGATAATTGATTGATTTAATTTTTGAATGAAATTAATCATTAAGAATCAAAGAAAAATATTTTGAATTGGTTTATTAAAGAATAAATAAAAATTGAAATAAATGAATATAAATATTGAATAATCAAAATTAATTGATTTTATCCTGTATATAATGTTTCTACATGAATTACTATTAACATTTCCGGTATAGTCTAGTGGTTAGGATATCAGGTTTTCACCCTGGGGACCCGGGTTCAATCCCCGGTATCGGAAAAATTTTTTGTTTAAAATAAAAAATTCGTTTTTAAGCTTCAGTTTTCGGTTGTTTTAAGAATAATATTGAAAAAGAATACTTGGCAGAAATTTTACAATAAATAATCAAGAAATATTTACAAAACAATTTTTAAATTTATTATTGACTATTTCTTTAATCTTTTGTCTAGTTTCTCTCTTTTTTGAACCTTTTGCCATAATTATTGCATTATATTCTGCTCCATGATTCCAGATATAGACATCACTATTGAATTCTGATAGTCTTTGTCGTATTCCAGAGAATTTATCATTTGTTGCTAAAAGTAAAGCCTAAATAGATATTTGAACTAATGGTTACAATTGAATCTTAATAAAATAATATAATACAATAATAATGATTGTGTTTGTCATAGCAATAATTGTGCCTATGGCTGCATAAGATAAAGTATTATCAAGCATGCATTCTAAAAATGTGCCGATATTAAAGAGCAATTCACATAAAAATAACATAGTAATTGCATGCATATTCAAATAATGAGTATAAAAATATTTAGATGGATTCCCACCTATTAAATCTTTATAATTATGAATGAATTATTATAGTTATTCTTTGTCAGTAATAAAATTTGGTTGGATGTATTCTACAAATAAAAAGATGCCCACAAATGACAAGATTATTCTCAATGAAGCATAGTACAATTCATTATTCTAATTTAATTAATGTTAATCAACAGGATGACTAATAACATCTAGATCCTCAAGGATTTCATGAGCATTTCTCGATATTTGAAACATTGTTAAAATAGACACATGTATACATAATGTAAAAGAGGATAAATATTCTAATCTTTACATAGCAAATGGATATGTTTTTGTTGGTTGAAAGGTTTTGGCTTTAATACCACAATAGATTGCAAACACAATGACTATTGAATTTAACATACAATCAAAACTTTCCTCTGTCAAATGAACACTTGAACTTGTTAACCCTGAGTAAAAAGCTTAAACTGCATATGCAGAATAAATAAAAGCTATAATAGCTGCATATTTATAATCTGGACTTCCAAAAATGAATTTCAGTAATTGAGAATCTTGATTTTTTTCAATTTCAGGTTCAAAATGATGATGGTGATCATCTTCATGATTATGATCATCATGATCATGGTGATGATGATCGTGATCGTGATCGCAATGATCATGATCATGATTTTTATGATTATGATGATCCTTATGAGTAGAGGTATCACAAATATGGTTATGCTCTCCACAATCACATAATGTTAATGATTATTATTCTGACATTTAATTAAATAAATAATAACATTTGATGTTAATAATCATTTTGTTAAATTTATTACTATCAGTAGACACGCGTTATGCTGCTACAAAAGTTCAAGATACTGTGCCTTTTAAATAATTTAAAATTCATACTACTGAAACAAAAGTATCAAAAGCAGGACATTAAATACAATTAGTATAGCATCTCATTTTGGAAATTAGATAAGAAAAACCTGATTAAATTGATATTCAAATCTATGATGAAGCAAAAAATCATTTTAGAATACCATCAACTCCTGTATTTGAATTCAATTATAATAGCCATTTGATTATCATGATATTAAGGATCCTCAATAATTTGATAATTATGATTACAGCATTAAAGTAGAAGATAATCCATTTAAAATAAGAGTTTAAAGAGATAATGCAACAATTTTTACAATAACAGATTTAATTTTTAGTGAAACATATATTGAATTTACTCATATTCCACAAAACAAATAAATGTGGGGTTTAGGAGAAAGAAATTAAGTTGGATTTCGTTTTAGATAAGGGATATATACATTATATGCAAGGGATTAACCAAATATAATAGAAGATGGTAAGAGACCTGGAAAACATGTATATTCAAGTCATCCAGTGTTATTGAGTATGGAAGAAAGTGAGAAATTCAATATAATGTTTTATAAAACTTCATCTCCAATGGATGTGAATTATGAGTAGGATTAAATGAAATTTATAACAATAGGAGGAATTATACATATAAAGTTATTTCTTGGTGATAAATCTCCTAGGACTGTAATTAAAAAATACCATTAATATTTAGGAGGTTGGATGCTTCCACCATTTTGGGGATTTGGATTTCATTAATGTAGATGGGGATATAAAAATGGTAGTGTTTTAATAGATGTTGTACAATAGTATTAGAAAAATAAGATACCAATAGATATAATTTGGACCGATTTAGATTATATGAATGATAGATAAATATTTTCAGTTGATAAACATAGATTTCCAAAGAAAGATTTCTAATATTTAAAAGGATTAGGTGTTAGATATATTCCATTATTGGATGTAGCAGTAGGAGTAAAATATGGAGTTGAAGATGAAGGTTTTAAAAAAGGAACAGAATATGATGTTTTTTTATATTCTCCTAATACTGGTTATCGATTTTAGGGTTATGTATGGCCAGGAGATTCTTATTTTCCTGATTTCTTTCATCCAAATATTAGTGAATATTGGAATGAAATGCATTAACATTTATATAAATAAGTAGAATTTGATGGTCTTTGGGTTGATATGAATGAACCAGCAAATTTTTGTGAAGGTGAATGCAATTGGAGTAATAAACTATATGATCATACAAAAAGAGATGATAAATTAAACAAAGAAATAATATTCCCATATATTCCAGGTGAAATACCATTAGCAAACAAAACATTGCCTCCTCATTTATTACATCATGGATAATATTTACATAAAGATGTTCATAATCTTTATGGAATCATGGATTCTTATTATACTTATTAAGCTCAAAAGGCTTTAGGTAAAATACAACCATTTTAGATTACCAGATCAACATTCCCAGGTACTGGAAAATATGCTTAACATTGGACAGGTGATAATGGAGCATCATGGGATTTCCTATATTTATCATTAGGATAAATATTTTAATTTTAAATATTTGGAATTCCTATGGTTGGAGCTGATGTTTGTGGATTCATGGAAGATACAAATGATAAACTTTGTAGTAGATGGATATAATTAGCTTTATTTTATCCTTTTTTTAGAAACCATAATAATGATTTATCAAAACCATAAGAATTCTACAAACTTGGATTTCATGTTATTTAATCTGCTCAAAAAAACATCCATTTAAGATATTCATTATTAAAATGGTTTTATTCCATTTTTATTAGAGAATAAAATCATGGTTCAAGTATATTATTATAATAAATAATAATTAGTAATTAATCCCTTATTTTTCATCTTTCCTCAGGATTATCTAACATACAGAGATTTCGTAATGGATACTTAATTAATTATTGGAGAAGAATTGATGGGTGCTCCTATCTTAAATGAAGGAATGACTAGAATTGCATATTTTCCTGATTCAAACTGGTATGATCTTATTACAGGATTAGAATTAAAGGGTTAATAGGATCATAATCTTTATTGTTCATATAATGGAATTGTACCTATATTCATTAGAAGTGGATACTTAGTGATATAAAATACTAAAGAAACAATTAAGAATTTAAAATCTTTAGATAATCATTATAGAATTATTGCTGCTCTCAAAAATTAAGAAGCTATAGGAGTATTTGCAGATTTAGATGATTTTGAAGATGAAGAAAAAGCACTTCAAGCAACTATCATTAATTTTAAAATTTTAATTGATGAAAATGATGTTACAATCACAATAACTCAAAGCCATTCAGAATTAATAATTGATGAGATATTAATTTATGGATTAGAATGTTCATATAAGTAATGCATATCTGGATATTATAAATATAACTCTATATTTAAAGGTCCATTTAGTTTGGGACAAGATAAAACAGAATTAAAACTAAAATGATATATTTATTGTTCAGTAAATAGATTTACTTATAATTTTAACATTTAAAATAAAGATGATTTTATTAAATAAATAATTTCATCTTTTATGGTGTTTCTTATGATGTTTATCTTTTTTATGTCTATGTTTTTTGTGTTTCTTTCTTTTCGATCTACTTCTACTTGAATCTGAGGAGGAATCAGAAGATGAATCACTATCTGAATCAGAAGAACTACTGCTTTCAGGTAATTTTTATTTGATTTCTCCTTATTTTGTAAAAGTTTGTTAAATCAATTATGGTTGTTATTAAACTTATTATTATTATTATTATTATTATTATTATTATTATTATTATTATTATTATTATTATTATTATTATTATTATTATTATTATTATTGTAATTATTATTGCTGAGATGGTTGTTCTGTAATTCCCCATCTTAATTCTTCCTAGAATTTTTCAACATAAGCATAATCCACTAATTTTAATTTAAGTTTTTCATTTTTATACTCAAATATTTTATTTCGATCATTGATTAATCTTTTAGCATCTCTCTCATTCTCATATCTAACAAATGCTACATTTCTGGTATTACCTGTTTAACGGTCTATAGGTATTTTTAATTCTTTAATTTTGCCCTCTTTTCTAAATAATTCCATTAATTCTAAATGACTAGCTTTTTCTGGTAAATTCTTGATGAGAATCGTATCTTCCACTGCTCCTGAAAGTGTTGCCTTTAATTCTTCTTAAGTCATTTTGCCTTTATTAATTCGTTCTAACTATCTTAAGTCATTTCGTAACTTTTCTATTTTATCCTTCAACCACTTTTTACAATCATCATAAGATATTAAAACTTAATATATTCTGGTACTCTTTGCAAATTTGATTTTATCCTCATTAGCTATTACAACTGGTAAATGAGGTTCAACAAATTAATCATTATGAAAAGTACCTCCTTTTGAACCTAAATCAACTAAACAAACTTGTGATTAATTGTTCACAAATATAGCAGCATGTCTTCTAGATATAGAAGGATGAGCTAAATGAACATGATTTCGTTAATGAGATCCAAAATATAAAAATGCTGAATGTTTCATCTCTATTTTTGGTAAGTTCTCACCCTCTTAATAATAATTAATTTATATTTTACCTTTCAAAACTTTCAATTCTACTTTAGGAATCATTTTCGATTCTTATTCTATTGGAAATGTCATCAATAACCATTTGTCTTAATCTTCATAATTATTAATATCAGTTCTAATTTGTTCAAGCAATCTTCCAATTTAATTCTATCCTTTTCCATCTACCACTCCCCAATATTAATTACTAGGAGTTAAATGAGTAAATGTATGAATTAATTAATAGTTATTTGTGGCTCTTAATGAATCTCTGATATCTGCATTCCTTCTAAACTTGTCTCTTAATAATACTTCCATTATTCGTAATCTTTATTTTGTCCAATGAGGTGGATCATCTATATGTTGAGCAATCTAATATACTTCTTATACAGATTATGCCTATTCTAATCAATTATTTATATTTACACTAACAAATTTCTATCTCATCTCCTCATCCTATGTTCTAGCAGATTAATATGCAGCATATACTGAATTATAAATAAGTCCCTATTTTATATATATTCATCATTCTACTTAATAATAAACAGCACATGGATATTCATTTGCTAAAAATTCAAATTAATCTGTAAATGACTCAATTCTCTCCATTCTCTACTTTCGAAACAAAAAGTCAGCCTACTCCTCATATCTTTACAGCTCAGCCTAAAATTATGCATTCTTCTCTATCTAAGCAAAAAGAGACATCCTAATAATTATTTTATAATAATAGTTTTTCTTTATATGATATTTCTAATGTTTTTTCAATTTATTATTAATCTTTCATCTAATATTCTTTTCTTCAAAAATAATTCAAATATTTAACTTAAAAATCTCTAAAATATTATTTATCTCAAAACACTTTCAGCAAAATATAAACAAATAATTTTCACTCAAAAGACAGACTAGTTTGTATTTTAGAATCTCCATTAAACAACAAAAAGCTTTTTTGATGATAATTAAATTTAGATTAAATTTATTAGTATTTCAATTATCAAATAAGAAATGTATTTTAAGATAAATTATTATTCAAAAGTTAATAAATTTATCGATTACTAGAATAGCTTCAAAATCTTAATGATAATTTTATTAGGTTTTAGAGAAAACGATGAAAATTATTATATTTTATGATGGTTTTATTTATTTTGTAAATTATTCTAGAAATTTAATGCTATTCAAAAAAACCCTTTTTTACATTCTAATAAAATGTTTATTATAATTTTTATTTAAACTGGACCAGTCAATTTATCCACCTTCATACAGAAGGATTAAATAATAAGAAGAAGAAATGCGAAAAGGGTTGACAGAAGAAGAAATTAAAAAATTAGAAGAAAGTACATAGAAAAAAGCATTGGAAATGATAGAATTGCTAAAGGTCTAGCCTGAAATATATAAATAAGAAAATAATTTGAAATAAGAATACCCTCCATCAATTTATGAGGTAGTCAAAGAATAATAGGATTGTGAAATTTTATCCTCTTTGAATGAGTCAGATCAATAGAGTATATCTTAAATGAATAGGAAAAAACATGTAAGTAATTAGTATGGTAAGCTATGTACAAAGAATACATTTATGATAAATAAATTAAAGAGAAAAAAAAACAAGAATAATAATAACAAAATTCTTAGAATGGAAATAGACAATAAAATTAAGGGAACAAGGTGTTCATAATCTATTTTCATAATATAATTATTGAGAAGATCCAGATTTATTGATTTTTATTATCCAAATTTTATGAACTTTTAGATTATAATTATAATATTTTTAATGATCATTTTCATTACTTTTTTGATTAAAACCAAACTTTATTAAATCTAAAGTATGGTTCCACTTCAACTTTGTTTTCTTCTAAAAAAATACTTCCCCACAAATATTGTCCAAAAAACATTTATGCTATTTATTTTAACTTGACACAACTTTTCAATGAACTTTCTAATGTTTATTTACACGCTTTCTCAGGTTTAGTAGCTAAGAACTTCTTTATTTCAGGATTCTGATTTATAATCGTTTATGAAAAATGGATACCTAAATTTTTTATAAATATATACTAATAAAATGTTTTAGGGCTCTTGTAAAATTTTTAGGAATGTTTTTACTCTCTCCAGGAAACATACATATTTGATTGTTTTGTTTGTCTTGTTTTATCTCTTGATTTATTTGAATAGGCTTCTTGGGTTATTTTTTATCTTTTTGGATTAATTTTACAATTTTAGGTACAATATATTTCTTAGAATTATCTTAAATTATTTAAGTGCTGGGATTTTGATCCTCAATATTTGAATCTTCTTCGGCTTCATAATAGTTATTTTAATAATCAGGGTTAATTTAATAATCAGGGTAAGAGTATGAATCAATATTCAAAAAGTTTTTGGGTACTTAATAAGCCAAACTCTCAAGTTAATCTTCATCAAAGTTAATATCACCTAAGCTATCTTAATTCCATTTTTTCATTTTTTTTTATATTTACTCTTATCAAATTCATAATACTTTTATATAACAAAAATGCCCAATAAAATTATATCTTATTTTTTAATTATAGTATTAATTTATTCAATTATACATAATTTATAAATAAATGGAAAATTATTTATTCGCATTTTCTTGAGTTTAACTAAGATACATAAATAAACTTAATTGGATTGAAATTTTATTCAATAAAATGGATTCAGTTTAAATTTTTGAAAAATTAATATTATTATTTGACATAATTATCCTACAATAAGATTAGTTAAAATTCAACCTCAATTTACTTAAATAAATACTTATACATTAAATAATCTATTTCTAATGTATTTTAACTTTTTAACATAAAAAAAAAAAATCTGATTAAAAATTATAATTCAAAAATTGATAAATTTAATGTTCATTATTAGAAACAATATTTAGATCTTTCATATTATAATAGGTAATCCTTAATCCAAAATAATAGAAATATAACTATCATATAATAATTATTTATCATACTAGCAGAAAAAAAGATTTCAGGATCTGTCAAGAAGTTAAGGATGAAAAGCATGATACAATCTAGAATAAAGATTTAAAAGCTTGCCATAAATTTAGCAAGAAAATTCGTTAATATAAAATTCAATTAGCGATGAAATTGGATTCCTATCTCTGATTCCTATAGAAGTTATTTAATTGTTATAAAAATAACTAATATTTAAATATTAATAATTTTAGTTAAAATAGAAGTTGAAATGAAAAAAAAAAATCAATTTTATGTTCTAACAAATAATTACAATTTGATAATAAAATTAGAATAGATTAATAATTAATTATTTTTAATGTTATTAAATTGATAATCATTCCAAAATCATCATTTTATCAATTATATTATCAATTGGAAGTTCTCTATTGTGCATATTAAGGATTTTAGCTTTAAATTATTCACTACCATCTATTGTTTTTATGTTTGGATATTGTCTAATATATTTTAAATCTAATTGTTTTTATTAATCATGATTAATAGAAAATTTAACACTTTATTTTATTTATTTGTTTACTTATTGTTATTCAATTTGTTGAGGTTATTTTTTTTAAGGTTCAACCTTCTAACTTTGAGTCTCTTTAAAATGTTTGAGTAATTATTCAATTTTTTTCAATTCTTCATTCAAATGAGTATTTTCTTCTGTTTTTTCTCTATTTTATCTTTGATATCTCAAGATTTTGCTAGTTTCTTCTTATTTTAGTTATTTTTTTTCAGTTTCCCCTTCTCCAGGATCTTGGATATCTGCAATAAATTCTTCTCCTTGTTCAATAATTGATTTGTTGGTGGAAATAAGATTTTTGATAAAATTTTAGTAAACTGGTAAATCTCTAAAATGAATATTAGATTTGGGATTTTGGGTCCATTTAGTGAGATTGTAGTTAATTCTTTCTTTAATTTGATCATCTGTTAATTTGGTAGTAGATTTACAAATATCTCTAGTTAAAAATAAATGTATGGCATTTACCTTTCTTTTTTTTATAAAAATTCTTTAGTGGGTATTTGAATTCCATTTTCTTCACATCTTTTTTACCATACAACAAATTCTTGCTTTTGAATTTATTGATTGGAAATAAGTGTAATATGTCTTAATTTAGCTTCCTTAACTTCTCCAAATTATAATTTAAGTAATTTGTATGTTGAAGTTTATTCCAACTGATAAGATTTTTCTCCTTCAACAACAGCTAAAACCTAAGCTATGGCATAACTTTATTCTTTTCTTCTGATGAGATTGGGCTCATTAATTTTAACAAATGATCCTTCAATTACATTATCACAAAAATGCCTCATCAAAAGATAATAAATTTGATCTCTTTTAAGTTATGCATTTTGGATTAATTTAAAATAGTTATCTAAGAGTTCATTATTTGGTTCTGGGATGATTGGTTTTTCTTCTACTTTTTAATCAAATTGAGGCTCTTCTTTTTAAAATTCATTTTCTGATTGTAAGGAGTCAGATGATTCTGATTCACTTGATATTTTTTCTAGATTAACTTTTGAAACTTAAGAATTTTAATTCTAGGAATTGGATTAAAGAATTGATCTTTTATATTCCTCTTCCTCTTTTTATTTTCTAATTTCAGCCCAAGCCTTTTCTTTTTCTAATTAAGTTTTGGCTTTAAGAAACATAGTTTATTAAGCTTAGGTCATATCATTGAAATTATAAGGAAGATTTTACTATTTAGACATATTTAATAATAATCATTTTTTATTAGGTTTATTTAACTTCTTAGAATTTTTATCTTTAGCTTAAGCTCCATATTTCTATTTTAATTTAGCAGTGACTTCTTAATCAATATCATCTTCAATTTCACCATCACTAACATCATCATCTTCTTTATCTTAAATTCTAACTCTTATATTTCTACTAACATTTTCTGGTTTAATATCTAAAATAATAATAATATAATAATTAAACTATTATCTCTTAAATTAAGATTAATAAATTGATCAATATGTTCTTTATTAAAATCTTTCCAAGTTTATTTAAAATCTTAAGCACGATATGATGCATCATTTTTGATTAATTATAAAATTAATTTCATTTTCTCAACAACTTAAGCTAATCCTTCAACTAAAGTATCATCAGAAATAACAATGTTTGGTTTTCCTTCTAATTTAAAGAATTCTAATTTTTCATATAAATGTTCTATTCCAGCCTTTACATTAACTAAGATCTTTTGTACTCTTTCATATTTCAATTTAGTTCTTTCACATTTGTTAATAGCATTATTAACATTATTTTCAATCTATAATAAAATATTAAAATAACTTCATCAATTTATTTTCTTGTTAATGCTTCTCCACCTTCATATTTTAAATCATTAAGATGATCTCTTAATTTCTATCTTTCTGTAATTAATTATTCTATTTTATCTTAATACTCTCCCTTAAGATCACTTAAAGATTTGCTTGTTTCATCTTGACTAGTAAATTTTTAAATAATATCATTAACATCTCTAAATCCAGTAACTTCTTTTAATTTATGAAATGCTTCTTCATAATCTGCTAATTTTTATTTTTAAATATTAGTATCAACATTTGGATTAGATGATTCTTAAATAGGAATATTTGATGCATTATATTCAACTTAAGTTTAACCATTATCTTTTTCTCTTTTTTCTAATTTCTATATTACTTTTTCTCTTTCTTCAATAGCCTTTCTTTTTGCATCTAAATATGTTTTTCTTAATTCTCTAACAGCTGCTTTTTTATGTTCATATTTTTTTAATTCTGCTTATGCTAATTCTTTTGCATGAGTAGCATCATGTGCTAATAATAATAATTCTTCATAATCATGTTCTTTTCCTTTTAATGATCTTTCTATAGCTGCCAATTAATTATCATATCCAACTCTTTCTTCTTTTAATCTCTTTACTATCTATTCATACGTCTTTCTTATAGATTATGCTTCATTATATTTTATCATAACTTTATCTAAATTATTTTCTAATATTCGAATTTATCTCATTAATGGTGATTCTTCTGGTACTCCAAATTTAGTATCACTTACTTCATTCAATTTATCTTATAATTAAATTAATCTTTCTTTCTTTGCTTTTGTTAAGTGTTTTGCATCATCTAATTTACGTCTCCAATAATTCTCATCTTTTATGTCTCCAGACCAAGATATGAATGCTCCTTATGTTTTTGCTAATGAAGCACTTGCACCCTACTATTTGCTAACTCACATACTCTTTTATTTGCAATTAATTCATCTTACAGTTTCTTTAAATCACGATTCTCCCTTTTTAATTATTCAATTATTTCATTGTTCTTTCTCTTTGTCTCTTCTGCATTATTATAAAAATTCTTTCTATCTGCATCCAAAAGTCCACTCTTCTTTATTTAATGTTCTAATTCCTCTTCTATTGAACGTATATTTTATTAACTTTTTGCTGTTTGAACTCTAGACATTTTTAATATTTAATTTATATATATATAAACATATTTTTTTAATCATGGGATCTCTATATTCCATATTCACTTCTTAACCCCCATTATTTATTATGTTTGGCTTATCTTAATCAGGAAAAAGAACTTTATTATAATCTATCTCTCTCAAATTCAAACATGTTCTAACTTATTCAGGAGATATCTTAACTACAATTAAATATTCTAAATTTAATATTCTCTGCTTTCATTAACCTATCAATAATTCAATCCACAATATTTTAAACTCAGCCTTTCCTAAAATAGATGCCTTTATTTTTGTTGTAGATTCATCAAATCTTAATGATTTATAAAATGCTTAATCACACTTTCAATCTTAATTAACTTTATTAATTGGAAAACCCTTACTTATAATTATAAGTAAATATAATTTAGCGTAAATTTCCATTTAGGATATCGTTATCTATTTTCAACTTATCAATTTGAAATAACCATGGTTTGTTAGAACTGTAGGAATTGATATATCAGATTTAGAACCTGGTCTACAATGGCTCTATGATTAAGTTTATAATAAAATTATAAAATGAAATTTAAATATACTTTTTATTCCTATGAATTATTATTTTAAATTATATAATTTCCTTGTAGGATTGTGAAGGAAATTAAGGACATTTTTAAATTCAATTAATTTCATAAAATTAATTTAAATGGGAAATCTCTTAGGAAGTGATAACAATATATAAAAACCTAAGCTAATAATGACAGGATTAGATAATGCAGGAAAAACTACTATTTTATATTAATAAAAGCCAGATAAAATAGAAAATTTAATTCCAAGAATTGGATTTTTAGTGGAATAATTTAAATCAAAACAATTTGAAATATTTGCTTGGGATGTTGGTAGAGCTGATAGATGCGTATATATTCATATACCAAAAGATTCCAATTATGATGGATTAATTTATGTTGATTATGCCGATAAAGAGAGGATGGAATATGCTATATGTGAGTTATAAAAACTATTAATTATTGATGAGATAAAAGATTTACCTCTTTTATTGTTAATAAATAAGAAAGATCCTTGTTAAGTGAACATTTAGGAGATTGCTTTATAATTTAGCCTTGAAAAACTATGCAAAAATTGGCATATTTAACCTTGTTCTGCATTGACAGGGGATGGAGTTAAGGATGGGTTAAAATGGATGTAAAAATAGATTAAATGAAATGAAATATAATTTAAGTTTAAAGTAATATAAAGACAAGGAATCTTAATAATGTAATTAAGTTGTTGAAAATGTGAATAATATATTATAAACAGAATAAATGTTGTATTTTAAAAAATGAAATTTGTTTAGTTTTTTGTTTTTTTTCTTGTTTATTGATAATAATGATAATTTGAGTGGGGTAAAGTAAAAATTTGAATGAAATAAAAACGTCGAAATAAAAATGTTTATCAGTTGAAAGCTCAATAAAATTTATTTAAAATTTGAATAATGAGCCGCGGCAATGAGTTAGACGACTTACTATTTAAGAGAAGAGATCAAAATTCAAAATAAGGTGAAGAGTTGAAATAGATTATAGAGAATATTCCTTATCCTCATGCAGATATAACAATAACTTCTTATAGTGAATTTTCAGATAACACACCATAGAAATATCTACATAAATTAGTACATACAGAAAATACTGAAATTCAACCTCAAAAAGTTAGAAGACATAGAACTTAAGTAGATGCTTATGCAACTGATAGTGAAGTTGAACAAAAAGAATAGAAATAATAAAAATTAGATTAAAAAAGAAAGCCACTTTAATAGTAATCAATAAACTAATAAGAAATTAAGCCTCCTTTAATACCTTAATAATAATAATAATAATAATTATAAGATTTTTACGCATCAGGTGGATCTTATTTAGAATCAATGACTCCATAAAGAATGAATAAAATAGTAGATTGGTCAAAATAACATGTAACACCAGGTGATGCTAAAAATATATTTCCTTAAGTTATAGCTCCAAGTATTGAATTTTCTAATGAGAATTCTTTATCTCTTTAATTTAAAAATGTTGATCCTGAACCTAAAAAACCATAAATACTATCTCATTAAAATTAAAATACTTAAAATTCTCGTATTGAAAATAGAGTTTGGGAAAAATAAAAAAGATATATGGAAAGTGAAATTTAAGGAATGAAAAAACAATAAAGAAAATTAGAAAATGAGAATTTAGTTCTAGCATAAAAACTTGAAGAACAAGAAGAAATGATGAAATTGTTATAAGAAAAACATAAAGATTATTCATGTTTAGAAATATTACGTGGGAAATATTTAGAAGTTACAAAATAGTAAATGAAATAACTTAAGTAATAATTGGATTTGAAAGATTAGAAATTAAAAGATTTAAATGAATAAGCAAAAGGAATGTTAGAAAATGAGAAAAGAATGTAAGAAGCTATTGAATTAGAATTGAGAGAACTTCATTCTTAATTGGATATGAAAGATTAAATGGTTAGAGCACTTAAGAATTCATAAAATAATGAAGATAATGAAAGATAAAAAGCATTATAAGAATATGAGAAAACTATGAGTGATGGTAATAAATTCATAACAAAACTAAAAAATTAAATTGAAACTTAAATGAAAGCTTTAGAAGAGAAAGAGTCTATTATCACATCTTAAGATGCTTAAATTTAGAATTTATAAGTAAGATTACTTAAAGAAGCAGAATACAGAAAGTAAGATGAAAAAGTTATAAATGAATTTAAATCTAAAGAAGCATTATTATTTTAATAAGTAACTGGAAATGCTATTCCAGAGGTACATAATAGAGCTATTGAAGAACTTTAAAGTGAATGTATTAACTAAAAGATTTTAATTTAATAGCTTTAAAGTTAATTAACATAATAGATGTAAATTCATTAATTATAACATCTGAATTCTAATTCTTATAAAGAATGTGAATAATGCAAATTATGCAAAGATGAACTTGCTAATATCATTTAAGAATGTTCTTTAGAAGAAGAAGCAAAAACTATTGATGCTACTTAGAGTATTGCTCATATTGCTAGAGAGGTTGTTACTCTTTTATTAACTAAATAAAGAGAACAAATTGATCACGCTTTTATATAATATGAAGAATAAATTAAAGAGTAAGCCTAATAAATTGATTATTTTAAAGAATAAAATGATGAAGTTATGTAGGAGAATTAAAAAATTTCTGATTAAATTTAATTAGTTTTAGAAAAAAAAGAAGAATAGGAATAATAAATATTTGAAGAGTATGAAAAACTTAGATTAATTAATTAAAATCTTTTATCTGAAAATAAAACTCTTAAACTAGAATTAGAATAACTTAAATAATAAATTAAAAATGAAACTTAAGCTCATTCTAATGAAATCTAGTCATTAAAACATGAAGTTTAAATTAATAAATAATCTCTCCTTTAAGCTAAATAAAATGAATCTAAGTTAGTCGTTCAATAAAATCAATTGAAAAGTGAAGAAAAAATGTTGATTTCATAAGAAATGGAAAATATCAAAACTGTTTTCTAAAATTAAATTTAAGAATTATATAATAAATTACATATATAAGATGAATAAATTTAAGAATTAACAAAAGAATTATACTCTAAAAAAAAATAGATTGATGAAATGTAATAATAATAATCATCATCTATTAAGAAGTAAAGAAAAGAAAAAGAATAAAAAGAAAGTAAGGAATAGACTTAACTTAAGACTTATGCTTAATAATTAAATGAATTAAATGATGAGAAAAGTAAATTATTATAAAAAATCTAATAATTAGAATAATAATAAAGTTATCAAACTAAAAGATTAGATGAAGAAAAACATGATAAATTAGAAAAATTAAATTAATAGATTAAAGAAAAGGATAAAAAGAATATAGATCTTTATAATTAAAATAGAACTCTGTAATCTTTATAAAAGGAATTAGATGATTAAATTTCATCAATGAAGGATGAGATAGAAAAATAAAAAAAATAAATCTAATTGAAAAATTCTGAAATTAAATAATTAATAGAATAAAATAAATAATTATCTGATAAGAATTAAGAAATTAACAATAGATTGAGTTTACTTTAACAATAAATGAATCAATTTGAAAACGAGATTAAACATTATGAATAAAGTCCTTAAATACCTGAGAAATTAAGATCTTAGGCTTCTGTGAGAAGTTTTGATAAAACTCCTAATGCTGTAATAGAATTAGTTGAAGGATTCAATCAATATTAATAAGAATTTTATCATTTAAAAAAAATGTTTACTGAAAAGTTAAAAGCATAAGAATAAGTATTTTATTTATTTTTATATATTTGTAGAATTTGACATCCTTACAATTAACAAATCAATAAATTACACAATAAAATCTTAAATTGATTTAAGAAAATAATACATTAAAAGATGAAATATCCTAAGCTAGTCATGGAAAAAACTATGAAGAAAGAGGATCAGCTTAAACTGGGGATTCTCTTAATATTCGTTCCTTTTTGGATTAAGATCATAAAAAGACTCTACCTTGTAAATCTCCTCAATAAAATTTTTCAATAGTAGAATTAGTTTAACCAGAAATAATGTCTATTGAGGATACAATTATGATTTTCAAGGAGATTTTAAGAAGATCAGTTAAATCAGTAGAAATGATTAAAATGATATGTCCTTTACCTGAAATTAAGGAATTATTGATGATCATTATTTAGGTAGAAGAAAAAATGCAGTAACAAAATTAAGTAACTGCAAATAAAAAATCAAAAATCATAAATTCAATACTTGGAGCATCAAACATAAAAATGATAGATTAATCAAGAAAAAAGAGTGCTTGTGGAGGAATGAGGGTAAAACAAAGTCATAGAAGTGAAACAGGAGTAATTGAATTTTATGAATGATTTATAAATATCTTTAATAGAATTTTCAAATGATTCATCACTTTCCTATAATACAAACGTTGTTTTATAATGTTTGACGACAACTGTCATTTGGTATTTAAATTAAATAACCTTTGTCTTTATCAAAGTTATCAACATATGCTAAAAAAGCCAAAGGGGCTTACAAAATTAATTTAGAATTTAATTCAGTATTATTTTCTTCAAGCTATGTTTTCTTAAGATGAAGAACTGCAATTGTCAGTTTAACTATATTAGTAGATTTAGTTTTTTCGAACATTATTTATTTGTCTTCTCTTACTTACATTTAATATAATTCTAATTAATTTTCAGGAATTGATTGACTACTTTAGAAAGAAGTATAATTTAATTATTCTAATTCTTTTAGATTATAGGAATCAACAACTCCTTTAAGTTTTTCCATTTTATATACAATAAGATCTTAAATTTTATCAAGATCTCTATAAATGTCTGGTTTATCAATAACTATAACCATGTTGATTTTAAATTTATCAATTAAAAACTTAATTTATTCGATTATTTAATTATGTAAACCTAAAAAATTTGGACAATTAACGAAGATTCCACTTGCATATATCTCTTTTTCATCTTTATCTTCTTATGATTTCATATAAATTAATTCACATAATTTCTCTATTAAAATAAATGCGAATTATACAATCTTTAACTTTTCCTAATTAATTTAACATTGATAATTTCAATTCCTTAGCTCTTTCAAGGTCTGCCTACAATTTTCTATCTACTTAAACACTTAATTCTTCTATTAATCTATCAAATAGCATTCTTTTTGAAATATCTCTAACTACATCTTTATCTTTTCATTCTTAAATATTCATGTACATTAATATCCAAAATAATAAGTAACTCTGTTTTTCAACATTTACTCTTTAACACAGGTTTAGACTTCAGCTCTAATTGAATGAGGATATTCACTTTATTGATTATCTGGATCAATGTCTACATAAATTGGTTTCCAACCATAGACTAAACTATAATTTATAAGAGTCTTGCATAGCGTGTCTAAAATATAAATTTATTTATACTTTTGCCACAAGAATGACTTCCTAAAACTAATAATCTTGGACCTATTTTATCAGTTAACTTCAAAGACATTTGCCTTTATGCTTTAATTAATTTACAATTGTTACATTCCAAAACATGGTTGATTTTTAGAAAATCATGCATCATTTTGTGGTAATTCAACTCTTCTTCATTAAAGATATATCCAGGCTAATCTTCCTTAGTTTTATATTTTATCTTTAATTTTGATGGAACCCAACAAAATAAGGAAAAAGGTTTATGTGGAGGAAATTCATATAGTTTTTTCTAATTTATTAAATATTCAATTCTACCATTAATAATTCCTAGCCAAATATTTCAACAGCACCTTCTAAAAGGGTAACTTATACAATATCTGTAGGATCTTATATTCGATATGCTTCTTCCTCCTTTAATTCAACTATTTCCATAAAAATAAATATTAATAAAATAATATAAATTATGTAATTTATTCGATTATATAATATTTTTAAAATAATAAATAATAAAGTAAGATTTCATCTATAAATAGGATATAATACTAAAGGTTTAATAGTTCAAACATAGCAATTTATATATCGAAAAATAAACATAAGAATAAGTTTGAATCATATCAATTCTTTATGATTTAGAAAAATATAAATTTGAAAAGTTTATAGATTTAAGTTTTTATATGGAGCTCGTAGGATTTATAAGGTAACAACAGCCAAGAATCTTAAAGTAAAGTGATATTATTATAAAATGTATTAATTTGAAGTACTGATTAATCGATTGTTGGTATTATTAGTTGAAAGATGGATTTTATTAATTTTGGATTAAGGATAGAGATTGAAATAAAATATATAGAGTATATTTATAATTAGAAGAAAGTAATATATAGAAAAATGAAATAATTATTTATAAATAGTTATTGTAAATATAAAGTTAAGATTAGTATGAATTTTATATTAATTTAAATATATATATTTATTGAAGAATGGAGCAAAAGCATATGATGGTATAATATAGTGAATATTATTAAAGAGATATTATGTAGAAGAGTAATAAGCATTACATAGAGCAGCTGCAGTTTATGGTTCTGGGTTGGCTATGCAATTAAATTTGGAAAGAAATATATTAGGAGCTCCAGGATAATCATCATATATTCATTTAGAAATAGCTATGAATAAATTGAATGATATTGATGAATTAGATTTTATGGGAAATAAGAAATATGAATAAGAGTATGTGAAAGGCTTTAAATAAATATGAAGTTTAATAATATTACAAAAACATTGAAATTTTAAAGTTATTATCATAATAATCTCAACGATTTTCTAAGTTATGTAATATCAGTGTTTATATGTTCTTCAAAATAAACATTCATAATAAATTCGCTTTTGTTGGCTCTTTTCAATATATCAGGTAATGTTTCTATAAGTTTTTATTTTTCTTAACAATTTAATTTGAATGATCCAACAAATGCACTTAAGGTTGCTGAAGGTAATCCAAGTTAAGCCATTTCAAACCATTTAACAACAATTTCATCATAGACACTTACATCATACATAAGTAAAACATGAATAAAATCATGAATCTTAATTTAAAATAAGAATTTTACTTCTTTATATCTTTGATAAACATATGCTAATTCTAAATCTGGTATATATTTAACAATCGGTCTTTCTCCACTCGAGAAATCTCTTTCCTTCATAAATTTTCCATATTAATAACTAGAATTGAGTAATAATCAATAAATACCCAAATGTATTTTGGTCTAATTTCAACAATTCTTCTATTTTGAATGTTTCAGGAGTAACCCTAGGTTTATCTTTAAGTATTCTTTAACCAATAGGATTTTAGAGCATTCTTTTGTGAATATCTTCAACGCAATAATAACCTGATAATTCTCCCAATTAAGATAGATGGTTACCACTTTAAAGATTATGATTATTATAATTTACTTTAAGGGATATTTATATGCATTTATAGCACATTGAAATAGAGTAGATAATCTCTCAAAATTACTTTTTAAAGGAGTATGATTATTAATTAAATCTCTTAACATTTTTAATTAATGTATATAAACTCTGAGAATTTATTACCAAAATTATAAGGTGATGCATTTGGTATCGATATTGAATTTAGCAATTAAAGAATCTGTCTTATACAAATATCTGATGGAAAAGATATATATTTGTTTGATCCTATAGTTTTAGATTTAAGGTAATATATGATTGATTTTTTTAAAAATGATGCAATTAAGATATTTTATAGTGGTGCTTAAGATTTGAAATGGTTAAAAAATGAATATTAAATAGTGGTTAATAACTATTGTGATTTAAAAATTTTAGCTTAAAAAGAATCAGATTAAAGTTTAATAGCATTATGGAAAAAGTATTGTGGAGTATAATTTGAGAGAGAAGACAAAAAAAGATTATAAAGAAGTGATTGGTTTATAAGACCCTTAACTGAAGAATAATTATATTATGCTGCTTTGGATTGCAAATATTTAATTGCATTAAGAGAAATCTTATTATCGCAATATACAGAAGATGAAAAGAATTTGATTCATTTTTCGACTGATCTTAAAGAGCCAAAACTATTAAGATATTTAAAAAAATAACTTGTTGATAATGAAGATGTTCTTTTACCATAAAAGATTTATAGACATATTAAATTTGAAGATCCATTTTAAACTGACGATTAGAAAATTATAGGGCTTATTGAATAATTAACTAAGAAACATCATGAAGATTATAAAGAATAGAAGCTTAAAAGATTTTTATAATTTTAAGAAAAATTTACGACTCATAAACCAGTTTATAGTAATTGTCGTATATTTAGTTTGAGTGGTTAATAATTATGTTTTTGTGATTAAAAAAAAATTTAATGGTATGTAAAAAATGGTTTAGGAGAATATATAGATGAAAAGAGTGTAAAATTGAATTTTGATCCAGTTTGTGAATTTGATGAAAAAGAAATGAAATTTTATAATGAAGAGAGGTCGAATAGATGTGTTATATGTGGTGCTTCTTCAAATATATTAAAATACTAAATTATTCCTTATATGTATAAACATTACTTACCTAATAATTACAAATCTCATAGAGCTCATGATGTTGTTATATTATGTGCTCGTTGTCATGAAAAAGCTTCAGCTCTCCAAGATAAAAAAAGAGCTGAAGTTGCTGTTATATATGGAGTACCTTTATAATATTATGGAGAAGAAAAATAAGTTGTAGATAAATTGACCTATCTTCTTAAAAAATATGAAAGTCTTACTAAAGCAGGAAAACCTTTCGATATGAATTAATATGAATAAATTAGAAATTAATTTAAAGACTTAGTTTAATTACCTATAGAATTTAACAAATAAGAATTAACTAAAATTAATGAAAATTTAAAAAAAGAATTAAAGAATTCACATGGAGAAGCTGTTGTTAAGAAATTGGATACAGAAGAAAAAATTGAAGAATTTATCATGATATTCAGAAAACATTTCTTATCATCTATGGACCCATAATTTTTACCTAAAGAATGGGCTATTGATCATAGATTTAAAAGAAATTTCGGAGAAAAATCAGTATATTTCTAAAAATAAGAATCTAATGAATAACAATAAGAATTTTAATCATAAGAATAGCAGCTTTAATAATAATGATAAATAATATTAGAATTATTATTCTTAAAAATATTATATATATGAATTATCCATTTTCTTGATTTATATTTTATTAATTTAATAAAGTTTAATGAAATTTCATAATATGATTCAAACTCCAAAGAGTGAATAATAATAAATTATATTACCTCATGTAAGAGTTCGATCGAATACATTGAATTAGAAAAAATCAAAAATCAATTATTAGAAGTAGATCTCCTTATATAATGAATCATAAAACAACAGTGGCCATCAATTAAATTCATCTAGAATAAATAACATTTTTCAAATGGAAATTATGGCTCATAAATTCTAATAATTAAAAGACTCATTGTCTCATTCTACTTAAGAAGATATTAAATAATTTAATTAAACAAAGCGAAAAAAATAAAACATAAAAGAAAACACTTAATGTAATGAATCAATTTCTAGAATAAATGAGTATTCAATTTTCAAAAAAAAAATAGATGAGAACATTAAGAAAGAACTTAAATAAATTTAAGAATCTCGCTAAAAATTTATGAGATGTGTGATGGATACTCGTTAAAGAAATCGATCTTTATAAGTATATGGTGATGATTTATCTCCAGTTATCAATAAAGATAAAGAAATTTTTTAAAATTAAAAAAATGAAAAAGGTTATAATTATCTCATTGATAGAATAGTAGGACTTGATAGATACTATTAAAAAATAATATACTCAAAGATCCCCTATGGGTAATGCTTATTGTGGTATTAAAGCCTTAACTAAGAAATCTTAATAATAGGTTATTAAAAGAATGAATTGATTATATTTCCTTTTATTTATTATATTGTATTATTTTTGATTTCGATCAATTTAAATAAAAGAAAATAAAATAAATTAGTATTATGAATAAGTCATAATTCAATTAAATTATTATTTTCTTAGATTTATAATTAATAATACTTTTAGAAAAATTTTAGATAATAACTACCGAATTAAATCAATTTAATAGAATGTATCCTTTTAAATTTCTTCTTATTGAATCTTTTAAATGAATAAGATCATAATTAATCAAAATAAATTCTTACATAATCATAATTCTATAAAATTTTCCTTAATTTTTTCAGCGTTTGACTTGAGACTATATGATAACATTGTTTGATTTCTTTTAGGAATTTTATTTTAATTAGACAGATATTCTGTAATATAATTTAATTCAAGGCTTTTATTCTTTACTTAAAATTTTTATTATAAGGAACTTGGATCACTTATTTTTGTTATAAGTTTTAAAATATTTTTATTCGTTAAATTGATTCTCTTATTATTAATACTATTTTCTCTTGAGTGTCTAGCAGAACTTAACATAGATAAACATGTAGATTTATCAAATGATAAAAGATTTGCTAAAGAATTTTTGTTGAGTGAGTATTTATTTTTGATGAGTTAATATTTTAACTCTTTTTTAAGTTTTGGTGTTTCCTCAGTTTTCACATTATATCTATTTTATGAGTAATCTTCAGTAATTTCATTAATATTTTCAGTCAAATTAATCTGCGATTCTTCATCTATTTAAGTAAGTTGTCTGGGTTCCAATAATGTTGATTCTTCAATCATTATTTATTTGTTATAATAATTTTAGAGGTCATCTATTATAATAGAAATTATGGCTTAAAGATTAGTCTTAAATATTTAAGAATTTGACTTGTAATGTTCAGCTAATTTGAATTCTTTGAAAGGAATTTTCTTTTACTTTGCCAATTTTAACAATTCCTATTTATATCTGTTATGTACTTAAATTGTAAATTTTTGTTCTTCATCAAAAATATCTTTAATAAGTTAATAGATCTTATTTAAGAAGGTATTAGTTAGACGCTTAAAAATGTTCTCAATTTCTAAATATTTTTATGTTTCTTAATGAAGCTTGAATAGATCAATTTCTTGCATTTATAAATATTTATTCGTTAAATTTAGATTTTATATGAAATAATCATACGATTTAAGGCAGTATTGTAGTTTCGTTAATTTATCTAGAGTTTTTTATGTGAGGGATTGGTGACATATTTTATAATAAAACAGGCATATAAATTTTTTTTCTAATTTTTTCTTGTAAAATACTATTTACAGTAAGTTTGTTTTATTTACTACGTGGTAATGATCCTTCTGATAGTATTTTATTTAATGAATTATGATTCTACATAAGATTCTCTAAATCAAGTTTATTGAAATTATTATTAATTTGAATCTTCTGTTGTAAGTCTAGATAAATTTTTATATATTTTTACTGCTTTTTTCATATTATGAGAGTCTGGTTGGATTAGAATGCATAGAATCATTTCCTCCTAGAGTAGCTAATCGTTTACGAGAAGAGGAATCTTATTCATTTTAAGTCTATTGATCATGTTTATATTTATATGTAGGTTTTGGAAAGATATTTTAATAGCTTTTATTTTTTGGAAATAAGATTGTTTTTATCAATTATGCCGAATTTGGATTAGTATTAAATTAAAATTTTTAGAAACATGGTAACTCAAGTAATTATTAAGCATTTGGTCTTAAAGATGTTGAAATTTGCAACATCATTCTAATTAAATTTTATAAATCATATGAATAAGATGTTGGCAGTTTTTAATAATATCCTAAATTATATATATAAATAAATACCTTTAATAACTTTTTTATAAAGACTATCCATGTCTTCAGCTTGAAAAGGTAATTTGAGTGCTGCCATTTCATATAATACACAGCCTAAAGACCATATATCTGATTTGCAATCATAAGGATGATCTTTCCATACTTCTGGACTTGCATAATATGGTGTACCAGTTTATGTGTAAAGTAAACCTTACTTTGCTACCTTTGACACATTTAAGTCTCCCAATTTTACTTCATTATTTATCAAAAAAATGTTTGCACTTTTTATATCTCGATGCATAACTTTCATTTCATGTAGTATATTAAGCGCACTTAAAATCTAAAAAGCGTATCTTAAGATTTCATTTTCTTAAAAGAAACTACCTGCTTTTATGCATTTCTATATTCTCTAATATAAATCACCATCGCTGGCAAGTTCCATTACAATACTATAATATTATACATTAATTTTACCATAATGAATTACTGACTTAATCAATAAAAGCTTCTTTATACATAATAATGTTTTAATGTTATATTGAAGCTAGAATCCTGACTTCATTTAAAGCATTTTACTTTTCTTTTTCAGATAAGTTAGTTAAATTTACTTTTTTTAAAGCATATTCAAGATTGTCTTCTAATCTCCTTACTTTATATACATTAGAAAAAGATCCATCACCTTTGATATCTTAATAAAAATACCTAATTTTGATAATATTTTAAAATTCTTTAATGACATGAGATGTTTATTCTCTAAATTGAATAAATGTATTTGATTATTTTTATAAGTAAATTTTTGTTCTTATTTAATTAATTTATCAATTGTATTTAAATTTGCAAAAATTAATAAAGAATATGAAATAGAAAATTAACAAAAAAAAAATCAGATAAATATTATCTAATAGTTTATTTGTTTATAAATTGGAATAACATTAATAAATTTTCATTCAACCAGAATGTTTTTCATTTTTTTTCTAGTTATTATTATTATTATTTTATGTTTTGTTTGCTCCTCCTTGATAAAATCCAGGTTGACCACCTTATAGAGCAGCCCTTTATTAATCATTTAGATGAACAGTTTAAACACCTGCACCATGAATATTTGGATTTAGACTTTGAAAGGATTTCATAACAAATGTCAATACAGTTCTTNCCTTTAATAACTTTTTTATAAAGACTATCCATGTCTTCAGCTTGAAAAGGTAATTTGAGTGCTGCCATTTCATATAATACACAGCCTAAAGACCATATATCTGATTTGCAATCATAAGGATGATCTTTCCATACTTCTGGACTTGCATAATATGGTGTACCAGTTTATGTGTAAAGTAAACCTTACTTTGCTACCTTTGACACATTTAAGTCTCCCAATTTTACTTCATTATTTATCAAAAAAATGTTTGCACTTTTTATATCTCGATGCATAACTTTCATTTCATGTAGTATATTAAGCGCACTTAAAATCTAAAAAGCGTATCTTAAGATTTCATTTTCTTAAAAGAAACTACCTGCTTTTATGCATTTCTATATTCTCTAATATAAATCACCATCGCTGGCAAGTTCCATTACAATACTATAATATTATACATTAATTTTACCATAATGAATTACTGACTTAATCAATAAAAGCTTCTTTATACATAATAATGTTTTAATGTTATATTGAAGCTAGAATCCTGACTTCATTTAAAGCATTTTACTTTTCTTTTTCAGATAAGTTAGTTAAATTTACTTTTTTTAAAGCATATTCAAGATTGTCTTCTAATCTCCTTACTTTATATACATTAGAAAAAGATCCATCACCTTTGATATCTTAATAAAAATACCTAATTTTGATAATATTTTAAAATTCTTTAATGACATGAGATGTTTATTCTCTAAATTGAATAAATGTATTTGATTATTTTTATAAGTAAATTTTTGTTCTTATTTAATTAATTTATCAATTGTATTTAAATTTGCAAAAATTAATAAAGAATATGAAATAGAAAATTAACAAAAAAAAAATCAGATAAATATTATCTAATAGTTTATTTGTTTATAAATTGGAATAACATTAATAAATTTTCATTCAACCAGAATGTTTTTCATTTTTTTTCTAGTTATTATTATTATTATTTTATGTTTTGTTTGCTCCTCCTTGATAAAATCCAGGTTGACCACCTTATAGAGCAGCCCTTTATTAATCATTTAGATGAACAGTTTAAACACCTGCACCATGAATATTTGGATTTAGACTTTGAAAGGATTTCATAACAAATGTCAATACAGTTCTTCCAACCTAAAAATAATAATAACTATTATTCACTTAAATAGCAATTTTATCCATGCATATAAGATATGGAGTTTAAAGACGAACTAAAGTACCGAATTTACTATTATTATCAACTATAACAAAATTTCCTTTTTCATATTTGATAAAAGCATGTAATCTTGAGACAGAGATATCTGATATTCTAATTTCACATTAGTGTCCTCGACCTAATTTGATTTAATCATCTGGAGTTCCTTTAATGAGATAGATTCCTCTTTAAGCCTTTTTGTCTTTCTCAGATATTTATGTATTTTCAAGAATTATATAAGGTTGATTAGGTCTTTCTAGAGCAGCTAAATCTAAAACCTTTCCTTTGAATCTAATTTATTGAGGTAACAATTCTTAACAAACTTCACATTCTAATCTAAATTAAGTATTAAATTATTGATACTTCTTCCATCGATAAGAAATAGTATTGCCTGATTCTTTTTTATATCCTCTACTTTCTAACCATTGTTTAAGACAATTAAAGTGGACATAAGCACAACTTCCATTACATTTACAAGGAGTGATAAATGGATCATCTGGGCTTTCTTCTTCATTTAAACATATTTTGCATTATTAAATTACATTTCCATCAATAGATGGTGTAATTTTAGCTTCTGATTAAAAGACATCCTTTACTGTTCTTATTTAACCCTTACTATCTCTAATCTCAATAACATGATATTCAACTCTACCTAATTTTAAAAGATCTCCTTCTTATAATGTGTAACCCTATACTATTAAATATATTCATACTTTCTAAACACCATCAGCATTTTTTAAACTACGAACAATCAAATAATTTTCATTTTCTGTTGAGTTTTAATTCGGTTGAATAAAATATTAGTCTTAATCTTAATAAATATGATATACCTCCTTAAGCTTAAATTGATGTTAAAGGTAAGTGTGCCTCATCCTTAGCCTTTCCATCTTATATAACTATTTCATTCTCTATTTTTATATTAACACTTTCAAACCTTCTCTGCTAACTTTACATGATCCTTCAACCCTATGTTTTTTAACGCTTAAAGATTTAGTCTCATAATCAAACAACCCATGAGAATCTTTTTGCCAAGTTACAGCTTTCATTTCCACACTACTAATATAATCATTATTTACTAGTTCTTATTCTTCGATATAAAAGGAAGGGTAGTTGTCATTTATTCTTGTATTATTTTAATTTAATATAAATTATTATTCACATTAAAAAACTCATTTCACCCTAAATATTAAAATCCTCTCGTCATTATCTTATTAATTTCTTTATTCTAATTTCTCATCTAAAATAAATAATTTTAAAATTCTATCCATTCCAAATTTTAATCACTTTTCTCATTATCTTTTTCTTTATTTATTTCATAAAATCCATAATAAACATTAATTAAAAACTCTACCTAAAATGTCAAATTTAAATATTATAAGTTTAAAAATATTATAAAGTAAATTCTCTTTTATTTTTTACAAAATTTAATCATAAATAAGAAATATTAATACTTCTTTTTATCTATTATTTTAATTGTTTTCAAAAATAAATCCTTTTCTCTATTGTTATAGAACTTTTATTGATTTAATCTATTTTAATGATAACAAAAAGAAATTGAGATAATAATATTAGATAAATATTACAAAATTTTGAGATAATAAATCCTTTTGAAAAAAAGGTGGAATTGATAAATCCTTATCTATTTATAAGGAGAAATTTCGATCTTGAGAAAAAAGAAAGCATTTTTCAATATTTTTTTGATAATTTGGCAAATTTAAGAAAATGAGAAATTGAAATGATAATATGAAATGAAAAGATCTTTGAAAGAGAGATTCTTCTAGAATTCAAAGCAAAAGAGAATATATAAGAGAGAAATAATTTATTGATATACTATTTAATTAGATGCTTTGATTTAATTTATATTTATGTCTTGGTTATTTAATAAAGCTTAACAGCCAGCATAACAACTCAAATTGCCAGCATAATTTGCTGAGAAAGTCTTAAATTTAGAATTAGATGTTGACTCTAATGCTGCTACAAAAGATGAGATTCAAGAACTTTTATAACTATATAGTGTAATCATTCACTCCTAATCTTTTAGTAAGCCATAGAATACTATTCCTCAATGAAATCTGAAAGATACACAGTATTTACAAATAAAATTCAAACTTTATTAATGAAGCCCTATGTTAACAAAATTTTAGGGTAAGAGGTCAAATAAGAATAAAAATAAGTCCAATAGTAGAACACTCAGAAAGAATAAATTAAGAATAATATTCAAATTATATAATAGATGGATAGCAATAAGCATGTTTAGTAGATGATTACTGCTGCAATTGATGAAAAAATCAAAATAGAAAATATGATAGCTGACGATTTTAAATTACAAGATCATAGAGTCTAATAAAGAATGCTCATGAGAATTAAGGTATTTATCAATCAAAAATTCTACTAAGGATCCATCTAAATACAATTTGGCTATCTCGAAAAGTACATCCTTAAGACATCTAAAATTAGATATTGAAACTTAGAGTTAGCAATCAACTTTACCAGATACTTAAGAATAAGGTCAAGAAAGCATTTCTGAATAAATTTTTGATAAAATTTCTGAAGTTGAAGCCTAACAATAATTTACTGAATTAATAAGGAATGATATCGAATCAACTGAACAACAATCCAAAACAGAAGAATAACCTTCAAAATTAAATATAGAATCTGATCTGATAAGTTTACCAATTAAACCATCATAAATAAAGGATCGTCATCATTATGCTTATTTTAACGATGATTCCTAACCAATCGATCAGTAAAATTGGACACCATAACTTGGTGATATGACTCATCCAAAAACTAAGAAAGTTAGAGAAATGGTTAACAAAAATCAAGTTCTAAAAAAACAAAAACTAGAACTTAATAATGTTTTACCATGCTGATATTCTATGATTGTAAAGTTTTCTATCATATATAATTATTATTCATAAAAATAAATATAAATTTTTTTTAATTTCTCAATCTATGAATAGAAATACAATTACAAACTTACTCAATAGAAATGTTGAAAGATAAATAATGATAATCTAAGCTTCAGATTCAATATAACCATCTTTTTATTAATCTAAGATTTTAGGTTGAAGGATTTTGCAAGTTTAACATGATCCGTTTACCCACTTATAATTTGCAGCAGTTTATTTAGAGCAAGTATCTCTATTCAAATGTTAAGCATTCTTAGCTTCTTAACATAGTCCATTCTCCCAAACACATAAATAATATGAGGATGATCCTTATTTTACGATTTTAGTATTTGAACAATCTTTCTCTAATCTTTTATCACCGCATGTTAAAGGTACACAATCTCCTTAATTATTTTTTTGACACTCAATTTAGTTTATATCACAAATTTTATATCCAGTTAGAGATGAGCAATCTTTTAAACTCTAAGCTTTACATTTCTCATCTTCTCCCCATAAACATTCAAGTTCATCAGATTATACTCCTCTACATGTTTATTCACTTAAATAATTTTAACATGACTACAAACCATTAATACAATCTTTATTGCTAATTGAACAATTCTTATAATATATTGGACACCTTTATTCATCATAATCTTAACAACTTGTAAATTCATTGCACATCTCAGTTGAATTCCACAAACAATATGGTTTGAACCTAGAACAATCAAATCTATTTTTAAATTGAGAACACTCAAATTTTTAAGCTTCATAAATATTTGTTTTGTTATTCCAATTACAAGTATAAGTATTTATATTTGTTAAACCTTAAACATAACATTCATAAATATAATCGCCACATTAATTATTTACCCATTTACAATTCATTAACGAATTACAATCATTTTCTAGCAATATTTCAGAACAAGCACATCTTAGATTAGTATCAATTATTACGCTATTTCCACTAGTCAAAAGTGTTAATAAGTAAAAAATCATTTATATCAATTTATTAATGGAATAAAATTCTATTTATTTGCCAATTGATCTCAATCAAAATCCATGATGAATTCTTTCTTGTTTACAATATACCATTTAAATTTGATATTCAGATAAAAACATTTCAAAAAGAAAAAAGATTTTCACATTGCTTTTTATTATTTCTTTTAAGAGTTCTAATAAAATACATAAATGTTTAATCTTATTGATAAAGAACTGTCCAAATCTATCATTATATAAATTCAAGGCTAGAATTAAAGCTATGCACTCAATTATTTCTATAGATACATTTATTTAATAATTTTCAAAAAGAAGAATATCAAATATTTTTATTAATCAGAAATATTTTAAAAAAATTAAAGATCAATATTAATTTTTTCATTATAATTGATATGGCTGCTATAATATTATTGTAAATATCTATAGGAAATTTATTTGAAATAAGCAGAGTAAAAATTCATCTTTTGAATTCTTATGCTAAGATTTTGATAATCTCATTTAGTATAATTAAACTTTTTATTTTGAAAGAAAAGCAATAAGAAGATTAGATTCTTTAAATACATATATCTCTGTTATTTTAACAATAGTTCTTCAATTTGCTATAAAAATAAATTTATATAGGATAGTTGAATTTTTAATAACTTTTTTTAGGAATTAGTCTCACAAAAAGAAACCTAAGATATTATTGAAATTAGTTGTGAAAGACAAACCGCAAATTTCATAGGAAAACAGATAATGAAGCTAAAAACTCAATTAAAATGAATCACTTAACTTTAGATAGAGATTTAAAATTTTATTTTAAATTATACTAGATTTATGAATAAGTATGACTTGATTGATTTTTTATTTTTCTAATTTTCTCGAATTTTTTTACTGGAATAATCAAATCTGAAATTTAGGTATTAATAATAAAATCTTGATTGTGAATAAGTTTTTTCTTTGAAAAAATTTCTTTCGTATTTTTTTCATTTCCAGGAAGATAATTTTAATTTTTTCAATTACGATAGTAGATTTTAATTCAAAATATGAAATTAAGTAGACGGTACAAATTATATTGATATTTTTTATTCTTATAATAAAATTTAAATTAGACTATTGGATTTAACTTTTGGTTAATTTTGAAGTTGTAATATTTTACATAAATATATAAATGATATGATTAAACAATTGTTAGGTTTTGAATTAAATAATGCAAAAGTTTAAATTAAGAATCTTAATAAGATTTTCAAATGGGATAAAATAAACATTAAAAGTTAAAGATGATGAAGTTATTTGGTGGTAAAATAATTATATTATATAATTGATAGCTGAGCTTACTTGAGATAGTTCGAAAAAGGTAAATGAAAATTTCATTCAAACTTAACTTTGTTAGATAAGTTTAATAAGATCTTAAAGAAATGAATACATCTTCATTTTTATTTCCTATAATTATTAAATGATTAGATAATGTCTAAAATAGATAATTTTTACCTAAAAATAATTATGATTTATTTGAGGTTCAAATTTAAGAGGAGTAATAGTGAATTTTAAATTTTGAATATTGATATTTTAAACTTGATATAGTTTGTTTGATAAAAAAAAAATATATCCAAAAATAGAAATTATTTAACTAATTGTCTTTGCCTTGGTTATTTTTTATAAGCCAAAAATGTTATTTCTATATGCAATACATAGTATAGTATAAATCATAAAAGGTATATATTTTAATTAGAGTGCATCATACATATTAATAATTTCAAATTTCAAAGGAAGAGGATAAAACAAATGAGTAGAATAACTTCAACAACAATTATTATAATTAGCCAACAATTTGAAGACTTTTAGATAATTGATGCAAATTTGGAATTAACGAATGTCATGTTCTTATTGGTTTTATCTACGTCATCATTTAATTTATTGAGATCAATAATTTATTAATTTATGGTATGGTTAATATTCTATCCTGAGTACTTTAGAGCCATAGCCTTAAAATAAATAAAAAATTTACTTGTTCATTAGTTTAATCCAACAATTTTTCTTATTCTTATTATAAATCTTTTTAGTTTTTAAAAAGTTCTCTATTGGACATATTACTTAATTCAGCCATTTATTTTGATGTAACTTATTGCTCTTATTTTGTTTCAAGAACAGCTTTCTTGAATTATTCAGAGATAATGTCTCGCTAATTTTTAAACTCTTATAATTAATTCCTACGTTTCTCTTATTCTTTCTACATTTAGTTCTTTTCTTAAAGTTTGATCAGATCACCTAATAATACTAATTCACGATCTTCATTTATTAGAGGAAATTATTACCTAAATTAGTCAATTAGCCTCGAATTTCACCTTCAATTATTGTAAACTATTATCCTGCCTTCTTTTTTTATTCTCTTTTATTGATATCAGTTTTAATAGATACTATTAGTTTCTGAATTCGATCAATATCATTTTTATATTGATCGCTCATATTAATAAATATTTATAATTATGATATGAGCAAAGATGTATAATAATCAATATTAAATAAATTTTATATTCAGATGATGAATATAGATTAAAAGAAGATATTTTAGACATAAGGAATTTATAAAATTGAATACAAAGCTATGTGAATAAATAATAATAATTATTTTATAAATAAAATGGTTCACAAAGAATTCGGTGATATCTTTAAAAGATTCATATAAATTCCAATTCTTAAAAATACATTTGCAGAACACTTTTACTAAGCTTTCTAATTTTTACCAGGGCATGCTTTAGAAAGAAATTCTAATCATTTAGTTTTGAGATATAAAGTTCCTTAAGAAATTATGAATATGAATGGATCTGTTCATGGAGGNCATAGTATAGTATAAATCATAAAAGGTATATATTTTAATTAGAGTGCATCATACATATTAATAATTTCAAATTTCAAAGGAAGAGGATAAAACAAATGAGTAGAATAACTTCAACAACAATTATTATAATTAGCCAACAATTTGAAGACTTTTAGATAATTGATGCAAATTTGGAATTAACGAATGTCATGTTCTTATTGGTTTTATCTACGTCATCATTTAATTTATTGAGATCAATAATTTATTAATTTATGGTATGGTTAATATTCTATCCTGAGTACTTTAGAGCCATAGCCTTAAAATAAATAAAAAATTTACTTGTTCATTAGTTTAATCCAACAATTTTTCTTATTCTTATTATAAATCTTTTTAGTTTTTAAAAAGTTCTCTATTGGACATATTACTTAATTCAGCCATTTATTTTGATGTAACTTATTGCTCTTATTTTGTTTCAAGAACAGCTTTCTTGAATTATTCAGAGATAATGTCTCGCTAATTTTTAAACTCTTATAATTAATTCCTACGTTTCTCTTATTCTTTCTACATTTAGTTCTTTTCTTAAAGTTTGATCAGATCACCTAATAATACTAATTCACGATCTTCATTTATTAGAGGAAATTATTACCTAAATTAGTCAATTAGCCTCGAATTTCACCTTCAATTATTGTAAACTATTATCCTGCCTTCTTTTTTTATTCTCTTTTATTGATATCAGTTTTAATAGATACTATTAGTTTCTGAATTCGATCAATATCATTTTTATATTGATCGCTCATATTAATAAATATTTATAATTATGATATGAGCAAAGATGTATAATAATCAATATTAAATAAATTTTATATTCAGATGATGAATATAGATTAAAAGAAGATATTTTAGACATAAGGAATTTATAAAATTGAATACAAAGCTATGTGAATAAATAATAATAATTATTTTATAAATAAAATGGTTCACAAAGAATTCGGTGATATCTTTAAAAGATTCATATAAATTCCAATTCTTAAAAATACATTTGCAGAACACTTTTACTAAGCTTTCTAATTTTTACCAGGGCATGCTTTAGAAAGAAATTCTAATCATTTAGTTTTGAGATATAAAGTTCCTTAAGAAATTATGAATATGAATGGATCTGTTCATGGAGGAGCTTTAGCAACAATTCTTGATTGTGCCACAACAATAGCCATTCTAAGAGGAGATAGAAATCTTTCCAGAACTGTCAGGTAACATTAACACTTTATTTAGTATTGAATTGGGATTGTCATTTATCAGTCCTGCTAAGCTGAATGATTAACTCATTGTACATGCAGTTTGTCAAAAAGTAGGAAAGAATGTAGCATACTCTGTATGTGATATATATGAAGAATCAGGAATGAAATTAGTGACAACAGGTAGACATATTAAAGCTGTATTGCCTGGAACATTTTTTGATTCAGATTTCAAAAAGATATCATGAAATATTTATAATAATTTTATTTTAAATTTCATAATAATAATGAGCATTTTATTTGATGATTAAAATAATACTAAAAAATACTTGTGTTTTCATATTATTTTTGAATATATATATATAATATTATTAAAATTAGATATGAGAAATCGTAAAATAGATCCCCCTGAGTAAGATTCTGTCAGTTCAGGTTATTCGACACCAGATGAGAAAAGTGTTTCAAAGCAAGCTAAAATAAAGCATTTAAGAAAGCATGCATTTGTCAATCGGATTTCATTTTTAGATGATATGGATAAGGATTCAGAATTAAATAAGAATAAATTAGTTGGCTTTTACAATATGTTATATGTTGTAGCTTTCTATTACTTTATAATAAATCCAATTATGTCATATTGGAAGACAGGTTAATGGATTGAAACTTCTCTGTATAATTAAATGCGTAGAGATCTATTTATGTGTATAGTAACATGGCCATTAGTATTAATTTATTTTAATGAATAGTTCTATGCTTGGAGTCATATAGCCTTATTGATTTAATATTTAGCAATGATGAATATGCCAAAAATGTTAATCTTTTTAATTTAACATGTTAGTTAAATTTGTATGTTTGTCTATGCACATTATTTGGTATTAACTAGAGATTGGTATTTACCATAAGGTGCTTTTGTAACCTTTTAATCGTGTGTATTCTTTTTCAAAATGCATTCTTATACTATGACAAATTATAAAATGAGAAGAGAGTGGGTTGATTAAGGTTGTCCTAAAAGTACTGATCCTTTCAATTATCCAAATAACATCAATTTTATGAATTTTACTAAATTTATAATGACTCCAGTTTTAGTTTATGAACCTTCGTATCCTTAATCAGGTAAAATTAGATGGTGGTATGTTATTGTTAAATTTATTAATGCAATATCAATGTTAATTATGGGATATATGATTGTTTCTAATCACATTTATCCAATAATTCTTAATGTAAATGCATTATCTTTAGTTGATTCCATATTTTAAATGACTCTACCTCTTATATTTATATGTTTAACCTTATTTAATATGATTTTTGAGAATTATTGTAATTTTTGGGCTGAATTAACACATTTTGGAGATCGTTAATTTTATACAGATTGGTGGAATTCAACAGATTATGAAGAGTTTAATAGAAATTGGAATAGACCAGTTTATGAATTTCTATATCGTCATGTATATTTAGAACTTATTTTTGAATTTGGATTTGGAGTAAGGAAAGCATAGTTAGCCACTTTTCTATTTTCAGCTATACTACATGAATATACTTTAGCAGTAAGTTTAAAATAAATAACTCCAATAATGGTAATGTTTATGATGATTCAAATACCTGTGATGTTATGTACAAAGAGAATAAAAGGAACAAAATTTGGAAATTTATTTTTCTGGTGGGGTATTATTTAAGGATTACCATTAATTTTAAATTTATATCTTAGATTCAATGAATTACCGAAATTATTGTTTGAATGAGTATGTATAAATAATGTATATATTTATATATATATAATAATAATAAATCATTTCTTTTAATCATAACTAAGCAAGGCTTTTTGTAGAAGAATATTTCCTTAACAGATCTTAATTTATAATTCAATTTGTTATTTCAATATTTGACGATGTTCTTCTATTCGTTTTAAGAATGCATTTGTTTATTGATTTATAAATCCAAAAACTTAAGGTCTTTTTTCATCTTTAACAATTTGAGAATATTGATTAAAAATTCTTTGTGCTTCACTTTGCATCAATTATTTTGTATCAAATTTAGGTTCACCATATTACAAAACGAAATTGGCTATTAATGAAGTGAATAAAAATAAATACCATTGGATAGTTTAAGTTTTTTAACAATTACATCTTCACTCATAATATTAAAATATAAAAAATAATCATTATTATAGACAACTGAGATTAGAATTCACTTTAATCTGACTAGAAATTCCATTGACATTCAATTTCTTATTTACAAGATACACAATAGTTATCTATAAAGAATTTAGAACCTCCACTATATAATATACAATCTTTTTCATTCATAGGCAAAATTTCAATACAAACTTCACCAAATAATCTACAATATTTATAGTCTTAGATTTTAAATCCTTTAATTGGTTTACATGAAGTTTAATTCAGATTTGAACATTCAAGATTTCTGCATTAAGCCGAATTTTAATCGAAATAACATTTATTATGAAACATATTTTCACAATCTTCCCTAACAAGTTCAGAACAATTATTCTTAATTTATTAAAGTTATTCAAACCTATATTATAAACAACTTCCTTCTAAACCAATTTAAGTATCGTTTAATAAAGTACAATGTTTTCTAATTTGGCAATTTTCATCTTAAAATGTCCATAAATTACTCATAGTTTCACATTCATATTTTTTTAATAATCCTCTCTCTCTATACCTCAAACATTATCTTCTATCTTAATTCCAAACACATGGTTAATTTTATAAATTTTTGAAACAAGTTGAATAACTTGTATAACTTCCACATTCAAATGAGAGATTTACACATTAATTACTAAGAATCGAACAACCTCGATTCTCTTAACAATATTTCTCAATAATGCCCTCTCCTTTCTCAACATTAGTAATTTAAGTGCATGAAAATTCTAATACATCATAACATATATTATTTCGAAAAACACAAGTTGGTTTTAATTTCTAACATGAAGATTTATTTTATAATTATGAACACCTAGTTGCTGATAAACATATATTTTAATCCTAATTCCAATAACATGGAATATTAGAATTTAATTATTTATATTATATACATTCTTATTATGAAGTAGCATTAATACATTCTTATTTATTAAGTGTACATTATTAACATTGACAATCTTTTTAAACTATAAAAATATTAGAACATTATTATTAATCAATTTTAGTACATCCACTATTTTATTATTCACATATATATAAATTTTAGCAATAATCATCAAATATTTCCATTTTTTAATATAATTTATTTTCATCATGTTAACACTATAATTTTATACATTTTTTATTTTATAAAATGCAAATTCCATCTCTTCCTACAGAGCCTTAACATAATTCTTGAGATTATTCGGAACATAATTTTAAAGATTTTTATGAACAAGTTCTTCCATCAAAATAACAATTTTATTCTATTTTATTTAAACATTATGATTTCTTACTAACATTATTATTTTCACATTTTTATTTTTATTAGCATATACTTTATTCATCAAGATAACAATCTGATCTATATTAAATGCAATTAACTGAATTATAACTTCCACATGTCTTAGCTTTACAATTAATTTAAAATTCACATAATCCATCTACTCCTATTAATTAATCACAAGTTTCTTTTGTTGTTGAATATTAATTACAACTTGATAAATATTCTGTACATTAAATTCCATTAAAAATACATTGGCTAGAATATTTAGGACAGCCTTCCTTGCTTCTCCATATTTAATGAGCTTCATTACAAATTCTTTATTTTATAACATTTCCATCATTATCATAGTAAGGACTACGAATACATCCTTACTTTTCATCATTCCACATACAAAGATATGATATTCTTATACAATCTTAATCTGAATATGACTAATACGCATCACATCCTAAAAATCTTATACAGATATCATTATAAAATGAACAGCCATAAGTTAATGAACATCTCTCAAAATTCTATGAACAATAAAGAGTTGTTTATTATGCATAGAGATTAATTTATGGCTTAACATATCCTTCAACACAACTATTTTGCGTCCAAGAACATAAAGGTATTAGTGAATCACAATCAGATGGAGTAGTAAATGTTTTGCAATCAAAACAATAATTGTTTGATGAGGCTTTTAATATCCCAATAAAAAATAAAATAATCATAATTATATAAATTTTATATTAAAACATTTTCAATAAAGATTTTAGTCATTATTTAGACTTGAAACAATCTTAAAACTATATCTATATATATAACTATAAAGTATATTTATATCTTATATTCAAATAAAAATTACTTTATAAAAATAATAATTAATCTCAAACTTCTTTCGATGAACAGAAATTCGAATATCCATCTTAATTATTATTTTGTTAACATGAATTAGTCTCTGTTTTTATACAGTTTTAACATGTTACACTTCTTAAATCAAGTGATATGTAGTAAGTTTATGAATTTGGACAATCAAGTTCCTCGCATTACATTGAAAATTCATTGAACTTGCAAGTATTAATGTATTTTTAATCTTCACATTACTTCTATGTAAGTATTTTGCAAGTCATTAAATCCATACATGATACTCCATTCCAAAAACATAAATTTGAAATTGATTTATAACATTAAAAGTCTCTGTAATCACTACATCTTGATTTTTTTGTAAAGCATTAATTGTTGTATTCAAAACACATGTTTTATCTGCACAATTTAGGATCCACACATAATCTTTTAGAATCACATTCTTATTTTTACAAATCTAAATTTTCGCATTATTTTACAATACAATATTTTTTTTATTTAACTGAAATCCAACTGCAAAGACTTCCATCTAATTAAAAATTACATTTTTTCTCTTCATTATAAGCAGAACATTATTATTCAGCAGTTTCACACACTTAACCATTTGAATTACAAAAATTTAAAGCCTTATAACAAATTTTATAATCAGAAGATTGAAGTTAAGAACAAAATGTCATTGGTATACATTATGAATTTACATTTACACATTGAGTATCATCATATTATCTCATTTCTTAACAAAAACTACTATAATTCTTACAAGCAGTTTTTAAACGACAAGTTTTAGTCAAAGAACTATACATTAATTTATCAGAGAATATTTGACATACTGTATCTTCATCACCTAGTATTTTTGCTAAGTTAGGAAGATAAGTTGTTAGATTTCTTACATCATAGCAATTTGATGATAACCAAAAGCAATTTTTAAATCTGCAATCATCTTCATTTTTTAAATCTTCACAAATTAACTTATTTCTGGTTTAGCATTTATTACCAATAAAAATACATTCAGCTAAATTGTTACATTAATAATCATCATTAGAATAATCTTCGCATTTTTTGTATCTACAACTATTATTCTCCCAAATACATGCGTCTAATAAATTCAAAACAATATTTGAATTATTTGTACATTCTTCTTATAAAAAATAACCTGAGCACCCTTATATCGTAACACAACATCCATGTTTATTTTTTGAACAGGATATTTATTTACAATTTAAATTTAAATTACTACATGCATCCTCTGTAGAGTCTATTCTGAGCACATAATCAAAACACGAATTGATTGTTTAACAAGAATTTTAAATCCATTAACATTTTTTCAATTCTATTGTCTCACTTAAATTACAATCGTATTAATTTAAGTTAATCTTACAATCTCTTCTTTCTAAATTATAATCATCTAAACAAAATTTAATTGTGTTATCATATTTATATGTGCTAATGCCAAAACATTCAGATATCTTTAAAAATTGATCACAAGACTTATTTTTCATCTCTTTAATACATTTTCCTATTTATGTTTAATAATCAATTTCAAGGCATAAACCTTCAAATTTATCCCTGTTATAAACACATTAAGATCCAAATTATCCAAAATGTTTTTGACATTTCTCATAACTATCTTCAAAATAATTATAACATGATGCATTCATACATTATTAATTAGTAGTATTAAATTAACATTTTCCTGTATATGCTATTATTTAATTACAATCTTTCAAATACGAAGAACATTCTAATAATCTTATTTTACATTCTATTCCATCAAATTTACAAATTGAATGAAATGATTAACATTTTGATTGAGAGAGATAGCCAAGGTTATTAATCTTTTCGCATCCTACAAATTGGCATTTATCATCTTTCCATTCACAAGATTCCTTACTGCCTTATTAATGATCCATCTGACCACAATATTTCATCTCAGATATTTATAAGCAATTGAATGGTTTTTACATGCAGACAATCTCATCTGTAACTGAAATACAATTAATTGAAATTCTTGGGCAGTTTGACCCATAATTCTAATATGCGCCACATCCAAAAAAATGCTCACATTTATTATTATAAAAAGCACATTATGTATCCTATATGCATAATTCTTCTTTTAAAGGATTATTATAGGAATTACAATAATTATTATTAATTTATTTTATTTTACAATCTTCATTTTCCCATTTACAAATACTCTATTTTTCACACTCATCCTTATATATAAATGTGTTACAAGGTTAATTTTTTTATTCTGATATATTAGTGAGTAAAAATAATATAATTATCATAAAATTTAATAATTAAAATTCATTCATGTTATTATATAAATTTTGAAGACATTTATTTTTGAATTATTATAAAAATTCTATTAAATATATATTAATCAATCAAACACTACTGATAAAATTTTATTTTAATGTTTCTGTAATCTTCAAAATCAAAACTCTCCTTTAATAGGGTTAAAAAATTAAATTTTCAGTCTTTATAAATTCTACTTTTTCATTTTATAGAATTCTTTCTCATCTTTAAAGGCTGTTTTTAAATTCTATCACAATTTTAATACAAACCAGGTTTATTGGAGAAATTAAAAAATATATTTTGATTAAGAAAGATTTATTAAATGTCCTAAACTTATGTAATCAAAGAAGAAGAATAGCAAACTCCAGCAATTTAGGAAACATATGTATACTCTTATTAATTACCTAAAGGTTTTAAACAAATCATATAATTCTACTTTTTTATAACATGAAAAAATAATAAGAGAAAATTTTTTATTTGCTTTGAGAAGACTGCAAGAAGCCTAATTAAAAGAATAGAATTAAGAATTTCCTAAATATCCTTTTGTCTATTAATATAGATAGAACGAGATGTTGGTAATATATTTAAATAACTTTTCTTAGGTCCATTTGGGAATCTAAAATGTTTTCTAAAGGGAGAGATAAGATTTTAACAAAGAAAATTATCAGTTACAACATTTTTGCTTAAATCAAAAACCCATTCCTTCAATCAAACTTTCTGTTTAAAAACGAAAAGGCTTTTCGATATATGATTAGAAAGACTCTAAGAATATCCCAAAGAATTACTGTAAAGCTATTATTACTTTTGCTTAAAAAAATTAGTAACTTTGTGTAAAAATTCTTGGAGATTAATTAAAAGCTACTAGATTTATAGAGCATCTAACCTCTCACAAGAATAAGTTACTCAATATAAAGGTATTTAGTGCATTATTGTAATAATCTGAGAATAAGACTCATGAAGAATTCAATAGAACTTTTAGAATAATTAGGTATTTATTTCTATTAAAATAAGTAAAATTTTTGTGAAAAAATTTGCTATCAATTATATTTATAATTCAAAAATTATTTAAGATAATTGGCATACTAGATATAGAAACAAGATATATAAGGCAATTAAATGTCCAAAAAAATTTTCACACATTAAGAAACTTTGAAATATAAAAGTTATCAAGTAAATAGTTTAAATGATTTATAATATGTATAACATATGAATCAATCTGTTAAAATGGAAATATAATAAATTTTGAGATTATTTTTTTTTTTTAATTCTATAAATTTAAAGACTAAATATTCATAATTCTATTAATTAAAAAAATATAGAAATTATAATAATAGTAATTAATATTTTCTGAAAATATATATATCGCAAATTTATAAATCACAATTGTCCATCTTTTTTACTAATATAAAAATGCATTATCTATTCGATAAATAATCACTTTTGATGCAAGAGTTGCATGTATTAAATATGACAAGCATCCTTAATTACAAAGAGAGTCTGTATTATTATTGACATCTAAGTAGTAGTGATTATTGAACATGAAGAACATAATAAAGAAATATTGTTATCAACAAAAACTAAACATTCGAACCAGAATTAGGAACTTTTACTCAGTCACCTATTTTGAGTAAAAATAGAGTGATAAAATTATTTTAATCAGGCACTAATACATAACCCTCTATATGTTAGCTTGGAATTTTTAGTTTTATTATTGCTATATTGATTATTTTAAGCATATATTTATGAAACTGTATAAAAATAGTATCTATTATTACATATTTAGTGAGTTAACTCTGTATTGTCAATAATCATATTTTATAATATATAGTATTCGATAAATATTAATTTTTTGTGCATTATAAATAATAATCTTTCAAATTTATTTGTTGTTTAGATTTTATTATAAAGAATGCAACTTGAATTTTTTAAATTATAAGCAATTTTCAGATGAAATTTTATAACTACAGACGAAATGTCTCCTTTTATATACATTATTTTAAAATTCTTTGCTTCATTTGCAACTTTTAAGATTTAAATCTAAATTATATAATATACTTACTATTTTATTTATTTAAAAGGTTACTAGATTTTGAAAATTGATGAACAGTTCTCCTTATAGTACCTTAAACCTATGAATTATTATCTTGAAAAGATAAGAATTACTAAAAGAAGCATTTATGGTTTAATACTTAAATATATATAACACAACTATTCCTTTACATTCACAACAATTTTTTTAAACTCTAATCTAAATAATTTTTTTTGGAGCCTTTATGATATATGATGCAAATGTTATTTTTTCATAAGCCCAACTGAAAAATTAAATAAAGTTTGGCATTATATAAATAATTATAAATTCCAAAATCTCCAAATTTACGCTTTATAAATAATAAATCTTATTCATTTAATATTTCAATTTTGGAATAAAACTGAATTGATTTTAAAATCTAAGAAAAAAATTAATTTGATGGGAATCATGTAAAATTTATAATACAAATAATAATAGTATTATTTTCATTAAAAAATTATAATAATGAGCTCAGAAATCAACATCAGACAACTGTTATATTATAAGTCTCTAAATCCTAGTATTGTCTCAGGATAATTGTTGAGGTCCTACTTAGTAATCTCTGAGAACAGTTAAAACTACGCAACATAGGCTTAATAAATTGAGATCAACTGCTTATAGTGATTTTAGGCTAACGACACTCCAAACATAAACACCAATAAATAACTTTAGATATGGATTTAATGTTGATGAATACGAGAATTATAATTCTTAAATTCATTTTTTGGAAGTTTATGAACATCCAATAAAATATATTAATGTAATCATAGATTTATTCAGAGTTACTTAACAGAGAGTAAAAAGAACTTATTATAAATTTTAAAATAGGAAATTGATTATTGAAATCGAATATAGCCTAATTAAGTGATTAATCAAATCGAATACGCTTAGAGATTTCTACTATTAATTAAAAGTATGAATTGAGTTAAATCAATTATAAATTTATTTTCGAGAGTCTCTCAACTAAAAATATAAATTACTCAAACATGATAATGTATAATTTATTGAAGAACAATACAAATTGTCAAAAGAATATCAAAGATTAGCTAAGGTAAAATAACTTATGGAAGAAAAAAATTAATAATTATTAAGTCGAGTTGTTCAATTGGAAAATACTTTATAGGGAGTTACACTTGAACTATAGCAGTGATTAAAATTTTAATATTATAAATATGAAACAATATTCTTTTTTGAGTTTTTGATTTTAAATAGATCAAAGATGATAAAAATTTAGACCAGTAAATTAATATTACAGAATCCAAAAAGGTTGAGGATTAAAAATAAATATATATAAAAATAATTTAAGCAGATAAAGAATTATTGTGCTAAATACATAATTAAATGAATTAGTAATAATAATTTGTTACTTATTTAAATTTGTTACATCATAATAAATGCCAGATATTCTTGTTCAAAATGATTTAGGCACACCATATGAACTGCATAATGTATTAGCTCGTGAGATTTTGGACTTATATTGATTATATGTAAATTAACTCACTTAACTAGCACATTCGGATTCTTCAGTATCAATAACTGATTATTCCAAACAACTCTTAGAAAAGAACTTAAATCTCTATGAGATTAATTAATTTTTATACGCTATGCTCCAAAAACATAGATTAAGGTGTAATCTTCTTTTTGGACAAGGCTTCAAAATCAATATCATCAAAAAAAACATGTTATTTAGCTTATTAAAGAGTAAATCTAGTATCAACATTCACATCTAGCAAATGTGATAGTAAATCTTTCGCTTAATTTGAAATAAATGCGTTTTCAAATTCAATTTAATCAGAATCACATCCAATTAGCATTTGATAAAGAACAACACCAAAACTCCAAACATCGCACTTATTTGTATAGCCTTGATTACCCAATACTTCAGGCGCTAAATAATCAATAGTTCCGCATTTTGAGAATTAAAGTCCATCTTTTCTAGTTGATAATCCAAAATCAGTGAGTTTAATATATCCTTTTTCTAATAATATATTTTAAGGCTTGAGATCTCTATACACTATACCATTTGAATGTAAATATTCCAAAGACAACAAAATCTAAGCAGCATAAAACTTTGCTACGTCTTCTGAAAATTTTCCATAATGTTTCAAATACTAAAATAGCTCTCCCCCACTCATATATTCTACAACTAAATATAGTTTCTATTATGTTTAAAATGCCTCTATTAATTTTACAATAAATGGACTGTCCAGAATTTCCAACAATTACCTTTCTGTTTTAGCACTTCTTCTCATCCATTCAGATGTTAGATTTCTTTTGTTAATTATCTTCATTGCGTATAAAAAGTCTATTAAGTTATAAATATATTAGTTACTGTTCTTTTTGTGTTAAACTAACATCACTTTTCCAAATCCACCTCTTCCTAATACTTTAAGTAATTGATAGTTTTTTATACTAGCTTGATTAAGAATTGGTTTAGTGTTCTGATCATTTAATTACTTAAATGCATAAAACTCATCAACAAAAGCATTTCTGCAATCCATTTCACTATGATGAGGTTTCAGGCACTTGTTTCCCATTAATAACTATTTATATTTATTTAATTAAAAATAACTATGAACCATCAAGCCGATATAAAAAGTATAAATGTTTATGTTCCCTTCATTGAAATTTATCTTCAGTTGGAAATTTAGATTAGCAATAAGCTAGGATAATTGGCTGATCTTATTTAATAAGTTACAGGCAATGACAATGAAATGAATATTTTTAGGTAATACTTAAATCTAGAATTAGATTTAAATTTAGAGGAGAATTGCTTGGCATGAATCAAATTATATCTGAGATACAAGGAATTACTTTTGGTGACCCAAAATGTTACTTAACAGGATACGCTGAAATGACTGGAGCATGATTTATATTAAATTCTATAATTAATAATTACAACCCTGTAATATTGCTTAATCATTAGGTTTATTTACAATTAAATAATAAAACAAAATAGTTGTCAATTTCATTCTATGATTAAGGAATAAAATATGAATTTCCATAGGTTACTTGTATTGAAGTGGCTTCAAAAAATTTTTTGTATATTTAAAAAAAAAAACTTTTGTCAATTTTAAAGTTCTTGTTAGTTTCAGATGTCGACTTTAAAACTACAATAAAAAATTAAACTAATTTTATGAAATTTTAGATTATAATATTTTTAATGATCATTTTCATTACTTTTTTGATCTAAACCAAACTTTATTAAATCTAAAGTATGGTTCCACTTCAGCTTTGTTTTCTTCTAAAAAAATACTTCCCCACAAATATTGTCCAAAAAACATTTATGCTATTTATTTTAACTTAACACAACTTTTCAATGAACTTTCTAATGTTTATTTACACGCTTTCTCAGGTTTAGTAGCTAAGAACTTCTTTATTTCAGGATTCTGATTTATAATCGTTTATGAAAAATGGATACCTAAATTTTTTATAAATATATACTAATAAAATGTTTTAGGGCTCTTGTATAATTTTTAGGAATGTTTTTACTCTCTCCAGGAAGCATAAATATTTCATTGTTTTGTTCTTATTGTTTTATCTCTTGATTTATTTGAATAGGCTTCTTGAGTTATTTTTCATCTTTTTGGATTAATTTTACAATTTTAGGTACAATATGTTTCTTAGAATTATCTTAAATTATTTAAGTGCTGGGCTTTTGATCCTCAATATTTGAATCTTCTTCGGCTTCATAATAGTTATTTTAATAATCAGGGTAAGAGTATGAATCAATATTCAAAAAGTTTTTGGGTACTTAATAAGCCAAACTCTCAAGTTAATCTTCATCAAAGTTAATATCACCTAAGCTATCTTAATTCCATTTTTTCATTTTTTTTTATATTTACTCTTATCGAATTCATAATACTTTTATATAACAAAAATGCCCAATAAAATTATATCTTATT